CTAATGTCCAGTAACTTATTTAAGCAGAGAACTAGCCCGTATTTAAGACATTATGTTGACCTAAATAACTGCTGGGATCAAAGCCAAATATCACATTCGATTTCGACGCAAAATCTAATCATGTCTGCTCATACCATGCCTATAGATGCTGTCACCACCGTCGCCATCGCTGGCATCACTGGCAGTCTCGGCAAGCTCATCGCTGAATACCTCCTGGCCAAGCCAAATGTCCGCATCCGTGGGCTCTGCCGAACGCCTACCAAGCTCCCCCAGTCACTTCGCGATGAACCCCGTCTCACCGTCTACGCCACATCCTCTACCGACATCGCCACGCTCCGTGATGCCTTACGTGGTTCCGATATAACCATCTGTTGTTATCTCGGTCCCAGCTCCCTGATGGTTGACGGCCAGAAACTACTCATTGACGCCTGTATCGCTGAGGGTGTCCCTAGATACATTGCTGGTGACTGGTCGATGGATTTCCGGAAGCTGGAACTTGGCCAGCACCCTCCGAAGGATCCGATGAAGCTTGTGCAGGCATACCTGGAGGAAAAGGAGGCCGCTGGACAGTTGAAAGCCGTCCACGTGTTGAACGCATGCTTCTTAGAACGACCGTGGGTGGGAATTTGGGATTCCAAGCGTAACCTGTTCAAGTACTGGGGCACAGGAGATGAGCGATGGGAGTTCACAACATATCGGAACGCAGCCCAGTTCACCGCAGAGGTGGCGGTAGACAAGGATGCAGTTGGATGGTTCTCGTGTGAGTTTTTCCAGATATCATTTCCTAAGTATCTAAAAAGCACCTGCTAATGATTTACTGCATAGTCCGTGGTGATTACGTCAATATCAAAGAGATTGCCGCAGAATTCCACACCGTCTATAACGAAGAGCCGGGATTGGAACGACTGGGAAGCTTGGAAGATCTGTTCAAGCTTATGCATCAGAAACGGGACCAGAATCCAGACAATGCCCCAGCCTGGTTGGGTCTGTTCTACACATACTATTCCATCAACGGCCAAACAACTTTGCCGTTACCTCTCGACAATGAACGCTACCCTGCTGTTAAGCTAGTAACTGTCAGAGATTTCTTTGCTAAGACGCCCAAGGAACAGCTTGGGAAGTTTGGGGTCTTTCAATCGTGAGAATACCAGAACCAGGCCGGCAGGAGGTATCGCGTTCGCAAGGAAAACCCACATGCGCGATGATTCAACGGCACCTAAAGTTATTTTGCGCTGTTAGTGAACGTTAAACTATGAATTGAGGTCATCGTCCAAAACATAAACTGCCTGTAACACCCGTGCCTACTCAAGCATTGCAGGTAGAATTCCACTTTTCATCCAACCACCTTCATTATATTTCTACCACCATCACCCTTCTAGAATCAAACTATCAGTAATATTAGATTAGGGGATAGTATATAATATATATATAAGTATATATTTAGACTAGTAGATAGCTCTATTAGAGAAAAATCTAGATCTAGTAATTAATCTAACTACTACTAGGTATAACTAGTTATACTACTATTTAAGATAGCTACTTTTACTATAGTTTATTACTAGTTTATTACTCTAATTTATTTATTTCTCTCTCTTATTTATCCCTATATAAGGTTGGTATATTATAGGTATCCTGATTAATATTATAGGCATTTAATAACTCGGTATAATAACAAGGATTTATATTTTAATTAAGATTTAAAAATAAGTTAGTAGTATTATTAGAGCTATAATCGATATCCCTATTTCGCTTATATATCGACGAGCGAAGAAGTGTTATCCCTGATAAAGTACAGAGGCTCTGAACCCTTAACTATTATATATATAGCCGTGATAGCATCTGTGGCATTAGCTAGCAGCAGGGTTCTAGAGTTAATATTTAAGAAAGAATACCGGACAGAGAAACTATATTAATTATTACCTGTATATATATATATATATATATTTCTTTATTATAGAAAAATCTATTATAAGAATACTATTACTAATCTTAAAGATTAGTATCTTATTACTATATAACTTAATAAATTACTATTCTAGTCTATCCTTAAGTTATATTTCAGAATATTCTATCTTTACTATTTTAGTATTTAATTATTAGTAGTACTTATAAATAAAGTTCCAGACTAAAAGATTAGTTTTTATTCTAAGATAAAATAAAAAGATAAAGAAGTAGAATAAAAAATAGAAGGAGAGTAGAGAAGAATATAGCTAAATTATCTTTCTTTTAAGTACTTATAAAGATCTTATATCTCCTAGTATATCTATCTTATTATATTTCCTCCTCTTCTCCCTTATACTATCTTTATAATTCTAATATCTTTTATTATTCTTATAGATCTTAATATTTTTTTTAATCTTTAGAATCTCTTACTAAAAGTTATTAATTAACTTCTTATTTAATTATAATTTATATAATTATATTAAATACTAGGAAATCCTATACTATAACTCTTTATTAATATATTCTTAATTTATAAACTCTTTCTTATTAATAGAATAGATTAATTCCTTCTTAGAATCTCTAGGCTTAATAGCTCTAGTTATTTCTAATTACTTAGATAGACTATAGTTAGTATTAAATTTTATATAAGCTCTTTATAGTTTAATAGCTTATAATCTGGTTTAAATATTATCTTAAAAGAAGTTAAAAACTCCTATTTCTCTCTAAGATATCTAGTACCTAATAGGCCTTATTTCTTATTAATAGCCTATTTAATATCTTTAGAGATAATAATAGTAGAATTATTAAACTCTTCTAGTTTATTTAAACTAGGATTTATTAATATTTTAGAATCTTTCTCTATTTTAATATTCTTAGAATAGTTAGATTTATTAGAATTAGTACTAATATTATCTTTATTATTAAAATCTTCTAGTCTATCTGAATTAGTACTTATATTATTATAATTATTAAAATCTTCTAGCTTATCTAAATTAATATTTATTAATATCTTAGAATTATTATCTGATTTAATATTATTAATAATAATATTATTATAGTAAACTAGAGCTTATATATATTTCCTTATTATTATAGTAATTATTATCTAAATTACTATTAATATCTACTAATATTTTGAAATTATTATCTATATAAGAATAAAGTAGATAAAAATCTAATTATAAACTAAATAATAATTTAACTTTTATATATATTAAGATTTATTTTTTAGAATATTTTTAATAGAAGTTTATTTAATTAAGTAAATAGAATTATAATAAGTATTACTATAAATAAATTAGAGATTATAAACTTAATACTAGACTTTATATTAGTATAACTCTTCTTTAGAGATAATAGTAAAAAGATATATAGTTAAAAAGATAGTAGTTACTATTTATAATTATTTATTATAACTAGTTTAAAATATCTAACTTTTATTATATTTTCTCTAAATAGATCTCTAGCTAGCTATATTAATATAGATATATCTAGTTATTTAATTAGTTACTCTTTAATTAGATTTTTTATAGATTATTCTTAAAAAAACTATTAGTTTTTAAATTAATTAATTAAATATATAAAAAGATAGTTTTAATACTAATTATTTTATTATAAGCTAATTAAGTAAAAGCTTAAAATAAGAAAATATAGTAAAGAGAAGTAAGATATTAAAGATAAATAGAAGAATAGGAATTTATAATAAGAAGATATTATTAGTAATAGAGTAGAAAAATAATTAGAGAAAAAAATATTAAGATATTTAATTTAATTAATTAAAATCTATTTTTTTTATATAATTTAATTTAGTTTAATATATACTCTCTATTAGATTAATATATTAATAAAATAACTCTAAACTTATAAAACTATTATAATATATCTAGAGAGATATAAGAATATATAGAATTTCTTTGGTTAATTAATATAATCTACTATTAAGTATTTAAATAATAAACTACTATTATTTTTAAAATATAAATTTTTTTTTTAAATTATTTTTTATTTTTAAAATTATAATCTTTAATTTATTATTCTATAGCTAGTTTAGTTTATATAATAATCTAGATAGTTTTATTTAATTAATTAAATATAGAAATCCTTAACTAAATCTTCAATATATATATTATTAATTATAGTTATTAATCTTAATTATATAGTTTAATTATAATTTATTCTCTTTAACTAATATTAATATTATAATTATAGATCTACCTAGTTTTTAGTTATAGTATTATTAGTTAGAAAATTCTATTAGTACTTAATATACTCTCTATAAAGTATATAACTAAATCTATAAACTTATACTATTAATATTACTACTAGTTATAAGAAATTTAATATAAGTTTATTATTTTTATTTAGTATCTCTCTATATTATTTTAATTATTATTATATAATAATTATTTAATTCTAAATAATAGAATTAGATTATTATAAACTTAGGGTTATAAATTATTATTAATATATAAATACTAAAGAGTTAGTTTTAATAAAGATAAAGATAATTATATTAATAACTATTTAAAGAAATATTCTAGCTAATAAAATAAATATATATATATATACTAGGGTATTTACTAATAAGTTTATAAAAGTCCTTTTTTAGAACTTTACTCTATTAAAGTAAAATTAGTTTTTATTAGTTACTAAGATAGGTCTTAATAGTCTATCTTATATATAACTTCCTGCAGCCCGACAGAGGCCTTTGTTCGTAACAAACTTATATAACCTAGAAGAGCAGATCATTAAGATACATCGCGCTAATAACAGGTTCTATAGATACAGTCTAGAGGGATAGTGCTCTACCTTCGTCTTATACCTATATTTATTGTAATTTGCCTCCTTGTTAACCCTTCGCTAATTTCTGGTTGCGCCTGCCTTATATAAATATCATACCTCTTTGCCCAAGTTGCGGCGAGGATCTTGAGCTCCATTTCAATAAGATTACACCTAAGGCAGGCCCTCGGTCCGGTGCTAAACGGTATAAATGCATTTTTTTGTTGAGCTGTAGCATTATCCTACCTCTCTGGCCTGTACTCCAGGGCGTTATGACCCTATATTTCTTCCGAATGGTGGATTGTGTAGATAGGTATACTGAGAGTCGTGCCTGCAGGGAAATAGTGTCCGCAGAAATAGATGCCTTCAGAGTCTGGCGGAATATCGCGAGGAAGACCGAGCCCGATAGTGGAGTGTTGGCGGAGAGTCTCGTTAATAACCGAGTTCAAGTAGGGCAGATTCTTAACCATGTCGTGGGTGGGAACTATAATATCGATGGGAAGTGCTGTATCTACCTCCTCTTGCAGACTTGACAGGGCGTGAGGGTTGGCCGCCAAATAGTTCATTACTGCGCAGAACGTGTTATTTGTCGTATCACTACCGGCAATTAGTAGGGTGAGCGCTTCGGCTGTGAGCTCTTTGAACCCGAAAGCGTCTCCTTTGCCATCACTCCCTTCCTGTAAGAGTGAAAGAAGATCCCGGTGATCATCTGGCTGCTTTGGACTTTTCCAGCGGTCTTTAACGCGAGCAATTGCAACGCCAGTGAAGTTCTTAACACCTTCCAAGCCCTTGCGGAAATATGGATCAGGTATATACTGGGCATAAGGTTTAAGCTCAGGAATAGCACCAAGAGTTGCTGCAATTTCACTTCTGTGGCTGAGATGCTTGACTGCTGGGAGAAGCGTTGATGGCCCTTCGCGAGTTATACGCGACTCAGCAAGGTCAGCTCCAGCTTGAAGCATGCCGAATGGTGACCCAAAAATAATATCGCCAATTACATCGAAGGCAAAGAAACTGCAAAGTCTCATCAGAAAGGTGTCTCATGATAATCATTCCGTCGTCTTACTTGATCCAACGTCTACAGTCAAGGTCGGCATAGCCGTCTCTCTTGGCTCCATCCTTAGCAATACCATCCCACTTTTCAATCAAAAACTTGAGATTCTGGGCGAAACAGGGCTCCATTTGACGGACCGACCTGGGAGCGAAGGTGTGGGCTATGATGCGTCTTTTATGAGAATGCTGAGCTCGGTCCCGTGTATTGAACACGCTGTAGCCGATTGATCGGAAAGTATCATACCAAGCCCTAGGAGTATATTAATCACAATAGGTCAGTTATCAAGAAAGAGTCTTGGTGCATCACATACGATTTCAGTGAGCCGTTACCATGGCCGTAAATAAGGTTGATTGCCTTATCATCGGCGATACTCACATGGTTTGGCTGAATACGGACAACAGGGCCAAGGCGACGGTGCAGGGCATCAATGTACTCGGATCGTTTGCCTTCACGGCTAATGGACATGAGCCAAAGACTTGTGAATTGAGCCGGGAAGGGCGCTGGAATGCCTCTTAGGTGACGGTAGGTCCAGAAATAGGGAATGATTATATAGTAGACGGGCAAGAAGGCGATCCCAGCAACCAGGAGAACCCAGGGTGAAAGGATTGGGATAATTGCCATTCTGATATACTTAAAAGCCCAGAATTAAGGAATTGGTAGTATAAAATCGAGTAGGTTTAGTCCTGCCATCTGTGAGTCTATCTACATGGCGAAATCTATCCTATATAATAATAATATTGCCAGAAGTCACCAAACACTATGTAACCTGGTTAGGATTTACACACGACAATAGCAATCAACATCCCGCCCCCGCCCGGATTGCTCATATCATTCTTGACCTTGGTGTGTTGTACTGGTCCAAAGTGCAAAAGGACAAGGGTGTGTCCCTAAAATCAAAGGATTTATAGGCCTGCAAACCAACCGCCGGGGTTACATCTACGAAGTCGGGGCAGGTACGTACCTATGTACCTAGTTGTAAGTACTACTTACCATGCCACGTTACCGTCTCCACATTGATTAATCACACCTACCCAAACCATTCTTTCTAAACAACCTATGACCAGGATCCACCTCATCATTCTATATTCTGACATGCATCCCGTACCGCCTTTGCCACCAGCGATGCCCATCCTGCCAACCGCCAATTGCCATCTCACGATTGTCAGCCCTGCTGGGCCTAACACAGAGGCATTGAGTATTTCGGCGACTGCCCAAGTGGTAGCAATGCGTCCGTTAAGGAGGGGAAACACTCCTATTCCAAGGAGCTTAACTGGCCAAGCTCAAGTGGAGCTCAGTGCTGTGGCCAGTGGCAACGAAGCAAACCAGAGAGATGACGCTCGTGTGTCTGGGGAACACCCAAGCTCTCCCAATCCAAACCCGGATCCCCTCCCAGATGGTGGATATGGCTGGGCTGTCGTCTTCGCCTGCTTCGTCCACACCTTCTGGCTCAACGCCTGGACTGGGTCATGGGGCATACTCCAAGTCGCGCTCCTCAAACAGACACTGCAGCACTCCTCCTCAAGCACCGTGTCCTTTGTGGGATCCCTTGGCCTCGCTTTGGGAACCGGCCTAGGTGTTCCTGCTGTGATGCTTGCGCGTCGCATCGGTGCTCGTAACACTGGCCTACTTGGTATTACCATCTATGGCGTGGGCAACATTATGAGCGCAGAGGCAGTCCACAGCGTGGGGGGTTTGTTCATCGCGAGTGGCGTTTTGTATGGATTGGGAGGTGGCTGCATATATGCCATGTCCAATATCCTACCTGTTCAGTGGTTCGACAAAAGACTTGGGACGGCCAATGGCATCATCAAGCTTGGTGGGGGAATAGGTGCTACCGTTATGGCCATTGTGGCCGGTATGCTGACCGAAAAAGTCGGCATCGCCTGGACATTTAGGATTTTCGGACTGGCATCACTAGGCACGGGTATTCCTGTAGCCTTCCTAATCAAGGAGCGCCGAACATCTCCGCGAAACTACAATTTCCAACTGTCCATCTTCAAGGAGCTGCCCTTCTCATTCATTTTCGGGGCAGGCGCTGTTGGCATATTTGCCTTATATGCGCCGCCCTTCTTCCTCCCTTACGTGACCAACGCCCTAGGGTTCGACAATACGACTTCGACAGGCGTTGTCGCGTGCTTCAATGCTTGCATGGCCATTGGCCGCCTCATATCGGGTATTGCCTGCGACAAGCTCGGGACCATGAATATGGTATTCTTGACCATGGCACTCAATGCAATTACTTTTTTTGCGGTGTGGTCCGTCTCTTACAACCTCGCCACCCTGTTGGTGTTCGCTGTCACCAACGGCATCGCCAATGGCGCCTTCTTTGTTACGATGCCAACGGCTGTAAGTAGATTGCTAGGGAAAGACCGTGCGGCAGATGGCATTAGCATTGCGCTTGCAGGATGGTGCCCCGGTCTTCTGGTGGGAAATCCTATTGCCGGCGCCCTGATTGATGTCATGGGAGCAGACAAGGCGACGTCGATTGTGCCGTTTCGGCCGGCGGTGTTCTATGCCGGCGGGACGGCCTTGGCCTCGACTGTTTTGGTTGCTGCTTCGCGCCTGGTGATGAATAAGTCGGTTGCGAGGATGTGATTCAATTGAGCAGTATTGGACCTCGCTTAGGATTAACTCATAACCCAAGAGGGATAGAGAATAGAGACTCTGTTCTCTGAGTTTTTTATTGTTAAGTATATATAAATAGCTGATGAAGTAATGGAATCCCATTCTATAATAATAAACACTCCTTAAAGCAGTCGGGAAATAGATATTGATTTCTCCTCCGACTTATCTTCCTCTACCTAATGTGAGTTTATACTTTATATATATATACTAAACATCTTCTCTATTCCGCCTATAAGTACTGATGACTTATCCTGCTCGGTATAGCTGGCCGTATAGCTGCTATACTTTGACTCTGCTAATTCCTTTGCTATAATCTTAATCCCTTCGGTATCTAGAAAAGTGGTATTGTCTGCCGGATGAAGCAAATAAGCAATCGAGTATCTATGACCCTCACTACTAGCTTGTCCCTCTCGAACTACACGGTGCACGGACGAGAAGAGTTTCTTGCCCGAAATAAAACGCAGCCTGTTGCTAATATTAATAACAGCCTGCTCCTTATGTGGCTTAACCTACTCCCAGCCGCTGGTACTGGGCGAAAAGACTTATAGACCCCACTGATTACTGAACAAAACGGTCAGAGAGCCCAGGTCTGTATGCTTCTGGTGAGTAAGTCTGCCTGGGTAGCTTAGCAGAGTAAGAATAGTTTCTGACTTGATACTTTAGTTGTGGTGCTTCTGTAAGTCTGATTCGGACATGTTTAGAATATAACCGTAACAGGAGAGGAGGCTTCTAATAACATGCTCGCAGGCAGCTATATATTCTGGGATAAGCTTGCCAGCTTCGTGGAAGAGGGCTGGGAGTGCACCTGCTATATTTATTTTCAAGTCATACGATCCAATCTGAGTTGTATTAGACGGCGGAGAGAAGAAGGGTAGGTAGTTCTCTTTATAACTTACAGCGAGGTGCTTAAATAATTCTTCCTGTTTCTCGCGATTAACACCCGAGAATGTCCCTTTTTTTATAAATCTTCAAAAGTAAATTTGTTAGTATACTCAGATAACTTACAGTACAGTTATACTTGCCCTCTCTTTGAATGTTCCTTGTAGTTCTGCAGCTTGACATCAAGAGGCTGATAAAAGTAACTTTCTATGACTTTGAGCAGGTCCCTCTTTATTTCGGGCAGCTTATCCACCTTGCTACCCTTAAAATCTAGGTAGAAAAAACCGGCAGAGGTACTTACTGTTGCCAGCTTGCTGATTTTATTAGGATCCTTTTGCTCCAAGGCTGCAAAGCTGACGGTCTCGAGCGATGTATTGGGGATATGTTTATCGCTTGCCATATTTGTAAAGGCAGTAGGGCGTTTGGTTAAAAACGTGCAAGTTATATGTATTACTCAGAGGAGACTCGGTGCATTCGAGGGTGGTGTTGATTGTTATAAAAAGAGAGAGGTTTGATGGGCTAATATCTTCTGTGTCTAGTTTAAATATTTTAATAAAGCTTATATTCCATTATTCTCTGACTGGTAGAGAAAGTTAATAGGCCCTTTGATTTACAGTCAATCACACGGTTCTGCCTATTAGCCAAGGTTACACTAGCTGCGATACCTTGGTTTGCTTTATATGGACTAGCTTTGTGTCTTTTTTTCTTGCCGGGGATGATATCTGGGAGGATGACCGCCCCAGCCCTAGCAGTAGATATGTACGATAGCTCGGAGCTCGCTGTCATCTGTATGTCCTGCACCAGCTTCCCTGCCACGCTGCAGATTATGCCCGTGACCTCGGATGAAAGATTCAACAGATCGAGGATGTTTCGGTCACGGCTGTTTCTAGAGACCTGTAAGGCTAGGAACCTTCTATCTTAGGCTTCTGCGAAGATAGGAGAAGCTTCATCCAAGTAACACTTCCTGCTATCCGTACACCCTTTTTTTTTTTCACTTCAGATTATAAATCAGTCCTACCCCTACCACAAAACCTACTACTTCCCTGTTGCACCAATCAAGATTATCATATAAGCGGTGAACACATTACTATCTAAGCGAGGTACTAGGATTAACTAAGACGTTATTAAAAAACAGGGACTGCAAAGTATACGCAGATATATTAGCAATACCTCAGTAACTAGAGTTAGCAAAAGGATCTAAGTAAACGAGTAAGAAAGTCTAGTTAATTATGTAATAATTATTTTCTTTTTATAATAAAATAATTTATATATATGCAGTATATAATATTAAAAGATATAGTATTATATTGCTGCTTGCTATGTAAGTAGCTTTTGCGGCTCCCCCTTTTTTTTAATAACCTCAGGCCTGGGCTAAAGTCGAAATATGGATATCTACTTCGTACATAATCCTAAAAATGAAACGAATAGATTTGGTTGCAACCAAAAGACCCTGACGACGTAATATTATAAATCACTATCGTCCCAAAGATAGGTCTAATAATGCATTACAGTGAACTCAGATATAAAGAACGGTCATATGTGGGACGGAGGATTCCCTGCCTTAAACATCCAATACAACCTCGACAAACGACAGTACTGACTGAGGTGGCCTGGAGATCTTGTTGATCCTAAGTCTTGTGTCCACCATTCCCAAAAGACTCTTCAATTCCCTCTCGCTTCTATCACCACCTCCATGCAGATTGAATCCTAGAAGATCCATGTTGCGCAGATTCTTCTCCTCGTGGACGGACATCTCATCAAACCCATCGGGAAGGAGCCTGCCAATGATCTATGTCTTTGCCCTATACTTCTCCATTCCGCGCACCAGGGGCTTCAGGATACGAACGCTCCCTGCATCTGACCAGTCCTGTAGCACCCGAACAAGGAGGTACGCGACGGGGGCCTTACCATCTGGAAGCTCAGGCTGCGGCGTGAGGAAGTCATGAGCCTGGAACCGGATACGATCAGCTAGCCTGTGAGCCTCAATCAATTCTCTCGCGGGCTTCTCGTTCTGCGGCCGATCCTGGACAACAAATGACATACCATGTACCCAAGGCGCAAGCTCTACCACAACGTGCCCATTACCACCACCCACATCCACAATTGTTCCTCCCTTTAGGGAATCCCAGTCAAGCCCTTGGAGATAGGTTGCTGCCGCCCCACCAGAATTCTGGTGTAACAGGAGCCCCCTCATCGCTCTGCTGTACAACTCCGTTTCTGTCTCTTGCCCAGGCGCTGCCCCTTTGGCGTCTTCAATCTGCACCCAGAACGCCCTATTCTTTCCAAGCGGGTCCGCGAGGGCGCATGGGGCCACCACCTCTTCTTGCTCGACGGATTGAGGGCGGAGGAGGATGGCCTTTGCTACTTCGTGTGCTCCCTGGCTTGCCAGTTTGCCTGTCCTCCACTCGATCCAAGCACTCGATTCTGGGAGCGCAGCGCTGAGTGCTGTGTGTGCCACTTGTCCATTGTCGGTCTGCCGGAACAGACCCATGAGGTATGCGAATCGCAGCTGCTTGACCAAGGATCGCTCGTCCCTGACGCCAATCTTTGCGGCAAGGTCCGAGATGCTGAGGCTTCCGTCTAGTGGTACGGCCTCGTGGACCTTGAGGAGGTTGAGGGTGCGCAGGACATCGATCTCGGAGAGCATGGAGCCTGAGTAGGCAGCTAGGGTCTCGACGGGTCCGCGGACGAGGTTGAGAAGTTCTTGGGTGCGGTCAATGAGGTCAGAACGAGCAGAGAGAATGTCTGGGTGGGCTGCAGCATCGGACCAGTCCTTGCGGCCAGTAGGGGAGACGGAAGGAGGTGGGAGGTTGTACTGAGTGAGGAGGTGCTGGAGAGTGTTCGCCGAGTCCGTGATCAAGCGGGAAAGAGCGGTGAACGTAGGAGCTTCCTTCTGATACATAGTAACTGGCAACATCAGTATGAAAACAAGGGTTCGATAGGGTCCAGTGAGAGAGCAGTTGAAGCCAAGTGCAGATTTTCCTTGTCTTAATCTATGTAATGGCACAACGTCATCAAAATCATGGGTAGCTTTAGATTCGTATTTTCACGTAGCCGAATCAATTGAAAGGACTTGATACACCGGCAACGTTGCATCTCGTGTAAAAGGTTGCAATAGTAAATATATCAATGCTCGAAACCATCCAAAGTATTTTACACGCCCTCCCTGAAGATAGTCTTGGATGTAACATTAAGCACGTGGGGATGACCTTAAGAAAGGAAAATCCTTTCCAAAGCTGAATACAATTCTCACGTATCTTTATAACACGTGCCGGTCAATGTTACCTCTGCGACTTTATCTCTTGGCTTTGATTGGCAAGTGAAATACTGATAATAGTTAAGACCGAAAGATCTTTCTTGACCATTTGTTATATACTATACTTGCTAATAATCCTAGATGTAGTGCGAGGTGCGGGAGAGGGGCAGTGGTGTGAGGAGGTACGGGGAGGTACAGTAGGGGTATAAGGCAGTGTAAGGTGGTAAAGTGCTAGCTAGGTAACTGTAGATAACTACAAGACATTATACTCAACATATACAGGCGTTTTCATCTTCCTGCTATAGTCTAATTCAGCGATGAGCAAGTCCCCTATATGAATTCGCATATGGTATCCGCAACCTCTTTCTCGCATAGAACGAACTCCGACTCTGTCCAATTCTGTATCACCTCCTCCACCTACCATCTGATCAGGCTGCGTTCCCAAATGCGTCGAGCTTGCAGGGAAGGCAGTTCATCTCTACATACAGAAAATCCACGAGTATCAATACAAGTTGCGGTACGGCGGCTCCTGGTTCATCACCCGTCGCATCTTTGCTTACGCTTGTCTCATGTTGGCGGTTGCGAGACAGCCTGAGTGCCGGATCAAGGTCCCATTAAGATAGGGCTCTGCCATACATGTTGCTGTTCGGACATTGAGGCTTTAGGATTAGGATGCGGCGGATGTAAGATATATAGCTTCAACTCTGAACTTGATATTTTGCAATATGTCCATATAATTATTTACGCTATGTCTAAGATTGTATATGATCTATTATACTTATTTAATATATTCTTTTAACGTATTGTCCCGACGTATTGTTCCGATGTGTTCTTCTGATGTATTCCTCTCACGCAATCTTCCGACGGATTCTCCCGGGCTGGGTCGAACAGCAAGAATACGGAAGCCAAAACGCCAAACGGGTATAAAGAACGACATGGAACAACCCACGTATAGCATCAAATCTAACAACATCCAGCAAGACCTCGCACTCTTCAAATTAGCCCATCGAGGCGCAGCCACAACCAAGGACAACATGAGCGTTAAATCAGCCCCAGTCATCGTCATAGGTGGTGGCATTGTTGGTGCCTCAATCGCCTGGCATTTGGCCAAGGAGAAGGACGTCATTATCATTGCAGAAGCGGTTGGCGGTGTGGCGACTCCCAATTCATTCTGCTGGCTCAATGCAACTGCTACGACGGAGAAATATTACTACGACCCCTCACTGTGTTATCTTTTATTGTATTAAAGGTTTAAAAGCTTTTTTTTTTATTAATACTATCTATCTTCTAAACCCTGATTTTATTTATATCTTTTTCTCCCTTCTTATTAGTCTATTAGCCTCCCTACTTATTCTTCTTATTAATAGTATTCTATATAAATAATACTACCTTAGATATAAGAAATTAGAACTACTCTAATTTCTAGCTCTATAAGACTAAGATAATCTTATTATTAAGTTTATTCTTAAATATATACTTAAGAATATTTTTACTAAAGTAATATAGAGTCTTAATCTGCTTCTTAGAGAGATTATTAAGAATAGATTAATTTAGTTTCTTAATATTATTAGTATTAATAGTTTTTATAAAGCTAGTAAGCTTATAGTTACTAGTACTAATTTTAAGCTTCTTTATACTTAGATAGATAATTTTATTATCTTTAAAAGAAGATACTAGAATCTTATCTTTTACTATAATATATATTAAAGACTATAGGTATATTAGTATTAGTACTCTAGCTAAGGAGTTACTAATACTTACTGAATTAATTAATCCCTGCTCAGTATATTAAAGTATATAGATTAGTATAAGATAAGAAGCTAAATAAAGAGAGTAGCTTTAGTAGTTATTTAATATATAGCTTATCCTAATAGTAAGTAAGTTATAAGTATAAAGGTTTATAGAATTTTCTACTGTATAACTACAGCCTTAGGCTAGTAAAGCTTTTTTTTAATCTTTTATATTTATTATATTAAGTTATTAGGTCTGACTTCTTCTTTTATTTTAACTTTCTATTAAAACTCTCTCCGGTATTACTACGACTTCCGACGCCGCTCTATGGCACGTTGGGAAGAGATTTGCAAAGAGCTGCCCGATCTTCCAATCTATCGGGGTGGTACCTTGACTTGCGACGGAACTCCCGACGAGCGTACGGAATTTTATGAACTTCATTCTACCTGGGGTACAAAGGTTAGACGCATGAGCCAAACTGCCCTTGCTTCATTAGAGCCAGAAATTGACAACGTCCAATTCTCCTCGGTGGAATGGGGCCTTCAAACTCCTGAAGAGGGTACCATTGAAGCATACATCGCCGCAGCTCAACTAATCGCTCACGCCGAACTTCTGGGCGCTCAGGTAGTCAAGACGAGTGTCGTCGGACTCTTGAAGCATAGGAACGGTCGAGTTTCAGGCGTGATGACAGGCTGTGGGAAGATATATGGTAGCCACGTCGTTCTAGCCGCTGGTCTTGGAAGCGTTCCATTGTTAGCAACAGAGAACATTAAGCTCCCTCTAAACAGTAGTAAGGGCCTCCTTATCAGTACCACACCGACTAAGAAGCGATACCTTAACACTTTGGTCCGCTTACCAGAACTACACATGCGCCAGGCGTTCGATGGCCGCATTTGCTTCGGTGCTAGCTTTGCTGGCGGAAAGCCCGGCAATGACCCTCGAGCAACAGCAGAAGAATTTCTCAAACAGGTGCAAAAGGTATTTAAGAACGGAAGTGAGCTCGAGTTTGGTAGCTATACTATTGGTGTGCGGCCTGACCCAGAGGATGGGTATCCTATTCTCGGTTCAACAGGCTTAGATGGTCTTGATGTGGCTGTGATACACTCCGGTGTAACAAATGCTGCGCTTGTTGGCGAGCTCCTATCTAAGAAGATTCTACACGGCATTAACGATCCTATGCTTGCCCACTTTCGGCTTGATCGGTTTAAAAAGACTTACGCGAAACTCTAGATTGCAAGAGTGATATGTTCCGATGAGTTAGAAGGCTCTGCAGCTTGCAATCCATGAGCGTTGCAGCCATGTATGATTGATATAGGACTTTAATACAGTACTCGGTTCGAAACAGATCGTGACTCGGTGATGTAAAACTGGCCTGTGGGGGTGGCCTGAGCAAATATGTTCTATCTAAATTCAGAACCTGCTAAATTGATGGCTCCGACGAGATAATGCCTTGTACTTCGCCCCGAGGTTTAAATTCTGTGATCAGCCCTGCTAATAAATCATCAACTGCCTCCGACATACCCAAGCTGGAGATGTCGGCTATCCATTCAGCGAGCTTTTCTGGCTCAGCAGTACCTGAGCCTATTGGGGATGACGGGGTTAGTTGTTGGCTGCCTCTGTGCGCCATCATTGAAGTTGTGCGGTTGCAGAAGGCCTTGAAAATATCTCTGTACGGAGCAGCTTTTTTCCATCGCTCAGCTATGACCACTAGAAGCATCGTACAGCTCGTGAGGATAGAAGATGTTTCACTGATACTGGTCTCTTGTCGCAATTGATCCGAGGTCCAGAGGCAATGTAGATAAGTAAGTCCAGCCGAGAAGATAACATGAAGGGTACTCCAAGTGTAGTTGACTGTCTTTCCAATGTATAGTCGCCGGTACACGAGACAGATGCTTCCGGCGGCTTGAGCACACTGCCGAAGTACCTCATGATCCATATCGTCTCCGTAGCCAGTAACCTGACACCGATAGAGCATTATGATCGTCTCATTATGGTTGAGATCATACCAATCTTGTGTTGCAAAGATGGACAAGGCGGGACCTATACGGATCGGGGTTGGAGGAGCAGAGGCCAGCCAATCATCAATTCCAACGCGAAATGTGGTGATTTTATGGTCCCTGGTTGTCTTGTCCACATCGCCGTTGACATCTGAGTACAGGGTGCCATGGATGCGAGTCCATATCTGACGGAGGCGAAAAACGTGCAATGCGATTGAAGTCGTTGTACACACATCACTAGTTGAATCCCGTGGACCCGCTAATAGGCCGGTTTCAGTTTTATTTCCGTCATCGATATCTATTGGCAGCTTAATTGTCAGTGAAACAATCCGGAACCCACACATGAGTGAGCACCTACCTCAGCGTCGACTTCTTGTAATGGGATTCCCAAGGGGCGCCCTAAGGTTAGCGCAGCTACGCAATCGATACCAAATGCACACCAAAAGACTCTCTTTCGTAGCTCAAGTCGGAGGGATCCGAGGCCGAGCCGAACCGTTTGAAACTCCGGTGATATCCAAGTTCGATACATTGACGTAACGCCAGCCCGGATAATTTCCTGCTTCATCTTAACCTTCGTCGCACTCTTCCCGACGGCTGACATACCAGATGGAAGGGCCCACAGAGCTTCTCAAAGAATACATGGAACAAGATAGAATAGCCTGTATTGTCTCGAGGTTGTTGCGGGACAGGATGCTGTCGATATATACCTGGGCCGAGGCGTATAATTGATATAGGCATTTGAGTCATTATTTCTCACAATTCGCCCAAGCCTCTATAGTTACCTGAGAGAACGATCCCGAGTTCTCCAGAAGCAACGACCCGATACCAAAGCCGAGTTTGTCAACAATGTCAAGAAAGCCTTTGAAGGCACCCCAGCCGAGCGATTCTTCAAGAATAACCCCAAGTTCATTGAGGAGCTGGCCGAGAAGGCTGCCTCTTTGGCGGATGACCTAACCAACCACCCCGATCTGCAACAAGGACCTGCTCCCCAAGACGCCCAGGTCACTATGCACCAGAACGTAATCTACTGTGGTATGTGAAGATTCCATAAACAAGAGGGAATTGACTAGCTTCGCTGACATGAGCCGTTCAATTAGACGACAGCTCCTCCATGCATCGCGAAGGCCGCTGGGACTCGCAGAACCAGTTGATCAACCGCATCGCCCGTGTCACCACGCGGATCCTGCCCGAGGGCGAGGGCGTCTACATGCGCTACATCAACCAGGAGATCCCCAACTCTGATAGCCTCAAGTTCGAAGAGCTCCTCAACGCCGTGAAGCCGCTGACCTGGGGCGGCGACACGCCCATTGGCACCAACCTTAAGAGCAAGATCCTGCAGCCGCTCGTATACAGCAAGCTACCGAACGACCTCAAGAGGCCGCTGCTGGTGTCTGTCATTACCGATGGCATGCCGGAGCCGGAGCCCAAGAGCACGTTTGTGAATGCGATCGCTGAGTGTGGCGATAAGCTCGAAGCGGCTGGCCTTCCTCGCGAGAGTAGCTTGTCCTCGTTTGAACGGATTCTTACTGGTGCTACCGTCTAGGTGTCAAGTTCATCATTGGTCAAGTCGGTTCCGCCAATGCCGCAACTGAGTTCCTCCAGAGCGTCGGCAAGGAGTCCAGGATTCAAGACGTCGTATTCGTGGCCTCTGGTAAGCGATGGGTGCTCTGTCTCTTGGAGATTAACCCTGCTAACAACAGGACTTCAGAAAGGCTCGATGTCACAACCTCAAGGCTGGAAAATGATTGGAAGATGGATGAATGGGTACGTATTCACATGTTCTATTGACTGCTGACGTCTTGCATCCTGAAGCTAACAGTTACCTCTACAGCTCATTGAGACGCTCTATGCGCCCACCATGAAGGGCTAGGGCAAGAAGAAACAGTAAAGAGCTATTCTGCTGTGACGAAACGTAACAATTGACTGAATCGGATAAAATTATGAGTTGGATGCTGGCATAACGGTACCCCTTAGGCAACAAATACGCATAATCAGAGTGAATCTGTGAGAAGAAGATGTTGATTGAGAGCCCAGTCCTGGTCGTTGGCGTACGGCTCCTTGTAGTGCCCGGCCCTGCCATTGACCGTCTTCGGATACAGCCACACACAGCTTGCCGTGCCATCAGACGAGAACAAAGCAAGATTGGACTTGAGCACCTCCTGTGCCCTACGCCCGTACGATCTGTCCTCGGTGAGCTTCGCGTAGTGGTGCATGGCAATGGCCGTCAGCGTGCTCCAATAGTATGGGAAGACTTCTCCCCACATACGGTCCTTGCCGAACCAGTAGCCGTCCCAGTGGCGGATGGTGACGTCGTGCATGTGGTAGTCGGGCTGTTGTCCGCCAAAGAGGAGGAGGAGATCGAAGTGCTCCTTTGCTGCCTCGGGCCAGCGGTCCTCGCCAGTGTACCTGGCCAGCTCCAGGAGGAAGATAGCTACTGGTGCCACGATAGACTGCCCAAAGTTGACCTCGTGAGCAGGGTAATCTATACCGGTGTCAGGGATGCTTTCTCCGTGTGAAGTGAAGAGCGAGAGGGCTCTTTCGATAGCAGTCTCTTTGCCGGCGCGCTCCAGTGCTGTCAGACCCTCGATGATTCCATATGGCCTCAGGGGCTGTGTGATTGCGTAGATTTTGGATCCCTCAACATCATCTACTGCTGCGGAGTGAGTCATGCCACCCGAAGCTCGGAGTAATCATTTACCTGAAAAGTGTAAAATGGCGCGAAGGAAACAGCGCCACTTTGAAGTATCCTAGTGCTACCAGAGCTGACTGAGGCTGTGTAGTGTTCAGCCAATTTCGCGGATCACACGAAGTACATGAGGGTCTCAACTTTGTCTGCTATTCTCGAGGCAATATCATTGACCCCTTCATGTGAACCGCCCGAGGCACCGCGCTACATAAGAGCAATCAAGGCGCTTTTTAGGGTTTACGTAGGTTGTATATTCTTCACACGGGCCATTGGGGTAGGCATATGGCTTTCTAGTCGAGGTCGCGACAGGGCAGTCGCAAACAAGGTGATTTTGGAAGAGGATGAAGATGCTTCCCGAGAGGCCGGGTTTCAGGACAGGATGGACAAGGAGAATAAGTCCTTTAAATGCACACTTTAGAGCAAGGCAGATCACGCAGCAAAGAGAGGTCGAGCCTATAGTTGTACTAGGCAAAGGGGGTACGATCAATATTTCCTCCTTGCACTACGTCTTGCCGTTACTTATTTCCTAGTGACTCTCATGCATGTTCACGCTCACCTTTCTAGTCTTAGAGGATTTGTTTCCTACCGCTTGGCCTGGACTGCGACTGGATCCTGTAATATCCGCCTTGTTCCAACGTGGCATTGCTAACATCTTTCTCGTATCCGTGTACTGATGATTAAATCCTCTCCTTACTAAATGGCAAATGAAGATAGATTATCTTTGACTTTATTTTGCTTTTTACTCTATTGAATTTTTGACTTTATTGTTTCGTAACTCTATTGTGTTTTGACTCTATTTTATTAACCCTTTTGTTTTTAACTCTAGCTGTACCTAGGTCAATGGTATACGGCTGCCCCACTAAAAAGGGAGTAGGGTTGCACCTACCCAAGTGCCCGACAACTGGCTAAAATTAACTTTTGAGACTATGTAATGCCTAAGACCGCTGTAAGAAATAAATTATACATACGAAATACGATTGACTGTAGAGTTAGCAGTATGCTCAAAAGATAATTTTAGCCAGTTGTCGGGCACTTGGGTAGGTGCAACCCTACTCCCTTTTTAGTGGGGCAGCCGTATGCCATTGACCCGCAGGTATTGTTTATTGTTCTTGCTGTGACCTCCCCATCAATCCTTTCTTAAACCAAACATCTCTCGCCTTCTCCTCGCTAAATTTCTCAACTTCACACTCTTCCTCCTCCAAATCAAATCGCTGCAGAGCCTTCACCATGTCGTCGCGCCGTGAGATCGATACATCCGAGGGATCAGCATACTCGATCGCCTCGTCCCTCGTCGAGAATGCTAATGTTGCCGCTCGATATCTGTCGGTCTCTAGTCTCGAACACGAAGACGCTGCGTCAATCATGCATCAAACTTTGAGCATCCGAGCCGTGATTCCGACGCATTCTTCATTTGCAAACAAACACCAGGAAGCGTCCTCCCGCCCCAACTTGCAGCACTTAGTCCAGATTGGCGAGGGATTACAGGGCACAATTTTCGAGCAAGTAGGAAAGGCTCTAGTGATTAAGAAAGAAAGTCCCCAGAATGAGTCTCGACCAACACGACTAGACAAGGAGTACCACGCGCACGACCGGATTTGCCTCGCATTCCAGCAGTTCGGACCAGTCGTCTCCAACACCGTCTTTGTTCCACGGCCTAGTTCACTGAAGACCCCCAAAGACGATGCTTTTTGGACTGCGACCCTTGACAAATTCCCTACCGATTACCGAGTAAAGACTACCGTCTTCACTATGGATCGCATCCTGCCGCTACCGAAGATTGTTCGGAAAGCCCTGATTTCACTCTTCTATCCTCGTCCTCAGGGACAAACATCTGTCGACCAAAATACAATCCAACGCGTGCTCTCGGAAGAACCCAACAAGCATTGCCTTGCGCGTGTATACCTCGGCAAGAAGTCTCACAATTTCAAGCAAGATAACTTCTCCCTCCGAAACTTCCCTCTCTGCTTGGACGCAATGCAGCGCTTTGGACTTGAAGTCAACGAAATGGCTTATTCCATGGGCAAAGCCTACGCGATCATACAATGGGGAGCCGAGTTCGATGCGGACGATGTCGAATTTGTTCTTGGTACCCTGACGACAAATACCAAAGCTCCTACAAATACTCAAGCTCCTACCAACTTCCAGGAACGAGCCGTTCGCCTTTGTCTCTTGGACTTTGGACAGTGCCAAGCCGTCAACATGGATCGAGACGCCGAGGACGTGTATAGGTCATTCCATGGAGCACTCGTGCTTGGAGACAACCAGTGGTTTATCCCCCATTGTCATCGGGACAAAGAACTCTTCAGGCACTTCCGTGATGGGTATATTAAGACGGGAAATACCATCCTCAACGTGAAGGGATGGGCCGGGAAGTTCGATATGGAGGCTTTTATGGACGGTTATGAAGAATACGCCGAAGACTTCCTGGTGTAAGGTTCCAATCGTGCCTGTATAGGTTGTCCAAGATGAAGGCCGTTTGGAATTATGACCGAAATTCATGTTTCTTCCTTATCGTTTATTAATATAGGAAGTATCCGCTTCTTTTCTCTGCCTGGCACTCGCTTTATTGTTCTCTTTCTGGCATGAACTACTGATCGAAGTATATCCTGGCGAGCGAATTCATCTCATTCCGCGACATAGGCAAGTAGTTGAATCTTGACCTTACTAGGTAAAACGGGCCGAGACTTCGAGTACACAGTAAAAAAAAACAGCCATCGAGGAGGCCAGACCCGACCTCAACACGATGAATACACAAAGTAGGTAAGGCATCTACCTAAAACCCGCGAGTTATGTATCATGCCCTCTCTTTCAGGGTGGCTTCATGTCATTCATAAAGCTGCGGGCAACCTAGTAGACTTCACACGCTTCTCCAGCACAAAACAGTCGGCAGCTGCCCCTTCATTTGTATAATTCAGTAACACCAAGCTCTCCGTGTCATAACCCACCCAAGGTTGAAAGTATCTGAACTAAGGCCCTTCTGGCAAAGCACCCGCAGCGAGGAATTGCTGAGGTGTTGCAGCAGCCACATCCTGATTAAGACCCAATACTTTCTCGAGATTTGAGCGTACGTCGCGATCTTTTGCAATTTTCAGCCATCCTTGTAAAATCCGGTGCTCGACATGCCATCGACCCATTCTTGAACGGCCATGCGTTGGAGCGTATTACCATGGAGGATGATGTTTGGGTCAGAATTTGAGAGTCGTTTGACCGATATGTGAAGATACTCCCCCGAATCGTTAACTTGATCCGCGGCGACTCGCGGTTCTCGCAGCTTAGTTCCGGCGAGTTTATACCCCCCAGTATGCGAATTGAACACGTCGAAGTTCTGGACTGGCAGCTGGTAGCGCCCGTCGCCTTCTGTCTCTCCGAGGAGCCATGGCAACAGCCTCCAGTGCGAGGCGAGATGGCTGATTTTGTAGCCGTCGAATGATGCGAGTCGGTTCTCCTGCAATTTTGAAATCATCCAAGCGAGTGGTAGGTTCGCGAGACAAAAGCTGTCGTTTCCACCGCCCACATCTCCGTGAGAGCCTCGAAACCAACACTGCGTCAAGTGTTGTGTAGTATCCTTCTCCTTCCACAACATTGGCTGGAAGTTGAATCTTTTTTCGTCCAGTGCTAGTGCCTGAAACGCATAGTCGATATTTGTGCAAAGCCTTGAGTCGACGAATTTTAGTCTACGGGACGGAATCCGCGGCAGCCATTTTGGGAGATTCGCGCCGAGGGACGCGACAGTGTCCCAAACCGCGCATGCCCTGATCCGTACATCTCTTTGGGTAAGATGATGCTTGGCTAGATTATCTACATACTTTGGTAAAGGATCATCTCGTAAAGAGCTGGTTGCCAGTGGTCGTTTCTCCCATAGGCCGTACACATGATCGATACAAAATCTTCCTGCACCAGTAAGTACACCCACGTCTTTGATTAGAGCCGCAAGAGCGCGGGCGGTGAATGCCCCTCGAGAGAAGCCGATGAGTATTATTTCGTCATCATAAAACGAGTAGTTATCGCAGATGAAGCCGTATGCGTCTCTTACGTCTTGCGAAATGGCTGCATGCTGTTTAGTGCTGGGGGGGGAATTGGCGTATGGAAACATAATTATGCTCGTACCTACCTTTGGCGAAAGCGCCTTCGTATAAGTTGTATGGACCGAAGGAGCTGGTGCCAACGCCGGGCTGGTAATGGACAATTTGTACGAAGTTCTTCTCATGCTCGCGATCGCAATCGGCAAAGCAGAGTGCGATCCTTGCCACATTCGACAGTGGCTGCTTTGTGTCGTTCTTCATCCACGTCCCATCACAGCAAACAATGAGGCGGCGCGGCCTAGAGACCCTCAATCTTTCATGATGCGCCATGATCAAGTGAGCTATTCGACGGTCCTGGCTAAGCCCCCGAGCTATAGACAGTACCGATTTCCCTTTTTCATCCTGGGCCTCGATATCGGCTCCGTGTCTCAGGAAACGCTCAACCCAGGCCTCGTCTTCGCTCCTAAATGCAAGATGTAGTGCTGTTTGTCCATCAGCCCCCCCACGTGGTGCGTTGACGTCCACGTTGTGCTCGAGAAGGTGGTGAACAAGCTCACGCCGGTCTTTCCGGACCGCCAGTTGTAGAGCTGATTCATTGGTCACATTGTCGGGATTGAGGTTCACATCGGCATTTCTCGAGAGAAGAAATTCAAACAACTCTGGCCAATTCTTGTAGATGGCGATTTGAAGCGCAGTTCGTCGCGTGGGGTCGCCGCGATCGGTTTGAGACATGAGAGGGGTATTGATATCAACGGGGTTCTCCGCATCGTCGAGGATTCCGCGGGCTCCCTCGACATTCCCGCTGTTTACATACTGCTGAAACTGCTCGACGGCGTTTGCCGTGTGCGTAGTCATCCTTCCCTTGAGTCCGTCTTGCATTATCGCGGTGGGTAGTATGTAAATGCCAGGTCAACTTTGTCTGGTTTTTGGGACCTGATACCGAGAAGTGAGAGACTTTTTTATGTACTCGAGAAGAATGGTCGGGTATCATTCGTCGGTGACCATGCACGAAGGTCGCATGCGATTACCGTAGCTCGTATGCAAGATGTGTTGGCAAACTACATGTGTACACTTTTGATGCAGCAGGCCCGGATGAGAGAGGCCGGTTCATGGCCGCTGCCATCGGACATGGTTTCTACAGTCGTCTAATAGGCCAGACCGTGATGAAGACCGTCTTGAATGTGACCTGAAGTTCAGCTGAGGTTTAGGAATGCTACAACGGTCCACTAGTTTCCATGTCATCCCATATCCCCACAATGAGCGGATGCTCTGGCGTCCAGATTTTTGGTCAGGTATGGAGAGACTGACCTTTTTTTTTCCCACACCAATGACGTAATACCTAATTTTAAGGGGGAAATTAGAAATTACCTTATTCATACTAGTTAAGTTTATCCAAAAAGCTACCCTATACCCTTCTTAATTGAAAGTCATTTCTCATTATCTACATCAGAAATTTAAATAATTTAATGTTTTCCGGATAGAATTAGTAGTGCATCGAGATTGCTACTACTTTATCAGACTTTTCGCGCTGAAAAGATATAGTTAGATCGTGCGCATGAGGATCATAGTCCACCATTGGGAAGATTTTGAACTCGGATTTTTCTAAAGGGTGAAATACTCAAACAATGTACTAAACAGATTTAGCGATGCACCAAGACCAGAGGTCATCAATTGATGCAGAATTAATATTAGGTTATTCATAAAAGACCTGGAATTCCTATTGTATAGAGATAGTCCAAAACAAGCTAGGTAAGGTATTCATTCAATAAATGAATAGAGGATTATCACGTGATATATCACGTGAGTCGTGCCTTCGTGCCTGATCGCGTCACAGAAGACCTGACTGTCTACTACAGCAGGGGCAAACGCCCCTGTGGTGATTAGCAGAGCTAGCTCCCTAGTTCAAGTATACCCTAGTCTTGACTGCTGAATCTCAAGCTAGATGTTTTAAAACAGGCATTTGACCAACTTCAATTGCTTGCTGTACCGGTGATTAAATAACTCAATGCCCTCTGGGAATGAACAGAATATGATACACGCGCCTCCAATGTTCAATCGACGGATCGCGGGAAAGTGAGCTATGAATTCGAGATCGGAGCCGACAGCTATTAGGATTGTCGCGATCTGCCGGAACTAGGACAAAATATGCGGCATTATGTAGCAAGCTGCTGCCATGGGCCAATGGGCAGGAAGTTATCTCATCGAAACCTGGTATTATGTCACTGATGCTACATTTACTTTTGGACTTATGACTAAATAAGCGAGTCTGGCCAATGAACCGTTGCAACGATCATCTCAGTACGGCTAGAACAGGAAGGACTGAGGAGATTGATAAGATTGATTGATAAAAATCCGACCCTAATACGAGCCAAGGCCGCAGATCTCTGCAGATCTTATCCTCTGCCGAGCAGCAGGGTAGTTTGGTTTCCTGCAAGCGAGCGAAAGCGTCGATGAGGCGGTCATGAATGACCAAGTGTGAAAAAGACGGTGGCCCGAATTACGGTCATAAATATGTAGGTAGGGAGATCCTCCACCATTCCATTCAGTCCTTTCGCCACCATCCTTCTTTCCTTAGCAACCCCTCTGAGGAATCACCGTCGAAATGAGGGCAACACCTTTGGCGCTGAGCGTTATTGCTGCCGTTAGTTCACAAGTTCAGGCACACCCTCACGACAATGTCCGAGCCGAGAGCAGCGAGACTGACAGCTACGATTACATCGTCATAGGGTCAGGTCCTGGGGGCGGCCCACTGGCAGTCAATCTCGCCGAAGCAGGCTACTCAGTCCTCATCCTCGAGGCCGGGCGGAATCACACAGACCAGCCTAGCCAAGAGATCCCGGCCTTTTTCGGAGAGGCACAATGGGACGAGTCCCAAGGCTGGTGGTTCTACACAAAGGACTACGATGATCAGGAGCAGCGCGCCAAGAACAGCAAGATGGTCTGGCTGAAGCCTGACGGCCAGTACTGGGTGGGATTAAACCCTCCCGAGGGCTCTAAGGAGCTCGGTATATGGTATCCCCGCGCGGGCACTCTCGGCGGCTGCGACACTCACAACGGCGGATTGACCGTACGTCCATCCGATTGGGACTGGGACAATATCAAAGACATTACGGGAGACGAAACCTGGGGTCATGAGCACATGCTTGAGTATTTCAAGAAGCTTGAGCGTAACCTCTATCTGCCCGAGGACACTCCAGGTCACGGCTTCTCCGGCTACCAACCTGTGGGTAGGGCCAACAAGACGTTGATTGAGTCGGACAAGCAAGTGATGGCTATTGCCAAGGCCTCTGATGAAGCGCTCGGATACTCCGAGAGGGCCAAGAGTGACGACTTTGACGTTGTTGCGAACTGGGATATCAATGAGGATCGGCCTGACCGCGACTTCCAAAACGATGTCTACCAGATCTCCTTCAAAAAGGACGAGCAAGAGAAGCGTTTTAGCGCTGGTAGTCGAGTCAATCAAGGCATCAGCAAAGGCCTCCCGCTGACTGTTCGGTTCGACAGCTTTGTCACAAAGATCAAGTTGGACGATGATTTGCGCGCAACTGGTGTCGAGTACCTGGAGGGAGAAGCTTTGTACCGCGCTGATCCGCGGGCAGCCTCCAAAAACACCACTGGCATTCCCAGAAGCGTTACTGCAAAGCGCGAGATCATCGTCGCGGGCGGTACTTTCAACACACCACAAATCTTGATGCACAGTGGTATTGGTCCAGCTGACCACTTGAAGGAGCACGACATCCCGGCCATAGTGGACCTTCCTGGTGTCGGTCGTAACTTGCAGGACCATTACGAAATTCCCGTTATCCACGAATTCCCCAAGAGCTTCACCTTTTTTGATACGTGCAGTGGAAGCCTCGAGCAGAACCCATGCTATCACGAGTGGCTCCAGGGCAAGGGACCGTGGACCACCCTTGGGTTTTATGAGTTTGTCCTGTACACCTCCAAGGACGCACCCCGGGGCGAGCGCGATCTGATCCTGTACGGTGTCTCTGGTGTCATCTTTGGACACGTTCCGCCTTATACCAACAGCTCTGAGCTCTCAAAGATCAACAACAAATATACTTATACGATTTCTGAGTCGCATCCTCGTAACAAGGCTGGCACCGTCACTCTCACGTCTTCTGATCCTCTCGATGTCCCCGAGATCAACTTTCGTTATTTCACAGACGGCGGAAATGAAGACGTTCAGGGTCTCGTGGACGGCATCGAGTTCACCAGGAAGATCTTCGACTCTGTCCCTGGGGGTACAGTAGGCGAGGTCTACCCCGGCAGGAACGTCAGCTCCCAGCAGCAGCTGCAAGAGTTTGTCCGGAATGAGGCGTATGGCCATCATGCTAGTGGCACAGCCTCTATCGGCAGCGATGACGACCCCCTGGCAGTCTTGGACTCTCGTTTCCGTGTTCGTGGGGTAAAAGGGTTGCGGGTTGCGGACGCTTCCGTGTTCCCTGTTACACCCGGGACATTCCCATTGATCTCCCTCTTTATGATGAGTGAGAAAGCTAGTGCGGTGATTCTTGAAGATGCCGATAAGCTGAACTAAGTGCTCGGCAAGTAAAATGTGTACGGTGTGGGCAGAGACGGATCACAGTTTGATTATAAAGTAAAAAACTGCATTGGACAACACAATGGATAGTAGGTAGAATACACCTCACAAACAACATAAATAAATTATGCGTCACATGAAAATCGTTGGTGTATCAAAAATAAATCTTTGCCTTTTCACCGAATGGAACAACGTACACTCAAAAAAGCTAGGTGTTATCATCATATGAAATCATAACTTAGATTCATGTTGATAATACAATAAGAAAACAACTTGCATGCAGTGATGCCACCCAAGGATACTACAGGAATAGCCGATACAACTAGGAGGGAAACAATGCTTCAGCCTTTCAAATAGGAGACTAGCTATATAGCCATGGATCCTGAAGGAGTTCCTTCGCCGTTTTTCGATCTTCTGGGCGCCATTGCAGCATCCCCTCCACGAATCTTAGAAACTCCTGCTTCTCGCCCTCTTCTAAGTTCTCTTCAGAGTGCGCTAGGCTTAACTCTGCAGGGATCGGGACATCTGCCTTCCACTGACCTATTGAATAATACAGTGAGTGGCAAGAAAGAAAGAATCGGATTAAGAACGCGACTTACCATCGTCGGTGAAAAACTCGTCGCTTCGGGAACCACGCTTAATGAGGTCAAGGGGAGGCATTCCAAGCATACCAATCACTTCTGCCAAATGTGCCCTCGTGGAATACGCAGTGTCCGTTGGGTCTATGCCGTGAAACAGATGCTTACCTTCAAATATGTCCCATATCTATCACATGGGAGTGTTAGCAAAGTAGGAGCCCCTAAGAATAGTCTTCACTAACCATGACTCCGACATTCCATATATCAATCGGATAGCTCCAAGGAACCTCCAACATCACCTCAGGTGATCTATATACGTTTGGCTGGGCATCGTGATTTCTTTTCCAGTCTCCCCGAACAGCAGCACCAAAATCACTCATAATGACGATGCCAAGATGTTTTGGTAAATGAAACTGCCTTGGCTTGTAAATAGTCACGCCATTTACAGTTTTCCGGGCCGATGGGGCGCTCATTTCTTCTTCAACGAATGCATCAATGATGCTCTTATCGGCAATTTTATGCAAAATATTATCCGCTTTGATATCTTCATGTTAAAATACCAAATTAGTAACAGGGCCGATTTGTTCGTCCAATTCTCAGAGATTGGGGCTTTACCTGTGTGAACAAGCTTACACTCATTGTGTAAATAGTCGAGAGCGCGTAGAATCTGTTGTAGGCCCCCTTTGAGCATCGGTAGATTGAAGCGACGTGTAGGATTCCTGCGGAGAATGTCTCTCCAACTGTCCCACATTGGGTCTTGGACCATACAATGGTGATCGCCATTTGGATGCGGCAGGACAAACATTTCTCGAGCTGTTCGCAAATGATGATATCCAGGGTGAGCAGAGTCACCTTGAAGAATCTTGTTGGATACCTCGAACTTTTCTTTACCGGTATGTCCTTGTATATATATTTTTAGGGCAACATGAATATGTTCTCTAAAGTTGTTCTTGTTTAGTAACGTACTCACACAATCCAGAGACGAGATCAATTGGCACGTACTGGAGTTTCTTAGCCAGCCATACAGTTGATGTTGACCCAAAGCCCAACTTTCCCACTACCTGGTACTTTGAGTGATATACGTCTCCGATATTGACTGGGTAATAGGCGCCAGCAGAGAACTCTTCAAGATGCTCCTCCTCAAGAGGCTCTGATGGAGGAACGATCTCGAAGCCGGCGCTGGGAAATCGTAGAGGGGGCGATGGGGGCCCTTCGTAAGGCTGATCTCGCCCATTTGAGAATAGAAGACATAGGGGAAACAAAAGAGCTAGTATCAAGAAAGACGCTGAATATTCGTGTGGGATGTGAAAGGGATGTAGGAGCATATGATGTGATTGATGACGGATCCTTGATTTAGGCGATGAAAGGTGCGGCAAAATCAAATTCTGACCACCTGAAAGGATGAGTGGATGAGAGGCTGTGTCCATCGCAGCGGAGCACAAATTCGACTAATCTAGTGCACTTTCATGGCCATGTATATATGCCAGGAGAAACAAAATAAATGGATTATAGGTGCTCGATTCCTAGCCATGCCAGGGATGAATTCTTTCTTTCGGGACTTCAGAGGACTTTGGTCTTTCGTAGATTAGGTAATAGAGAGCTCACTCCGTACGTGTCGAAGGAATAGCTTTCAGGTTTACCGACAACCATGGCAGTGAATAGAAGTATAGATAGAAAGTCATAACAAAAAAACCATCGAATAAATTAAAGGTGAGCGAGTGCCTCTTGATACCTTCAGATAGGTGGAGAAGGTGTTGGCTAATTCATATCCGGCGATGGGCGAAGTGAAGATGATGTAGATCAAGAAGCTGGTACCTTGATCGCATCAGTCGTAGGGCTTGAAGCTGTCTCAAAGGCAGCAAGCATGTTTTCAAGCTTGAAGCGATGTTTAATGAGAGGGCTCAGGCCGACGACTTTGCTCTCTAGCAAACTAATAGCACGTGGCCTTATGTTCGAATAGCGGCACTGGAACTGCAGATCAACCTCACGAACACTCGCTCGCATAAAGGGAATTTGCACCTAGTCTTTTCCAACACCAATAACGAAAACTTTGCCTCCAAACTTAACAGCCCAAATTGCGGCGGCAATGCTACTCTCTATTCCTGTACATTCGAGGGTGAGCACAGGCTCGACCCCACCGAAGGTTTGGACAATGGCCCTGCTGACTTCCTCGGGAGTTTGGCGCTCTACCTTGTGCGAGAGAACCCCGGGGCAAATCTTTCGGGCGAATGCAAGACGGCTCTCGTCAATGTCTGTGATTCATATTTATCGGATTAAATTATTAGATCCTCGTAGCTTTTGTTACTATTAAACTTTATTTTCTTTCTCCTATAAAGGTTTCTATATCTATATAGTAGGGGCCTACCGTGTAAAGGAAGTATTTGGTTCCGTGTCCGCTCCCAATCTGCATTCAACATGAGCCATGAGAGTGAAGTAAAATTATAAGTTCGAAGGAGGCATCATGATTGATCCCCCACAGATCCAGAGTGCGGGGAAGTGTGGAGAAGGATTGAGACAGTTGCCGTTCAACAGAACCTGGGCGTAGAATCGCCAGATTAAGCCAGGCTCATGTTCTAACTGTGTATAGGTGAACGAGAAAAAGGCGGAAATTATCTTAAAACGTACAACAGTGGGTATTCGATGGTCATCGTCTGGATACAAGTGCTCAAAGACGTGGCTTGGCCATTGTAATGTGAGCCCGGAGCTGGTCAGCTTTTTCTGGTCACGGAGATAACACTGTTTGTTGAAGAGATTGATCAAGGTGTCGACGCGCACACTCAGATAGTATTCGTCCCTGGGAAGTGATATCAACGCGGGACAGCGGCCATCTTATGTTGCTGGCTAAAGTAAGTCCCCAGATTCCGCCCCGAAGGAAACGATAGCCTTGATGTCCTTGGCAACGACTACAATTTCACTTCAGCATCGTGGCTTGCCTACATGTAGTAGTGGAACCCTAAATGTATCACGTGACATGATTCCTTCAGTCGGCCGCTGGACAATCATATTTTGAGTAACACATTTGAATGAGCCGTCACACCGATCAACGAAGCCTACATACATACAAACCCCACACGACCAACATGACGACCATCCTTCCTCCCTTCTCTCCGAGGCATATCCCGCCCCTCTTCATTGCTACCGCGTTCACCCTGGGTGGCCTGCTTCCTCTCTGGAACCCCGCCCGAGCCATCCGCGAGTACGGCTTGCCTGAGCGGGTCGCGGAGTCTCCAACAGCACACTCACCTTTCGCTGCCTATGGCTCCAGGACCACCATCATAGGGGTGGTCATGTGGACCCTGTACATTCGTCGCGAGTACCGATCGCTCGATACGGTCATGAGCTTGCTTTTATTCGCAGGTGGTGTAGACGGGTATCTTTGCTGGAAGGAGGGCGTGCCAGGTCGTGGCTGGTTTAGGTTTCTTTCCAGCGTTGTGTTTGGCGTCTGGGGTCTCGCGGGACTGACAGGAGGAATGAATTGAACCTGATGGCAATTGGAGTCTGCTGAAGAAGGTAGATAGCATAGCAGAATGCGACCTGGTGGCAAGAAGTGTCAGGCAGTGTTGTGGATAACCTCAAGTTGTACGCGTCAATTCAATTGTTCACGTGGTCTGAAACCTCCAAAGGATCTCATGTGGAAAAAATGTTAAATAACGCTTATATGTCGTAGATTTAGAATCTATCATCTGTTAAATGTTATTCATACGTGGAGCATCATTTAATTCGAAATTCAGTATATTATTGTGGCAATTTATGCTTGGAGGACCACCCATTTCCCTTCACTTTCATCCCCTTCAACTTCATCCGCTTTGAATGTCAAGTTGTGGGATTTGTCAGCGCATTTGTGTCCGAGTTCAAAACAATCTTCGCACTCAATGAAAACGGCTCGGTCGCAAACACCACACTCATAACGCTGGTCAGACTCCTCCAGTAGCTTCAGACACACGTCGCATCCTTTTCGTGGATTCTCGTCCTCGTCATCTTTCTCGCCTTTGTCATCTTCCTCGTCCTTGTCTTCTTTCTCGGCATTCTCCTCTTCAGGCTCATTCTTTCCCTCCAAACCGTCGTTCCACTTGTTATCCAAGAAAAAGTTTTTTAGGCGATCGCTTGCTAGAGATCGAACCCAGTGGCCGAGCGTCTTACCCCCAAAGTCCTCCAATTCTAGAGATGGTCTAGCAGACTTCAAGAGTAGAATCACGGCATCCTCATGTCCATTTCTCAATGCTACTGAGACGGGGGTTGAATTGTATATATCCCTCTTGAGAAGGAGAGGCGTTTCCATGGCCGGTGTTGCAAGAAGTCTGTCGATAACTTGACAGTGTCCCCTGGCAGCGGCAAGAAACAATGGCGTGCGGCCTGCAGCATCAAGCAAAACTGGATTAGAGCCAGGCCTCGAAAGGAGCAGCTCAATTATTTCAAGGCTTGCATAGTATGAAGCCAGTGCCAATGGCGATCGACCCGTTGCATCCAAGATGCCTTGATCTGCTTTGTTATCAAGCAAGTACATGACAATGTCAAAATGGCCCCAAATAGTCGCAAAATGAAGCAGAGTCTGCCCAGATTTAGACTGGAGATTTACACCTGCACGTCGATTGACCAAGCATTCCTTACTTTCTTGATTTTCAGTGGTTGTCCGCTCCTTGCGTGACGAGCCTGCGCTACCACCTGGAGCAGCCGGGTTTTCATATTGTGAAAGAAGGTATTGTAGAACTTCGAGATGGCCTTTCTCTGCAGCGGAATGAATTGGAAGGGTGCCATTTGTAGTATTTGGGATGTGAAGAGCCCTAGTGGAGTCACTAAGCAAGTCCTTGACGATGTCCAAGTGCCCAAACATTGATGCTACATATAGTAGTGTTTGACCGTGCTTGTCCATGGCCGTGGAGTCAGCGCCCTTCTCCATGAGAAATTTCGCAACTTCTGCGTGACCATACCACACAGCTCGAAGCAATGGCGTGCAATCATCATTCAGTCGTACTTCGAGATCAATAGAATTGTTTTCATGAGATAACAGCAGTTCAACAATTTCGAGACACCCCCTTGACGCAACAAAACCTAATGGCGTCTCTCCGTTCAAGGTTCTCACGTTTGGGTTAGCACCCTTTGAGAGTAACAGCTTGAAAGTCTCTATCCTGTCTTTGGAAAGAGAAGTGGCGAGTGGTGCCCAACCTTCGTCGTTCCTACTCTCTATATTTGCCCCATTCTCCAAAAGGACTTTCACGACATCCAGTTGACCTTTATTTGCGGCCAAGTGGAGAGGAGACCATCCATGTGTGGCATGCTCCAGATCTGCTCCTGCCGCGATCAACAGCTTGACCACTTTGGTGAATCCAGAAGCGGCAGAATCACTGAGCGCCGTCCAGCCGGACGAATCTTCTGCTTCCAAATTGGCGCCCTTGTTGATGAGAAGGTCGGCTATGTCAACATTGTTTGCCGCACAAGCAAGTTGCAAAGGGGTATTTCCACGTTGATCGACCGCCTCCATATTCGCCCCTTTATCGAGAAGGATCTTGACGATATCAACATGTCTGCGGTGGACAGCAACATGCAGCGCAGTCCACTTTTTGAACGTTTGAAGATTCAAACACGGGTCATCCTGTTCCAACAACACCTTGGCTACATCCACCTTGTCCTGCTCCAAGGCCGATATGAGAGGGGTCGATCCTTTATTCGTGGTAATTTTGTGATCTGCACCTTTCTCCAGAAGCAGCCTGACGATGTCGGTAGAATCTTCAAAACTGGCATGCATGAGTGTTGACCAGCGTCTATGGCCGATAAAACAAGCATCAGCACCTCTCTGTATTAGGAGTTGGACCATTTCGATCTTCTGCGATTCGATAGCCCCGAAAAGCGCACTTCGGGGGTATGATCCGTCATATTCGATCTTCACTCCAGCATCGAGGAAGATCTCAACAACGTCTAGGTGGCCGGATGAGGCCGCATGGCTTAAACCATCGGTTAGGTCAACATCTTTGACACCAATCTTTACTGCAATATCGAGGAGCACCTTGACTATTGCCCCGTGTCCCTGCGAAGCCGCCGCCTCTAGGCACTTCGATAAACAGTCCCTCATGTATGGAAAGTAGGATTGGAGTAGCGCAAAAATCTTTTCATCCCCTCGGTAGCAGGCTCTTTGGAGCGGTGTTTCCCACCTTGACGTCTTGATGTTAATGTCAGGGCATTTTTTGAGCAGTAGTTCTACCGCCCGGAGATTTCCTGAATCGATAGCACCATAGAGTGCCGTCTCACCCGCCTCGTTCCGGTGATGTGCGTCAATACCCTTCTTCAGTAGAAACTCTATTGTTTTGGTATGGCCATTTCTGGCTGCTAAATTGAGTGGCGTGTTCCCCCCAGGTTGCCAAACTGGGGTTCTTTCGGTAAGATGAAGATAAGAGCAGAGGAATTCCACAATCTCGTAGTGGCCTTGGCCGGCTGCATAATGAAGAGCAGATGGACGCTTTCCCTCTGTTGGCTCTGGATAAGCGCCCTTTTTGTGGAGAAACTTGACAATCTCAAGATGTCCTTTGAAGGCTGCTCCTGTGATGGGTGTATGCTCCGCCGTATCGTCTGTCTTAAGGAGACAGCCGTGCTCAATCAAAGTTTTGACTAGTGCAAGGTGGCCACCCATTGCAGCTCCCACGAGGGGAGTTTTCTTATCTTGATTCATTGCCTCCTTTTCAGCTCCTTTCCCCAAGAGAAATTTCATGGCATCGATGTGATTGTTTGTTGCGGCCAGGAATAAAGCAGTGTTCTGAGCGTTGTCGGTTGACTGAATATCTGCGCCACTGTCTAGCAAGACTCGGAGGGTGTCGGTGTGCCCAAATGTTGCTGCTGCGTGAATGGGTGTGGAACCATCACGAGCAGCCGCGTCTACAACGCTGGCTCCCTTGAGGAGAAGGAAGCGAACCGTATGTGTGTGCCCATTTCGTGAGGCTAGGAGGAGAGGCGTCCCCTCTTCATTCTGCTGGTTGATATCTGCCCCCTCATTCAGTAGACTTTCGACGGCTTCGAGGTCTCCCTTGCACACCGCCGTGAAGATGTCTGTCGGTTTATCACCCATAGCATCGAGCGTGATCAGTTAGTGGGGATCTAAGCTCTCCTTGTTTTTCTTGACTACCGCAAGAGAAGGTTTTCTGAGAACTCAATAAGTTCAGGTTTGCGTGGAAGGAGCTGGCGTATCTTATACTCATGAAGATTAACGGCCTGTGTTGGCAAGGCGGGTCGATGTAAGCACGAAACGAAAATGGATAAATGCCAGGTCAAGCTTCCCCTGCGCTGGGCATTGGACAAGCGCTGATCGTTAGGCAGACGCCTTGTTGTTGACCGCTGGATGGGTCGCATGGTAGGGATAATAGACGCAATCAGAACCTGTCAGATAAAGGTGGGTAGAATCCCTGAACATGCGCCTCAGTTAAGCCAAGGGTTCTCGACGTGGGTTAAATCTCAAGCCTCAAATTACAGACGGATCACGAGCATAAGCCGCTCACATTTGGATGGGCCTACTGAGCATTTTTTTTAGTATTTGGTGGCGTGGTATCCCACTTCTCAATCAGCGAAATATTAGACCATCGCCATGTTTTCGCATCCATTTGTATGATATTGAGTCACCAAGGCGTTCGAAAGAACTAATCAAGTCGCAATGGGTCTCTTCAGCCTCTTGCCCCAGCTCATGGCCTGTGTCATCGAATCTAGAACCCAGTCACTGGTAACCTAGCAACAGGGCCCATGAGTCTAGTGGAATAACTTAGGTCCTCAACGCAATAGTGCATATCTAACAATACCCGGGAAAAGAAATCAAGACAATATCTTCTATACATTAGGCTTACAGCCAGCGACTTTGGTAATAATGGAGTTCTGGAGGTTCCATGGAGGCTCCATAATATATCCGCGGAGCTTGCTCTCAAAGCTTTACTAATGAACTTGTGTGAACAATACTCATAGAGTGCCGCAATTGAAGTCTTAATATGATTCAGCTTTTTTTCTGATTTGAAATACGTAACGTGATTCGGATATAAATGTTATTATAAATGGAGTTGAACCTTGTCTGTGTCAAGTATAAATGTTGCTAGGTATTTATGTTCAAGTTTGAGCTAGGGTGATCCTTACCGTGCTACTCCCGACATAACTAAATCTACTTGGTTACCAAGAAATTTATACTCATTCACATTTGATATATTTTTGCACTTAGTTACTTTATTGGCCTTTGGGGAAATGAAGATCGGCATCATCAATGCCGGCAATATCGGCTTAAATCTCGCTGTTGGCTGGATTTGTCATGGACATGATATTATGCTGAGCAAAGACACACATCCGGAACAGCTCATGGAGCGTACCAGAATCCTAGGGTTGGGCCGCGGGCTTAGCGAAACTGAGCTATCCAAGTTCCAGTACGGTTCACTGGCGGACGCAGCCCAATTCGGAGACATTGTTGTCATGGCGGTCTATTTCCCACGACTTGAACATGTGCTGGAAGAACTTCGCATAGACGGCGTAACCCTCTCGGGGAAGATAGTGATTGATACAATGAATCCACTCAACGTCGATGCCGGCTTTAACCACTTCCACGATCTCAAGTTCATGGAGCAAACTTCCGTTACGGAGAGGCTTCAACTGGAATTTCCAGAGGCTATTCTATTCAAGGCATTCAATAATGTCCCAGCAGGTCTGCTTGACATAACGAAATGGTCCGATGGCCACTATCCGTCAATCCTTTTTATCGGTGGAAACTCCGTCGAGGATGTTGTTCGGGTTCGAGCACTCATTGGAACCTCTGGATTCAAGCCTCAATTTGCAGGGCACAATTTGTCGGACTCAAGGATATTGGAGAAATTGGGCATATTGATGCATCGCTTGGCAGACAACGAGTATGGAGGCGACACTGCCATCGCTATTAGTGTATTCAAGAGCCCAAGCGAATGATACATTGACTTGGGTCCAACGGCGGCATCCTACGATAGAGGTCGGCCCCATGCGATAGTATAAGTTGCACTGTTTCCTGATCTACTCAAGTAGGCTTTCCGAATGAAAGTAAACCCCGTGTGTGCCCGCTTTAATGTGATATTGTATGCTTAAACTCTCTATTCATTGTTTTCTTGTTCTAGAGATTACTCTCCAACAAGGAGCAAGCTCTATATCCGAGCACCTGAGATGACATATTTACCCACAGGAGGATCGACTCAGACTAAATTGTTGCTTACATATGCCCAAATATATTAAGTGCAGCAGATTATATATACGCAACGATATCTGCATTCAAGGGTGATATCAGTTATGCGAGTACGACAGCGCAGAATAGTTCGGTATAATGAGACACCTATGGCTACCTGTGAAAAGAAGTAGATGTAATAGATAGTTACAAGTGTGTTTTCTGGTATGAACTAGCATCAGTCTTTTCATACTATCTAATATGCACGTATGGCTAAGATTGATTTTTGATCTGGGTTGCGAAGTTCGTAAGAAAGCAAATCATGAATTTGAACGCTATACTTTACTTGCTATAGCGTATTGCGAAGTCTTGATGATCTGTGCTAGATTGAAACCTCCCACACACTAATGTTACCCCTACATCTCAATTCACGATAAGGTAAGTACCATATGTTATTTAACAGGTGAGAACGCTTGGCCCAGGGATGGTGTATGGCTGGCCGTTGTTATTAGGACTACCACCGGTGCCGTAAATGTTGATCAGGATTCCAGGATCTGTGGCTTTATAGGCGCCGGGGAACTGGACAATGTTACTTCCTGTCTTAGTTCCTGATCCCGTGACACGAATCTGAGCACACCCCATGTAGAATTGTGCTTGGCCCTGAGAGTAAGCGGAATGGAGGGCAAGAATCTCCACGCGCATCAGATAGTCACCTGGAGCAACGCAACTTGGGAGTGTGAAATAGTGCCATCCTCCATTGGAGATGAGCGTGTCGACAGCCCATGTGCTCCCGCTCAAGCCGGACTGAGCGATTTTGAACCAGTTCTGGCCGCTGGTGCTGGCTGAAGCAGCATTTGAGACTTTGGCCAGATAGACCATGATTGGACCTAATGGACAGCAAGCAGATAGTTAGTCAATGCCTTCTTAGCAGCGCGGCCTTTGGGATCTTGTACCTTTGTGACTTGCGGCGATGGGGTGATCAGGATCGTTTGAACCCTGAGGTCCTCCGATGACATGACCCCACCAAGCACCGACTTGGGCGCCAGCAGGGACAGTGATAACTGTCTGGTCAGTGTAGCTGAGGCCATTATTGCAGGCCATCCCGCCATCATTGACATTTTGAATTGGGTTGTTGCTATTAGGAGCACGGACGCCCTTCAATTGCCCTTGGTCAGCACCATTCACACTGACCTTTTGAAAGATAGCGTGGCCAGAGGCCAAGGTAGCGAGAGCAAGAGTGAGCAGCTTCATAGCTAAACTTGAAATATGACGAAGAGTTCTGGTTCGGAAATTGTATGTAGAGGTTGTTGATCACGTCGAAACCCGACGCTTTGCACATATTTATAGGTTTATCATAAAAAATGACCAATACCCCCGTAAGCATCTTCATGCATTGTTGTGATCAATCTTAACTCGAATGTTCATCGGAACGGCTCTCTCCGTGCTGTAAGTTGAAAAGTTGCCACAAAGGTGCAATGTGCCACCTTGAAACGCCCGCCATCTGTCAGACTGAGGAATGCCGGACCGCTGTGCAGAAAGGTAACTAACTTGTTTGGGTTTCAAATGTATGAGATCTCCAAGTGTTTCCGATGACTCCGAAGAGGCTAATATGACGACGTAGCATATGGGTCACGTACCATCTATTCTAGTCTCAATGTAACCGTAGCTTGTAAAGGTCTATTGTTGGGTAACAATTCCGGCGGTGAGATCCTCAATTTGCCCAGGTCCAAAATGCGTTTTGTGTGTTTCACGATAAAATTAGATTGGATTAGGAATTACAGCATCAGGGGCTCTAGAAGGCACCTTCTATACTCGAAAGGAACACAGCCGGCGTAGCTATATTGATTCATCCTCGCCGGTCAACAAAAAGGAGTTGAAAAGGACATCGATCTCTCACATGGTATCCATCTCCCACAATTTGGAGTGAAGACTCAGTTCGAAGCTGAAGTACATTGCGACATGGTTCTCGAAGGAAGGGTACATTAGTTTCCTACTGATGTGTTCCGCCAAGCCTCCCTGTCGGCATTTCTGTTCGCTAGGCAATGCACATGACTGGTAATCCCCCTTTTCAGTGCATAAATGGACGAATGGGAATGTCTAGATATGTCCATGTGAATGTTGATGTCAGCAAATGCGAGCATGACCGCTCAACACAGAAGTGCCGGGTCACACTTTGTTTGGTAGTGTAGTGTGATCAAGGTTCTCCGGCACGCACCCATCAGGTCTCATATGAAACCTTTGTGATGCATGGGGGGAGCACTACCGTCACCATAGACCTTGTTTTTGTCGGAGACTATGAAGTCGTACCCAGTAGTTTTGAAGAATAATTACGCCTGTTTAGTCTCGTGTCGGGTGCAATATTCTTCTTTCCGGCTAGGCGAGCGACTACATGCTATGCTATAGGATAAACTGGATACAACATCCGGAGTGACGATAACATCTATCATAGTTCAAGTTCATTAGATGAAAAAGCTTCTTCTAACCGGCAATTATACTTTCCTGCCCATAGCGTGAAACCGAATGTATACAAATAAATAGGTAGTTATACAGTTAATATTGATAGAACTTTATACTTAAAATAATATACAATTCCTAAAATTATAAACTCTATACCACAATCCAAAATTAATTTTATTTTGCTTGATCTTTTCAATCTTATAGACTTTCTAAATTTATACTTATATCTATAAATACTAAAATTCTAGTAATAATAATCACCTAAACATTAAGAGAGTTATCTCTATCTACCTAGGTAAATAGACTTAATATAATATAGTGCAGCAAAATGAAAGATGGCTCATTACCTAAATTGATTTATAGATCGTCTGGGTGCTTCAGTGCTCCGTGACTTTTCATCACAATCTGCATATGCACCTCGTTTACAAGGAATTCGACGGGGGCGGACTAATAATAAACGGCGCTATTGAAAGATAGTCCAATAAAAATTTCCCTTGTATTTGAAGGAAGCACACTATCAAAAAAATGTTTCACCTCGGGGTATCAGAGATTTCAAAGGTCGTGAGGGTGGACAAGGTGACCACCAGGACCAATTATCTCGTTGCCTTGGAACACCTTCGACGAACAGACGTGGCTGCATAGATAGAAGATCTAAGGGGAAATTCTTTGTATGTTTTGACATTATCTTCACCATTTTGTTGACATATGTCAACAACTACATTCTCATGAAGCCAACTGGCCCTTACTCCGATGCTGATGCCTAGGCCATCCCTGTTTGACTGCTGTGGCGCAGGCAGCCAGGCTTCTATAATTTATCACAGTCGTTACAACCAGGCAGCACTGCCACACTTCAAACGCCCAAAAAAGTCGTGGCCGGATCGACTGCAATCTGTCAAATCAAACATGAGATAAATATGTACCTTGCGATGTCCCTCTGGAGCGATACTCTCATAACCAAAGCACCAAGAAAAAATTCTTCACCAACTCCTCATCAACATGGCTCTGGAAGAAAAGCAAATGCCACTGACCGAGATCGATGAAGAGTCAATTGTCAGCAACCAGCCATCTGCCGAAATAAAAAACACTGCCAACAAAATCGCTCCGGAGACACGGAATAGCTGGTTTCCGTCATTCCGCTCAATTTTCCCATCGTTGTTTTCTAAGGGACAACCCGGAACGACAGTCACACGGTTATTCGACAATGTACCTGGATATCCAAGAATTGCATTGATCGGGTTAGATTGGGGAGGAAAGAGCTTGTTGATGGAAAAGTTCTTATCGTCCCGGAGCAAAGATATCCATCGCATCATGCCTACTATCGGTACCATCGTGGAGATGGTTAGATCAGAAACAGCGTCGTTTCATACATATGATATTGGAGGTTGTCGGCCGAAATCCTACAGGCTCTTTGACCGAGCCATGTTCAGAGAAGCGGAAGCAGTTGTTTTCGTCATTGATGCAAATGACCGAGATCGGGCCTTGGAGGCCCGTGAAGAGCTGATGATGGAAGGGCTCCTGGATCCTCAAGGGATGCGCAAAGAAACGCCTTTACTTATTTTGGCAAACAAACAAGATATTCCGGTATGTATTGGCAACCTTGGAAAAGTCATCGGCAAGTCCTATCATGGACTAACCCTTACAGAACGCAAGAAATGCCGAGCAGATAAAAACCTTCTTTGTTGACAGCATATCAACATCCATAGGTGATCGCCCTTGTGTCAGTAGCTCAAGATGTCTATATGAGGAAAATAATTGTGTCGCTAATGGTAGTCGCAGAATGTATTTGCAACTACAGCCACCACAGGGGAGGGCATAGAAGATGCTTTCAGATGGCTCGCATCAATCCTAACTGAGAGAAACAATAATGAAAAGACGTCAAACCCGACAGGCCAGGACCAATGTGGAACCAAAAGGCCTACGCCAGAGGAAGAAATCCAGAACATCTGGAAGACCTGCACTTTTGTGAAGAACAAGCCGAAAGTAGGCACATGAAAATTGGACTTGAAGGCTATGTTTTCTGCTTTAACTTGGACTGACTAGCATTCATTTTCCCCCATGGTTATGCTTGCGTTAAGGCAGAGAGAGAGTATTGATGAATAATTGCTACCTAGTATTCAAACGCGATTATCTTGAATCATAAATGAAACTCGTGATAGCGGTTTGAGATTTGTTCCGTTCCGCATGCTAATTAACGACCATCTTGCCGCTAGACATGACATGAACACTTCCTTCCCTTCACGTCAAACAATCCATCGCTACATCAAAGCAATCATGTCTACCTTCCAGCCAAACACGTACGCCGCCAACACGGCCTTGGTGATTGGCTTCGTGCCAGGCCTTGTGGGCATCAACGCGCTGCTCCGACCCGGCCATACGCTCTCCCTCATGGGATTCCCGAGCCCTCCAGAGGCCGGTGGCCGAAAATTGTCGCATTCACTGGTTCAGATGATGGCCTCGCGAAATATATCGATGAGCCTGACCACCATCACGCTGTGGTTCGTGGCTGATCAAGAAACCTTGGGATATCTGATGCTGGCGCAGGCTCCGATCGCGCTTATTGACGGCTTCATTAGCCGATGGCAGGTTGAGGGCATGGAATGGGGACATTGGATAGCTGTTCCGATCAGCGTTGGTTTGGGTGCTCGATTGATCGGATGGATTTGAGGCATTTCCTGGAGGCGGCCTAGAGCAACGAAGCATCGCGTACATCATGAGCGAGACCCATTTCTATCTCTCCGCTCTAAAATTAATACTCGCCCCTCCCCTTGGCTTAAGAAATAATATTGGGATTGTCAAACTTCCAGTCGTGGCACGTTCAGGAAACACTACCTCTACACTTGAATTACAACTAGATGTTGAGAAAATTTTGCAGCTGAATATCCTACCCATGGTATGTTTAAGAGGCAGAACGCGTATCTTCCCTAACGTAGATGGGGGCAAAAGTTCAATATACCGAAGAGATCTTTTCTCTCTACTCTTTGGATGTCTGAATACCTATTTCACGCCTAATCACAGTTGAGTTCGGCCTAGGCTACTCCAGGTAGACCAGAACCAGCCTCACACTCATACTAAAAACCTCCAGCTTTGGGTCTCTAAACTTTCCGCCTACAAGATCGAGCTGAATTTGGTCTCGGATCCTGTACCAAGTTTTGGAGACAATTGTTTGACATCGGATCACTCACATTCTGGTACATGACTTTAGCCGTATCACGTGACAAACGTGCACAGCCTCCTAGTTCTGATTTCTTCGCAACTCGGTTGGCTTTTTAGTTCACGGAATCACCGGACTTGCAAGCTGCACTTCGACACTATAAATCCTGTCGAGAGTGGGCATGGCTAGTATAACCGCGTCAGAAGACTCTCGTCGCTCTGGTCTCTATACCCCTTTGCGCGATGACAGGGACGAGATTCGAGTTTTAACCCTGGAGTCCTTTCATGACGACGGTCTTGTCCACTGCCGCTTAGAAACCGTCTCTGTACTAGACTATAGCCCCGAATACTCCTCATTTCTTACCTCATTTATCGGGAAGGCCGACTTAACTCGTCGCATCCTTCGGTCTTGGACAGAGCTCTGCTTTCCACAAATTGGTCACTCTTCATCAGCCTCCAAAAACAGATGGAAACAGCGGCCCCATGCGGCATCATGCCGCTTTACTTGGGGCGATTTCGCGGCTCTGTCGTATGTATGGGGAACCAGCAACAAAGAACGGCATATAGTCGTGAATGGAGTCACCCGGCGCGTCACGCGGAATTTGGAGGAAGCTCTTCGCAGGCTTGCACGCAGTGACGAGTTTCGCGGAGAGTACAAAATATGGATCGACGCAGTTTGCATAAACCAGGAAGATGAACAGGAGCGAGCTGTCCAAGTGAGGAAGATGAGACAGATCTATAGTAGCGCCTGGAAGGTCATCTCGTGGCTAGGTGAGAATGATGCAGGAGGCTGGATGCCCAAAGCTTTCGCTTTCTCAAACATGCTCGCGTCACTCCAAGATGATTTGCAAGACCTTCGGATGCTCTGCAATCTCAACTCTGGGATCCTGACCGATGCCGGATTTCATGCGATGCATGAGATGACACGCCACCTGTATTGGCACCGGCTTTGGATTATCCAAGAAGTTGTCATGGGCGCATCATACACAGTATTGCGTTGTGGCGATCACCACCTTGATTGGGATACCCTGTGTAGGGCAATCTCAGTATTATATCACGGCGACAACTGGAGCCTCAAGGACGAGATGCTCAAAAGAGCGTATCGCCGTGGGATAAGTACTCATAAGGTTTGGAATGCCAGCTCTCTGCATTTGATCCATCTGGATCTTCGACACTTGAGTAATTATGAAGACGAAGGCAACAGCTCCGGGCGCCTAGGCCTCCGCCGCTTACTTGAAGTGGCCAACTCAGCGAAATGCCTTGAGCCCCGTGATAAGGTTTTCGCTTTAGCTGGGATGATGGAAACAGAGATTGCGAACGAAGTCACCAAAGCTTACAGCCTAGACATACCGCAGTTGTTCGCAGCAGTGACTATCGCATTCATCAAACACTACAACAACTTGGAGCCCTTGCGTCAAGGAAATCCGTGGGGACCGCAGACAGCCCCAACTTGGGCAGCTGACTGGAGCTGGAAGGGCCGCTTGCGATGGTCCCGTCCAGAGACTCCCTACGTTGGCCCTCTTTGGGATGTCTCGGATCCCAGCCCGCGGCCAGAGGAAATCTACAATGCCCATGGTGGGCTGCCAACTCGCTATGTGATTCCTGAGGATGGCTTCTCGCTGCATTGCGACGGGTTTATTTTCGATGAGATTGTCGGGTTAGGCGCAAGAGAGTATGGCATATTCGAGTGGGTTAAGGGAACAGAAACGCAGTGCCCCTCGTGGAAAAGTTGCTACGGTGATGATCAGAAAACCGCCCAGGCACTCTCTCGCCTCTTACTGGGCGGCAGCACAGTTGGTAGGCATGAACAAGCTAAAGGGTGCTATGAAGCCGTCTTAAGTCTTCCATCAACATTCAAAGCAGGACATCCACAGTTTCGTGCTAAGAAGTGGAATTGGCTTGAGAACCGGGAGGGTTATTATTATAAATGGTCGGAGTGGAGGAAGACGCATAACCACATGAAGCTTGGCAAGAGAAGTTTAGAGTCTTTCTTTACAGATAAAATACCTGAAAAGGCCGAAGAGTCCGCATACACCGCAGCGTTCGTTGGAATAGACAGAACTGTCAAAGAACGACGCTTTATGCTGACGGGAAGCGGCCGTTTCGGCTGGGCCCCGGACAATGCGTTTGACCGTGATGGGGACAGAAATCAAGTAAAAATAGGGGACTTGATTGCGATTGTGTTCGGTTGCAGCACTCCGCTGGTGATCCGACGATTTGCTAAACAGTACTGGGTAATTGGCGAGGCTTATGTTGAAGGGATAATGAATGGAGAGGCTATTGCATTTCTTAAGGACGAGTCGTTTCAGAGGGAAACATTTGTCTTCTGCTAGAGAATATATCTCTACATTGAACACACTTTAGATTTGGTGCTGTGATCGCCCAACGCCTAATCTTGTTTATAGAAAGGCAGGCTTGGACGCCAATAACTTGATAGCTCCATCAAAATGATGAGCTTGGGGAACCTCCAAGGAAATATGAACCTCCATGGTGGTTTGAGATTTGTATCGAACCAAAAGACTTTACTTTAACTTAATACTAGTCTGATAGCTATTCCAATATCGACCCCCTAGCAAATTACTGATGGTCTTTATACACTTCTGGTAGCCCTAGACTCATGAACTATCTGACAAAGATTATGTTAGATTCTCCGTCATCAGACCAGCTCTCATGTTTCATGGCCCATGAATGTTCAAAATACACTATGCGATACATGAGAGGAACGACCGTTGGTCTTCCACCAACCATCATATCGCTCTTTACATTCCCGCCACCTAAAGCAAGGCCAACCACATAACAACGTTGGTCCCAAGATCTCCACCATCGAGAAATAGTTAGCAATGTCAAAGGTGACTCCCAGGTGGTTGCATCAGGAAAGAACCACCGATTCCGTCTAGACTTGTCTCTCTCGTCATCCCCCGAAAGAGTACCCCAAGGATACTCCCACACATATCCTTCTTCTTTTGGGCCCATACGGGCTTCGACTATTTTGGTTGGGCCTTCTAGCAAGAGCATTGGGAAGGGAACATCGCAACGAGGGCTGAGAAATGCTCTCACTTTGCTTCGATACTCGATTTCTCTCTCCCATGGGCTAGCGCCTTTAACTCTAGCGCCAGACATATGGACGAAATAATGCCGATCTATTGTTTCGAAGTATTGGCCGTTCTTTGCTACCACCCAACCGGACTTTTCCAATAAGCCGTAATCTGAGATATTCGTTATGCGGTCATGGAACGTGGTGGCATACTCCACTTTGCAATTGCAAGACGTCCAACTAAATGTTGGATGTCTGTCTTCGGGCTGTAGTCGGCTGATATCATTGACATTTCCAAGAATGTTCTTGGTCTCGTCTTTGATCGGATGTGTCTCTTCATATTTTGACTCCTTACAGTCCCAAGTTATTGCGCACAGAAAAGCAACCCGAATCCGTGTTGGTCGAAGAAAGTGCAGCGACAGTCAAAGAAGAGTTCTATAAACATCAGACATAAGCTGCACTTCTCTTGACCAGTCCATGCTATCGTCAATCCAGATATAGCGGTAGCCAAGCTGATGGCATATCTCGACTGCATGGCGGAATGTGGCAGGCATGTCCGAAGCTGCGAATCCCCTCGACATGTGATCAAAGTTGGAGTGTAAGCCGGAATCTATTGGATTCACCCCAACAGTGGCTTAGTGTCAAGTACAGTTTGCCTCTATCTTCCTCCTTTGAAACATATATTCGTAGTGGCTGGGCTACACCTCGTTGGCCCAGATCGACCAATCTCGTTGGCACCCATTCATTCGGCTTTAAGCAGTTGTGTAGCTTTTGGCAATTTCCCAGCCACTCACGCTCGACCGAGAATGATCTCTCTGAGCCTGTATATGCTGTTATTTTTGAGAGCCCCTGGTCCTGCTCGGTTACTCTGCCACTTAATGCCATTTCGGCCGCCTCCGCTGATTCGCTCACTTTCCCAAACTTCACTCCCTTGTGTGTAGAATTGACATCCTTGATCCTCGCATCATTTCTGTGAAGCACAAATTTACCAGTGGTTGATGAAAGCCTATTTATATCAACTACTAGTGCAGTTGAATCATGCAACTTGGCAACCAAGCGCGGATCGTCTCGGTTGGGGTTGGGGCCACTGTCCACGAGGTGCCGAAGATAGCTACGAATTTCTTCTCTGTCTTCTTTCTCCTCCATTTCCTGCCATAAGCGGGAGCACAAGAGACATCCATCAAAGATGGAGCAGGCCAGGGAATGAGGAGGTAGGTGGTGCTGCAAGATCTCTGAGTTGAGATGGACCGAGGTGTCCGTTTTATCCCCTTTATCTTTTTCTTCTACCTCCTTTGTCTCTGTTTTAGCCTTCGGTTGCCTCTTTCTCTTCTTGGCGCTGGGATCAACGTTTTTTCAGCACTTCTTCAAGAGGTCGCCGGTCCCACAATGGCCCGTCTTTTAATAGCTCCGACTCACTCAGCATACCTAGACATACATCACAAAACATTTCATTGGCATTGATCGCTGGATTGGTTGTCTTCTGCGAAGATGATGCTGTCATCTCGGCAAGATTTGTGGTATCAAATTGCCCCGCATGGCACTCTGTGCCAGTGGTTCAGGTGTAGTGGCCGAATCTCGATCAATTGTTAATAAAGATTCAGCTTGAACTTTTTCCTTCTTTCCCGTTGCAATCGAAATTTCAACATCGCCTGTTGCATATTTGAGAGTCAGAATGTGGATATCACTCAGCATCCATGTGAGAAGGCCAAGGCTCTCGTCGATGCACGGCGTGTTGGTTTTGACACAACTCTGGTTCTGTCTGAGGTCCACCAATTGTATGGCGTGAGTTGCTTTCCAGTTGATACTCTTCTATCTAATCGCCTAACTCACAAGTCGATGGTCCTTGTCGTAACACCACATGCCATTCTGCAGACATGGCATGCATACATTGAAGCTCTCGTCTGCCAAATGTCCTTCAGGCTGGCAATCGGAGCGTTGCCAGCTCATGCCTGAGGCTTGGTTTCGAAGGCAAAGACTGCATGTTACAAGCGACGTGGATGACTTGGGATCAAAGTCAGGGACAGGGTTGAGCTCCATCTCATGCCCGAGCGATGGCTCTGGCTCACCATACAGCGCGACAGCCTCTTCAAGACCAAGAGACTGAGAGCCAACCAGAATCAATTGATCCGTAGAGTGACAAAGAATCCATTGCGCTTGAAGAAATAAATATTGTTGTTCCATTTCGAAAACTTTGTTCATTGAAACCTCATTGTCCAGGAAAGATATACAATAGATGGATCGTCCAGCGAGACCATATCGGTGATCGTCAGATAGGCAGACATGTGGATTTGGGTCCCCGGTGCGATCAGCCTCGAGCTCTGCTAGTTTTATGTGAAGTTGAGATATCATTTCTAAATCTATTGGGTCAAGCATGGCCAAGCGAAGCACATGGACACCTGGGAAGTGTACCTTAGCATTTGGTTTTTAGTGGATGATGCCGCGGCATTATGCGTAGTTTTCAATAGTGGCAGAATTCCAACACATATCAAGACGGTATCTTGTAATCAAAATATTATAAGGATAGTTTCAGACAACAGAAGAGAGGCAAGGCAGGTAGCCAAAGCAGAAAGGCCTTGTTTCTGCCTAAGGTCACTTAATCTAGTGTCTACGTCATAGGCCTCCTCAGCATCTACCGAAATGATTTTATTGAGTGCAACAGTAAGATGATGTAATGCCCAAACTCCAGGATGCGGAGAAAACTAAAAGTAGCTCAAAGGCAGAAGAAGCTCCCATGTGCAAGAAGAAATGGTGGTCAGAGGACATGGATAAACACCTCATCGCCAGTGCTCTCGGAGCAATCCTGTAGAAGACTTGTGCTAGTTTTGAAATTCATGAGTATTATCAGTATTTTGCATCAGTAACTCTGTATTCAATTGATCACAGGATTTTTGTTGTCCAGAATAGCCTAAACGCAGCCCCTGTTTCGTAACGAGTGACCAAGAAGAGCCAAGTCATCTTGAAGCCGCCTAAGAGAACCTAGATACCTCAACAACGTCGATTCAGAGGGGGCGATGCTGCAATGAGGCTCTTTTCAGCCCAATGAGGAAGCCGTTGCGTGATGTTACCGACTGATGGTAGAGATTGGTCCACGTATCACCCTAGCGAGACACGAACATAAAGGGATGGCTGTATTTTTGTGTCAGATATAATGATACCTTTGTGCATAGCTTATGCATTTCATAAGTATTGAATCCCATCGTAATAGCCGGGCTAATGCACGCCTTCGGACTCTTGGCCATCGCCTAGCCGTCGTGGTTTGGTGGCTAGACGTGGCTGCATATATGCGGCCCTTATCACACCCTCCATCACGCGAAGGCGACGAGACACATCGCAAATTCGGAATAGTGTAACACCCGAGCGGCAAAATCAGGTCAGCTGTGTCGTCAAACGGCAGTGATCTGCTCGTTTTCCCTGACTGGCACGCCGAAGGCTTGCAGAAAGTGAGAGTAGCAGTGAACACAACTGTGTTATTCACGAGACCTGCACCTAGCCGCAAATTCCCGCGATGCAGTTACCTAATCTACGTCCTATGAAGGCTCTGCCCGACCACTCACTTGCCCCCGAGCCCACGAACAGATGGGCAGAATGGTGAAAATGTAGAGCCCAGTCTCTCAAGCAATGTTCATCTCGGCGCCTTGATTTTACTCACGTCAGAAGTGAAGCGAGGATCATCTGGTAGACTCGAAGGAATATAAATATCTGCTCCTCGCCCTCCATTGAAGCGGTCAACCTCAACAATCACTTGACGATTGATTTGCTTTCCCTACGGTGGACCGCCTCCCCAGGGCACATATCTAGTGCTTGGCAGAGAGGCAGTGATCAGCGAACCCCTCCTCATCTGCTCAAGTGTTCAGCAGGAGCTGAGGACGACTTGTGCGGGTGGAGAAAGCATTGCATGGGTCATTCCAAGGAATGTGCGGCTCGGCGAGTTTAATGTTGTTTTAGCCATCACTGACGCCCCAAGGGCGCTCACTACCTATCCAATGTTACATCTTTATAGGACGGACCCCATTTCATGTCACAGTGGGAACACCGGTGCGCAGAGCAAGAGACGATCGAATTTCATTGTTCATAAGACTAAAATACATAAAAAATGACAAAGGGAAAAAAAAATAACTAAATAAGTATGAAGTTCGATTAGTCTAATAGAGCCATTGCTGCTCAGGCAGCTGCTCGGGGGGCAGTTGATCATCCTGCTGATCCTCTTCAGGGGCCTCTCCAAGCTGTTGCGACTGAAGATCTTGCTGAGATAGATTCTGAGGCTCAACAAATTCGTCCCAGCTGAACGCGAGAGGGGGTGGAATCAGCGCTTGGGGGGGCATGTTTGCTGCCATAGCCTCCGCTAATATAGGTAGCACCGTATTAATTACCCTGGTTTACAGAGAGACCAAGTCGATGCCCCGTAACGGTACACCAAGCTGCTGCAGAGCAGTAAGGATTCGGCTATTGGAAACTTCGTCTCTGAATGCACGTTCCCTTATGACCCCTAGAGGATCGTCGAAGGTCAGGTAGACATAAGGGGAAGCAGGCCGGTAGGTGGCACTTGGGAAAACAAGGTTATAAATGAGATACTATTTGTTCCAATCGCTTGAACGCCTTGCGTCGGAAAAGGCCTGGCTAATTTCCTCGTATCTCTGTACAGTGAGAACATGTTCTGGTGGCTGGGTGGGCTCGCAGGTATTCTTCTGGGTGTGGCCCCCCCAGCTCTGATTATCGGGAAATCCTGCGAAGCAAATTGGACAATAATACTCGCTGATGGTGTGGATTCTCTCGAGGTGACCCTTGACGTCTGCCACTCGTTTGAATCCATATTTGCAGTAGTAACGCCAGTGTCTCCAAGGATCCCGTTTGTAGTAGGGACAAGCGAAGTATTGGGGGACCTGGCCCGAGCCTAGATGCCGTCGCTTAGGCGGACCTCTCCCTTCCTCGTCACCTCTATCCTCCTCTTCTTCTGCTTCTTTCTCACCGCCGATGTTAGCTCGACCCCTCTTCTGATGTGGGCGACGTGTCATGCCTCTACCAGCCGCGGTGGAGGGGGGGCCACAACTGGATGGCGGGTCGGTCTGGCAGCCACCATCCAGCACGCGGTCGGATGAACATTCCTCATAGAGGTGATTTTGAAAAGCGTTGGTTCTCGTTTTTTGTGTGGTATTTGATGGTTTCAGGATATTTATCGGATTCAAATCGGCCGTTGCAGGAGTATCAAAAGGGTGATCAAGTATCGAGGAGTACAACTCGGCTATCAATCGGGGTCACATTAGCAAAACTGAACTTCTGAATTATGACAGAACTGTGCCGACAGCTGCAGCGCAGTGGCAAACTGCAGGCCACTGCAGGTTGTTGCATAAAGAGTGGAGGATGATGTGCTCACCGTCATAGGATTCTGCTCCTTGGCTGAAGGGGAGGGCGGATCGAGCCAGGAGAGCATCCAGGTTCGGCTGCACACCCTCTTCGTTGTCGTTGTAGCGACTTTTAAATAAACGGGCTGCGCCCATTCGGCGCGGATATGGTCGCGGACCTGTCATTATTCTTGACAGCTCGAGTCCGTTGCCACTCCGTGAGGTTCCAGCTGCAGTTGATGTAGCTGCCGCCATCCTGGTCTGTGCCAGTTTGTCGGAAGCCATCACTTTCAAAGTAGGCCAATGTTTTGAGACCAAAGATCACTGACGGTAGCAGAGCAGACAGGTTGGCTTGCAGATGGCGTCAGGAGAGCTCATGGTACGAGAAGGAAAGGGAATTTATCAGAGGCAGAATGGCCAGATGGGAGATGCCCCCTTACCTCGACCATCCGACGTGGTCATCAAATTTGTGAAGACCAGGCGCACCTGTGAGTTCTCTCCCTCCGGTCAAACCTTCTTACACAGCCGCCCTAGGCTTCCTCACAACCGCGTTTGGAACATACGACAACACACGCTAGTAAGCCCAAGACCCTACTAGAACAAGACCGACTAGGAGTCAGGCAATGATTCCTTGTTCTGAAATGGCAATTTGAATAGCAGTGACACGCCAGACACTGTTTGCTAACCGCAGCCTATGAAGCTTCGGCTGATTTTTCACAGTCTCTATAACTTCATACAAGCAACCAAACTGCTTGTAAGGTGTGTATTGTAGTGAAAGTGATGCACACTATAGGTTTCTAATGCGAATTTCAGATCATACTTGCATTTCTTGGTGTTATGCCTCTTAAACACCCCCAGAATCTTGAGATTCTGCCTCGGGGATCTGTAGTCCTAGGCAATGCCAATGCCAGATGACCTAGCGTGTCGAAGTGACATGTGTTAAACCTAGAGTGTGGACCTGACGGTCAATGGCAGCGGTAGCCTGGGAGGGAAACATCATAATAGAATTATTTCAGAGGTGATATACCATAAATCCATTTTGTTCTACTTGGGCAAACGCAGACGGTTGCATGAACTTGCTTTTGTGAGCGGCATGTGGTGTGGGTGAGTGTCGACGACTTCCATTCTGATGGCTTGAATAGATCAGTCGGCAAATTCGATAGTTTCGAGCATACAATAAGGTCAGTTCACTGTTTACAGTTGTCTTGGGCAGCGTTATCCCGGTCAACCCGTGCATGAGGGCAGCATATCCTTGACAATCAAGCCGTGTGATCATGACAGCAAGCACAGAGTTTCCCTTGCGCCCCCCTTCACCGCCATGAGCAACAAAGGGTCTTAAATGGTGACATTTACCTAGCAGGCAAAGCTCCTCGGAGATTGGGATCTCATCTGACCGGACGTACTTGAATATCATTGGTGATAAGAGCAACCCACACATGCAATGTTCCCCGAGGGTGGCGAGGAGATGGGGCGGGCACACATGTCTCTCCTCTTGCACCCCATCTTTTCCCATAGGCAATACAGCCCCGCACCATGGCGAAAGCCGGTGAGGGCAAGTGGAAAAACGGAGACAAAATTAGACCAAGAATGCCTCCTTGCACAGAGTTGCCCGGCACTAAGTTTTTGAGAAATAACGACAGCCCCGAAGGAGCCGGCATTCACGACACCACCTGCTGCAAAAGGGCACAGTAGGCATTCTGTAGCCGGTACTTCAAGCTCTCTGGGAGTGACTTCTTCATCACATCGGATAATACATGACCAGCTGAAGGATGACTGTCGTGGTACCCCAGGTGCAGATATTAGCGCCCAGCCACCAACAAGCTCTCGACGCGCCCCTCCCCTCCTCTAGATTACACAACGGATCTAACGCCGTTGCTCTTGGCGTCTCTAGCTGCAGTCAAGGATGTTTTACATAATAATGGAATGAAGTTTGCTTCCAACAGCGTGTTCTATATTATCTAGCGCACAACTAGCACCTCACGGGGCGGCGCAGATGCCACGTCTCTAAATCTACCTACCCAGTCTATAGACGCCTAGAGTAACCACAAACATGTATGACTGCGCACCTAACCCAGAACCTTAACTTCCGTTTCAGCCGGTGATGGGATGATTCCGTAGACTTAGAAGACAGCGCCATAATCTACCAAAGGGGGGGCTGTATGAAGACATACGCAAGTCACACTGAGCAATCACATGGCATGGTGGCGAACAATTCAGATGGATTTAATGCAAGTGAATTGCACAATTCAAAAGAAACATTCGGACCGACAGGCAGAGAGTGTTCGGGCGCATGCAATTGGGGGCTTGATAATCACCCCCTGACAGCCAGCGCCAACAAGGCTCCTTCATCTCTAGACCCGACCTACCAAATCAGATCGTTTGTTCGGTAACCGGAGGGCAGTACCATGAAGCAGCTGATGATCCCATGGATCAGGCAGTATTGGGCATCAACTAGTTTGAAAACACCCCCTTAAAGTCCCGGGAAAAGACCCTTTAGAAACCAACGTCAGCATGCCTGGCTTCCTCGGCTTGCACACTCGCGTCCGTCGAGTAACTGGGTGAACTGGGGTGTACGAGAGGTAATGCTTCACTCAGACTCCCCGGGGCAATGCCCACTGTCTGTTCTTCTAGCTGGGGCGCGGAGGCCCATCACAACTCCTTTGATCAACATCTTCCATACCCGTTCCTCATTGATGAGAGATAATATACTAAGATTGGACTATGTATAATTAATTAACTTGATAATTTTTAAATCTTTATTTAATAAATTATATATATATATATTAAATTCCTCTATTATAATTATTATATTGGAGAGGTGTTGTAGTTGATTGTGGATAATAAGCGTCCCCCTTGGGGCCTATGGCCAAGTTATATACTTGGCAAGCCCTTCTTAGAGTTTTTGGAGAAGCTGTTGCCTTGCCTTAGCTTATATAAATAAAAAAGTAAAAAAAAAAAAATAGAATTAAAGGTTAGGTATAGACTGAAACTTAGTTAAAAATAAATTATATAGATCTAGTTATATATAGTCTGATCTTAGGATATCTCTTATATATAGTAAAAACCTTAAAAAAATTTAAAACATTATTATATAATTAATATTATCTTTAGAGAAAAAACTTTTTAGATTAAACTATAAGAAGCTATAATTATTATAATATATCTAAGATATTATTTTACTAATTTTTTAAAAAGAAGTAGAAATATTATATATAATACTTAATAGAAATAGATATACTTATTTTTAATATTAAACTACTAAAGATTTAAATCTAAAAGAATTTTAAATTTTTCTAACTCTATTAAATCTTAATAAAAATTAATAACACTTTTAAGATTGGATTCTTAAGCTTTTGTTTATTAGATATTTCTCCTACTAAGCTATTATAATAATATCTTTTATTTATTAAAGATGGACAGTTGAGGGGGGTGGACTGTTGATCTGGGTACGACTCAGCGATGTGCGTGAATGGATGGAGGGTGCATGAGTGTTTAGGCACCCAAGTCCTCGACCTTCTGTTACACTCTCGCAATGTCTTTTCGTTGCCTCCGACCTTCATTATAACCGACACAAGACTCGAAATATGCCTCTCTGCAATCGCTGCAGAACCCTCACCATCGACGAAATCGTCGATAACGACGTCCTTTTCCACTCTGATATCTGCGCGTTGAAGTCCAGTGCGGAGCGGGGATGCGAGTTTTGCGTGCTCTGTTGGACAACCATCCAGACCGCCAGTCGCACACAGCTGGACAAGCTTCTCAGCGGCAAATCAGCTTGGCCTGAGGGTCAAGAATGGACTCCGACGATGTGGCTACGTGGCGGTCACTTCTTTGAAGCGGGCTCGGCGGGCGTCTATATCCTTGTTAGCTGTGGAAAGGCAACATGGACCAGCGCAACGGATTCAGACATGAACGGTTCGCCCAGCGTTACGTCAAGACTTGAGGTCTATCAGTATGGATTTGGACCATCTTCTTTTCCCCGTTAGTTAACTGCTGGTCATAGTGTGCTAACATTCCTGCCAAGGCTACCTGGGTGCCCATCCAAATATCGCCTCCGCGGGCGACGATGCACTGCGGATCAAGATCCAGACATGTATATTCCAATGATTCAGGACTGGTTGAACCACTGTCACATGAAACATGAAAAATGTGAAATTGGCAGGAGCAGGGAAATGCCTACTAGGGTCCTAGATGTTGGCGACTCGGTTAACAGAAAACCCATCTCTTTGGTCCACACCCAAAGGGTATGCGACGACTACATCGCTCTCTCCTACTGTTGGGGAGAGGTTGGGAACGATATTCTCACACTTACTACTGCGACTTATGGGGCCATGAGAGGTGGGATCGCAGAATCAGCTCTTTCCAAAACCCACCAAGAGGTCATCTCCCTAGCTCGCACTCTCGGGATTCGATACGTCTGGGTCGATGCGCTGTGCATCATTCAGGGCGACGCAGAGGACTGGGAGCGCGAGTCTAAAACTATGGCACAGGTTTACGGAAACGCTACGTTAGTAATTATAGCTGGACGATCGGCGGATTCTCGCAGGGGCTTCATCACCAACAACTTAGCCTCCAATGGACGTCCGCCTCCTTGTAAATTGCCTATCGATGAGTCAGAGCACTCGGGCAGTTTGATGATTGATATACCCAGAGTGAGCGATATTGGGCCCGTCTCCACGCGAGGGTGGTGCTTCCAGGAAAGGCTGAGTTCTCGGCGATCAGTCATTTTTGGGGAGGAGCAACTCATATTCGAGTGTGTCACTGAATTCGCGTTGGAAAACGGCTTGCTTGAAACCAACAAAATTCGACCTACATTCCTACAACCTCCACCTCCTCCACCTCTCTTCAGTTACCACAAGAACTTCAGACACGGAAAGACCAAGTACTTCGAGACTGGTACCATCTCTTGTACCGATTCGTTTTTTGCCACCTGTCCAACCCCCACGATATATTCGCTGCCATCGCCGCCATCGCCCAGCAAGCCTCGCTCGTCCTCAAGTCCCGGTATTTAGCAGGAATATGGGAATGTGACATTGTGCGTGGCCTACTATGGAGGCCCTGTTATCACTTCCAGGCTCGGAAGAACATGCCCCTTATGACCCGGCCAAAGGCGACGAAGCTCACGAAGGAGACTGGAACAGTGCTACGAGCGCCGTCGTGGTCCTGGGCGGCGGTCGAGGGTCCCGTGGCACAGGTGAGTTTTTCACCTCCCTCGGTGGCGAAGTACAAAGATCCATCAAATATCAAAGTTCGTCCTGGACATGCGAATCCCGAAAGGTGGACGCTGGATGATAGCTGCGGCGTAGGGACGCTGCACATGCCGAGCTGTAAGTTGCAGCTTTGGGGACACCTAGCCCATGCTGAGGTGCTTTATACACCGGCCGCGGAATATCTTGTATTGAGACCGGCGTGGAGGAAAGTTGCGAGATGGGCTGCAAAGGAGAATGGGGTGTTATTATTGGATAAAGAAGAGCCACGGCCTGAGGCAGAGGAGGGAATAATGTTGGAACGAGTTGTTGCAATGGGATTCTTTGATGTCAAGGAGGAGAGACTTGGGTTGTCTGATGTTTGGTGTTTGCTAATTATGCGGGATCAGGGGCTTATGTTAAAGAGAAATATGGATGGATCATATAGTCGTATTGGATGGTTTTTACCTGAAAAGGAGGAGTGGCTCAAGGGTCAGGTACAGGCTCTAGTTCACCTTACTTAAATCTTACAAGAGTTATCTTATAACTCGAGCAAGCCTTTAATGTTTAGAGCTTTAGTACTAATATAAGACCTATAAATTATTATTTATTTACTTAAATCTATATAAGTTATATGCCAGCCGATCACAGCCTAACCGCGACAAACGATTGACGAACACCCACACGCAGAATTTCACATTTCACAACCGCAAAGGGCGCCGGTACGATCGACTCCCATGCGGATAAATCCTTCACCGACGTAGGGCCTTGAAAAGTTACATGAACCACGATCGATTAGAACCAACGTCCTGATAGAACATATATCAACAAGATACGGGTGCAATATGTCCACACTTGTGGTGTCCAATTATTAAAGCGGCACTCAGCTCCGCCGTTAGGATAAGGATAAGGACGCTAGGATATCCCCCAGCAAGACCCGTTGTTAGCCGGCGACCCATCCACGACGATCAGGGTCATCGCTGGCTCTGCATCGTGGAAAATTCATTGACACCCTATCGTCTCCGAACCGTAGTAACAGTCCTCAGACAACCTTGTCGCTTGCCCCTGTGGATAGAGTTTGCCAAGGCTCGTCTGGGAAATTAAGTTACATTACGTCAAGTCCAACGTTAAGTCAGTCACACCACGGTCAATCTCTCTCTTCCCTAAATGCGGTGAGAAGCACCCCCATACGATCAGGAGCATGGAGGACCTCGCGGCAACGTACCATGCGCAGGGACGATACGACGAGGCCGAAGAGCGGCAATGGCGTGATGATAGATAGAGCGGGCTGCTCTGGATTAAGGGCGACCCCGGCAAGGGCAAGACGATGCTTCTGTGCGGAATCATCGACGAACTGGAGAAAGAGTCCACGAATTGACTATCCTACTTTTTCTGCCAAGCCACTGTGGACCAAATGAGCAATGCGACAGCCGTGCTGCGCGGTCTTATCTGGCTCTTGATTATCCAGCACCCATCACTCATATCGTACGTCCGGGTTAAGTACGATATCGGGGGAGAAACTAGTCGAGGGCATCAATGTCTGGGTGTCTCTGACGGATAATGAGTTGCGACCTGTGATTTCCTTGGTCTGCCAGCAACGTCGTTGGGCCATAGGGCTCGCAGCCAGAGTAAGATGTCAGTCCGCTCAACTAAGTTGAGACCTGGCACGTACCGGACGCCGATGCCAAGACGGTTGGCCAGTCTATCCAGGAGTAGGGTTGCAACGCCGCCCGCAGTACGTGGGGCGCTCATCGAGCCAAAGGCGACTACGGAGGTGGTCACAACACGTCAGCGGCATAACGAAGACCGCTGACGGCGAGTATCGGTGACCGTGGCATGAGTAAGGACTTGCATGGAACAAATATAGCTTTACTCATTTGACTGTGAGCCGTCGCATCTCCTAACAAGTGATGTACCGTGTCTACTAGAGCCGATCATTGCAACATGGGCAAAAGTAACCCTTGCCCCACTACCAGGTTCGCGGAGGCGGAGTAGATTCATGACCGACGAGTGGATTAGGTGCGCAGGCGTAATGACAAAAGCATAGGAATTTATTCTGAATGAATAGAAATAACCATTAGTCTAGTCCTCTCCGCATTTGCGTGACAACATTGGGAAAACCCCAGGGGGGAAACCCATGCCGAGAGTGAATTCCGTTTAAAGGCACAAAGACAAAAAAAGAAACACAGCTTAATTATTCGTGTTCTCTCCCACCCTGCCTCGCTCTTCCGACTCAAATAGTCAAGAGTCTGACGTCATCCTGGAAATGGCCATCAAATGCCACCTTAACATCATAGTGAAGCCACACTTCTATGCTGTATATCAGCAAATTGAATGGATACAAGGACAGGAAGGATATCTAGAATTGACTGTACCGTTTCCATTCTTTAAATAGAGATGTATCTCTCCTTTCGCGAGGAAGAGATCAATCCTTCCCACAATGCCATCTTTCAAATTGCCGAAAAGGTTGAAGATATGTGCCCCAAACACGTCAACCCTAACACCTACCTCAAAACTGTCCGTATCGATGTAGCCAATGATCTGGAAAGTCAGTGTATGATACTAATTACGGAGTCTGCAAACTTACCTTGATCGGCCCGACAGAGAAATCAATACTCTGAGTGTTTTGACTTCTGGCAGGAGGAACTATAGGTAGTGAATTGACAGTTGGAATTTGCGTGGCACTGAAGATGGTTGGCTCGCCGTGCCTCTTCTCTTCCTGTGCCACAGAGACAACGAAGCCTGGTTGAGTTGGCTAAGGTCAGTCACAACATTTTCATACATACCAGCGCGAACTTCGTCAACTGTTAGTGACATTGTGTGCTATTAATGGTAGTGTAACCGGGTTTTGAAAGTATCGGATGATCTTGCTGTAGTGATTGCTAGATATTGAGAATAATCCTTACCTATATTTATAGTCCAACATGATACATTAGGAGCTAGTGGACAAAAGCAACGTTAAGTAATCAATAACCTGACGTGACTTTCTAGTCTACTCTAAACATTATACTTAAGTTACCTTAGTCTGAAACCCCTAAGCTTTTTATCTAAACTACATGATCCAGACCATGGCGAGTGTAGTTCTAGACCATAAAGATGCCTGAAGCAGCTATTATACACGTCATACTTAAGTTACCTTAGCATTCCTTTGCCTCAGAAAAGTAGCCGCAAGCGGCAACGGCATGACGTATTTAAGCATCGAAATAAACTCTGCCATCCACTGGCTTATCCATTAATTAGATCTGTCACTCAATCCTTAGGCCTCTTAGTGCTGCGCCGCTCAACCGTATTTTTTGCTGTAGGCTGGACAGGATTTAATGACTTACTACTAACGCCAGGTTTGAGGCTGCTAATAGAAACATCCATACTTTCGATGTACAGCACATCTACCGGGCACGAAGACCCTTTGATTAATATCGTACTTCACAAAACAGCAATTACACTGTAATCTATATCCAAATATTTTATTAAGCAATCACCACGTTTCCGCGCAAGGCGTCACATGCTTGCTATTACTGGATTGTTCTCGATCGTTTGATAGGAATGAAGGCGTCGAGATTCCAAGTATTAATTATATTTATATATTATATTACCCTAAGTTTCAGTTCTCGACTTTAGACGAGCCCTATCAATCTTCGCCAAGGCAACTTTTTCGCCGCGGGGAAAGAGGGTGGGGGGAGGGGGGAGAGGTGTGTTGCTAGAGAGGGCAGCTACCTGAACCATTGATATATGCGGTATGTAGCCTTTCCGTATATCCCGCAAACAAGCCAGACCCCTATGGAAATGCTTTCTTCTGTAATGTCGTCAACGTGGCTAAAGTTACAATAGGTTACTGCCGCCTATATCCACTGCAGCTTTAATTTGTATATATATATTAGCAGAGGTATAAAAACCTATAATACTTAAGTTTTTACTATAATTTACTACTGGAAAGTCCCTTTAGAAAAAAAGCTTATAGTAAATAGTATACTTTCGTATTTCTTAGAAGTCCAGCCTTAAAATTCTTAGCCTAATATTTTTTTTTTACTACTATCTTCTTATTTCTGGGAGGGTTGGAACGAAATGGCAACGACAAGAAGAGTTATCGAGCTGTGCGACGGTACCTGGTGCGGTCGAGAAACGAACACGATAAGCAATATCAATATCCTTTCGCGGATCATTGGGATCAATTTGACCGCGAATCCCGCTGTCTATACCTTGCTGACTGGCGATGTTTGTGCCAGGTATTTCGACGGGGTCGGCTTGGGTAGTGATTTTATGAATTATCTCTGGAATGGCGCTTTTATGATGCAGGTGAAAAGGGAGTGTACTGATGTTTACGATTTTATTGTACAGAACTTCGCTTAGACTGCGTCCGTGTATACAGAGGTATGGCTGTTTGGGATTAGTAGGGGTGCCTATATCGTTAGATCGGTCGGTGGTATGATCAACAAGTGCGGAATCATCCAAAACCAAGCGAACGAGGTGTTGATCGACCAGGTCTACGACATCTACCGAAGCCCGCATCTCCCTTCGTCACCCGAGATGATCCAGTTCAGAGCGAATGGCAGTTATGCGGTGCGGTCGCCAATTAAGTTCATGGGCATATTCAACACTGTTGGAAGTCGCGGCGTGCCGAGGCTGAACTATCACACTGGATCTGGATTCGAGTGGCCCGAGTCACATGACAACATAGTATCGACCGCCGTGGAGAAGCTCTACCATGCCGTGGCCATGCACGACCGTTTTTGGGCATTTCAGCCATGCCTAGCGTCGAGGAAGCCAAGGCAGGCGGGCGTTGTAGCTCCTGTTAACTTCAAGATCCGCCAAATGTGGTTTCCGGGCTGCCATTACGACATCGCAAGGCAGGAACTCCAGTTCCTGCGGGAAGGAGGCACGAGGCTGGAAAAAACCTTGTTCCCTATACTCCACATATTCAGTAACACTGTCTATCCCAACGAGAAGCTCGCAGATCTGGTCCTGCTGTGGATGCTTCAAGGCATAAATGCAGAGGGTGGGGGAACTATTGTCCGCCAGAACACTGCAGGCAACACGTCCAACATCGCGACAGAAATAATCAACATCCAAGCCCTCATCACGACGAAGAGCAACGGCATTGGCGACGTGTACGACAACATCCTCACCTACCTTCCGGGGGGTCAGCTCTTCTCCACTCTGGTAACCTGGTGGAAGAATCTTAACAAGACTGCGTACGCTATCTTGTTCGAACCAGTAGACAGGTGGATACCCGATCCGGGTATTGGTAATGGGATTGCCGCTCTCGTGTGGAATCAAGTCTACCACTACACGAGGGCTGACTCTGACATTGGAGGTAATGTCATTGAGAAGATTGCTGATGTCCAATCGCCGCAATATCCGTCACAATCTTACCAGAATTATCTCACGTACATGGCGGCGGTTGGATGGCAAGCCTAGCGGATGGCGGCAGCGCAGACTCCAGGTCTTTGGCAGGCGCCCTGACTCAAACCAAAAAAAAAAAAAGAAAAAAAAAAAAAAAAAAGAAAAAAAAGGTATGACGAGATTATGGGGTGTCGCGAGTGAACGCACATGGCGGACACGCTTGGAGGGCCTGAGCTACTGCCCTGTGACTCCGTTACTTCTTAGAAAGAGCTTCCCTCTGCGGAGCCCAGAACAAATGGATGATCTGGCAGTTCTAGGGTAGCCGCTCGCTGTGTAAGAAATATCAGATATATCAGATGGATAGACGCCTGTATCTGAGTTGATTGATCTGATAAAATTCTATATCTGATTTAAATTGATTGATCTGATTGATATATCTGATTGTTAATGTGATCTGACGGCAGCCCTGATTGTCGTGCCGTCGCAGCTCCCTTCCCGGAGATTTCAAGACCATAGGTGTCGAACCCATGCAGGGCTAAAGCTACAACATCGTAGCCTTTGCCGCAGCCCTACAAGCACGACATCTTTCATTAGTGCGACAAATTCTAGCGGAAACGGAGTGTCGAAAGGCATGTGTGTAATACGTACAGGAATGAGGGCTTTGGGTCGGCGTTTCTTAAGAATGTTGGAAAGAACCTCGGGCTTGGACTCGATGAATTCGATGAGGGCCGCGGAGGGCTTCCCACGATCCACAGGTCGGACTGATCCGTCTCCCATAGTTCGGTCCATCCAGATACTTGTTGCTTGCTGGTGTCTCTGTGGCTTTTGTTAGCTCGGGACGATTCATCAAGGCAAACCTGCATCTTCCGAACCTATCACGAAAATGCGAGATCAGACGACCTGGTTGGTCTGATTCAGTAGCTGCTATTTTGACCCCTCGACTTGGATATATTAGCGATGAGAAGAGCTTTGACCACAAGATCCCGCTGCTGTAACGTGATGCTGTTTTTGATAGGAGCGCTAGCGTTTGTCTCATTTCCCGACCCCTAGGGATTTGTACTTGCCGAGACGGTATCTTTATACTTCAAGTCATGCATCTTCAATGCTCTTGGGCAAATGCCATATAGCGCCTTACAAGTGAGGGGCGCTTTGTAATAATGGAACAAGAGGTGTCATTCAACGCCCTACCTAGTAGGCCGTTCCTCACTGAAAATAGCCACATGCGTCATGGTTATCTTGCTCTCTTGGCGTTAGCTAGTATGTACAACACGATCGGAGGCGAAGAATCCGGCGAGGATTGCTCGTTTCATTGTGGCACGAATATGTATCGGCCATACCCGATGCCAGATCACCTTTTGGATCGCTCTGGGATCTGCGTCTCTGTCTCTGTTAGTTTTGCCCTTTGTAACCGCTGGAACCCCGGAATGTAAGTAGAGGCAATCTAGTGAAATGAGTAGTGAAAGAGTTTAAATGTTGCGGGAATATGTTAAATATTAGCAATTTAGCATTGACAGTACATGGGCATTATTGATAGGTTATAAGATTTATGGATTATAATTATTCAATGGATGTCTACTAGCATCAAAATCTCACTAATCCAAAGCTATCTCTATCATCATCGCGAGCCTCAAAAAATCCCAACAAAAGTGTTAATACAGCAGCTGGAGGTTGGCTAAACTAAAGTATGTCGGTTTCCGAAAGCCTGATACCTCCTGCAAACCACATCTCGATAAGAAAGAATAAAACGATGCTTCCAACGAAGGTACTCCTGACGAGATATTCTGCTCTTGTCTTGATTTGCCTTTTCTTTATTATCTATTCGACCATCAGCTATAGGAATTGCAGCCCAGTAATACCAGGTACGGCCGTGGTGCAGGACCTTTGTAAAAGCTGCAACCATGATTTTGTATCCCAATGTTCCAGGTGCTAGATAATAAAAGAAGGGTGAAAAACTCCAGGAATTATTGTTGCTAGAAGGCAGAATATTATTCGAAGCCTATATTGCGCCTCTCTTCGATATCGCTTTATCGCCTTAACTTGCAAAGAAAGTGTAAACTAACTAATAAATAGCAAATATGTAGAAAGTATTGCTAAGAAAACTAGTATATTTTTAAGAGCTTCCGGTAAATTATAATATTCGGCTATCGGTGTAACGCCTTGATAACCCGCTAATGGCAGGGATATTAAGACTATGAAGAGTATTATGAGAGCAAAGTTAGCTCTCTATCGAGGCCACTTCAATTGAAACAGCCAAACTATATAGGTAATCCATATTATCGGTACTAAAAGGCTATAGACTAAGAATAGGAGTACTACTCTACGTATAGTACCGAGGACCCCTGTATGAGTTTGTTATATAAGGTATGCTCCTGCGCCGGTATAAGATGTAAGAATAATGGCTAATGAACTAAGAAAAGATATGAATAGCTTATATCTGGGCTGTCTAAAGTAAGATAAAGTGTCTGAAGCCGGTCGCCGAACTATTTGAAATAGCTTCTTATATGATGACCAGTGATCGATGAGCTGAGGAAAGGGTGCCGTCAGGAGGATCAGCGGTATAATCTGGCTAAACTGCTAATTGTTCTCTTCTGAAGGACCTTAGTTGATACGGAAGGTGAATAGGCGTATTATTGCCCAAGCTGTACAGATGCTGACCTAGTATACCTATTAATAAAGTCAGCGGCTATCAGTTTGTTTTAGGCTTGTTTTACTGGATAAAATGCCCTACCTCCCAGAGAAATGAAGTAAATAGGTCTAAATGAATGTGCAGAATACGAAAGAAGGTGAATAAAAATGGATCGGCTAGTCTTACTTTGATATACTCGCTAACTGTATGGTATAACAGAGGGTCCTAATTATAAGTTTGACTATCACCAAGCTGCCTCTTCTCAGATTGCTGTCGAAGTCGTAATATGCACTCTCTGAGCTTATAATTAAAATTTACCGATATTTTGGCTAAGCGAATTAAAAACCCCCGGACCATAAAAATAAGTATTATAATTATAGACTTAAATGAAGGTGTGTTTACAGGTATCTTCTGGCCTAGATACCGAATTGCAGGCTCCTATGGTTGTATAGGCGAGCAATTAGCAGTACTGGGGTCTTTGGGTTATCCGATTTCGAAGTAACCGGTAAGTCTAACCGTAAAAGAAAGCAGACTGAATATGATATCCAGAATGGTAATACGCCAAAATCTCTGGGCTGGATAGTTTGCTAAGTGATTTCGTAAGAAAGATAGAGCAGATAAGGCTGTAATGAAAGCAAGCTATCCCAGTCTTGCCATAATATCCAAGTGGTAGACCTGTAGGCTGTGCTTAAGCTCTCGAAGGGTGCAAAATAAAGCTGCTGTCCCTGTGAAAACCTGGGTGTTAAAGAACGTTAAAACGCACTAGACCGGGTTAGAATATTCTTTAATAGCTGAAGGTGACTTATACTATTTAGAGCTGCTTTAAGCTCCTCAGTTTTAATAATGCTGAATAAAGGTAGTTTTACGAGATCCGGAATGCTTCAGACTAGACCAAGTATAATAATATCGATCGAATTAGGGAACTGGTATTTTTTTAATCTTTTATCCTTTGATCGGAATGGGTCCAGCTCTGGATTAAAAGCCAGGATATAGTATCCTAAGAGCAAGGAAATAATTATTAAGGTTATAATAATGAAGCTCAAGATAATCTGGTGGAGTTATTGTTAATACTTTATTTTATTACTGCGATGGTAGAGTATGCCTATGCCTATACCTGCTATATCACTATATGCAGATATATCTGTTAGACTCGTTTCGGATGCGTGGTTACGAGCGGTGGCGTCCATTGAGTAGTAGAAAAGAACTTTGGCCTATATTTTATGGCGTTGAAGAAATGTGTGCAATAGAATGGAGATAAATTGGAGCTACACGAGAACTGCCTAGGAAATCTGACTGTGATTTTATTCCATCGCTAGATAGGCTTTCTCACCATTCGTTTATTAAGCCGAATTATCCATTCCTAAGAGATTCGACTTGAGTCAAACAAACGGGCGACACTCGTGGACATCAGCCTCCATACCTCGTATGACCGGCGTCTCACAATAAGTTAAGCTGCAGTGAGACATATGACTATCATCTCGCCTGGTTACTGCAAACAACTCATTCAGCTTTCGGTCTGAATAATTGAAACAATACTGCGTTAGTGCAAGGCATATAGACTCAAACATATGTCAGCGGATATCTAGATGTGGACAAGGTGGGGTTCTCCCAAGCAAGGGATGCATATTAGCAATGGCCCTTTTCGTCACTTTATCATCCTGTGCCTGCACGGACTGCTACCAGCTAAGTGAAATGGATTATTCAGAATATGCGTGGGTCTGATCAGGGCAAATATGCATATTCAGAGCTCTACACCATACACTACAGTTGGTTGTGTTTTGTTACGAGATTCCTACCCAGACTGTAACGGCCGGTCTTGAAACTGTTGGATCGGAGGCATAACAGTTGAGCAGATTGGCCACTATAATACGTCATCAAGCGTGTCGCCAAAGTATGTTGTTATGAAACGTGGAAGGTATCATTATAGCCAATTGTTAAGGAAACGTACATTCGGGTGTTTGTATAAAAGGAGAGGAATTAACAAGATGAATAAAGTTGCACTTTGGTTTGCACTTTGGCTGTAGGAGACACAAGCCGGATCACACAGCATACCTGATTAATCAATCCTTTGAAGAGCCTTAACGTAATCGATAAGCAAGCGGCGTACTTTCTCTAATATAATATATAAAAGCCTCAATTAAAATAGCACTAGCTAATTATCTATAATAATAGTACTAGAAACTAAATTATTAGACTTCTTTTTAACCTCCTGATAGGTTTATTTATTATAACCAGGCTTACTGTAATTACTATATCGCGAAGCCTTTATATATACCTGCTGTCCTTAGCTACTATCTCGACAGTCTTCCCTTTTTAACTGCTTATCTATATCCTTCTAGCCTAATAGATCTATTTTATTCTGTATAGTTAAAGAGCCTCCAAGCTGTATATAGCTTTTTTTAGCTTATTAGCACTTAGTTAGTATCTTATTTACTATATAGAGGTCTTAGACCTCCGCCTGCAAAAGAGCTACCTGCTATACTATTATAGTTATCTCTCTTATAAATTAGTCTATAGTAGCTAGTATAAATATTAAAGAGCTATTTTAATAGGCTGAAATTCGGGATTTAATATACTTAGATTATATACTAGCTTTATATATATTCTTGTTGGAAGGTAACTGGGCTCGTAAGGGCTCTGTATTCAAAAGGTTATATCTAGGTTGCAAAGGCAGCCCGAGGCTAGGCTAGTTGGTCGGGCTTAAGTAGCCCGGCCGGCTAAAGCCCGGCCTAGGGTCTGACCGGCCGGACCCTCGTCAGGGCTCCGGCCACGGCTACGGTTACGGCTAGCTAGCTACAATACAGTTGAATAGGCTGTACCAACAAAAAAAGAATTAAATTAAATTAAATTAAATTATTAAAAAGTTTATTAGAGTAAAAAGTTAAATTAAATAAGATTAATAAGATAGTATTTAGAATATAGCAGATTATAATTATTATAATAGAATATTAAAGAAAAATATAATAGCTAATTATAAAGTTACTATATACTAATTAAAAAACTAAATATAATTTTATATAGTATTAAAATATATATAAATTATAAAAATATTTAGTACTTTATAATAACTTAATAGCTTAATAGAAAATAAATATATTATATTAAATATAAGCATCTTAGTTGTTGGTAGACCGCAAGAGTGCCTCCCAGTCACTACCGGCGAAGAGAACGCCGCTCGCTAGCCGCCTATGCATTCACAATATTGCCTTGCCAGGCCGGTGCTGGAAGCGAGGTTAGTAAATGAAGAGTTTCTTCTCATGTCGCCTAGTAGCTGTCGAAACAACGCCTATCGCCATGGCTGACCTCATTTTCCAAGCCAGCATAGAGTGAGGGTAACTATGAATTTGGACAACGGAGACTCGATGCCGGCCCCAATATATGGGCCATCATCCCCTATCAACGTAAATTATGCCCATATCCATAGACCATAGCCAAACTCATTCATTCGTAGGCATAAGTAGGCTTGAAACTACTGGCGGACTAGTTATCACATCTACCACAATTCCATCATCCAATTCATTTGACCTAAACGAGCCAACTGTGTTTAGATGGCAAGTGCAGTCATTAATAACAACAACCAAAAATGCCCATTACAGCCAACCTATTTGCCGTTGCATCCGTAGCTAGTGACTATGAATTCGACGGAAGATATAGATATAGCGATGAAATATATGATTAAGCGGGTTTTTGAAGGACCACATTGTAGCCCAAACTGTTACCAAGAGCTATAGCTAACAACTACAACTCAAAGTGGCAACCCAAGGCCTAATTCTCTTGAAGAAGCTGCTTTCAGAGGGACACAGCTTACCCTAGGAGCAAAGGTTTTGCAAACACTTATTTCGCTCTAAGTCAAGGGTACCTAGATTGAATCGTATGTTTAATAATCAATTTCAAGCATCGGAGTCAATCTTGACGAGTTGAATCCTCATTCCAGTGTTTATTACAAGGGTGGTAGGTATTTATTCCAGCCAAACAAAGAGATCAAACTAAACCCAACAAAATCAGACGATGCTGAGTCAGGGGAGTCACTAGCTTCAAGTATTAAATATGCCTAGCCTAGCCAGACGCATCTTTGTGCAGTCTGGAGCAGCAAAGGTCAGTCATTGGTCAGCTGATTGGGCAGGCGTTTTCAGCTCGTCCCGCCCGCGCCACATGACAATCTGGACACAACACGCACTCCTCACTCAGGTACAACGGATCAAAGTCCAGGGTCGTGAGCACGTGGAGTTGTCGAAGGCCTCATGAGTTGCGATTAGCGGCAACGGCGAAGGGAAAATCTACCACGACCGGCGATGGCAGGCTTCAGCCAACTGGCTGAGCTGCCGGAGATCGTGCGGGACTCTCAGCTCCCTGCAACGTTCCGCTGGGAGGGCCAGCAACAGTTCACTATCCACACTCAAGGCGCAAGTCGGCGCGCCAAACAGAGCCAAGAAGTCTGGGCGCACATGGGCACATTGGGCCAGGGGGGATTCGGATCGGTCGAGCTGCAGGCCAAGCAGTCTAAGCGGACTGGGCAGACGAAGGAGCTCCGGGCGGTCAAGTCTATCCGGATCCCAGAGGATGAGCTGAATGAGAACCGCGAGTTCTATGTGAGGGAGCTTGAAGCCATCGTCAAGTTCTCGCAAGCACGCGTAAGTGTTGCCTTCTCGTTGGCCAATTTTAATCTGCAGACGCTGATGCTCAGTTCTAAAGTATGGGGAGCTCTTTGTCAAATCATATGGATGGTTTGCGTCCCAAAGTGTCCTCCACATCGCCATGGAGTACTGTGAATTAGGGGATCTGCAGAGATACCTGTTCAAGAAGTGCCAAAATAGACGATTGCCTGAGAACCAGGCTCACGACATTGCTTCCCAGGTGCTCGATGCCTTGACGAGGATGCACGAGGAGAAGTTTGCACATCGCGACCTCAAGCCAGCGGTATGAAGCCTGCTTAACTCTATTTTCTTCTACATGTTCCAAGCTAATCCGTTTCTACGGTAGAATATTCTGATTAAAAGCCATCCGCCCACCCCCATCCGCCCACCCATCCGTGGGTGGTGAAAGTAGCAGACTTCGGCATCAGCAGACGAGATCAAGGCACGACAATGAATCCAACAACCAGTGTGCGAGGTACCGGTTCGTTCATGCCACCAGAGCTGCTCGGATTCAGTGGTGAAAACTCTAGGGCTGTCGACCTTTATGCAGTTGACATGTGGTGTTACGGAGAAACCTTGTTTAGGATGCTGACGGGTGGCGGTACATTTGAAAAGCCAGCAGACTTGTACGGGTATTATTTCGGCCACGTGAAATTCCCAAGAGCTGTTCTTGAGGAGATACAACTGAGCCCTGCTGTGATTGACTTCCTACAGTCTCTGCTCACCTGCGACCCAGCACAACGTCTTACATCGCAAACGGCGTTAGATCATTCGTGGGTGGAAACGGATTTCCGCGGTTCAGATGCATCATCTCGCAGAACATCCCGTCGCTTATCTTCAACCAAGCCATTAGACGGCATCGACCATTCCACATTGGAAAATACCATTGTGCAGATGTCCCAGACAGAGAACACAGATGCCTCGGCCTCCTGGACAGAAAACTTCTCGCAAATGCACCTCGACGATTATCAGCAGACCACCCCATTACAACAACAGGCGGTATCTCACTCACAAAACCATCCTACTACATACTCCTCCAAAGTGTCAGCCGGCAATAAACATACTCAAGCTACCAATGCCGAAGAGGGCGGTCCAAGATTACCGACCTTGAACACATCTTCTGGGAACAGCAGGACATCGAACCAAGGTGATCTGCTAGAAGACACTGCAGCTTCATTATCTTGGACCTCCGCCTTCCCAATGAGTCAAACATTTGAAGGAAAAGGACCTATAGCTGGCACAGACACACCCCAAATACAACCTGCGCAACCAATTTTCACACCCTCGGTAAATTCTCCCAGTCAAAACCCTCAGATCAGCCCCGCCCATGAGGTCGAATCAGAAGCTACGTTGGTCCCGAACCCGAACTCGCAAACCAGGCTCGAGGCAAGTGGCGTTGCAGCATTTGATGAAGTCCTTTATCCTTGGACTCAAAAGTCGGCCCCCATCTCCCACAGAGAGGACTCGGGTTTGGCAGGCATCCCCCAGAATCCACCAAATTCAGCTGGCATTACGCAGGGAAAGCAAGCCGAAACCGCTGCACAGCGCCATGACGCCGCTGATTTTCAAATATACACCGGCGAAGAACTAGGAGCTCAGATGGACTCATTCCGTAAGAGTGATGATTTCACCTCCGCCAAGAGCCACTTTACGCATTACTGGGAAAGTGCAAAGTCGACCATAGGCGAAGAGCATCCAATATCAATTCTTGCTTTAGATTATCTTATAGAGGCAGTGCTCAATCTAGGCGAATACAGCACAGCGGAGAACTTGTGCAGAAGAATGGTCACTCTTTTGATGAAGACACAAGGATCAGACCACACGTCCACAATTTCTAGCAAAAACGACCTCGCATATTACCTCAGAAAGCTTTACCGATTCGACGAAGCCATCTCCATACTACGAGACGTTATCAGCTCCTGCCGACGCAACGGATATCATTCCTTGCTCTACGAAGCCTTATCCCACCTGGTCTGGATTTACCTAGACAAGGGCGACGCCACACAAGCTGAATCGACATTCCAAGAGTATATCAAGGCAAAGGGCAATGTTCTTGGCCATACGCACGAGCAGATCATTGATGATGTTTATGAGTTCGCCATCGCCCTAAGCCGCACATACGCTTATCATGGAGAAGCTTCCAGAGCAGCGCAACGATTCTTCAAGCTTACAGACTCTTTATCGCGGAGCGGTGAGCCTCTTTCGCGGAAGACTCGATCCCAACAACAGGAGCTGATGTTACTGTTGACAAATCCCCAAGGCACGTCTGGCAATAAGAACAGTCGACACCAGTCATCTCCGACTCACGGAGGTGCGACGTCCCACCACAATACTCCTCCCATACGTCTCAAACCGTCACCGTCTTATTATCCAGACAGCCCTATGCCGGGTACTAATGAACCCATCCGTCTGAAACCGTCTCCTGCTTACGGGCCACCATCTTCTTCTTATTACGAAGAGACGAATAATTTTGGCAATTACCCCAGTTCTACATTTCTCGGCCCTGGCGGTGTTGTTGAAGGTGCCGGTGATGAAACGTACGATCAATGGAGGCAGTCAAATACCACCCAGCCCAAAGAGAAGAAGAAGAGATTGAGCAAACTAAGGGATCTTTTCTCGTAATGAAACAATCTATGTGTTCGAAAATATCGCAGCTTATTCTACGCCTAACATTCGTATTTAAATTGCATTGAATTACACGTTTGATTGTGACAGCTCTTCACCTGCATGACCTGTATACCTAGTAATTCTATTTCATAAATGTACATCAAGATAATGTGAGGTGGTATAGCCTTGCACAGATGGCACCTTAATGTTCAGGGTAACTACTCGAATAATCAAATTGTATGGGGGGTGGGATTCCTGGTACCCGTGTGATGATATGTCGTACTCATCTTCTGTCTCAATTACCAGAAACCAATTCGCCTTGCCTGTTTCATCCGATATCCCAACTTCACTATGCCAACATAGCTCATCTTCATCTCGCCTAAAGCATTCAATCAGCTCTCCGGCACAAGCAGTTCACGGACGGCTTTGCCCAGGGTGTGTGGGCCCCTTTTCCCACCCAATGGAGCAATGAGCTTGATGAGCGATAAAAAATTTCCATCCAATAAATCAAAGATAGTTCGCGCTGGGTATTAACCTACATTGGTTAGTTGTCTTGTAAGGGTTAATCACTGGTGAACGAAGCCAAGAATTTGCCCAATTGAATCTCGATTGCCCTCGAATTTTTCTCTCCTTCAACCTAAAATCACGCTGGTGCTGCCAATCCATCGCGATTTATTTCCATCAGATTACGATTACCAGAATCTCAAATTTGAAAGGTTTGCTACTCTCGACGACTTTGAGTGAACGGCGATGCTAATAAATATCGTGTCTCACCAGAGCCCACAGCTGACAGCAGTATGGCGCCTCCTCTTTCCGGAGTCCATGTTCCAGAGGCCACTGGCCATCTGCTATTATCCAAGCCATGATCGATTTTAATCATTCAGGTACTTAGACTTGCATGAGCCGGTGCCCGGTCCTGCTCACCTCTCTCTTGTTCGTGTCTCGGGCCAGAGCCAGCGAACGATTGCGCTGGTTTCTGACCTGACGAGGAGTGGCGACAGGAGCGTGGCTGAGATTATACGGCAATGAACTTGATCTGGATAATACCAGCGAAAGGATCATGCTCCTCCCCTATCCCTTCAGCTTTGAGTAGATGCCCTAACTTGCGCAGGTTAAAGATGACATCCAACCCGTCTTCCCATGCACCAATTGGGGCGGCTCCCGAGGCCACTACCTCCATCAGTGCGAACGAGAAGACGGCCCAGGACGATCACGAAGCGCTTCCGCATGCTTCAGCTGTCGTCGATGGCCAGGATGAAGCGATCGCTATGGTTGGAGAGCAGACGCGCGCTGTTGATCCAGTAGTTGCGGCACGAGCCGTGCGAAAAATCGACCTCTTCCTCATCCCCAGTATGATCCTTGGATGTACGTACCTTCTATCCCGTGCTGTCGGCGTACACTTGCTAACTTCCACCCTCCAGATGGCCTTGTGTACTACGATAAGGCTATCCTTGGATCTGCCGTCCTCTTTGGCATGACCACAGACCTCAGCCTCACCGTTGTTGACTCTTCCACCACCCCGCCAACTGTGGACACACGTCGTCTTAGCTGGGCCACCTCTCTCTTCTACTTTGGAATGTTGGCAGGTCTGTACCCGATGACATTTGCTCTCCAGCGCTTCAACATTGGTCGCGTTCTCGGCGGTGTTGTCATCCTCTGGTCTGGTATCTGCATGCTCACTGCCGCCGTCACCTCCCACCAAGGCCTCTACGTCCAAAGGTTCTTCCTCGGTTTCGTCGAGAGCATTATCCCGACCGGTTTCATGTGCATTGTCTCTGGTTACTACACCCAGTCGGAGCAGTCTCTCCGCCAGAGCTGGTGGTTCTCCTCCACCGGCCTGTTCACCATCATCGGCGGAGGGCTCAACTACGGCTTCGCACAAATCAAAGGGGGTGGGCTTCACAGCTGGCAGTACATCTACCTCATGGCCGGCGCTGTGACTTTCCTCTTTGGTCTGCTGTGCTTTGTCATTCCCAATTCTCCCGTGTCCGCCTGGTTCCTTACCAAGGACGAGAAGTTTGCCGCAGTGGAGAGGCTTCGGTACGGACAGACTGGTGTTCGATGCACCACCTTCAAAAAGTCACAGCTGAAGGAGGCTGTTCTCGATGTCAAGATCTGGCTTGTAGCACTGATGATGGCTTCGGCATACACAGTGAATGGTGCGGTGAGTGGGTTTGGACCTCTGATCGTTTCCACATTCGGCTGGTCAACACTCGATTCAATTCTCTTCCAATTTCCCCTGGGTGGCCTATGCTTCATAGTCATTCTTCTCACTGGCTACCTTGGATCCAAGTTCAACAACATTCGCATCTTCATGCTGGTCTTCACGTGCCTCCCGGTCATTGCTGGCTGTGCAATCATCTGGAAGAGTGAGTGGTCCTACCACGCAGCTGCTCCCGTGGTTGGCTACTCCATCACTGGTTTCTTCGGCGGCACTGTGAGCCTGATAATCACTGTTGGCATGTCCAATGTGGCCGGACACACCAAGAAGAGTTTCATGGCAGCGACCATCTTTGTGGCCTACTGTGTGGGAAATATCGTTGGTCCCCAGCTTATTTGGAGCGAGACCAAGAAGGACCATTACCCTGCCTTGTGGACTGGTTTGATCATCTGGTGAGTATTTCAGGTCTCTACCATCTCTGAAGCGGGAAACAGGCCGTATACTAACCAAGTTCACTTTAAGCTATGTCATTTGCATTCTCGCATCTCTGACCCTTTACGTTGTTCTGCGTAAGGAGAATAAGAAACGGGATCAGATCCCTGTAGACGAGACTGAACGGGCCAAACTAGCATTCCAAGATCTCACAGACAAGGAAAACCCGTATTTCCGTTATGTCTACTAAATTACATGTCGTGATCTAGGAGGGATATGGCGGGCTCGTGGTGATTTGACTTTGCCTGCCTTCTCCCTACCACGGACCAGTGTTAGGAGTATATACGGATGGTAAACCTCAGAATCAACGACTGGACATTCCTCGCATGTGGAAGTTGAAGATTCAATGGTCGGAGATATTACAATCTGTTAATTAAAATGGCTGTAACAAAACTCATAGCAACTGCCTACTAAACAGTCGTAAAGTCAAAAGATCCAGACCGGATTCTCAGTTGTATCATCTTATACGCTCACACAAAGCAATTTACCTCAACAACGTGACTATTCGCTCATTCTCTTTTCGAAGAAAGTGTTGATTCTTCTTGCAGCGGATATGCGAGGCCTCGGGTTTGGCCCCACGGACTTGCGGATATGCGGCTGAGCGCGCCTTTTCCGCCAAGGCGATATCGGAGTCTCACAATGACGAGACCTCCACGAATTGAACGCAATCAGTCCACAGAAATGTACAGTTATCAGATCTCTTCCAGTCATTCTTTCTAGTCGGTGAATGTATGTTGATTGGCTGTGTGTTAGCCGAGAGCACGTTGCCCCATTCAAAAGAACGCAATCATGGCAGCAAGCTTGAGATCATTCAGACTACTTACAGTCAACACCACGCCGGAGCGCGCCAAACGTGTTGTCGGTCGACTAACTGAGACTCTGAAAGACAGATATAATATCACCCATGTGGATAATTGCCAGAGTGAGATATTTCTCCTACTCCATCGAAGAGCCAGCCAAAGTAGACTGACAAACGATTCAGAGATTGATGAAGTAACTTCCAAGGTCGAGCTACACAAGCCTGACGTTCTGGTACGAGCGTAATATCTCATGGCTTCGTGTGAAAATGCTGCTTTCAGAAAGGATGCTAAGATGATTACTTTTAGTTCTCAGCATCTATGTGGACGCCCGAAGAACATCAGCAAATTCATTCCCTAGCGCGCGTCGCCCTACCGAATATCAAACTTCTTGCCATTCCCACCGGTCTCCATGTTGACAAAGGTCCGGATGGAATTATTGAGTTTCTCGAAGAGCAGGCCCCAAAGGTTCTAGAAGCATGATTTTGATATGACTCCGAATAAACAAGTGGCACGGGAATCCCGGAAAGGCTTATCATGAAGGAGCGTGAACAGAGCTGAGAACAAAGCATAGATATATATACATTTAACAAATACAATTATCCAGGTATGAACTACACATCTCGTAAATTCTATTTCTCCAATGTAGTCGGCCAAGTGTTACTTGGTACAGAGTCGACATCTTCAGAAAGAGGTGTTGGCCAACTGTTCCTTGGGACCGGGTTTGTATTATCAGATAAAGGACTTGACCAAGGGCTAGTATAACCAATCAGTTAGGTTCAAATTGAAATCGAACAGGGATTTGAATACCTATCCGTCGCATCGTCTTCCGATGGGCTACTAATGAACTTCTCCTCTATCCATGGATGCCTCAAAGCCTGGGAAGCTGTAGGTCGAGAACCTGGAGAAACAGCCAGCATCTGCCTAACCAGATCCTTGCAAGAATCACTAGCACCAGCTTCGACCAGAGGCTGGATTGGGAATGACTGGCGCTTCGTCGCATACTTCCCTAATGCTTGGAGGCTCCCAAAGGCATGCTGTTTGGTCACAAGGTAGTAGGTGATGGCTCCCAAGGCCCATATATCCACAGACACACCGTAAACAGTATCATCTGCTTCCTCATGAGCTTCTTCAGAAGTTGGATCAGGGCTATACATCCCACAGACTTCAGGCGCTTGGTAGTATTTTGTGCCAATCGCCGTTGTACGAAGGGCTGTTGATTCTTCTTGTGCTCTTTTTGATATGCCAAAGTCGCATACTTTGACCCACCAAATTGGAGAAGTTTCCATAACTAGGATATTCTACGGAAGGCTCTTAGCAATTGTGTTCAGATCCGATAGATGTAGCATAACTTACTCCTGGCTTTAAGTCTCGATGAGCAAATCCGTTGTCGTGCATGTAGCACAGGGCCTCCAGTAGCTGACTTGTGATTGTTCTCGCCTCTGTTTCTGGGAACTTTTTTGTCAGGTATTTTTGGAGGTCGCCTTTTTCATGATACTCCATCGTGATGAAAATAGCGCTCTCGTTCTCGTACCACCCCAAGGACTTGACGAAACAGTGAACATACTACACCTGATTAGATGCAAGTTCAGGCTGGAGGCTGGGAAGTTTTCGTGATCTCTGACTCACATTTGGGTGGGAAAACTTGGCGATGGCCTCCAGTTCCCTATTGTAATCAATATTCCTGCATTCGTTTAGTCCTTTACCAATCTCCTTCACGGCACGTAGTTTGACATGAGGATACAAATCCTGGCTTTCCTCAAGCCAAACCGTCCCGTATGTGCCAACGCCGAGTTTGCGACATCTTCTCCACCGATGTTCCTTTCTCACTCGCCGTTGTCGCGAGTTTGGATTCGACTCAAATGAAACGTGGCAGACTACATCATCTTCAGGAAATGTCGTCTCCATCCACGAGTCCCGTACCAAGTCAGACACAAATCGTTGCCGTCTCTGCTTAACGGACGTTTCTCCCCTTTTCTCAGATTCAGCGTGTGGTTCGCGACGAGTTTGAGGTGGAATAAAAGAATTTCCATGTACTATTGGATTTACTTGGAGGGGACTTGGTTGCCTTTGGCCTTCGATATCAACCAGATGCGATTGAGGCAACCTGTCACCCGGCTGTTCGATGTTTGGGGGCAGGGATGCTAGCGTACTCCCAGATAGATTTGCGTCGGATTCCTTGAGATCTTCGCCAGTATTTTCGGGCCTAGGCCTTCGCCTTCGCTTCACTACCAACCGTGGGTTGACGTAACCTGGAGGAGGGCTTGGTGATGAATCTCTATCGAATGATCCTCTATTTCCGTCGTCAAGTTCACGTCGAGGATTCCTTCTTCGATTTACCACCAAGGGAGGGTAGGCGGGTGTTTCAGTAGGCGACTGATAAGATGAGAGTAACCCATAATTTGGTGGACGATATCTCATAGGGTCATACTGGCTGTATATCCGGCCCCCGACTAGTTTTGGAGGAGGAGGCTGATCAGTTTCCGTTGTTATCTCATGGCTTGCTTCCTGATACGCCGCACCTGGACGTTCCGGACTCGGTGAGCCCCTGCGGCGGCCATTTTTGGACGACTTTCTGGCTAGAACTTGCTTAAATCCTAATCTCAGGTCTGGAAAATCTGCCAGTATATGGTCTATTTGAGGGATAATTGTTTGTAGGCGTGAGTGGGAGGGATCATCGGACCTGATCGCTCGGATGAAATTCAGGAAGACTCCAGGGTGGCCTTGGCATTGATCCTGGACGACTGTATCAGCGACACTCGACCGAATGTCAAGATCGTCCCGATTTTATATTTCTTACCTGAACAAATTCAATGTATTCTACCACCTCATCCCCTAACAGGGCCAATTCGCTCTTCCATGCGCCCGAGATCAGTTCTTCTTCTAGATACTCCTCAGCGTGGCTTATCTCGTCAATATACGAGGTTTTGATCGGTTGCCCATCCCGAAGGCCTTCAGTAGAGCTCGTGCGACGAGGTAGCGGTCTGCGTTTAGGAGGGCACCCTGCCGTTCTCGAGGGTAGTTGAGGATCATAAGATGAAGGCCAAGCACCATCGCTTGAAGCGATATTGGTCGGCTTCCCTGTGTAACCTCGGGATGCAAAAGGGGGGTGTAGTGGAGTCGACCAGGTCGGAGCAGAAGATGGTCTGGAATTGTTTGGCTGTGCCGTGCCGACATGGCCAGTTGGAGCTTGTGGTGTTGCCCGCCCAGACAAGTCGAATGTGTCACTTACTGAGGCATCATCTAGGCCATCTCCACCTAGAGATGTTGAGATCAGTGATGGGCGTGGAACAGCAGGTACACCCCTGTTGATTCTCGCAGACCAGCGGGTCGTGTGGCTATGCTTTCGTTCAAAGTCCAACTGCTGTCCATCATCTGATATCAGTCTTCTTACTGCCCCAGCTTCCAGACGCAAATCTCGTAGGCTGTCATCCCCCGATGCCTCATACATGCTGAGCCGGCTCAGTACAGTGTCCCTTTGTTGGCGCACCAATGCTTCGAAATAACTTGAGCCGTTGTGGAGTGCATGATCAAGTACCTGCAAGGCTTTGAGTATCAGGACATGATCGGAGTGTCCAATCGCGTATGGATCTGGAGCCCTTGGAGACAGGTAGGAGAGGAGTGCATTAAAGACCCTCTGAGCCTGGATCTCGCTACAGCAGATTTCATTAGCCCGTTTCGTTCCTTCTCGTACGCGAGGTAAGGTTGCCATGTACGCACGAGTCGCATGTCGTCTCAGAAACGAGCTGCGCCAACCCGATGTCAAGTCGCCCACCACCGTCAATGGCCTTGTAAACACATTCAACTCCAAGGCTCTCAGAGAGCTGTGTCTGAGAGAGCCCAAACCCCATGCTAGAGTGTACATCCATCCTTGTTTACCTATGTTCGATCGGCTCGGTAATCGGTTCGTCTTCGAGCGTCTGTTCCTGCTGGCTGCTGCTTTCAGAATTCGACGAAGTTCAAGATCGCTGGCGTATCGCAGGTCGGTAAATCGATCCACAATAGTAGCCAAATGGAACGGCCATGGCCCTTCCCCGGTCGGTGGTGCGCAAGAAATCGAATTTCCACAAGAAACTGGTACGGAAAGAATTTTGCTTGATCAACAAAGTGCCACAGTGGCTTTGGAAGGGAGAGAATCTGCCCACCCATTTTCACGATCGGTACAAACATATGACGTGAGCACCTGAACAAAGAGCAATCCATAGGCACTAGAATAGAGTCCATTGTCGAGCGCCGGTGGTGGCTGAGCTGGCTGAACCCAGGACTGCACTGGGCAGACAGAAACTATACCAAGCCAGATCAGAGATGAGATGGTCAACTAAAAGACTTCCTCACTAGCTCACCATCAGAAGGGTCGAGACTCTCACAAGCCACGACTTGATGCAGACAAGAGCATGAAGCCAAATCAACTAGTAGCTACCCTGCATCACGCTATGACATCACAGTCTGCTGCTCAGCCTCAGCCTCTATCACGTGATCTGACTGAGCCCTTTGCAGACTTCGTGGCGTAGGGGGTGATCGTGTGGCTGATGAACTGCAAGTTGCACCGCCAGCCCTCATCAATCCGACCGAATTCTCTTGTAGTATAGTGGTCAGTATGCGAGCTTGTCACGCTCGAGACCCGGGTTCAATTCCCGGCGAGAGAGAATTCTCGCCATACGACTAAGTCGTCTTTTTTGCATTCTATTTTTGTGGTCTTTTCCAGCCTCACTTGCCCCACACCCACCTACTTGTTACCCTATAGCCCACTACATCAAAAGATCAGATCACGTCCCGACGTTGTTTTATTTATAATATCGCAGACGTGTTATAGTATGATCAGAAAAAGTTATTTCAGCGTGTACAGTTACGTATTAAACACTAAATCGCCTGGGAAGGGCGCAACAAAGAATATGAACTTTTGAATTGTTACAACTGTCAGATGCCTGGAGGTACATGTCAAAACCTCACAGAAATCATGCCGGAACGGCAATCCGGATATAGCCGAGTTTGCTCTCTCGAAGAGCCGCTGACTAATGCATATTCACCCCAGACCAATTTCCGTTCTCCACAATGGATTGTTGACATTTTGCCAGGATCGCTGCTTGTCTCGAGACCTCAGCCAATCGCCCAATAACTTTCTTGTTCCCCCCTGCAAAACCGTAGAGCGCATATGGGATGCCCACTTCGTTGCAGAATTCCTGTACTAGCTTCTGGGTGGTTCGCAAATTATGCCTCGGGACGCGAGGGAACAGGTGGTGGATCACCTGGAACTGGAGCCCGCCGTGGAAGAAGTCAAGCCACTCGGGGCAGTCGATGTCCATCGTGGTCCTGAGCTGTCTCTGGGGGAAGGATTCGTCTGGCCCCAGGTCCATTGTGCTCATCGCGAAATGAGACTGGACAATCTGCAGGTGGAGCGGAGACGCGACGACATTGGCGATCAGGGTGAAGAGCAGTCGCGTCTTGAGATCTGGTAGGAGAGTGTACAGGATACCGTAGCCGAACCAAAAACAGAAAAATAGCAGGCCGAATATTTCCAGATGCCTAAACCAGCCGGCGGGTCCTTTCTTGGGGCCGCGCCCGGAGAGAAGGTATTCCCAGGAGAGAAAGAAGAGATTGAACCGCGCGAGAGAGAGTATCGGGTAGTATGTCCAAGCCTGGACCCGGAGGAGGACTTTGGCGATTGCATCGTATCTCATGATTCGATTGTGGTACGTAGACCGGAGGTTGGACAGAAGCCGATGAGAAACAGCGAAAATCGGCAAATGCTCGATATCCGGATCGTGCTCAGGCGCATTTGTCACAATATGGTGGACGTTATGGCTCCATTTCCACCAGCCTGCTGATAGACCGCCGAGAAAATTGGCGATGAAAATGGCGAGGACGCTGTCGAACTGGAAAGAGTGTGTGATGGAGATGTGGCTGGCATCGTGTACAACAAAGCCCAGTTGATGCCACATCACTCCAAGCCAAAAGGCAGCGGTGTAGTACCACTTGAAGAAGAAGGCCAGGCCCATGCAGAGGAGGAATGCGCTGTATCGACAACACTCGACTCCGTACGACGTCCAGTAATTGCATTCATACAACCCCTCATTGTAGACTCGATTGTGGAGCTCACGATACTTGGCTGCGACCTTGGCCTGCGTGAGGTGATCGGGAGAAGGATATTTCTCCAGGTCAAGGGTGGTGTATTCGTGCGTGATGGTATCCAGATACGACATTCCATCCAATGGTGCTGCTACGGGAGCGCCTTTCTCAACCTGCTCGCTGGGACTGATCTTTGGGCTCGATCGGTTCCGAAGCTCCTGTGCCTCCTCCTGATCACTGATCGAGGTTGTCACAGAGCTAGGTCTATTCACAGCAGGTTTGATCTTCTGGGAATCGGCTTCAATCTCGGCTCGGGTTCGGAAGACACCTCCTTGGAAGGGAGGTACGAAATTGATCCAGCCACCTTCGATGCGCCCAATTCGATAGCGCAGCATTTGCTGTCTGGTCTCAAGCGAATGATAGCTGCCGTGTTGAGGCGCCGAGTCAGCACACCTCTGCTTGGAGTGTATTTAGCAATTGAACCATACGCACGCATCAACCTCGTCCGAGGCATCTTTCCCAACCATATGCCGGATGGCCAAGTCCCCTCCAGGATGGTACTTCATCCACCCGTCGGCCTTGATGACCTGGTCATGGAGGATGAATACATGACGTCCTTCAGCGATGAGGGCTTCAATCTCGTCGCGCGTAAGGACCGGAGGGTTGCGCTTGGGTGCATCTGGGGCTGGCGGCGGAAAGCCCGTGATGCGTCGTGCAATTGGATCCGCCATGAGCGTGATTACGGCTTTATGGTTAAACAATTGATGGAGTAATCTGAGGCAAGTTGGCCCGCACCGCCATTGGGGTCAGGAGGGGATGCAATGGCTATTTCCTTTGTGGTTATTCTAAATATAGCAACATGGTTCGTTTTCACGCACCATCAGACGATTCGGATGATGCGGCGATTTGCAGGGTTTTCAACTTGCGGTCAGACGGGCAGGCTACGATAACGGAATCCTCAAGCTCCACCCGGTTCCGCTCAATCGTTCAACAGGATGGCCGAAGGGGCCGGTTTATTGTGGGAATGATTTAGGCAACGGTATAGATTCGGCACCGAGGTTGAGAATGTGTCTGCCTGGTCCTGCATGACTTGATTGGGGAGGTTTGACTTCTCACCACGTCATGGGTTCTTCTGAGAAAGCTCTCCTTTGGCTGTCCGTTACAAGGACATAGACAGGGTTTGAATTAATGAAATAGTGTATGTTGAGACAAAGCCTCCTTCATGTAAGTCGAGGAATGGCACCCCACATGCAGACTGCTGCCTTTCTACTGGCTCTTGAGGATTATCTACCTTTCGGACTTATACCAGTTGACACATAAGTCGCGCTATCCTGGCAGCTGCACCTCTATTCTCGAGACGTTCCCTGAATTTGGGAACGGATTGCGAAGATAGTGCTGGTGAACAACCTCCTTCGATTCTTCATATGCTGGCTTGAGGCAGAAATCGGTGATCTCAAAACTATTGTGAAAGTGTTCTTTTGAAGCGGGTGGATGGTGTGGAGAGTTCAACTTCACAGAGTGAAGGACAGCGAAAGACAGCTAGAGATTTATACTAGCATCTTAATGGTGAGATATTCTTATAAGTTATAGGTGAGTATGAACTAGAAGAAAGAGCGTTCAATACATGACTAGTAACAAATTTTGATACTTCTTTCTTGATTTATTCAGCCGTAAACAGATGATATGGTAGTGAGTTGGGTTGAATTAATGATTCCCCAGCCCTATTTCATTATCGAAATCGTGCTTGGTACCAAGTCATCCCTCTGTGACAATGCCACATGTTATCATCATTCTATCTGAACATTTATCAAATTTGCTAGATACGCCAGCTGCTCCTCAGAGCTTAGAATGTCGGGCATTAAGATCGCTCGGGCTGCATGTATCAAGCGCTGCCATTTGATCGAAGCTCATGTCTAGAATCTCTAGAATATTCCCCCAAGGATCCTTGCAGTACAGACAAATGGATCGACTCAACGTGTTCCGAATAGTCTTACCAATCCTCTTCCCGCCATGCTTAACAACCTTATCCACGAGTGCGTCTGGGTTAGAATCCGTCACGCAGAGGTGGAAGAATCCACCTCTGTTATACTCGAATGTCTTGGCGGGCTCGAATTTGGGGTCTACAAATTCGAAAACCTCAAAGCCAACTCCATTTCCAGTAGCCATCCAGGCGATCTTACACTCATTGAGAGAATCACCATAGATATCAAAGATGGATGCGTCGGGAGTTTCAGATCGTTTGATGTGCTTGATCATTCCGCCATGGACGTGGAAGCCCATGACTTCAGTGTACCATTTTGTTACGGCATTGATGTCCGCCACAGACACTGCAATATGGTTGATTGCTCTGGAGTTTCGCTATAAATTGTCAATCGCTGCTATTTCCGCGGGAGTGAAAGGGACGTTTGCTCTACCTCAGCCATGATTGCATCTAAGCTGTTCGGTCGATGGAGGTTCTGGAGCAATTTCTTCGTGCCGGTGGGCGTGGCTGTCATGAAATAGGCTTCATGCCGACCTCACAGGTAACCTCGCAGATAAGCTAACTTACTCAAACTTGCCTTGCTAGGTATGTAGCGGCGAACTTGCCCAGTAGAAGGCAAATTTGGATAGATCACCAGCGCCAAGTTCAGCAGCCACATGCAGCTAGCAGAGACATGCATAAGCATTGTTCGAATTCGAGGGGGAGACCGTCCAAAGAGCCCATTTCTCCACGTCTGAGTGGATTGGTGTGGTGATCCCGGAATATATTTCCGATGAGCCAACGGGGTATATTCCCGACGGCATATGCTTATGGATGTATTAATACCCATTGGGCATGACGAGGGCAAATATTGGCAGGCAATATCCTAATTAAAAGGAAAGCGACATAGAGAAATCCAGGTCTCGTCGCCTCGGGTAGTTGTATGGCATGTGGGAGCGGAGCCGACCTCCAGCTTCCCCGCAGTCTGCAGTTGCGGAACCGATCCTCCCCAGATTCGTGGGGCAGTATAAATAGGGATGATCAGGCAATTATCTAGAGGCGGCTGATTAGAGATACTTGATTGAATATATGTTTATTATCTTGATCCAATAATACCATATCCAACCATGAGAGCCGCCAGGTACTACGGAAAGGAGGATATTCGCGTGGAGCAGGTGTCTGAGCCCAGTGTTCAACCTGGCCAGATTAAGGTATTTCCAGCCTAGCCAAGCTATTACCGGCGAATGCTAACCGCCTGAGTGAAGATAGCCCCATCTTTCGTCGGAATTTGCGGGACAGATCTGCACGAGTATCTCGGCGGTCCTAACTTCTGCCCAGTCAAGGCACATGGAGTCACAGGCGAGACCATCCCTGTCACGCTTGGTCATGAGTTCTCCGGTGTGGTTAAGGAGATAGGTGCGGGAGTAGAGGGATTCACCATTGGGCAGCCGTGCGCCATCCAGCCGACCATCTTCTGTGGAATGTGTCCTGCTTGTAACGTTGGTGCACGAAACATCTGTCATAATGGTGGCTTTCTTGGCTTGAGCGGCGGCGGCGGGGGCTTGAGCGAAGCGGTTTGTGTGAATGCGACTCACGTTTTCCCTTTACCACATGGTGTTTCACTAGAGACCGGCGCTCTCGTGGAGCCTCTCGCTGTAGCCTGGCATGCGGTTTCAGCAGCACCTGAACTCACGCAAGACTCTACTGTTCTGGTGATTGGTGGTGGACCAATTGGCTTGGCCGCCATTCTTTGTCTAAGAGGCAAGGGGGTAAAGAGTATCATTGTCTCAGAGGTGGCAGCCGCCCGCCAGCGTTTCGCTAAGGAATTTGGAGCCTCCAGCATCATCAATCCTGTGAAAGACGATGTCAACAAAGTGATCTCAGAATTGACGGGTGGAAAGGGTGTCGATGTTGCCTTTGACTGCGCTGGAGTCCCTGCCAGGTGAGGTTCCAAGTCTCGGGCCACAAAGACAATGCCAACTAACGGTATCCAGCGTGAAAAGTGCATGCGAGAACGTGAGGACCAAGGGGACAGTCGTGAATGTAGCCATCTGGGAAAAGGAAGTCCCATTCAACCCTAATTGGATCACCTGGAAAGAGAGTTCGTACAAGTCTGTGCTTGGCTATGGACCAGAAGACTTCAAAGCAGTTATTGAAAACCTTGGAACCGGTGAGTGACGCTAAATTCGGCCATGACCTTCTCCATGACTAACTGATGTGGTGAAGGATCTATTGTGCCGCAAAAGATGATAACAGCCAAGATCGAACTCGATAATTTAGTTCGGGATGGCATTGGTGCTTTGATTTCAGACAAAGATAACCATGTAAAAATACTGGTAGATATGGAAGCCAGCAGGGCTCCCCAGAACAAGTCTGCCTTGTAGAAACTGTTGATTTCCACGAACGACACTTGTAAACGCTCAATATGTATCTAGTTCTAATTGGGGAGACAATGTATCAATTCAACGAGTTGCGTTTCATCTCCTCACAAATGATTTCAAGCCTAAGTGTGCCATGAACAACTATTTGATCAGCTGTTGGCCGCTCACGTGTGAGTCCACTCGCCTGAAATAAAATTTCATTTATTTCAAGCCACGCCGAAGCTTTGATTGCTCTTTTTATCTAACTAACAACTTGACGTTAAAATGATTCAAGGTCAGGAATCAACAACTGTCGGTATTCTTCGGCTACCTTAGCCTAGGATTACCTCTTATAAGCGAAGATTGGCACGCCCGGATTCTCGTTCCTGTACGCGGTCGCCGCTATCTAAATACGGTGAAACCGGCGAAGCTCCAATCTCCATCGAATTAATGTCAAAAAGGCATCTCACACGGAGACGTTATCTTCTGATACATTAAAGGGCTAGGTATCGAGAGTGATGGACGCGGAAAACCCCTCAGCTATCCGTATGAAGGCAAGCCGAACGAGGACTTCCAAGGTGCGAACAGGGTGTATCAGATGCAAGAAGCGCCATATTAAATGCGACGAAGCCAAACCGTCATGTTCCAACTGCCTCAAGAGTCGAGGTCAGTGTGAAGGATATGCGATTGAGCCACGGAAACATCTAAGCATACGCCGAGCTATTCAAGCACGCCCTGACCAGAATCTTCAACCTAATCCCGACTGGCCATTGACCTCAATGGTACTGGATCCTGTACATCATGACTTTCCCGACTCCCTCAGCCTATTCTACTTTCGAGAGTTTATCTCTTTGTTGCAGGATCCCTGGATGACCGGGCTATCAAATAGCCAAGGCTGCTTGTGGCGGGAGACTCTGCCCCAAGTCTGCCGCACCAACCACACTCTGAGAAACGCTGCCATGGCCGTGGGTGCGATGGGCATGTTTCGAAAAGAAACGAACCTTCATGAATTAGATATATCCGCACAGTCTCATATAGCAGAACCCCGCTACCTACAGGCCCTGGCATACTACGGCAAAGCCCTGCAACTTCAAAGCCAACGTGCATCGTTCCGGTCTTCGGCTTTCTTGTCACTGATTTTGCTCATTTTTGAATCCCTGCGCCTTAGGAAAATCGCCGCTTTAGACCACATCAATCATGGGATGTCATTACTACTCTCCTTTCTTGGCGATCGCACTACATCCTGTGATGAGATTGCCAGTTTTTCCCCGAACCCTCGGCCTATCTTGGGCCAGTTGGCCGACATCTTTATGCATTTGGCAACACAAACTCGCATTGCCTTGCGGGAGCGAGGGATCTCGATGGAAGGCTTCATCGTACTACTCAGCCAAGTTTCCACGAGCAAGCACTAAATCACTCCTCGAACATTTACTTGGATGAATTTGAGGAGCATTGGATCTCAGTGACCCGAAGACAAGCCGAGATGGGCCCCATCACGTTGCAAGCGATGATGAGGTCAACAATTCTAGAATGTGAACATCAGCAGCAAATGGGTGACCTTTTCTCATCAATACTAAAGGATCCCGAGGTTCAGAAATTTTGCGATGATACCCGACGGGACATGGACTCAATGGAACAGGCGTTTCTCCCCCTGTTTTCAGACATCATGATGTCTACGACAATGGACTCGCCAATATATCTAAGAGCTCTCTATCTCCGCCTGCGCTTTCTTTCCGTCCAAGTCTTCAGCAACCCGCCACAATATGATTGCATTCAGTCAATGGTCGCATTAACACCCCGACTCCGTGAGTTCCTCTCTTTAGCTGAACTTGCAATTCGGGTCACACGGAAGACTGGAGTGGTTCGGGTTTATTCGCTCTGCATAGGCGGTGGACTTGCGTGGTACCTGCTCCAGATCGCGCTTCACTGCCGCGATCCATTGGTACGTGATGAGGCTATATTGGCACTGGATGGCTACGCTGGCCAGGACGGACTCTGGATCTCGCGGTTGCTGCATGCCCTAGCGCTCAGAAACCGTATCGTCGAGCAGCAAAATGCGAATGGGGATGCGGCACAAGTACAATGGCAGAGGCTCTGGCGGCGCGAGTACTACCTAGAAGACGGAGGCGAACGTGTGGTTTTTCGCTTTCTGGAGAAGGAATTGGAATTGGACCAGTGGATTCTCGTAGAAGAGGTGGGTGAGTTTCAGGACAAGGCAGTCTGTGCCAAGTGGACACGGCAGCTGAACCCCCGGTCGGGCAGGTTACTTGTTCAGGAAGGGTTTCCTCATGGCTCACAAAAGGACCAACCGGACGGACTCCCCGGTCACATGGATTTATGAGCTAATATATGGCAATACACTTCGAACTTCTAAGTAACAAAACTTGAAGATGTTATCTGAGTAATATCTCGGTCAGCTTACGCACACATGCGGCTAGATGGTGAAATTAACCCAAATATCATCTTCTGACATGACGGCGAGGTCATCCCTGCGGAGCATTACGATCACCTCGACACCAGACTCCTCTTTACCATCACATCCTTTCCATTGCGCCCTAGGCATGATCATCCCGACGGCGTCAGCCTCCATATAAGGGGGCCTAATGTGCTTAGGCTTCCCAAGAGCCTCCCCAAAATCAAGGTTATATATATCGAGACCGTTCCAGCTCGTGACAGTAAGGTCCCGGGACGAAAATAGAACCCATCCGGGGAAAATAGATTTGGGATCCTCTGTATGGTTGACAAGGCTACATAACTCAGCGACCGAGTCAGAGTTGATCCGATCAATAGACTGGGAATCAGATATGATGCTGCAGACTTTGGCTAGGCAGAGAGGTAGTGTTTCATGCACAATGTCAACCACTTGTAGATGACTGGTGGATAGCGCGGCCATGGCATACTGTACCACATTTCCAAAATAAGGCACACTCTCTGTCTTCGAACCTAGTCCTACTCGCTGCCTGCAATTCACTGCCGACACGAGCTGGGTTGTACTACTGGCGAGGGCAGGGGTTCTTCTTGCGCGGGCCCGGTTGATTGTAATCCAGAGCATTGCCGTGACAATGTTGGTAGTGGTTGGCGTAAGTGTCATAAAGGTACTGACGCTCTGCTTCAACTTTTGGATCTTGTCCATCGAAATCCTGAATAGCTTGGAGATGCAAGCTGGGAATTCACTAGGCATGGCTGGGGGGCTCGTTGAAAATTCTGGATGCGAGTCCCAAAGACCCTTAATAGAATGAGCCGAGGCCAAACCAAGGCTACCATTCAATGCTTTGGTGAGCTGATTGACTCTATCCAACCTAGGGGGATGGCCAATGGGCAATATTCCAGCGGTAGCGAGAGACCAAACGTGAATAAGATCAGCAAGACCAGTGGCCACATCTCAGCGGGAATATTTTGTGGCGACATGCCTTGGGAATCAAGAGCCCCGTAAGTTGATTTCACGCAGCCTTTGTTTGTTATAACAGGAGGCAGGCTCTTGACGTTCCACTGAATTTGCAGTGTTTGTTTCCCCGAGGTCGTGACAGTGGGAACAATGCGCCCAAGCAGCCATGGGAGCTGAGCAGCGACGGCGTTTAGACCTCGTTGGAGTGTCGATTGAAGAAGTGACGTCGGCTCCGTAGTCTGAAAAGTAAGGAATAATTGTATATAAGTGTTGGGCATGAGTAGATCCAGCGGCGTCAGTTGCTCTGTATTCGGGGTTTCGTTCATATTGATAGGTAGACAAGTGAAGGTGAGAAGATTTGTGTGTTAAAAAAAAAAAAGTCAAATGATGCCTATCAAACCTAGAATTTACAGAAGAGTTGTGCGTTTAATAAATATACTATCAACGTCAAGCTTCGGTGAAGAAGATGCTGCCTTCGTAAAACAACTCGGACTGGGAGCCAATCGGAAGAAATAAAGAAAACCTACTTGGTCAACACTCTATCCAGTGTACTTCGAATCTTTTCCTGGTAATTATGTGCTTGCCTTGGGCAGACTCATCAAGATGAGGCCATTTTACCCTCATCCTAACCTACAGCCAACCAAGAAGATTCTCAAGCGTATATGCTAGCTCGGGAGACAGCCTACAATTCCAAGAAGGGTCGTACTTGTCTGCTTTTTTAACATCCTCATTACAATGGAGACAACTTTATTGTTATATTTGCTCCAAATACCCTCTGCTGTGCATGATTTGGCGAGAACAGCTCTGTCCTTCCAAAGCTTCAGTTAAATCTCGAGTTCTTCACAAGAGTTTACCCCCCGAGATGATGCCGAGGGAAGATTAATTCGGTGACCCATAAATCTCCGTCTAGAATTCGCTATTCGTGTTTTTGACTACTGCTATTTTAAGAACCACGCCAAACTATCCCACCCCTGTCCATCTGCCGAGACTGCTCAGTCTACTTGGTTCGGAGTCCATAGTTTACCAATGTCCCTCTTATTGCTTACACGTGGAATCCTTCTTCCCCGCAAGCATCATAGATCGGGACACTACGAGGTGTTGGCTGGAGCTATGCTGACCCAAGAAGCTGGGATGAGACAAGCCTAGCGGCCAAGAATTAATCTCCTGAAGATGTATCCACGTTCGCCCAGCCAATCGGCTTGCCAAGCATGCTAATAGGCGAGATGACGCGGGATGAGCAAATATGGCAACAGAAGTGGCGGCCTCTTTGGTCTTGCATCAAGAACAGCCCCGGAACTAACGGAACGGCCGCAGAATTAGTGGCAAGAGAGCCATGGTTGTCGCGTGAGCCGATTACTACTAATCAGACCGGTGACGGATACTCCCGCTAGCCATAGTCTAAGTTTTGCAAGTTCGTGGATTGTATAATAATGTATTGAGTTAGTGATAGCGCGGGCTCACCCCTGATCACGTTCTACTTGGAGCGCGATCCGAGCCATAGTGTTGGATTTGTTTTCTCACCGCTGCATTCACTGCCGAGGAGGAGAGAAGATTGGATAATTGGCATTAAGTACCGACGTAAGCAGGTGAGACACCGACGACATCTTACCAGAATAACTATGCGCTAAGCGGTATATAGCACTAGCTCTTCTCACTTCCTTGAACCCATATCTCGGTGTTGCCCCAATCAGGAAAAAACAAACTAACATCACACAGTATGGCCAGGAATATACTCTGACCGGACGGTCATCGCTAATATATTAATCTTACATCGGTTAAGAGAATCAGGCCCCACATGTATGAGTGTTTGATACCTGAACCAAAAATATTGTCATCTTGGCACCTAGACTCTGGAAGTCACGCCTATGAGTTGCTTGCTCGGCACCTGGAGAGAAAATCTATATAAACGGCAGCCTCCTCCTAACAACTCTCATCGTTTTAATCAGACACACCATAAACTACAAAGCCTGGTACTCGATTTTCTTTTCCCCTTCTGTCTTTCCTTGACCCATTCTCTTCGCTGCGCGAATTCCTTTTCCTATATTCATTACTTGAACTTTCTCCGTCATGGTCGGCATAAAGCAGCTTGGAATCATTGCTGCCTTCTTGGCCAGTAGCCAGGTTCTGGCCAACCCCGCTGAATCTTCCGAGGATCTTGACACCAGGGACTTCAATGATGAAGCTGTCGAATATCTAGCAGTTCGGAGGTATGATCCGTCCAACCCGGGCCCAGTACCGCCAAAGCCTGGCCCACCTCGCCCTCCTCGCCCTGACGAGAGAAGGGGAAGAGGGAGAAGAGATCTATCTGAACGTAGATATGATCCGTCCAACCCGGGCCCCGTGCCTCCAAGGCCTGGACCTCCTCGCCCCCCTCGCCCTGACGAAAGAAGAGGAAGAGGAAGAAGAGATCTATCTGCACGCCGATACGATCCATCAAACCCAGGCCCTGTGCCTCCCAGGCCTGGCCCCCCTCGTCCTCCCCGTCCTGACGAAAGAAGAGGAAGAGGAAGAAGAGATCTATCTGAACGCAGATATGATCCGTCCAACCCGGGCCCCGTGCCTCCAAAGCCTGGACCTCCTCGTCCTCCGCGACCCGATGAGAGGAGGGGAAGAGGCCGACGTGATCTGTCTGCACGGCGATACGATCCGTCCAACCCGGGCCCAGTACCGCCCAAGCCTGGTCCCCCTCGTCCTCCCCGTCCTGACGAGAGGAGGGGCAGAGGTCGACGAGATCTGTCTGAACGTAGATATGATCCGTCCAACCCTGGCCCAGTACCACCGAAGCCTGGCCCCCCTCGCCCCCCTCGCCCTGATGAAAGAAGGGGCAGAGGAAGACGAAGCGTTTGAAAGCCCGATAAACGCGAATTGTTCCATGATTCCTGTATGACGGATAGCTTTAATGGGGTTGATGTTGGGGTTAATCTTTTCGACTATGCTTTTTCAGAGACATCACCTACTCAAGGACCACATTCATCTAGAATCATGTTGAACCTATCAATATTGTATTGTGATTTCTCGAGTTGTCATATAGACATCTAGTGTATTATAATTAAACCTATTGCGCTTCCTACTTTTTGCCTCTTTCTGTAAACTCAAGGCGAAATTGTGTCTCAGTGGAAAAAGGTTCAACTCGTTACGGTTGCATTCAATTACCCCCTTCCCTCACGAACCGAAAGATGTGTAGACTCTTTTACTCTATCGCGATGTCATAAAGTACTTGGGACTAGTTGAACAGAATCAAGTAGCACTTGCTAGTCATATAACTATAGCGGTAACAAATTTGCTCGTCATTGCGCTCATAACTCTCATTCTAGAGAATTGTTCCTTTCTCAGCAATATTTGAGGCGGACCGATTTCAAGACTTCTTGATGTTTTTGGATTTTCAATAGGTACTATTTCACACCTTTTATGCTCGTCTCCATCTCATATTGCTTTGACAGACTGAAACGTGGGCATGTGGGTGGAATTGTTTATGGGTTTCATTTTCTTGCCAGTGTAACAACAGATTGCCGCATGAACGGGTACAATAGGTGGCTGTCAGGTATCTATGTAACTCACCCTATTAGCACTAAAGTATCGATTTGAAGAGTTCGGTATTGATTGTGCTGAGATATCGGTTCTGACATCTTCCATTGCTGTTTTTAACTTGATGCTTGAACTCTCTCACCCGTATTGAAGAGTCGGTTGAGAACCGAGCCATTCTGACGGCAGACTATCACGGAAGGGCCTGGCCCCAAGCTTCGGCAATGCTGAGTGCGCTCATCGGCTGGTACCGAAACCTAATTTGCAGTTGAGGATTCGATTGATTGCTGATCGACGCAGATACACCCCGGACTCGAATTCTTGCCGGCTGGATTCCGGAGCCTGTAGAAAGAATCCAACTCATTGAAATGTCTAGAATAGCGTGCTGAAAATTTTGACGAGCGCCTTACAAATTGCAAGTTCGGAACCTCCCCAAATCTGAGTTCATTTCGGCAGTAGTTCCGTGGAATGACGCGGGGCATCTAGCGTACTCTCAAACAATGGGAAATCTACGTGACTGGCGTATTATTCTCGGGACAATCCTTGTCCGCCTTGGACGAGGATGACCCTGTAACGTTGGCAATATCTCTCGATCTACTCCCCTAACCCTCATCCCCCACCCGAAGGACAAACATTGAGCATAACCCGCCGCCGTGGCATTTGGTGCGGGGAATGGCCACACGCTAATCGATATTTGCGAGAGAGTCCGATTCACTAGCTGAAGATTTAGCTCTTAGCATTTGCCAGGGTCATTGGAGATGCGCAGCGTCCTTGGTAGAAACTGTGTGTCATAAATCGGTGTAAATCCTGGTGTATTTGCCGGTTTCCCTTAGTGCTCCCCACTCGATGATGCAGCTCGTTTTGATGTTGGCTCCTTTATAACTGATTTGTATTTCTTCTTCTCATCTTATGAATTAGACCCAGGGGACTGTCCGATATGAAAGTAGAAGTCAGAGGCCCTTTCGATATAAATGTGGAAGGTCACCATGCCTGGCTGAGCTGAGACTGGAACAGTAATTTGGAACCATTTTGTCTGAGCGAGGTGAGGCCGAAGTGGTGGGTGGAATTTAGAAATACGTAGCCAACCGGCGCAGCAAACACATGGTATGGGGGTCTTCTTTTGGAAACAACACCGAAGCATCTAAAAGGGGCTGGAACAGCGTGGTTAGGTAGCATCCGTACCCTGGTCATGCGGTCCGCAACTCCTTGATTCAGGGCCAGGCCAGGCTCACGCGTGAGTGGAGATCCGGGTAACGACCGGCCATGTAGCTGCTGCTGGCATATCTGGAAGACCAACAGCTTGCGATGTTTCTCATGCAGAGTTCTCGTATCGCTGTTGGGTCGTCTGTCCCGTGGCTGATATTATTGGCAGAGACTGGGATGGTTCCCTGCAGACTCTGCATGTGTGGGCTAAAGACCATGCACGTGCCTGAAAGGATTCCACGGCTGAATGAGATAATGGGGCAGCGATATTATTCGATCGAAAGCTGTCTGTGCCCCTCTCTCCACGTAATACTTTACAGATGCAGCTATCACGAGCCAGCCCCTGTAGATGGAGGGAGAACCGGTCCCACAGCGTCAGCCACTGACTATTGGTCCATTGGTTGCTCGTCTTAGCGATCCCTGGTGTGTGTTTCGGTTCCGCGCTCCTTGTCGATTGAATCGTGCAGATATTCTATACTTGGTGAACCCATTTGCAGACAGCCGTGACACGAAAAGCTGGCAATTCCGCGAATGCTACCTAATACCGGGGTTAGAACCAAGCACCCTGGCTCCCAGGCCGCAGAAGCCCGAGCCACATGGTCTGGAGCTTCTTAATTTGGAACGCAATGAATGGATAGATGGTCTCTAGATAGCTAAAAAGTGTCTCATCCGCAGCCAACAGTCCTCAACCTGCAGCCAACAGCCCTCAACCTGCAGCCATGGGCCTGATACAGGCAGCCAGGAGTGTTTTGTCAGCTTAGATTGGGGTATTAAAGGGAAATGGAAGGACATCGCGGAATCTCAGATGAGGTCCGTCATTTCGACTACACTCTTCCCGCCATTCGTAGATGGTCAATTAGCCCATCATGAACTCACAAGGATCGGCTGCCATTGCGATGATCTCCCAGTCTTTGTGGGTCCCTGCTGCTATATACCTCTCATTATTTAGAGGTTGTGGGATTTTCCTAGCAATTGGTATTCCATTGGCTGTCCAATCGCTATTCAGCTACGCCATTGTAACACGAAAATGGCACGCTGTCAACAATCTCATCTCTCAATCCAAAGACGAGACGCATTTGCCACCGCAGTATCCCTCCCTGATTCCGTATGTGGGAAGTGCCTTGTCATTTGTATGGGATAATGCGGGCTTTTTGCGCCAAGCGACGTAAGCAATCCTGCAGCAGGCCGATTTGGGGATTACTAACGTCATATCCTGAAGGCGCTACGGAGGGAGATTGATTTCATCGAGGATCTCGTTCCTGGGGTTTGAGATATTTGCGTTTCAGGATAGGCAAACTGTTGCCAAGGTCTGGAAGCAAACCAGCCTTTCAAGCCCCATTTCGATTTTCGTGTACGCTATGAAGTATTTCTTTGAAATTCCCGAAAATGTTTTGTCTGTGTACCGTGCAGACACCTCTGGACCCTTTCCAAAACCACACAGGGACACCAATATTCCCCCTCAGGCTCGCGTCGATCATATCACGCACTATGGGTTCCTACAGGCCTTGAGCGGACCTGGATGGCTGCCGACAACGAAACGCTGCATGAACGCCCTGGTCTCGAGGTTGGAGGACAAGGGATTGTCGGAAGAATGGACTGAGTTTGAAGATATGTCAGAATTCTTCAAGGAATGGGTCGGGGCATCACTTATTGAGAGTCTCTTTGGCCCTTCGATGCTACGAATCAACCCAACTTTCGTCAAGAATATCTGGGTTTTCGATGAAGGCATACCGTGGCTGGCGAGGGGAGTTCCATCCTTCTTGAGACCATCGATCTATAAGGCTCGGAGAGCTGCCATCGCACAAATTAGAAACTGGTATCTGTATGCCAGAGAGCACTTCGATGAGAGTTATGTTTCTCCTGACGGGGATGGAGATCCTTTCTGGGGCTCATGGCTTATGAGATACCGCCAGAAGAACTTGCTACCAGCCGAGAAGCACAACGATGAGGTGCTCTCGAAATTGGATCTAGGCCTAGCTTGGGGGTAAGATTATTCCTGCATATTGGCTTTTATCTATTACAAGTACGCTGATCTACCATTTCTTCTTTTTTTAGTGTTGTTGGTAATACGACGCCTACTTCTACGCTTTTCACTTTCCACATCTTCAAAGATCCTACTTTACTAAGCCGCGTTCGAGACGAGATCGAAACATCTTTCGGCAGCCAGGATCTGCTGGACATAAATCCCAGCGAACTCATCAAGCAGCCCCTTTTATCATCTGCATACGCCGAGATACTCCGGCTCTTCATTGATGTATTTTTTATGGTCACTTCGGCCCATAAGGATGTACCGTTGGGCTCGTATCAGCTTCCAAAGGGTCGCATTGCCCTGATAAACTCCGGGATCTCACACAAGGACGACAGCTTTTGGAACACTCGTAATGGGGAACACCCTGTGACTTCGTTTTGGGCCGAACGATTTTTGATAGATCCTTCAGACCCTCTGAGTGGGCCGATAGCGCCTGGAGTGTATAAGCCTCAAAGCAGAGGAGATTCAGATCCAGACGATGGTGGCAAAGCCCCTTATTTCAGCCTGAAAGGAACTGAGGGTTCTTGGTTTCCTTATGGAGGTAAGAGATTCCAACTACCGAAACAAAACCAAGCATTTAACTAATCACTGGCCCTGTAGGTGGCCATTCTATATGTCCCGGTCGGGTTCTGGCCAAGAGTGCAGTACTCTTCGTCTCTGTCCTCCTAGCAAGAGATTATGATATCGAGCCCCTCGTGGAGAGAATTGAAACGACGAATTGGAGGTGTGGCCTTGGTGCAGAGCAAATCAAGCATGCCATTCCATTTCGTATTAGAAAAAGAAGAAGATAGAGAGATTAGAGCGCTCTTATCAAAATTTTATGATTATCACCTCGATCTTAATGTCTAGACATGAATCACGATTTTACATTTGAACCATGGCCTGAAGGGCATCATTGATGGAATAATTTCCGTACTCCTGAAGACCGTGAATTAGACTAACCCCGATATATTGACCAGGGAGGGTACTATATATGCTGCACAGCCTTTGGATTCAAAGGTGGGAACTGAAGTCGGATCTAGAGCGTGGTAGCTAGCCCAATGGTACTTCTATCAGCTAGTCAAGCCTCTTATTATCATACGGCATCGATATGAATAGCTTTGGCCCAACGATTGGAGGGTTACCGAAGTTAAGTAGGCATGTTCTCGGTGGGGGCCAACTGGGCAATATCCATAACAAGATGGCGCCATTCCACGGCAGGTTCCGGCGAATGAATGCTTCGAATGTACGGAGTACATTGTCTGACAAGCATGCTGGTCATTATTCCCACACCAAAACCGGTCCTTCGGACGGTCGGATTTAACCAAAGTGATCACCCCAGCTCGGCAATTCCCAGATTGAATCTAAGAGCTTAATTCAAAAAATTTTGGTCCCTGGATTTATGGATTCGAGGAGTAAACGAGCCGTGATCCGAAGACAACGAGTCAGCATAACAACACTCCGCGGACATAACAGCTAAGTTTTTGAATGATACGATTGTATGTATGACTTGGTACCGAGACGGTGAAACTCCGAGAGTGGGAGGATGCGGTTCGTTGCGCTCTTTTCCCAGTGGATAAACGGTGGGTGTTTCCTCAACACGTGGTTGAGTTCCCTCTGATTTGCTCAGGTACGAAGGCTGGGTATATGAAGTAATCGAATCAAAACCGCATATGATCGCACGGATATATCCCCTAGCTGTTCCGACCAATTTAGAGAACTATAAATTGGAAACAAATCCCCGACTGCAAACAATCGTTTACCTCGCACCACCCCCAGCAAGCTTTCTCTAGATTGGTCCACTACTTATTCACCTTATTTCAGCCTCATCTTCAACATGCTGTTCAAGACACACATTTTGCAAGGCTTAGTTGCTGCAGCCGCTTTTGTTAGCGCTGCACCGAACGAGGCTGCTGAACAACCACAACACGTGAAACGCACCACGTTCAGAGACGACTTTACCACCTTCGACAGCAGCATTTGGAGCTGCGAGTACAGCTGCCCCTTGATCGAGGGTGAAAAGGCCCGATTCAGGCTGTACTCTAACACTGCAGCCAACCAGGAACACTCCTGGTGCAAGGCCCGTTACAAGCCCCAGCGATTCACTTCGGGCACGTTCACCACCTACTACTCTCTCACTGCGCGTCCTAAGCAGCCTGTTTGGTGGGGTGTAGCACTGTACGATGACACCTATGGAGGTGCGGAGGGTCAAATCAACGAAATCAACTTTGGCTACACCACCAAGTACTCATACAACAACTACACGTTCTTGTTTGAAGTTTACAAGCGAGGATATACTGAGCCATGGAGCAGGGACATCACTGTTGATTTTGATCTGTACAATGAGGAGTACCACGAGGCCACCATCGAGTATGATGCCAGCCACGTTGCACTCTACATCGATGGGGTGAAGAAGACGGAGCTCACCGATAGCAGCCTCATCCCCACTGATGCTATGGATTTCTTGCTCGGTCCCCGCCTCGTGGATGACACTCTGGGCACTCTTCCCTCAGGCTTTACGCAATCTCATGACTGGGTGACCATAGAGTACTAGATCAAGCTAGACCAGAGTGACGGAGCCTTGTTAGTGACTCAATTAGGCAGGCGACGCTCGTCATTTATAGCATTGTCTGTTTGGGATAACGCAATAAGTGAATTCATGAGTATGAAATTGTATCGCCCAATTTCAGCGTTTATTTCGCCGTTATTTCCAGATATACTAGAATTACGCCAATACTAAACATTATATAACATCAATGTTCAATAATCCAGCAGACTCACTGAACCCGCTTCATCTTCTAGCTAACGAGGTAGAATCGCTCTTGGAGTTAATAGATTTGTGGGAAGGCGATCAACTTCAGCCTAAGCTCTCCATAGAACTAAGAGCCATCATTTTCGATCATCGGGTTCACTCATATCATTGTCTTAGAACATCGTGTCATACATACTAGACCAACGGGGAGTAAATACGTAACGGATTCGACAGTGTTCCTCCAAGGTCAATGATATATGGGAGAGCTATCTAGGAGGAATCTCGGGCTGAGTGAATGACGAATGATTTGGCAAATTACACCCAAGTTTGGCAGGATTCATGTAACAGGGATAAAAATGTGGCACAGCGTCTTCTAGTAGGATATGTTCCAGAATCAGGATGATGCCCTCCTTTGTCCATTATATGTGAGCCATCACATGCATCTGATCCAATGATGATGGGTGGCGAACTATTTTAAACCAAATCACTGCATCTACCCACAAACGTTTGGAGGTTACCCTCAGTCAACGCCAACATCTCTCCTAATCCTGAGCGTTTCAATTACTCAGTAATTGTATAGAACAACCCTAACCTGTGCTAATAAAAAATAGAGAGACGATCGTTATTTATTGAATAGGGGTGATATTGCTTTTAGTAGGATTTGCTCTAACTATCGCGACTTAGCTTGGCTGAATGGCTCCCTCGTGGTTATAATTAGCCTCTGATTGATGTCGTGGACCACTGATATTGCCGGACGTCTATGATAGTAGTGGCGAGGAGCTGGGCCAAGCGATAGGGTTCTATCATCCGCGAAGATTTCCACACTACCGTGACCGCCAATGACCGACGGATGTAGCGCCGCCTAACAAATATTTTCGCTAGTGCGTACACCAGCGTTGATCGTACGCAGCTGACCACTTTATCGTACCTGGGAATGACTATCAAACTACTGTCAAGAACTCCTCACTCGAGGTTAATAATTGGAGGTAGCAGTGAGCTCTCCGAGGCAAAAAAACGAGAAGTTGTTGCTAGGCTAGGAACGCATGCAGTAAACAATAAAGATTCCAAATTATTAGCGCTATAGCCCTATATAGAAACTGATACTATAAGCTTTAATAGAATTTAGGATATATTAAGAGTATAAGTATATTATAATACTAAGCAAAGAGAGTTCTAGATGGTAAAGAATATACTTAATAACCCTCTAAAGAACTAAAATATAATAGAATCCAATAGCCGATAAGTTGTGCTCCTCACGTCCACGGACTGGCGCGCGCTATCACTGGACAGGTGGCCGCCTGTATTGAGGGTCGGGAAAGCATCTGGAATCTAGTTGGATATTGCAGGTATTTAGGGCTGTATGGGAGAGTAGCATCAAATCACTTTCACGAACCAAATGGTCGTTTACATACTTGATACTTCTGGAGATGTGATGTGAGTCAACTCTGTGAAAAATGAAATGGAGTCTCGCCTTATTTCCCAGTAGTGAGAAAATTAGATGTGAATTGCACATTTGTTAGTAGATAAATTTAGAAATGGGGCACATTTCTGAATGACATAACTAAGTGAAGACCAAGTAAAATGATATAATCTTAAGATAGTATCTCGATACTTCTGTATGGCTTCTCTTATCCTATCTTTATATTACCACGCCTCTCGCGGATAGCAATCTCTACCTATATATCGGACCCGCCTTAGTCCGCAGTGGGGGTTCGAAGATGAAGCCTCAACGCATGGTGAGGTATCCGCGATATTGAGAGAGGTTGTCCGTGGTGGGGAAATCGCTGAGAAAGATGCCCAGGATCCCCTCATTCGGGTGGACATACGGAAAGACATCGGTCTGCGCCCAAGAAGGCCTCGTTAGGAGTTTGGCGGTCTGTTCGATGGCAGCTCTCCGCCAGTCGCTGGGGCTGTCGAACCAAATCTCGACGACGCGATGGTACGGGCTGTTGTTCACATCGCGGAGGAGTTTGCTGGTCAGGACGCGGGTGGTCTCCGGCATCGACACGAAGGCCGGCAGGGCTTTGCCAGTGAACCAGGTATCGGCCTCTTCTACATCGGTGCAGTCGGGGTACTTGATAAGGAACTGCCAGCGGTAGTTGGCACCGTGTTCGATGGTGCGGCCCGCTCCCTTGAGGTCGCTCTCCCACCACACCGGCACGAAGGCCTGCGTGAACGGGCTTTTGAGGTTCTGAGTGAAGAACGCCCGCATGTCGTCCGCAGTGAGCGTGCTAACGTCGAGTTCCCCAGGAATCACGCCAAGGCCCTTGAGGATATCCGGCGTCATGGTCTCACCCAGGGCCTTGATTTGCTTGGCTGCCTCGCCAGCATGAATAAGGAAGTAGTGCTCAGTCAACTGCAGGTTGCAGGTCCCGAAGCGTTCACCGTCTTTGGGAACTGGCAGCGCGTTGTAGAAGGAGTACTTCGTGACGTACGGCTCGAATTGAGCAATGCTCTCCGGGATGTGAGTCTTGTACAACCAATGCAGCACCTTGTGGCGGTAGTCCTCATTTTCGCAACTCACGTATATGAGGCTACGCATGGGATGAAAGGTGGCCGACATGTTGATCCTTCTATGGAGGAAAAACTCGTAGGTGTGCGCGAGGCGATGCCTAATGTAACGGATTGGTAAAGTAAATGAACTGGTATAAAGCGTGTAGGGTTATTAAGTGTTAGAAGAGTGATTACTAGCTGCCTAAGCTTACTTGAAAAGTAAGAGAAGAGACAGTGATGCTACAAACAAGCTGACAGTAGAAGGAAAGGCCGATTTCTTATATAAGAACTTCGGTATTATTATTACAGCTACTACTGAAGACTGAGCCACTTCATGACGGCTACGGACGAACGGTTCTCGAAAACTGTTGCTCCCCCCCCCCGGTCTCGGGGCTTTGATAACTCCCGATGACCGAACAAAGTTTCTTGGGCTATCGTTATTTTAGGGCGAATCTCCGCTTCTCGCAAAACCAGGTTACACGGCCTAGCATGGGGAACCATAGTCCAAAAGGTTTTACTAGCACATGGCTATTGATTGGATACAACCCCCAGCGAGCCTGGGAAAACCGTATGATCCGGCCCGGGTATGAGGTTACAAACGCACCATGATTACTAAGAATATACGTACTTGACTCTCTAGGTCCTATGATGCTACCTCGCAAGCTGAAGGTCTTACCGCTCCATATAATAGTATAAGTCCCTTGTTATGGTAAATCAAATAAAGGCTCTCACCATTACTGCGCCAAAATGAAAGGAGAACCGGACGATACGTTGTGGTTAGGTCAGCGAAGTGATATTTAAGTGAGTAGTTAGTCTTCAGAAAAGGGAATGGGGTCCACCACGTCATCCTCGCCCCCATCCAGCCAAACTCGAGACAATGCTAAGCGTTGCCATGTTGGCGTCATTGCCGTATGCTATGCCTGTTGTCATATAAAGATCTGAGTTGGTAGAATAAACATGAGCCATGAACGCCATCCCTGATAAGTGTACACTTCTTGGTAAATTAGATGGGATCATATCTTCCCCACCCCTTCTACCAAACTTCTCAACTTGGCAGCCCATTCAAAATGGTATAGTGCGACGGACTCCGTCAATATTCCGTATGCTAAAACTCCTATGGGCACGGTCTCTATAGAGACATCTAGCTAAGAAGGGATAAAAAGCAAGTCGTGCTCAAGATCACAAGATCACTTACCATTATGCCGAATCACCAGGCTTTAAAGAAACTGAAGGCACCCCAGCCAAAGAATGATGCCGAGATTGTTCTCTTAAATCTTCGAGTAACTACACCTCCTAGCCGATCAAACCTTCAAGACAGGCACGTTTCTGGTACACCGGCCTACAATCCTTCACTAATTGCACGAACTGATAATAAGGTACAGAAGCAAACTGCCTTCGCTGTAGGCCCTCTTAACACGTACCTTTGATCACGGCGTAGGTCTTGATGCATTGGACTGGCATCCTGAGCGGGATAAGTTGCCTAATACTAATGAGGATAGGATCAAGCCTTCTCCAGCGCTCTGCAGCCTTCCCCTCCAAAATGTAGCTGTCGAATTTTGGACCAGTGTGCCTATTAGTAACGATGTTGTCGCCGGGGTCATATCTCTGCACGTAGAGACGGATTCTTCTATGCCGATGGGTTGTGAAAGTGGGAAGAGGCGAGTGGTCATGCAAGATAGCTATGTATTTACTCGGGAGGTTGCATTTACTGCCCGGAACGAGATTACTATAGTCAGTAGTGTTAAGTATCAATCTAATCAAATGTTTTTAAGAATGAGTTCCGCAGAACAAATCGAGTCACGCAAGCGCCCTGAGCGATCCATAGCGAACGGAAATTTCAATCTCATTTAGTAAAAAGTCTAGAACTGAATGGTCTCAAGTCAAGGTTCATGGGTTAGCTTCTATCCTCTGTTCTCCAAAGTGTGTTCTCTTAAGTGGGGACCATAGGCTTGAAGCTAGGAGAAGAATTCAACCATCGCTTTAGACTGGTGCCCAGCGGTCTGAGGGTTTCACGTGATCTCACCCCTGATACAATCTCACTCTCTGTGGATCTCACTCTTCCAAACCTCCCTCTCTCACGGTCGTGATAAAGCACCACCAAGACCGATATTCATTGGCGGATGGTAGTTCAGCTACACAGATTCCAAAATGCTTCATTTGAAATGGCAAAGAATCCAACGCCCGGCCGTTGAGTGGCTTAAGATGAACTCCCGTGTTGGGTCTTCCGCGCTTCGTCTGCATATGCCCGCCAGAACAACCACCTTACGCTCAGAAGGCTGTTCATACTTTCGTCATTTGCCAGTTGTTTCCCAACTACAACGTCGAACAATCACTTCTACTACCTCTCTTCAGGGTAATCAGAGTCGAGATGGTGAGGATGATGATCAAATAGAGAGGCTCATGCAGTTTGATCTAGCTGTTAGCAACGAGCTGAAGTCGACCGAATTCAGCAAAGGATTTCGGCAGGCCGCTGCAGACCGTGGCAATTGTCCCACTGGAGCCTGGGAAGACGTTGGCTATCCTGAGCACCCAGAAGTCTCCTCACGGCTCTGGATTGTCGATAGGATTCTGAGCCCACAGACCTTTCCCCATTTTCTAAGCGTCTTGGGCCACGGCCGGTTACCTGGTGGAAACTTGACAACTATCCCACTCCCTGCCGAAGAAGAGGTCATGCTTTTACTACAACCATACTCGAATTGGGCCACAGCACCCTACAGCAGCATGGCGGAAACGCCAATTGATAACTGTATGAAGTTTGTGGGCTCAGACGAAGTTCCCCGCCAGCTCGTTCCCATCACCAAAGAGCTTCATTCAATCAAATCGAGGATATGGGAAGGGCTTCCCCCACTCTCGAAAAGAAGATGGGAAGATCTTGATCTGGACAATCCCGACAATTTCAGGGCGGCTTGCAAGTACTTGGCAATGACCACAGACGCTTTCAATTATCTCAACATTCCTGTTATAAAGTCCGCAATGAGAGATACGCACAACAGCATTTACGACGAATTGGAGACGTTTGAAAAGGCCATCAATGCACGTCGTTCAGTCTCGGGGGGACAGCCCTTGAGATTGGCAGCATTATGGTATGAATTTTTCAATGCCCATTGTTCGTTCATTGCTTCCCGTGCGCACTGTTGGGTGATCGAAAACATAGATCGACTCAGGGATGGTGTTTTAGAGCGAATGGAGAATCTCCCTCCAGGTTCTGATGATGAGTGGTTGGGTGGGGCATTTCTGGAGCTGGCAGACAACATTTACGATCTGACGCAGAATGCAGCCGCTGCAGACATAGGAATTTATATCCCCATGGACGGATACAGGGGCTCTGGTGTGGAATCTGCGGACAGCTGGGAGCCTAACGATTCTGACAAGGCTCCCTACCGTGAATACCCAATCGAGAGCCATCCGTCGGTACAAAAGCGAACTGCAGACTACCATGCTAGATTGAAATATCTTACCCGTGTCGAGACATGGAGGGGAAGAGAGTCGCAAAATCCTGCATTCGGGCCAGGAGGCATGAATGCAACCGACCCTTCCACCTTTGCTATTGGCGTTGTCGGCCAGTGTCGGAGCCAAGGTCAGGCACAAAAGAGTACGCGTTCCGAAATGCGTGGGTCTATGAAACTGCCAGATACGATTGGGAGAGAGATGTGGATTGACGAACTCCGACAACACATTTCTAGTGGTCAACTAAGGACTAGTTTTCTCGTCTATCGAACATGTTTTGACCATAGTGACGATCAGTGGAAACTTTTCAAGGCGAAATTCGAGGCTGATGTCAACGACTGGGGTCGAGATCTCGAAGCAATCGACGACATAAAGAATCTATTCAAGGTGCAGTGGGTGGATGCCAGAGATACAGCTGAGAGTCCCATTGATATTGATGGAGCTAAGAGGTAAGACTGATACCGCTGCCATTCACTTCATTGGACTTGCAAGATCGCTAAGTGTTCATTCTTGTAGCAAATTTCGGGAACTTGTACAGAGTGGTGCCATCCCTAACGGGTTCCATGATGGATTCTTCCTCGCAGCAGATAAGTCGTCTGTTGACTCGTATCTGAACCCCGGTGCCAACCAAAGCGGATTCATTGTGGCAGTAGACAACAACTTTGATCGCGAAGATACCAGCGGTTACAGGATGGACGAAACACCTGGCTATGATGGACAAGTCAGAATCTTGGGGAGCCTACTCTGGGATGACGTGAGCGCACAGATATCGCGCCAGTCACAGTATCTAGAAGACATCTGGCCACTCGCAATGCAGCACGATCTTCAGGTGTATGAAGGCCCTTGGATCAAAGAGAAGTTGAAGCCCAGTCAGTAGCTAAGTGATTCACCGTGGTGGACTTGTATACTATCAAAAGATCTCTTATCAGCAGTAACATCGTTCCTCTACATATGTATTATATACTCGACATCTACTTTCATAGACTTTCGATGCTATCAATTGATTTAAGAATAGCGGTACACTCTTGTCGTCGATTCCATGAGGCTAGATACAAAAGCGTAGCGTCCTTGCACTTGCTATCAAACGATTCTTACTCATTGTCGCGCACGTCAATGACCGTAGACTTGAACTTTCTGGCAGGAATCTTGCGGTTGAACAAGATATCGGTCTCACGGTATGTGCGGTGCTTGAGCTCAGGCAGGAAGAAGTATGCCATAATCCAGCACACAACAGCAGTACCTCCCCAGACATATCCACACTTTCCTGCCAGGTTCCATCCAGTCGGGTTGAGCAGCTGCGATGCAAGGAAGATCATGGGAATTTCGGCAACGTAGTAAGCGCCGCGGCCGACACCAGTACTGAGAGCACGGAGACGGACGGAGGATGTCTCCGAGATGATGGTGTACGAAATTGGTCCCAGAGTACCGGCAAAGACGAATGAAATGACAATTCCAAGAATGGCTTGAGCATAGTTCGTCGCAGTGGTTTGCTTTATGGAGGCGACGATACCGAGAATCATGAGGAAAGTGACATTCGTTGCTGTTCCCCAGAGGTAGATGGTTCGACGACCAAACCAGGCGGTCAGAGGCCACGAAAGAGCATTGGCGATGAAACCCAGGCACGAGTTGATCAAGTTCAGTTCGAAGGCGCGATCATTTCCGACACCGGCCTCTAATCCAGGAATCAGTCATTGGAGTCTCAAAAAGCTTTCGGTTGGTTAGGTACTTACGCTCGAAGAAAAAGGTGGCTTGGTTAGCAATCAAGTTACCAGCAAAGTTCTGAGACGCGTACATCAGACAGGTGATGGTGGTTCGTCGCAGATCGGTGCCCTTGAAGAGATCCAGAAGGCTGGGGTTGCCACCAACTTGTCTCTCAATTTCCACTGTTCGCTCGATCATGGCAAGAGACTTCTGTGCCTTCTCGGGAGTATTGGCTCCAAGTCGCTCAATCGATCGCAGGGCATCCTTTTGACGGCCGGCGCGGACCAGCCACCACGGGGATTCGGGGGAGAGGAAGACGAGAATCATAAGGGGAGTCTAGGAAAGTCAGTATGCTGTCTGAAAGTATCTAATATGAAGAGAGGACTTACGGGAAAGATCCACTGCAATGCAAGAGGCAGTCTCCAAGCCCACTCATCCGCCCGTTTGTTGGTGGCATAAGTGACACCAGCGACGATGATGCCCCCAATGGACCAGGCCATCTGGAGAGTAGCTGTGCAGGCACCTCGAAGAGCCAGAGGGACAACCTCGGAGGCATAAGCAGGAGCATTGGCGATGAACATGCCCCACGGGACACCCTCCAAAGCTTGCCCGACTGTCAAGACCGCGAGAGAATTGGCCTGTGGAGTCGACTTGTCAGGAACTGCGTCCTACTGGGTTGAGACAGCTGATAAAGACTTACAAAGAATGATACGAAGATTGTCGCGTTCATCAGCACCAAGCCGATGAGGGTAGTCCAGCGGTAGCCGACCCTGTTGGTAATAGGACCGGCGAGGAACACACCAACGAAGGCACCACATTGGCCAGATTGGAAAAGGGCACTCTGCCATTTAGTCTCAATGACTTTGCCGCTTCCCTCAACCATAATGCCGTATCGTTCTTTGAAAGCGGTTTGTGCGACGAAGTTTCCGTTCAAGAACATGTCGAACGACTCCATGACCTTGAGCGGGACGTCAGTATTCACCCAAAAGCCAATTCACGATGCTTCACCTCCTCGATTTCTCCACCATTCCACTCTCAATCTGGGGAACATGGGGAAAAGCGGGGAGAGGGCAGATCTCTCAACTTACAATGGTGAAGCACATGGTAAACGCCCAAAGGCAAGCCCACGGGTGAGCCTTGACGGCCTCCCATACTCCCTGCTGGTGTTCGTGGTTCTCTCCCTCGAAGGCATCGTTCATCAGGTCCTGGTTGGCCAGGACGTCTGAGTTCTTGACATCAACGTGGACGCCGGCCTCGAGGCCCTTTGTCTCTGCGATGGCGGCAGACATTGTTGCGCTTCCTGATTCGCCAATTACACGACCGAATGCAGAGAAGAAAAGCAAAAGACAGCAGTGTCGGGGTAGGGTGGGAGCGGCCTGCATTGGCCTGTTATATGCTGTGCTACGTCCCGCGGCCGTGTCGCATCAACAATCACGAGATGGGGTCCTGTACGTCCAGTCGCGTGATACATGGGAATCTCTGCTTGTTGGTACGTAGGGAGTCCCTGTTACAAAATCCAGGGTCGTAATAGGAGCGAGTAGGTACTTTGAACGGCTGGGTGTCCGATCCGAGACCCCAGCGGGCTTGTCTCACATTGGGCAAGATTCGAGCGGTTGGGCCTGGCTCAAGACACCCATACCAGCCATGCTTCAACAGTCAAGATTCTTTGCATGTGGCTTTCACTGGTGAAGGGCTCCAAAGGATGAGGGTCATGACCGTAATGTGGAGGGTCGATCCCCAGTCCCCGCCTTGATTGACGGGCCCGAGAGCTGTGGTGGGTGAGAATGGGGTCGTAACACTTGGCTTTCCCTTCCTGGCCATTGGAGATGCCGATTTATCCGTCCCATGGGCGGGAGAATGGGAATGTTGGCCGTTTTCAGCGGGCATGGAAGTACCCAAGACAGGTGATGGATCGCCGTGTGCGCAGGCCTTTTGTTCATATTGCCACCAGGCAGTTTTGATTTCGCACTACAAGGAAAATAACCCGATTGGACCCCCGGCCTGTCGTCATAAGGCGGCCAAGTCTGGAGAGCTTGCTTATTCGCGCGGGTAAGATTCCTCGTGATGGGAAAGCTTAATTTCATAGCACTAAACTGCTTGCAAGGACACGGATATTAACTTTGCGATGCTTGCTACAGAGTGTCAAGGCAGAGAAAATAAAGGCAACGGCGTGCGAGATGAACTGGACATTGCATCTAGGGGCTTACTCACAGACACAGTAGCATCAGGTGGCACTCAAGCCGAACAGAACAACAATCTGCACTGGCCAAGCTGACAATGGGATTTCGTTGGCTCTATGCAAAGTTGCCGGCAGCAAGTAATACCGCACTAAACCCCAGGATTTCAGCTTCGGCCCTTTTAACCCCAACCTGGGCCGTAACGTAACATCTACTCCGCAGATCCCCTGTCCATAGGCCGAGCAAATGTCTGGGGCATTCTTCTCTGCAAGTTTATGTTGGTTTGGGCACTCATATGATCGAAGTCCATCGGCTCATTTTCTTTCATGTGGCGTCGCCCTCGGAGGAGTTGCCGGGGAGCAATCGTCCGACCAGCATAAGTCGTTCATTTCATAAGGCGGATTTTGTGTCGGAATCTTGGCAACGCTCTGGCATTTACATGGCCATTCTAATGTGCCAATCGTCTTAACCTTTGCATTCAAGGTTCAAGGGCCCCCAGCATTTCATTAATTGATGCAAACACGTGTGGTATGATGAATGCAACACTCTCCCCACAAACGAACCAACCGTATTTTCACTTGGGAATAAGGCGAGCCAATTTCTCACGTGGCGAACTCGAAACGCTGATCCGGTCCAGATCTCGGTCCATTGAGATGCCCACTTCTGTTCGTTGGCTGCTACTGTTCATCGTGATATGTGGGTAAAATGCAGGTGCCTGCAAGATGAAGAAGCTCGTAACGATGGGTTGATTGCATGCTCCATGAACTGAGTAACATGGGCAGCCAGCCTCAGTGTGTTTTACGTAAATCTTGCCTGAGCTCGTGTTTATTGAGTCTGCATTCGTGTACCATGTGAATCTTACTCTCGTCAGACCATGAAACTCAGATGGTTCCGTTCAAGCTAGAGCTCACATTTAATTACGAGCACAGGGATGTTGTGACCTAGTCAATGCTCACATTGAAATTAATAACATGTTCTTGTGCCTGTTCCATGCTTGAAAAACTATGCCTGGGGTCCAAGATTCGAATACAGCTCAAAGGAAACCCCGGGCAAGTTCATATTGCTAAGAATAATGTCGCGAGACTGTTTGAACCAAATATTAATCAGATTCCAAACTTTAAATTTACCTGGAAATCCGTGTTGTCGTTCAACATTTCAGCCTTCAATGTTGGTAGTTGTTTTTCTGGTGATCCTCTTACCCTAGACTTCCATCTCGGTACAAGAGAAAATCGCCTATCTACTGGAATTCCGATCTCAAAGTCAGTCATTTAGTTTCATTCAAATAATAGAAAATTGAAGGCACAATCCCAAATGTTGTATCTGTGACCAAATCGTTCACAACTAGCGCGGCAGATGGCTGAATTCTTCTCAGTTATTCTCCCGACCCTGACGGCTATCAATCATTAAAAACCCTTTGAGTAACTTAGCATAGTAGTGATTTCCAACAGCCATAACCATAGAGGGTGATTACCGCCATTCTCTATCTTGGAACTTCACAAGATGGGACTTTGTAGTGCTACGAGTCCGCAGACGGAAACCGAAAGGAACAAAGAGAAAACGGCAACAAAGTGAAAACGTTGAGAACTCCGCGGGTGTTAAAAGGGGCATGATCTCCAAAAGCATATAGAAAGGCCAAATAGAGAGATACCATAGTCTCCCAGGATCAAACCTCCATCGTTCGTATACCGTTAGAGCCTGCCGATCGTTCGTGTGTATTAGAACGCCTGAAGCTCGCTTTGAAGCGAGCTAATTGCGGCGGGGCCCTTGAGGCGCTTATTTGAGACATCCTGAGGGACATGCTGGGGCGAGTTGAAGGCCCAGATGGGATCTCCACGCTATGACCGGCCACCCTCCGTAACACTGGTCGAAGTTTGGGGAGACAGCCTGGCGAACTTGTTACCAATATATCTCTCGAAGCTGATAGTGTCATAGTTTTGAAGAACATCTTACTTGAAAAGACGGCCATATTCACCTCCACAGCAGCCCATAACATGTTTGGAGCGACATGATAGGTTATCTCAGCTTCAAGAGGATCATACTTGATCGACTCGATGAGTACAAACACCGAGGCAATCACAACGCTAGAAGAAGTTAGATTTCCAAATGGGATATATGCTTATTGATAGAGAGAGAACTGTTGATGAGATCTTACATGGCCCCGGATGCGAACAAAGCAAGAATGGCAGCCTTGCGCTTTTGACTGAGCTGCATCTTCAGGACCGGGAAGATAGGTAGCATCACGATGACCGTGTCCATGACACAGTGAAGCAGCACAGTGCCAAAGAAAAACTTGCTGATATCTATCGGGCACCTCCCACCTTGGATGGATTTATCCCAGATGTACGGCACAGGAGTGCATTGAAATATAACGATGAAGGTGCGCACAATCACCCAGAGGAATGAGGTCAAGAAGAGAATGATGATTGGCCAGCGGATGGAACTACGGTTGAATATGTTCCAGAAGAAGCAGAGGACAGAAAACTTGGAAGAGGCGATGGATGCTGCGTAGGTCAGCTCGATGATCCAGAGTAGTTGGCGGGACTTTTCCAGAATGCAGTCTAGTTTGTCTTGGTCGACATTGGGAGGAAATTGCCCTAAATAGTACTGAAATGTCCCTGGGCCTCAATGTCAGCCAAAAGCTGCTGATTACCCACGGATCATAGCTGAAGTAAAGAGGAAGCGGTGACAGTACATATCAATATTGTGGTGCAATAACCAGATGCGAAAACCTTTGGGAGACGTGAGTTACTATCTCGTTCTCAAGGTAGGGAAGTCACTAACAAATGCAAAGATGCAAAGATAGTCATCATAAAATGGGGGTCGCCTGGTCAGATACAGGGCAACCATTCGAAGAGTCAGTGCCAGAAGGGCGACGGCAAAGGTGGTGATCGTAGCACCCAGAATGTTAGGCACAAACCCAACCATGACTGAGACCTTGAGAAACAATGAATAGGCAAACCGAGAACTAAAATAACTTCATTATTTGCCGAGGACCAATTGCATGGCCTAGTTAAGTGTTGTCGCCGTGTCGTGGGTTTGCTCGGAACCAAGCAGTCGTGGCCCAGCAGGAGAAGACAGCAAAAAGCATATGTAGATCTGCCGATCATGGGTCGTTATTAATTTGTATCGGACTTCGCTAGAAAAGCAGGTCCAAGAAGATGGAGAGTGTGAACGGCCTGGGATCACTCTAGCCCCCGAGAGAACTTTACAAAGCGGTTGGGTGTCCACGTAGCCGAGGGATAGAAACCTAAGAAACAAGAGGGGCATCGGTGTAGAAAATAGCTTGTTGGTTACGAGACTATTTATGTATGACTGAGACCTGCGGAACATCTAGACAAGCTGATTGATGCGTGCGAATGACTTGGCGGAGACTGTCTCAGCCACCACTGAATCCTGTGGTTTGACTGGCTTCATTGAGACTGACCATCCACATTGCTAGTAAGAGATAATGCTTGATTAGCTCCCTGCTGACATCTGGCTTGCATCCGAACGCCCAGACTTGGTAGCTTGAGTGGCCTCATGTGTCACCGGTCCTCACCGCTACAGTAATCATCACCTCTTCGGACGAAATAGAAAGTCTTTCCTTGACTGTCATAACAACACTGGCCGCTGAAGTACCTTAATTAGAGACATAGTTCACGATTTGAGATTGATCGAAAACAGGGAGTAAGTATCCATTGTAGAGAGATGGCTGGGTCAAATCTGCGCTAAACATTTGTTCTAAAGCGTACACATTTAGATGAATTTACCTCAAAGTGACATTTGATCCACGTTGAAAAGTTATTCATCAATACTGCACTTACAAATGAGCTATCTAACTGCTCTTTTCATATGCTCACAAAGTGCCACTCTAAGCCTTGACCGCAACCATAAACAGTCGAGGGTATGGCAGCAGAACCTTTCCATCTTCTTGCGATTGGTACACCTTCCTCAATCGCGAAAGGTAATCCTCGAGAAAGCCAGCCTTTTGTTCGGGTGACAACGGATCCACGTAGGGCCGCAGACCAGTTCCCTTGACCCATTCCACGATAGCCTCATGATTCTCCAGAGTATGAAAGTATGTGGTTCTCCAAATCTGAATTTCCGATGCCAAAGGCTGTAGAGCATTATAAAGCTCGACAGGAGTAGGGAAGTCATCCCTCCCAGGGGCCGCGCGTGTAAGAGTCTCTTCCCAGGCAGTACCTGGGGCGAACGCCGCCTCCCTCATGGCGGTATGGGACGGTTCCATGAGGTTATCAGGCACCTGAAAGGCGAATACACCACCAGAGGGCAGCTTCCCTAGAAGACTCTGAAAGAGTGGGATGCGTTTAGAGCCAGGGATCCATTGGAAAACGGCGTTTGAGTAGAACAAGTCCACCTGCCCATCGGGCTGGTACATCTCCAGGTCGGCCACTTCGAAGGGAACAGAAGGGAGGACTTCTTTTGCCTTCTTGATCATGTCTGGGGACGAGTCCATGCCTGATACCGATGCATCTGGGAATTTGTCCACGAGAAGGGCAGTCGAGTTTGCTGGGCCGCAACCAAGATCAATAACCCGCTTTGGCGAGCTCAATGGAACTCGCGAGAGCAAGTCACGGGCAGGTTGCGTTCTCTCAGCCTCGAACTTGAGGTACTGGGCCGCGGACCAGTCTTTGGCCATTCTTGCGGTGTTGGTAATGTGTGCCGTCTGGTTGGATAGAGCCCAGTATGCGGGCCTATGGAGAGATTGTGCAATGCGCCGCGCAGGGAGATAATAGCTCAGAGATATCAGAGCGGACATGATTATATGCCCATAAACAAGGTACTCTTTTATAAAGAAGGGATTGGATATGTTAGACGAGCGATCAATTATTCAACCCCGTAGATATATCGTCCAAAGTTGCCGTCCTTATTCATCATTGATCGTCATCTCATCGCGAGAGTTCTGCTTACATAACTCGGAGCTCGGATTTTATCCTCTCGGAGACTCGGCGGTGACGGATTTTCATCGCAAATACGGAGCACTGTCCATCGACTCGCGAATGGTTGAAAATCCTCGGTCGCTTCATCGTATTTCCTCTCGCGGAAGCCGAGGGCAATAAGCGCGTCGGCAAGATAGCCGACTTCCATTTATGGACGTCATGCAACGATGACTGATCTGTGGAGGAGGGTAAACAAGCGCGTCGACGAGCTCGAGGTGAGACAGAAAGAGCTTCCGCGGGAGCGGCCTTATGCAAACCCAACTGAGATGTTGCATTGGAAGCGAGGACGATAAGCGACCAAGGCTGCATTCATGGCAGGGATACACACATCACTCACTGGATTCCAATCCAACCAGAGCGCTCCCCCGCACTCTGATGACTGTGATTCGCCTCATGGTGGTCTCTATTCGGTAACTTCTCCCTCGTAGCTGAACCAATCACTCCATTCCCATGTCGAGATGACTGTGATATCACCTCGCCCACCATCCTATGAGAGAAGGTAGCTTCGTTCATTGCCCACAAGCGACTCCCAAGCACGTGCTCACCGATATCGCCTCCTAGTCTCATTCCCCGATACGATACTGTAGCCACGACTGCCTCTTCGGGGGCCGCCAGGGTTGAGACATTGTCCTGTTGTACGCCGGGCCTGGGCCTTCGCTTGTTATTACTAGGATCGTGGGACAGCATTTGCCAGATGCAGATATTCAGGGCAAGAAACGCAAATCAGAGACCTTTTCAACAGTCTGATTCGGACAATAAACAGCGGCAAACATACGCGGCGCAAGGCATCAACCACAACTCGGAGCATGTCCCTCCGGTCATCCTCATTTGCCCAAAGGGGGAGGAAGCTGGCAAGGCCGGCACTTCATATTGGCAGGGGGCCTTGACGGATGGTGCCACCTCGTCGGAAATGTGACAGGCAGAGTGACGGAATGATGGCAATCAGCGTATGATATCCATGTCTAGGCGTGGATTTGAGTCTTCTTGAAGGGCGAAGATTGCAACAGCACGGGAACGCCGTTGGCACAATTGTTTCCCCCTTCTAAGTCTAAGGGCATCTTATCACAGGATGTTGGTCAAGATTGTATCTTGTGACCTTGTCTCCAATCAAGGCCGATGTGGTTCTCTGTAGCGGCGGCTAATTCTGTGATTTATGACACGTTGTACGCCAATGGCATCTGGCATATGCTAGACAGCAACATCAGCGCTTGCGATCCCTGACGGCTGGATTAGCCTCAAACAAGCAAGGGTACGCCAACGGTGAGACCCCACCTGTTCCTTGTCCCCGGTGTCAAAGGATTGACACTTCTCACAGCTTGCGATGTTACCAAGTTGCCAAACTACTCCGTATCTAGTCTTGAGTTCGTCGTTAACCTGGCGGTGACCGAGGTGACGCCGCTAAATGGACAGACTTGATGGATAGCAGGAGACATCTAGCGTGGGGGTGGTGTGATGGGAAAAGCAGAACGAGCTCTGGATATCTTACGTTCAGAATCTACAGCACTAGATGAAGCAGTAACTGATATTAATGAGAGAATGCCATGGTAATAATCTCTGTAATCACTAAATCTAATTAGCAACGTGCAAATCACATTGTTAGCCGTCTTCTCTCTTCTCTGTGGGTCGTCCTTGAGTTCTCAAACGAAGTCAGCGCGAGAATATGACGACGACCCTAGTCACTCCTCCAGGGGTCCATAGTTCTGGGAACTCAGTAGATAGCCAATCCCACCATTTGATTTCTACCAGCATCATGATGCTCGCGCCCTGCCAGTTTCTTTCATCTTTCCTGGCGGTATATGTTCTTAACATGCAGCCAACTCCATCCCACCGAGCACGTCGGCGGCACCCATTACGATGGAGGCCTTCATTGCTCTGGGAAACGATGCATATTTCGACAGCACGGTGTTCATTGCGACATGCTCGGCATTGTCCGCCGTTGGGGGAGTGTTGATCGCTGTACGGTGCGTGGCGAGCGTGAAGCAAATTGGGAGGTTGTACCTTGATGACTGTGCGGCAAGCCTTTAACATCCGGATCATCGACAGCGAGGGCAAAGCTAACGGAGACAAATGAGCAGATGCGATGATCGTGGGTTTGGCATTTTTGGTTGCTACATTCGTGATGACACACTTACTGGAGAGGTGTACGTATTCGGTTGATTGATCCCAGGAATGCTACGAACTGAGACTTCTACAGCGTATGATGAGATGTACAAGAAAGTCATGTCACTCTTAGGTTTGGAGTCTAAGCGCGCCCTACCTCCATCCGTTCCAGACTACCTCTTCGACCCAATCCTCGAAATGGACAGAGTACGCCGAAATTCCACACCAACATGAGATCGTAATACTCATTGCTTTGAATAGATATGGGTCGCAACGATAACGGTCGCGAATCTTTCCACGTGGACGACAAAACTCCCCCTTATGCTCATGCTAGCTCGATTATTCAGCGTCAAACCCTGGGTACCATGGATCTCATACGGCATGCTAGTTGCGTCCCTTCTCGTAACTATTGCGATCACGGCATGGAGCGGAGCCGCATGCGACATGAGAGGGCAGTGGGATACGAATGTCGCCGAAATATGCTCTCCACGGAGTGCTCGCGGTCATCTGGCATCAGGGATCGTGGGGTTAATCGTTGATGTTGTCCTCTTTATTCTCCCGCTTCCAATCATCATAAGGCTGAATGTGCCTTTCAAGAGGAAGATAGGATACGCCATTGTCTTTACCACGGGGATTCTGTAAGTCTGGCTTTTCTGACATGAGCAAGAGGTTGGAAGATCTAACAGCCTAAAAACAGAGGCATCGTTGTTAGCATTGTTGGGTGTTACTGGAGAAAACAGGCACTGAGTGGAAAGGCTAGTGACCGAAAAGTTTCCATTCTCTGCGTGTAAGTTGTTCTGGCGCCCTGAATCCCGGAGTGTCGACTAATTAGATGTCAAGGGTTTTGGAAGGTATCATTGCCATTCTCCTGGGATGTGTCCCCGCATACTACTACATATACCGAAACATTATAATCAAGGCCAACAAGTTTTCGAATGCCACGTCGGGCATCACAGCTACAAAATCAACTCGAAAGCCTACGAGCACGGCTAGGCAGTCTCATATGTCAAGGCGATATACGACCACGGCTGATGAAACCATCAACTCGACCCAGGGGGATTGGATCAAGATGGACACACCGCCAGTATCTAGAGATCGATCAAGAACAAGGGAACCCGAACCATCAATGTCCATTGACACGGCACGTTCCTCCACAGACAGGGACCATATCATCCACATTGGATATGACGGGAGATCTAATAGAGCACAGTCATGAGTTGAACGGAACGGAAAGGACAAGGATACGAGATACCCAGGGCCAGTATCAATTGATACCATAGAGTCGGATGCGTCAGCAAACTATACGATACCTTTAATATATCGAAATCATCTTCAAGATCAGTTTCTTGGTCACCATACCGTACCGTCTAGTGCATGTGGTATGGGATAGTTCCAGTCTGCCTGACATGACTGACGTTACCTGTATGTATTGGAAAAGAGTGCTTACCCTAACCTCTCTATGTTCACAAGGTGTCGAAGTTGATGCTTCGCCTTCCCCTCCATCAATCCAGCAAATTGATCCACTATTGCTCAATGGATCATCTTACTGGGGTGATTGGCCGACTGACATGGACGGAGCTTTGACTTGACTCACTAGACTTTAGGACTGGGGAGCAAGGGAGAATATCTTACGGTGTATGCCTTTCATGGAGCACATTTAAGACACAATGCCGCGAAAGATACTTTTCTTTGCTTAATCTGTTCTGTCTGGGGACAGAAACAGGGAATAACACCATCAGCACTTCCTAGAAGTATCGAGCCATCTAGTTATCTACGGAAACACCTGTCACCAGATTGCGTCACGATATGTATCTACATTGGCTCCAAAGGAATTGAACTTCGTGCCTAGGAATTGAACGATTACTGCAGAGTTTTGCCAAATGAAAACCTTGAGTTCGTTTAGTTTAAAGACTGCTTCTGAATAGAAATGACATATATCTGGCACCCTAAACCAAGATTCATCCTTCGTAGCAGCTCATACTCTTTTCCATTTCCTGGAGTTAGACGGACGCGCAAGAAGCACTCTTCCACAGCCACCCATCCTTACTCCTTGAACCGAAGCAAGTACCAGAACCCGGGACGTAGTTTGACGTAACAGAGTTCCCCTTGCAGTTATAGTCGTCAAACAGGTAGCAGTTGCCCCTAGTTTGCCCCCCAGCCTTGGACCAGATGTTTGCGGTGTTGATCGACAGAGAGTTTCCGGGCATGTTCAGTTGGAAGCACTCGGCCTCCTGGCCGCCGTTGACCATCCGACCGATGAGTGGCGATTTGCTCCACCAGCAGGCCGCCTCGCCGGCGTACTTGGTGCAGCTTTTGTCGGTGTAGAAGTTGATTTGTGCTCCCTTGTCTGTTTGGTAGGTGGCGATGGCGGGTTGTGCCAGGCCGGCGACTGCGGCCACGATTGTAATGAGGCTGAAGCTGTGCATTTTGGTGTATTTTTGTGTACAAACGAAGATCAGGTGGGTTGAATATCGCTGAAGAATGGGTGGAAGATGGGAACGAGAGTGCGATGGTATGTTCACTTTTCTGAAAGAGAGGGGACAAACGGCTTTCTTATATAGTTTAGAAGCATGGCAAACATCATCATTTCACCTTGTGCGTTATGTTTTACGAGCTGCCCAGAGGAATGTCCCCGAAAAGTGGAACGAGCCGTTGGGTTCGTATAGCCGACAATAGGAGTGCTTGATTCCCATTCCGAATACTCGGCTCAGCGCTTTCTGGAAATATACCCACCCGACGCATGAAATGAAAATTTCCTTGCAGCCAATAGGGCATTGCAGGAGTGAGCTCTCTCTATGCTAGCGCAGTAGGGCTGAGCTCGGAAGAGGACTTGGTCTGACATAAGATGGGGCTGGTTATCCGACTTGTCTCCCCTCTTTCAATTGCTAGCGAGGCAAATTGATGCCTCGGGTAGTGCATGATAGCTATGCGGATAGCCAATCTAGGCGTGACTTCAATCTACTTACGACATTGTAATGAATTCGTAAGCTGGCTGATCACAACAGTGAGTTTCACGGCTCGCAAAAGTTATCCAGCAGTTCCTGGCCACCGCCACATCAGTCAGATTGTTTCTAATGACGATCCTCCAATCAAATCCTAACGCTATGATTTAAAGAGATTTAGCTACGGTGGTCTGCTCATCCTTGGTATTTCCAAAAATTTATAATCATGACAATAGCACTCAAAGGGGCAAACTCCCCTGCATTTTCCAAGCGCATTACCAGCCTGCCTTCTACATGAAATGGAACCAAACCATATTGACTGGTAACGGGGTCCTAATCTAGGCGGTAATGCTAACTGGCTTATCCGATCAGGTTGGATAAATGTCCCATATATATGTCAAATCGATGGTGAGAAAATATCTATTATGTAAAGAGTGTAGTAGTCATACTAACTGATGAAGAAAATGATTGCAAGTCTATGAGTATCTATTAATAAAGAGTCGCTGTATCTATTCACATGCTAATATCGCTCTATTCATTCTGGCATGCCCTTTATTATAGGTTATCGGGGCATTTCGCGCGGATCCTAGATCCGAAGATTTGGAAGATGATAGGAACTGGCACCAAGACCAACGAGAGGAAGGCCAAGATGCTGTTACCCCAACCCAGCCCAAGGTCATCATACATGGACAAGCCAGCAAGGGGAAGCATAGCACCAGCCAGAGATCGAAGAACTGTAACAGCTGCGACTACAGAGGCCGCGTATGATATGTAGGCATCAATAAGATATGTTTGAAGACACATCTGCGTCTTGTTAGTGGATATCATCGCTTGGGGTTTGAGGATAGAGCTTACCATGATGCCCATGAGACCAAAGCAGAACAGCGCAACACCAATCATCGGTACAATCCAATGGGCGTTCCTTTCAGCTGACCATCCGTACCAGAAAAGAGATACCACGATCAGCAATCCACATGGGGCGGTGAGCCATATTGGCATACGGTCCTCAGGCACAGCCTGTCCATTTTGAGCAATCTTTCTCTTGATGATGATATCTGTGATGATACCAAAAGTGATGGTGCCGAGAAGCATGCCGACGCCGGTTGGTATGTATGCAAGACCGATGGTGCCTGTGCCGAAACCATACTGCTGAGCAAAGACGAACGTGAATGTGCTGAACATGAGGTATAAGACTCCGTAAACTACGGCGACGTAGAGAGATAGAGTGAAGACGGGTAGTTGAGTGAACAACATCTTCATTGGTCGGACGATGGCGTGCTCGAGTCGTTTCTGCTTTGTGAGACCGTCTTGGTCCAGTACGGAATAGAGGCTATCATTTCCAGTCTCCTTCTTGAGCTTCTTGACTCTGTTTCGAAGTAAAGTCGGGTGGTAAGTCTCGGGAGCGGCGAAGTAGCAAAGAATTGAGATGGCTCCTGCCTATTATTGGGTTAGAAAGTGTAAGAGTCAGCCACAAGTTTGGCCAAGTTATTGATACCAGGGGGACAAGCTTACAAAAATTGCAATCACCCAAAAGACCCATCGCCATCCCAGAGCCTCGATCATGTAACCTCCTGCCAGCGGCCCAACGCAAGGCCCCAGCAACGGACCCATAGCCCACACAGCCATGGCCTTGCCACGCTCCTCGACGGGAAACATGTCGGATATCGTCCCGCTTCCGTTGGTGACAGGCGTAGATCCCGTGAATCCCATCATGAATCGGAATACGATCAGCATCGGCATGTTCGTACTAAGTGCAGTTGCTACTGTCATAATGATGAAGAGAACATTGGCGACATTGAAAACAATGGCTCGGCCGTAGATTTCGCTAAGAGGGGCTGCGAGGAGGGGACCAAAGGCGAATCCGAGAACATATACTGATACAACAAATGTTGCGATGCTCGAGTTGAATTCTTTGAATTCTTGCATGATATCGGGCACACCGGGTGCAAACATTGAAGAACCCTATGAAGTGGTTAGCGATGATAGCAGAACGATGGCTACACGTGGTACACACAAGAGGCCTAAGTGAATGTTAGCGTGATGGCTGTATGTAACGGATCATGTGAACCTACGTTAATAGCGTCATGACGGACAAAGCACCGATGCAGATCCATTTCTTTCGAGGGGCCCAATTCATGGGGTTCTCTGGGTCGTCAGGGCCGTTCCAGTTGATAGCATTCGGATCATCTGCCGTAACATCGGAAGCCTCGCCTTTATTGTCGTTATCGGTTGTGCTGGCTGCAGCTTCTTCGTCCGTAGTCTTCATACCTGCTTCGCTAGGTTTGTACGAAGGGGTAAGTGTTCTTTGACTCTCGGGCCTGTCAATATCATCAAGCTTGATGGCCTTCGGGGATTTTTCCGTAGCCATGGTGTTTAGTCGTTTCAGTGCTACCTCAAGCCGCCACAGGGTTTAACACTTCCGAACACAGAGCCTCGAGGAGAAGAGGAAAAGGAAAAGCTAGGGAAGTCCATTTATTAAGAGCAGTGTAACGTGCAGAGCTGAGTCCCTTCTGCGCCGCCCCACCCACTATTTCCCCGTGTTACGGAACCGAGACCGAAAACGAGCCAACCAACTCACCCTCCAATAACTTTTCTTTGCGTGCACTAATGTAAGATTTGTGTGCCGCTAACAGCACATTATTCGTTGAATCGGCTCATCGGACCCGTCCAGCTGCCCGAAAACCGTTGCTTGTTTGTTATGCAACGCCCCTCGGCAGCATCAGCTTCCGGGCCAAGAATTATGCAGATCCCCCGGCCAAAATGTGATTTTATGAGCAATGGGCCCACTCCTTCCATCCTTTTTCTATTATCAAAAGCTCGGGAGGAAATAGTACGGGCTCTTGTCTCAGCAATTCGCGAGATCTGTCAGTCGTTTCTCGGAGGAAGCCGAGATGGAAGCCGAGATGAGACCAGCATAAAATTTTCCCTGTATTCACATTCACATTTTGGCCACCTGATCAGTCGTTGATAGATGGCGGCGGGCATGGAAAGATGACCCAACACCCTTTAAAATGGCCAGATAACGCGCACGCTCAAGGCGCGTAATACATTGAAGGAATATTCGGGCGGAATATGAATCTCAATAAACAAAAACACCATCAAGATAAGTCGGATATTTCAACATGGCTACTGTGCATGACTTAATTTCGTGTTTCCTCCGTCTGACTTCGATGTTCCGCGATTCTAGGCCCACCATTGCATTTGGACCGCCGGAAGTCAGAGCCTCCGAAGAAGCTTATGCCAGAACATAATTTTCTTCCGTGATCCCCACAGTTAAGCTTCGTCTTAAATGAAGCATAACTGTTGTCGGTCCCGGTTTAAGCCTCAGCGTAGTGACCAGGCTGTATCTGCATACAAACGTTCCTCTATTCTTCTCACACACATCCAATAAACAGGTCAATCACCCTTCAATATACGAAGGGCGACTAAGGCTTGCATTGTTTACACATGATCAGTTTGGAGACCTGATATTCAAAGCAAGCATGGGCATGTATCGACTTGTTTTTCAGGGGAACCCCTTTTGGTGGCGTTATTGCGCGTCTTCTTCCTTCAATACCTCTAATAATGGCGTCAATATTCCCGAGGAAGACTAAGAATTCTTAATTACTTACGCCTAAAGGTAGCAAAAGACGTCCGTGACTGCGTATTGATAAGGCTCGTCTCCTTCCCTACCCTAGAGGAGCATCACCAAATGCCTCACTTTCTTTTACGAAGCCGCGGGTGCTGTCCAAAGGCTGCTCCAAACTCTGTACCCTCAATAAATTCGACTGAATATCCCATATTTAGCCTGGCTTCTAGTGATGGGGCAACCAGCATAAGCACGTTTCCACTTGCATAGCAAAGTCATCAAATCTATGCTTTCTTTACGGACCAGTTAACCACATGACGGCCGATGGGTTTGAAATTTCGTAGCCAACAGTAGTGAGACCTTGCCCATTACGAAAAAAAATTGTTTCCGGGGTGAGACCCGCATGACTCATGCCAGGGTGAGCAAAGTCAAAGACTCAAGTTATTGGCGAGGGCAAGTCGGAGCCTGAACATATTCCTAAACACGAATTGAAAAGCAGCCAAGAGTGAGCGTGAGCAATTAATGATTATATCTCTTTTTGTTGAAAGAATCAAATGGTCTTTGAGGACATCGTATGTTCTCCTCATTATCGAGACTCAAATCCGTTGCATCATAGAATAAGGCCTGGTGCCCATCTGTCGCTTGGAAAGTAGTACCTAAGATACCTAACAGTAAGATGTAAATCCAACATCACAGGAATGAACAAGCCCCTGATTGATTCAGATAGTTTCAATTGACAAATGAGACCCTCCAGTTCTTTCAGCTCTCTTAAATAGAGTTTCGATGGCATGACAGACACCAAAAGTCCCTCGCACTGGACGCCGATGAGGGCACAGGCACCCTTAGGAGCCTACGGTACGTAAGATCGGGGTGAAACCAGAGAACCCAATGAAGAAGCACTGCCAGCTACTGTAGCTTTGCCAAGAATTGGGTTGGAATGCTTCTCTTCAGGAATTCCGAAGTGTAAGGTTGTCTCGGGTAAGGCCGTTATTGAGGTTAATGGAGCTTATCGTTCATGACGTTCGCATTCACTAGAGTCATCCCGAGCACTAGAGACGGGTACGGGAATTTAACATTTTACGTCTAGTAAAGCTTTCTTTAAACTTTAGTTGATAATGAGTTTGAATATCTCAATCATGCTCACATTTGCTTATGGGCAAAGCTCGAAGTGGAGCCCATAGCTTTGACGCTATTTTATTATGAATGTGAAACACAGATGTCAAAATGACTGAATGATTTCATGTGCGCAGGAGAGTATTCAAAACCGATTTGTTAGATATAGCTCTGAGACATCGTGACATGGGGTTCAAGAGCTGCTATAGTGACAAGGCCGCCAGCCGTTGTTGCAAAACCTAACTTACATGTAACGGTTCGTTGCATTCCTCACAAGTGGTGGCTCATACCAGCAGTAAGCTGATAATTGAGACTTTCCTAAATTGAGTAGAATGTGTCATATGCTAGACAAATGTTTCGACCACAGCCGCAGGCCACGGGGCCAAAATCTGCCGGAAAAGTCAACCATGTCGCAGCCACATTCCCACACTTTGCCAAAGTAGAACCCCGGAGGCATAACCAGCGGCAAGGACTATGTCTTGCAAGTCAAGGGAGGCAAAAAATGAGATCATCGCAAAAATATATATAGAGAAGGCCTATGGCCAATTCCCGAAGTAGATGAATCCCAAGAACAGAGCAACATCAAACTTCATCAGCACAATTCCCAGCAGTCCACCAATACCTCAAGCCCACTTCTTTGTTCATCAATATGAAGGCCTCACTTTCCGTTATTCTTCTATTTACATCCGGCCTTCTAGCCAGCCCTGTTCCTGAAGCTGCCTCTTCAGCCACCTCAGCTCGGAGCACTCTCCCTTCTCCACTTACTCTCCCGACCCCTGCTGTTCTCCCAGCAGGCCCTGAGGAGACTCCAGTGGATCCCTTCATCACCCCTAAGAAGTGTCCGGTAAGTTTAGACCAACAATTTTTTCAAAGACTGTCTTTCAATTTCCGTCTGAATGATGCTAAACGGGGATATGGCAGAAGCCAAACCAAGTATTTGTCGAGTGTGGATCTGCATGCCCAGCCAGGTGCTGGAAGCCGCCGCCCACCGTTTGCACATTGCAGTGCGTTATCGGATGCCAATGCGCACCAGGATTCTTCTTGAACAAGGTATGTCAATACTTCCCTTTTGCAAGATTGCTGTATACTAACATGGCTCAAGGCTGGCTCTTGTGTGTCGGCTCTCGGTTGTGTGTGGGATATTTTCAACAAGAAGAGTTCTTGAATTTGAGCTGGAGAGTTTTTGTCCATGACTATGCTCATATGCGAGTCTACCAATAGTTCTCAAGAACTTGAAATATGTTAGAAACCCAAGTGAAAGCTCTTAGTTTTGGGCCGAAGTGGCTTGCCCTTGTCCTCTCATTATCACAAATGTTGCCAAACAGATGAGGAAGCGTTACAGTTGGGCTTTCTGACTGTTCTTAGTCGCCTGAAATGATTAACACGTAGATTGACACTTCACAATATCGAATTGGAATGCTCAAATCGTCGGTTCGAGAACCATGAGGATGGGCGGGGGTCATCACGCGTCCGTCTGCAGGAAGGCTGAGTCTAGAACTTGACATGAACACGATAAAAGCAGATGGCTTGGAACGACAATGGTATCAGACGCTACCTGGTGATCACTAAACAGGGTGCGAATTATGTTTTATTCTTGATGGCAGCAGGCTGTGTTATTAAAATCGGGATAGTTGTAGAAGAACACTAAATAAAGACCCTAAAGCCTTCAATTTTCCATAAAGGGAATCAACAGCAACAACAAGAATAACAAACCAGCCTGACTGTTGCAGTTCGTGAGTGAAAAGAAAAACACAAATACACAATCTGATGAACCCTCTCTCTGATACTTTTTGACTTCCTTCGCGCACAAAACAACCTGTAACATTTATTTTTTGAGACACCTTGTGTCCAGTCTCCGAACCAACTTCTATGCTTTCTTTGAGAAAACAAAAACAATTTCTCCGACAACATCCTTCTTCATCCGTGCAAAAAGGTAATGGTCGATGGCATTGGATTAAATCTCTAGATCAACCGCATTGGTCAAGTCAGTGCGCCCGGCATGGCGTGTCACAATCACGAGAACCCTTGAGAGTCTGTGGAGGAGTCACAAACTCATCTGCATCGTCGGTACTTGTCTCCGAAGGCGAAGTAGATGGAGGGGTAAGGTTGGCCTCGAGCGGTTCCGGAGGAGACATGGCGCAGAGGATCAAGGAGATGAAGTAGCCAGGCCACTCTCGAACCACGAATCTGGGAGTTGACATGAGCTTGGGCATGCATGCGGCAGCTCGCATGGCGAAGATGTGAATGAGGGTGGAGTCGTCATTTTCCTTGAGTGCCGCCGCCATGAGGTCAGGCAGTACAGAGATGGGGCAGTTGTGCTTGAGAGACTTCAACAGCTTCTCCCGGCTCAGCTTCTCGAGCTCGGGAATTTCGTACTTGATAGCAATAGAGTTGACGAGAATGTGATGGAGGAGGGTGTCGAAGCACTTCTTCTCGGAACCCTCGAGGGTGGTCGTATGCTCGGTGTTGAGCGCGGGCAGAGGTTTGTCGTTGTAGTTCTTTGCTGTCAGAGGCTTTTGGTCGGGACCAAGGGTGTAGTTCTTGGTGTAGAGAAATTCGATCATGGATTGAACGACGGCGGGCTCATCGTCTCTGAACTTGAAGGCGCTGATGGGAAGGCCCTGAATAGGAGCGGTTCATGTTAGCCTGTACTCAGAGGATGGTAAGGGTCATCAGGACAGGGTCATTTTCGTACCTTGTATTCCTGGATGAGAGTGTTGTTAATGACAGGCGACTGCTTGCATACAACATCCTTGTGAAGAGTGAAAGGAAGCTTGTTGCATATAGCAATCAAGTCGCAACCGGCGCCAGTTCGAACGGCTTCAAGTTTCTGTCTTGCAGATCTCTGCATCCGTCTCTGAGTAGAGGACTTGGGAGCCATAGCGAAGAGCGAGTGGTGAAGTTTCTTGGAAAGGTTGAGTGGTATGGATGCAGAGATACTGCAAAGTAAATAAAGAGTGTTTGATGAAAGCTAAGGGTTTCTTGAGATGGTATGAGTAGGAGTTTGGATGAAAGTGGTTGAAAGAAGAAGAAATGGGATCTACGGAATTTCAACGGGAGGGATTTTGTATCCAGAGGAGAAAGGGAAGTAACTTTGGTCCGCCCGGTCTCTGTGATTCACTGCACACGGAGCGAGGGGGAGAGTATGAAGTAACGAAAGGACAACCGTTTCAGTTACTGGTTCCTCGAGATACTGCGGAGGGCACTGCAACAGTTACCGTGCCTGGGCTGGCCAATGACATTCATCGCTAAACGAGATTTCACAGGCTACCTGTTCGAAAGTTTGCTCTCTTATTGTGATTCAGAACTATGCTAGTTTATTTCTATTGTAAATCTTAGACGCTATTGAATACGATGCAAAGCCACCCTGTGTAACCGAACAGTAACGCCACGCGATTGTCGGGTTGAACATATGTGGATGAGCTCTGCTGCAGTGAAGGAAACGATTTTGGCAACAGACAACTATTACATTGCAATTTCAAAAGAACATGTAGTAATCCAAATAGTTGTAAGCCATCTGATGAAGTATGTTGATAAACTATGTTGTGGATTATTAACAATTAAACCCGTGAGTCACGCGGTTGCAAGGGTGACGATCCCAACACGCGCTTTGCAAGCTCTCATTGGTGATAAGACAGATCATACGAGTCAAGATTGCTCATCAAATACGAAAGCACCTGCCTAACATGGTAGAATACAACGCTTAGTTCATTGGCTGGGGCCCGATACCCGGATGCACGATTGTTCGGCCAGACAACTGGGACAAAAAGCAGGGAAACCTGAGACAGTGTCACCCGGATAATCATGAAAAGGAAAATCTAGATAGCAATTTTTAAGAAATCATAACGCCTCTTTGACCATTTTGCGTGTTGCTTGTTGCCAAGACGATCGGACCATCATGACCGGCAAAGTGGAGATGAGATAACTGGTGTTCCCTAATTGGCCGTAACAAAAGGTCCTTGACTCCTGATGGCAGAGGAATTGAATGCTGAGGGTACTGCTCCCGGTTTGGTTAGGCCCTCGGGTGTAAGCAGAGCCCGTAATAAGTTTCCCTGGCCCCCAGGAGATCTCTGGGCTAAGCGAGCACCACCAGTTCACGCAACTCAAGCATTATTGTCTCGTGTCACGCTAGCTGGTGAAGGTCACTGCGCGTGCTGCGTACTGGGAGGCAGGGAAAGGCCCTGAGACTTCGAGTACTTCGAATACACAATGCCTTTCTCATCTGGGGAAGAAAATTTCCTCCAGCTCAACCAAGATGATTTTGACTTCAACATTCAGTTTGAGCAAATATTCTTTGCCATAATCCCATCCACGTTGTTCATTTTAAGCTCCCTATGGCGAACAGTGTCTCAAGCAAGGAAGCCCAATATCGTGGATGCTCCGATATTTCAACTAATTAAACTCGTGCGTGGCTGCCCTGTGGCACATTCACCTTTGTGGGCTAGAAAAGCCAGCGAAATATTGATCTTATGTCTAGGCGACGATTACTGCATACGCCGGTCTCGAACTGTCCCTCCTTATTCTCGTTGCCGTCGGCTCATTTGTCGTCACCAAGGTCTTTTTGGCGGCCTCGGTCTTGAAGCTTGTCTCGGCCCTGTTCATGGTATCACTTAGTTTCGTGGATCATAGAAAGAGCCCGAGACCTTCAGTACTCCTCAGCAGCTACCTCTTTTTCACCCTCATCCTCGATGCGGCCCAAGCCAGAACGCTTTTTCTTTCATCAGAGGCTAAACCCGAACTCACATACAGCAGTCTTTTCAGTACCGCAATTGCCTTCAAGGTCATAATCCTGATTTTGGAAGCTCAGAGGAAGTCTAGGTGGGTCAGCTGGGACGAGAAGGAGCACAGTCCTGAGGAGACAAGCAGTATTTTCTCCATCGGTGTCTTCTTTTGGCTCAACCGCATCTTCTTTGATGGCTACACCAAAATTCTCAGCCTGAAGGACCTTTATCCGCTGGATAGCACCCTGCACAGCCAGCGACTCCATGGTGAATTTTCCAAGCATGTCGACTACGCGAAGCTGAAGACAGACAAGTTTGGTCTTGTCAAGGTGATGGTACGAACTCTGACAGTCCCGCTGCTTCTGCCTGTTCCCCCTCGTCTTGCTCTTCTTGCTTTCACATTTTGCCAGCCGCTTTTCATCGAGAAACTCTTGGAACATCTCTCCAAGTCCGAAGTTGACGAAAATGTTGGATATGGATTCATTGGCGCCAGTTTGTTGATTTATGCAGGAATTGCCATCTCCACCGCGCTCTACTGGTAGGACACCACTGCGTCAAGCAATTGTGACTCTCGCTGATCATTCTTCTCGTCTAGGTACTTTCATCATAGAATGCGTACTATGGCCAGCTCTATCCTAATTACCGAGATTTTCATTAGTGCGACAAAGGCCCAAATTGGAGTAGGCAGCGATACCGCGGCATTGACATTGATGAGCACTGATATTGAGCGAATCAATCTGGGTTTCAAGCTTTTCCACGATATCTGGGCCAGTGTTATCCAGGCAGCTGTGGCCGCTTGGTTGCTACACGCACAGCTGGGCACAGCATTTGTTGCCCCAATGGTTACTGTCGTGCTCTGCACCCTGTGTCTTGGAGTTCTTCTGAAGTATACTGGTACTTCCCAAAGATTATGGATGGCTGGCGTTCAGAAGCGGGTGGGCTTGACGGCCACAGTGATCGCCAGCATGAAGAATCTCAAGATATCCGGCCTCTCCATCGCTGTTAGAGACTTTGTACAGCAGCTCCGTGTGGACGAGCTGGACACAGCATCGATGTTCAGAAAACTCACAATTCTAGCTGCCCTATTTGGGTACATCCCACTCTTGGCCGGGCCGCCGCTCACATTTGCGTTTGCTCAGCGAACACTGGACAATGCCAAGATGTTTACGAGTCTTTCTTATCTCCTGCTTCTGACAAATCCTCTTTCCCAAGTGTTCCAGGCCATTCCACAACTTCTTTCTGGGCTGGCCTGTTTGGGTCGAATCCAGGAGTTTCTTGCGTGCGAAACACGGGATGACTTTCGAAAAGTCTTATCTGATATGAATCGAGAGTCAGAGAAGGAAAAGTCTCAGGCTACAATGCTCACAGATTCACTTTCAGATTCTACAGCCCCGATCACTATAAAAAATGGAAGCTTTGGATGGGAAGCCGATAAGTTCGTGTTGACAGACATCAACACGGAGATCCCCAGATCCTCCCTCACCATGGTTGTTGGCCCGGTTGGCTCGGGAAAATCATCACTGTGTAAGGCCCTGCTTGGAGAGATCCCGTTTCGTCAAGGCGATGTGGTTTTGAGCACAAGATTCCCACACGTCGGATTCTGCGACCAGACAGCCTTTCTTTCAAATGGGACGATCCGGGATAACATCATAGGATTTTCTCCCTTTGATGAAAAAAGATACGGGGAAATCATTGCGGCTACATCTCTCACCTATGACTTTGGGACTTTACCTCAAGGCGATAAGACGAATATTGGCTCTGACGGTATCACGTTGTCCGGCGGCCAGAAGCAGCGTGTTTCTCTGGCTCGCGCCCTATACCTGCAATCCGACCTTCTAGTTCTTGATGATATTTTCAGTGGCTTGGATGCAGACACTGAAGAACAGGTATTCCGACAAGTGTTCGGCCCTGGCGGGCTTCTTAGACGTCGAGGCTCTACTGTGGTATTGTGCACTCACAGCATCAGGCATCTACCTCTAGCAGATTACATCATTGCGTTGGGAAACGGTACCATTGCTGAGCAGGGCAGATTCTCGAAACTAATGGCTCACCAAGGATACATCCAAGGTCTAGGATTGAACAGCTCATCCGACAGTGATGCTTCATCCGTGGAGTCGCCAACTGACGCCGCGAGTCCGAAGATGCCGCGTCTCCGTACAATCGCAACCATTGCCTCATCAGTCGAGCCAGATATCGATGAATCGCGACGAGTGGGTGATAAGACAGTCTACAAGCATTACTTCAAGAGTATGGGGTGGTTTGTGGCCATCTTTTGCATTGTTATGGGCGTGTGCTGGGGCTTCTTTACTAATTTCCCAACAATTTGTATGCATCCCCAAATCATATAACACTTTGAACTTATGGGAAAACATTTACTGACTACTTTGGGTTGACAGGGCTTACATTTTGGACTGCTGATCTTAATTCCGCGTATCCATCCCGGACCTACGCATACTACGCCGGAATGTACGGTCTATTGCAGTTCTGTGCTATCATGTCACTGCTATTACTAGGCTGGGCCATCATCATCACATCTGTCACGAAGGCAGGTGCCAATCTTCACTGGGGAGCTCTGAAAACCCTCGTGAGCGCACCTCTGAGGTTCTTCACTACTACTGATACAGGAGTTGTGACAAATTTGTTCTCACAAGATATGAATCTGATTGACAATGAACTTCCAAATGGACTGTTGAACACCATCTACAGTGTAAGTACCGACCTGAATTCCACTTAGTAGTTCAAAGTACTGTTATAATCTCAAACATGAGCTTACTAGATATTCTTTACAGGTTTTCCAAGCCCTTGGTCAAGCAGCCGTTATGTTGACTACGTCTCCTTACATGGCTATAAGTTATCCGTTCCTTTGCATCTTGCTGTACATCGTACAGAGATTCTACCTTCGAACGTCTCGACAGTTGAGATTATTGGACCTTGAGGCTAAGAGTCCCTTGTAGTAAGTTTACTATGATAAGATATCTCCTACAATTCTAATGCGGACTTTCTTTAGCACACATTTCCTTGACACAGTAAAGGGCATCACCACTCTAAGAGCTTTCGGTTAGTATTTTTTACTGGATGAAATAAGATTTCGTCGGCTCGACTAACAGACACTTGCAGGATTCATCCCAAATGACGTTCAGAAGAACGCCCAACTGATCAACTCAAGTCAACGACCCGCGTATCTTCTGGTGATGATCCAACAGTGGCTGAATCTCGTCCTCGATATCGTGGTTATGATAATGGCAGTGATCCTGACCGCCCTCGCCGTAAAGCTTCACTCCAGTTCCGGGTTCACCGGTGCGTCTCTGGTGACATTGATGGGATTTGGTGAGAATCTTTCGGGGATTGTCATCTTCTACACGAGGCTTGAAACTTCAATTGGTGCGATTGCCCGCCTAAAGACTTTCAGCGAAACTGTGAAGCCTGAAGACAAAGAGGACGAGGATATTATTCCTCCGGAGCAATGGCCACAACAGGGTGTAATAGAGTTCAAGGGTGTATCTGCAAGCTACGAGTAAGATTATCGAGCTCAAGAATCGTACCTCCAATACTGATATGACTTTTTAGCCCCGACGACCAACCCGAGAGCGCACTCAACCTAGCCCTACGAAATATCGACTTAACCGTCAAGTCAGGGGAGAAGATGGCCATTTGTGGTCGAACAGGCAGTGGAAAGTCCAGTCTCGTTGCCCTTATTCTCAAACTTCTCGATCCTACTTCCTCCACTTCCGAAAACATTACTATCGACAGCACTCCTCTACACCGGATCGACCGGTCAGCGCTTCGGCAGCGTATCATCGCGGTGCCGCAAGAAGCCGTGTTTCTGCCTGATGGCTCGACCTTCCAAGCTAATCTGGACCCTCTAGACATGGCAACAGCCAAAGACAGTCAGGAGGCCCTCGTTGCCGTTGGCCTGTGGGGATTCGTTCAAGAAAAGGGAGGATTGGAGGCAGGTTTGAGTCCAGGAAGCCTTAGTGCCGGCCAGCGGCAGCTGATGTCTTTGGGGCGCGCACTCCTTCGGAGGCGTGTGCGCGCGAGGAATTTGGGGCTGGGTGGCGGTGGCTCAGAAGGCGGGATCCTACTGCTAGATGAAGTGAGCTCGAGCGTCGACCATGAGACCGAGCGGGTCATGCAGAAGATCATTCGGACCGAGTTCAAGGAATACACCGTAGTCGCAGTGAGCCATCGGTTGGATATGATCATGGACTTTGATAGGGTTATTGTTATGGACACTGGAGAAATCGTGGAGGTAGGTAATCCAACGGAGCTTGCTGCAGTTGAAGGGACACGATTCGGCGAGCTTGTTAAAGCTGGGGCAAAATAATAAATAGGTATAGAGGGTCCAAGGCAGGAAGTAGCAAAGCAATAATTGCGGGTTGATTTGACTGTAGGCGTCTAGAAAGCTGCATATAGTCGTTTCATCCTCTACTTGTGATGCACCTTCTCTTGTTCTTCCTAGTGTACAGAAGAATTCGAGTGTAAAGTTAAAAAACAATAAGAGAAGGCGCCAGATCCGGCATCTCAATACAATGAACAGATTTATTCCTACAGTATGAAGAAGAAAAGGATGATTGGATGCTGGGGTCGGCAGACTTTCGAACATACTTACATGTGCGTTGAACTATCCCTCCCCATAACACCGCCTGGCTCTTCCAAGCTTAACCTGGTGTGACTACGCGGCTCCAGTGGCACAAAGCCTTTCAAAAAGTCTGACGGCCAAAAGTCGCTTCTTTGTTTCCAGAGTTGTCTTACGCATTCACTCATCAAAGAATTTTCAATACAACACACAATCAGGGAACTAACTGAACATCAATGGAGTGCAATTTTGTGTTGGGGATTACCAAGAACGAAATGGGGCTAAATGTCAAGTAAGGGTGGACTGGAGGTGCCCAGTGGCAGCAAAAAAGGTTGGATATGGGTATCTTCTCCATTGGCAAGGCAAGGCAATACAAGTAAGATTGCTTTTCATGGATCATCAAATACAATGCCCCGTGTTCAAGCAGGGTCAAAGTCAAAGTCACCAGAGGTAGAAATCGTTCCACTTCCTAATGTTGGGAAGATATGTAAGGCAAGGGGTCGATCTGGTCCAGCATATCAACATTTGTAAACATAAGAGACGTGATATCTGGCATTTGTTGGCAAGATAATCTTCATTATCTCAAATCACAACGAGTTGCAATTTTCAATTGAGTGAGAGAACATTAAGTCTAGGTCCGTTCGGTTTTCTAGCGTCTACATGGGGGCTTTTTAGTATCTCAGGTCTAATGAAGTCGGTGATAGCAAATAGCAATACTAATGACGATCCGTAAACATAAATTCCCGTGCTAGGGATGTCACGTTGCCTTGGCATCATCACCCCGCATTCTAACTTCCGGTTGACAGTAGACACCCTTGTAGAGCGGGGAATGATAAGAAGCTATCACTAACAACCGAAGAACACTACCTACTATGAGAGGGATGTCTCTTATTCCCGGTATGTCACCCGGCTTATAGAAGGGAGGGGTGAGCCATTCCGACATTCCTGGGACTGATCATCCGAATTCTCACCTGTTATCCTCCAATGTCCTCCTAGGTTGTCAATATGGCCGAGTCAAAGAAAGTAGCACCCCCTCGGGATGAAGAAGAGGATGATCAGCGAGATTGGAAACAGCCTGAGGCTATTGCGAATGCTTTTGCCGGTGAGGATGGGCCGCCAAATCCATGGGGCCGCGGCCACTTGCAGCTTTACTTGGCATGTCTCTTGATTTACCTGTGCTCTACGATGAATGGTAAATATCGAAACGCACGCTGAGTAGTGCCATGCGCTCATGTTCATTTCTAGGCTATGATGGCTCGCTGATGGGCTCAATCAACGTCATACCGGATTACCATAATTACTACGGCTTGGAAGAAGGCGGGACTTCTACTACAGGCCTGGTATTTTCTATATGGAACATTGGTCAAATCGCAGGAGCTCTGTTTACCTGGCTCTGCGACTGGAGAGGGCGTAAGCGGACACTCCTGGTCAGCGCATTCGGCGTCGTCTGCTCTGCCGTCTTTACGGCCTTGGCACCCACATTGCCTGCTTTCATCGGCGCTCGGTTCCTCATCAGTTTCTTCTCAACCATCACTTGTCTGGCTGCCCCAGTACTCCTAGTTGAGATCGCTCCGCCGCTGCATCGTGCCACCGTTGCGGGAGTTTACAATACTCTATACTACATGGGAAGCATTATCGCCACATTTGGTAAGCAAACACTCTTCAAAAAAGCCGAGCTACTTTGCTAAATATTATAAAAGCCATGTATGGCGCCAATCTTCACCTGCATGGGAACGCGAAGTGGCGGCTTCCATTATGGTTGCAAATACTGTGCCCGGGCATAGTCTGCATCGGGGGTTGGTTTCTTCCTGAGAGTCCTCGTTGGCTTGTCGCACAAGGACGGATCGACCAAGCCCGTGATTTCATCGTGAAGTATCATGCAAACGGGGACGCTACGCACCCTATTGTCGCTATTGAAATGCACGAGATCGAACAATCGCTTGTCGAAACGAGAGGGCGCTCAGCATGGGCTTGCTTCGATGTGCGTACGTTGTTCAAATCCCGCGCTCGGCTGTATCGAGTAATGCTCGTGATTTCCATGGCGTGGTTTGGGCAGTTTTCTGGGAACAACGTGGCGAGTTATTACCTGCCCATGATGATTAAGAATGTGGGAATCAAGTCGACAAACATGGCGCTATTGCTAAATGCCATCTACGCAGTGACGGGATGGGTAGCTGCAACCATCGGAGGTAAGTTACAAGGGCACAGCGTAGGATGTTTTCACTTGCTTATGCGTCTTTTAATAGCTCGTCTTCATGACGTCGTCGGCCGGAGAAAGATGTTTATGGCTTCATGCTTGGGAATGTCTGTGTCGTTGGCCATCATGGCTGGAACAGCAGCAGAGTACGAGAGATCTGGAAGCTCGGCAAGCAGTTCGGCCAGCATCGCTTTCATCTTCGTATTCGGGGTTATCTTTGCCGTCAGTTTCACTCCGATGCAACCGATATATCCCGCCGAAGTGCTCGCGAGTAAGTTTAAATGCCGACACTGGCCTGAAACGTCGGCATTGGCTAACTTGACCTGCTAGATGATATGCGAGCAAATGGGATGATGGTTTACAAGTTGACTGCTGGATGTGCCAGCTTTGTCAACACTTTTGCAGCCCCTGTGGCAATGGCCAACATCAAATACTGGTTGTAAGAAATTGACGCTTACTTTCCCACAGCTTTTCGTCCAAATGACTAACCTTTAAATTCAGCTACGTATTCTTTGTCTTCTGGGACCTGTTTGAGTTCGTATTTGTGTACTTCTTCTTTGTCGAGACCAAGGGCCGTACTCTTGAAGAGCTCGATAGAGTGTTTGAGTCCAAGAACCCCCGGAAAACGAGCACTCGCAAATTGTCGTCTTAGCTTGCTCTCTGGCTGTAAGATGCTTGCTATCGTGCAGAAAATCTTGACCAATTTTGCGGTTTGTCTGCGAAACCGAGAATAGAGGCCATCCCAAACGATGTCGTTAGATTGTTTTACGACCACCGCACTACTTTGCATCAAGAAGAATAAAGTTTCTAGATGCCTAGATATGAGTTCCAAATTTTCAATACAGATGAATAAACCGTTCTCCATGTCATCACTTGCGCGTCAGGAAATGTGGTCCACTCGGCAGGGATCAAGGCCTAAAAACTTGGTAATGGGCCACCAGCAACGTAATTGAAGCATGATGTCATCATCATCAACGAATGATCGTCCAAGCTCCTCCAACAGAAGAAAATCATCTCATGACGCATTGAAATAAATGGAAAATATCTCTTTGGCATTATTTTCGGGATCTAACTCTATTCTCATACCTCATAATCACTTGTATCCCAATCAACAGCGACAAGATGAATATCAACGTCCCCAATCTCATCAAAAGCGCCGTGCCGGAATCAGAAGGCCGCAATGTTCAGATACTTTCTCAGAATGGACCCAATCATCGGGATCCGAATTTTCTTTCCGACGATTTCCCACGGTCGCCCGGCAAATTGTACATCACGGCTGAGACCGATGACTTCGACCCTGCTACAATCGAGGATTGGCGCAACGAGGGCTTCGATGTTGAATATTTCTCGATCGAGAGTTGCAAGAAGTACGGATACATAGACAAGATCAAGTCCTTGAGCAAGGAGAAAATGGGCCCTTGCGACAAATTCGGTATCATAGGTAAGAATTAATCTATCAGTATCTTAAGGCCGACGATTGACAAAAATCATTAGCCTATGGCGACGCCGCAGCGGCATGTCTGGAGCACTATCATATCCTGGACAACAACCCCGAATTCAAGCTCGGTCTGCTAATTGCCTACTACCCTACTTCTATTCCCGATCCCAAAGGCAGATTTCCAAACAGTATCGTTGCACTTGCACATCTACCAGCAGGGGAGGAGATCGGGGTCGTCAAACAAAGTCAAATGGTAGGCATCCAGGGCAAGCGTCGTACGACAACGAAGAAGGTCCAGAAAGGCCTTGGGACGGGCGGAAAGCTTCAGCTTGCATTCCCGAGCTATACGTACGATGCGGAGTCTGGTTTTGCCGAGCACGATATGGAGGAGTATAACAGAATATGTGCTGAGCTAGCCTGGAGTCGGAGCTTGTCTGCAGCAAGACGGGCGTTTGGTGCTGGCCCTGACCTGGAGGGCATCTTAGAGCAGCATGTACAGAGTAAGTCCCCGGCCAAAGTCTCCGATTTCCAGAGGCTCAAATTGCTAACATATGGATCCAGGCAAGTATTTCGCAGGCAACGCGGAACAAACCGTGTCGGCCTTCACAGTCCAGAAAATGCCCCATGCGACCAATATACCTACCCTCACAGGCGGGATAGGAACCGATGAGCTCAACAGATTCTACTCTGACTTTTTCGTCAAGCCGTCGTCTTTGAAGATCACCCTGCTGTCCCGCACAATCGGCGTCGACCGCGTGGTTGATGAGATGCATGTCCAATTCAAACATACTGAGGAGATCCCCTGGATTCTTCCTGGTGTGCCGGCAACAGACAAAAAGGTCGAGATCCTCATGGTGAGCATAGTAGGCTTCAAATCCGGCAAGCTTCATCATGAGCACGTTTACTGGGACCAAGCCAGCGTGTTGGTGCAAGTTGGGTTGCTCGATCCAAAACTCCTATCGGAGTCAGCCAAGGAGCTTAAAGTGAAGAAATTACCCGTCGTCGGGCGCAGAGCAGCGAGGAGGGTAATCAAAGGACAGGATGATACCGATGAGGGAGAGGCGGATAATAAATTGATTTCAGGGTGGGCTGCTCAGAATGGAAACAAAGAGTAGGATAGGAGCAATTAGCGGTTTCCGATTTCTCGATCTGTATCAATCCATGGTCATAATAATATGTACTTTATTCATCTTTCAATCGGCTTCTTAGTCCGTCAAGCACCGAGGATAGTTGGGTTTTGAGTTGGGGGCTATGAGTTGCTTCAACGCGCAATTCCAGCTGTCGAATCTGAGCCAAGAGCTCGTTGCTTTCCTCGTCTTGTCCATTCTCTTTTCCGTCATCCTCATCACTTTCTCCTTCCTCTACTTCGTCGTTATTATCATTGATGCGAACTATCCCATCCCCAAACGCTACGGCAAAGGCGTCCGCCAGGCCTGGTTCTTTGATCGCGAATACAATTTCTTTGATTCCCTCCCACGTCTCTTCATTTTTCTTGGCCTTTCGTTTCTGCGGATGAGATGTCCCAGTACCAGGCATCAATACTTTCCTCCAAGCTTTGGCAATCTCTCCAACCGGATTCCCATACGCACCACAACCCCAAGCCCCCAACACCAATTTCTTGACACCCTTGTCGCAACAGATGCGCATAACCATCCTCATCTTGCGAATGACCTGTTCGCGGTCCTTGTCATTGGTGTAGGATCCACGGCCCATATCATCAAGATCCGTTTCGGGTCCTCTAAGCATGGCCGCGCTTATGCAATCGACAAACCAACGTTCCTTGGGACTCAGAAGATCATCCGAGTCGGCCTCCCGGAAGACGAGGACGTCTGGGGTGTAGATGGCGCCGACCTCAGGCAGGCGATAATATTCGTCTTTGAGAGAGGGGAGCAGCGTAGTCCGCATGCAAAGGGATTCTTCTTGGCTTGTCGCTCCATTTAAGAAGCCGCCCCCCGGAGACAAAGGCGATGCCATGTTGAGAACCGCCACCCTTGAGGATTTGTTGCTCAGATCCGGGACGTCTGTCTCTTGTGCCGCCTCCTGGGTCAGCAGCCGCCGGGCGACTGTCAATGTATCTGCAACCTCCAGAGATACTGCGATCTGGCCTGGTGCGCAATCCGGCTGCTCAGTTGCCCCCGCGCTCTGGCTCTGGGAGGTTCGGGGTTGCGTATTGGTAGAGCGGGGAGGGTCGACGATGAGTTCTGCTGCATTGATCCCGCTGCGGGCATGAGGATGGGTGACCAGCAAGGATGGGATGAGCTGGTTGATGGTCGCTTTGGCCTTTTTCGCCCGTGCATCTTTGCGGAATGCAGCAGGTGGCCTGCCGACCGACGGCTCTGTTCGGCCCATTCTGTTCTTGAAACCCGGAATATCGTAGGAGTAGTAGATGAAATGGACGAAATGGAGCGTGAAGATGTCCCTGACGAGAAGAAAGCTATTAGAGAGCCTTGCCGAGAACCTTGATGACCAACTTTTGACTCAATCGAATTAACCTAGGTGATTACAAGTACCCGCAATTGAGCAGGTCACAACACACCACAACGGTCAGTCCTCTCAATATCGGAACAAGGCGATACGGATTTGAGATTTTTATATCGGGCGTTTAAACAGAATATCCATATTTAATAAATATTACAACTGGAATGGTATGGCCATGAATAAAATGAAGCGATCGGAGACAGCGTGCCACGTGATCACCGCACTCGCTTACCCTAGACTTGGGAGAATCGTTGGTAGATCGTAGGTGTCCCTGCCGCCCATGATCATGAAGTTGTCCTTGGGTATAAATAGACATTAGATCTTGTGATAAAGAGAAGATAAATTATGTAAATTGGGGTAGATGCAAGACTCTCTCTTTCAAAGCGGCCCTCTCTCGCTTCCGTGAACAATCAAAGCCATGTATTGAAACATCTGTCACTTCGTTCTAGCATTGAAACATGATAGATGGAAAACTAATTGGTTCCCCTAGACCTGTCTTCTAAGATCTATGATGCACAATCGCCCATCGTTACATGTAATCAATTCATTACCTCACTCTTCATTGATCTCCCTCTTCTGGGATAAAATATAAATGACCCAAAGGCTAATTTACAAGCTGAATTCTAATCTGTTGCCGGCAAAGTCTCGTGCAAAGAAGCGATCGGGGTATTCGACACCTTTCGCACCTTGATCAAGTGTTAGTTCGACCTTCCTACATGTACACAAGATAATGTGTGGACAGACATACCGGAATTCGCCTCCCCAGGCTTGTCAATTGCCAACGGAGCAGCCGCACCACCAGCTTCAAAATGCTTCCATATCTTATGCTGCAATTCGATGAGAGACTCTTTATTTTCCAGCTTGAAGCAAGGATGACGTTTGTGGTCAAGTTCGAGATTAGCCCCGAGAGCAACATGGACCTGCTGGCCTGAAGACCCAATATTGAACCTGTTGTCCACGACTTCTTAGTTTGATGTCGAGAATAAATTGACCGACAAAAATGGGCAACAACATACCAGGCCAGAGAGTCTTTTTGAAGAGCTGGCACGGGGCTTGGTGTCAGCCCTACCGTGTTGACGTAAAACTCATATGCTGAGTCTAACGTGCCTTCTGGCACGGTAATATTGACGTGAGCGAGGCCTGCGAACATTTTGTGCACTTTGATAGCTCCAGGACTATGACACCGTGTGAGAGATGGTAATGCGTATTTGTTGGTCGTGCTGAAATGATGACATCTCGCTTGCTCGGTAATCCGAGGCTGTTTATTGAAAGCTCATATCCGAACTCGGAGTCTCAGACGCGGGGTCATCTCTGCTCGTTCCCCGCGGGATATATGGCGGAAATTGCATCATCGCTCCATCCACGGCGCTATTTCTGGCCTAGTATATCTACTAAGAGTCTGGACAGGCAATGTGGGAACAAACTGACCACTACCTAGGCTCTACTCAGGTGCCTGTGTGAAGCTGATTAGCATCAGAAGAGGTCTCCCTAATTCAGTCATGAGATCCCTATTTCACAATCAAGACTAAACTGAATACAATCCCGCGTTTTGTTCCTTACGCGTCGATAAGAACAAGGGTTACAGACCCTACAGGCTCCGACATGCTGAAAATATGACGCGGTAAGGGCATTCTTTCGTTCTGTACGAGATGATTAAAAATTCCAGTTCTGGTCCATGGAAATTATTTCGCGTACAATTGCAAGAACCGGGGGATATCTCGAGTAATTTCTGCTTTGGTTCCACAGAGATGGATAGCGTAGGCGTCTTTGACGACGCTGCCTAGGGTCGCTTCAGGGGCCGGAGCGAGAATGCACTTGCGGTCGAGGACATGCTGCCGGTAAAAGACGGGAGATGCATGGAAAATTACTTTGAGTTGTGTTAATCCAGAAGAGAAAGGACAGCGTCTAGTTCATGGTTTATAAGTTTTTCCGTAAAAGATAATCGAGCACCCAATGAATCGATACGGATAGATAGCCCTGAAAGAAAATAGCCGGGAAGGTACGGGTTGGTTTCAGGTGCTAATTGATCCAGCTGGCAAAGTGGTGAAGTGTAAAGAGAAGCAGCAAGGAACGGTTAATAGGTTCAAACAAAGTTCTCCATGAGGGTAAGCCCAGAGCTCCTGGGACATTCCTAGAATAATTTTAAGTGGAGTCAATGAACAATGGGAATTGAAAAGGTCTGACTCCTTTCTTTTCTTTAGTCCACACGACAACGTTTGTTAGTCCATCAACCGTGTTTCAGTAGAACAACTCTTTGATGTGTTCTTTCTTTACACAGTATTGATTGTCTTAAATAGAACTACGACTCAAGTACTAGTGATTGATTGATGTTATATTAACATTGAACACTTGGATAGGCTAGGCGAACAAAGCATAAGGGTTCAAACCACAGCGATTATTTAATGCTATATAATGTTTCAAAGTCCCAGGCCCGATCTATCAAATTCTTAACGATAATACTCACTCCCTAATAAAATAATGCATATAAATTTACCTTCCTCAGCAAGCCATGGCGGAGTTCATGTTCTCCATGGAAACCCGTTCCCCTTATTATCGCTCTAGCAGAAATCTTCTTAGTCCACCAACGACCAAGTTAACTAACGAGAGAGTCTACCAACGACTCAACCTTCCCACTTTGGCACCCGCAACATTGGAATAATTATAAAACCCCCGCTCGTGGATCTATCAACTATCACGATGGAGCATTCAATAAGAATAAATATAAAAGCTGGGAGGCGGCCCAGTCTCCCTGAAGGAGGAGTCCTACTGGCAAGTATAGAAGAATCAGCGGTAAGAATCCCCAAGACCTTGTGACACCACGGGATTTCGGACTTGGCAATTTAAAAGATTCTCCGCAATTTCTGAATTTGGAAAACGAGGTTGAAACCATCAAAGTTCAAACAGGCAGTTCTGACACCCCTTGGCTAGGCGTCTATAACAATTAATTCTGCTGGGTCAGCCTGGCTGAGTCTAGGTCAGACAGAATCGTTGAATTCTTTCGAGGCGCTCATCGCTATCATCAGCGCTGATCTAGATGATCTCTCTTCAACAATTAAAATACTCGAGAGATGGCTCCGGGCAATAAACCCTGAGCAGTATCAGAAGCGTGAGCGATGGTCTGATGGCATGATTTCCGCCATTATCACACTCGAACCCGCCGAACCTCAGAAGTGGAAGAATTGGTTGAAGCTGCCAGGTTGGCCATTGAAGATGGTGAAGCTGCTGTCAAGTTCGAACCTCTTTTACTACATTCCAATGTTACCATTGATGTGTTAGAGGATATTTAAATGCTAACACCGGCTACTCGTTATATAGAGCAGCTGATGGGCGACTTGCATTCATGGATATCTATCGAAATGCTTATAATTTCGATCGCATCGCAGGGCACATCGAAGCTGTAGTGAGCAAGATAAGAACGGGCAGAAACGCCGTTGAGAATGCCCGCATAAACTATGATAGTAAGTGGTTCATTCCGAAATGGTCTTCTCTATCAGTTGACCACAATTTCAAACATAGTTGTTTCAGTAGAGATATGTATCCTTGTGTCGGATGATTAACTCTGTTCATAGTAAGCTCAACTGTAGGCACCCTTTACAGGATTCACAGCATTAAGAATTACACAGTCACACGCACCCACACGGACACATAAGGGACCGTGGCTGGTATGTTAGAGGGCGGCTATCAACGGAGGTTTGGAGTTATACAAAGTTGAAACGGTCTCAGTGAGGGAGAATCTGTGGAAAAAGCTTTTATACGACCTGCTATGGCAAGGGAGGAGTAACGAAGCCTTTTTGCAATCTATAACGACAACTGGCTTAATAATTATAACAGCAATCAAAGAAAACGATTTGTATAAGAAGAATTCGGTGAATTGTATTTGAATTGGCTTGATCATTTCACCCAAACTATCAAAAACAACCAAGGGATGGGAGCATAGAACGACATGGCTTGTGGTACCGACTTCCGCGCTGCCGATTTACCGATTTTGTAAAGATATGATAAGAATTATAGAAGGGTCAAGTATCAAGACTTTTACAAAAATCAGAAAATTAATTACAGTAGTACTTACCCATTTGCCCTCATTAGAAGACATCACGGTGATGTGTGCAACAGTATCCACCATACCAAAGTAATTAAGTTTTTATATACTTGAGATCGTGACATGGTGTGCCTATGGGTTGATAACCCCTTCATATTCCCCGGAAGGCTATTCCGATGAGAATGGACCACGGGATGCAGGTGAGATGAAATGTGGCCTAACTCTAGCCGAGGGTCTTGTACCCCGAACAGAAGCTAGTGGCGAGCTGAGACATTACCTCAATCTTCTTACCTTCTATTGTGGTAATCTTAGGAATAATGTGCTCTTAGACTGTAATTCGATACGCTTGTCAAGTATCAGAAAAGGCCCGAGCTCAAAAGCGGCCTTTGAGACATTACTTCAAGCAACTATATTGTTCCTATCATAATAACTAAAGGTAACACGCAGAGTGCGCACATCAAAGCTATAGCTTACTCAATGCTGAGCAAGTACAATACATCAAAGCCATATTGTCAAATGCCAGAAATATGATAGAAGGGAGTGATACAGAACCATCACCTCTTCCGTTAATCCCTTCATCACATAACTTCTCCAACTTGTCGCTTCACGCCCAGTGAACTCTTGCCCCGGGGACTAGACCTAGTGAAATGGCTAAGCCGACCAACTTCAACAGTCTGTTGATTTTTCACTGTGTCTGTTGAGCTGCCTGAATATCATTTCAGACAACCTCAACTTTGATCTCATCCTTCCTTGATCCACCAATGGGAACAGGGACAATATTATGGACAAGTCCAACCCTGGACTCCTCGTCACCAAGCAATCTAGCGTCCTCATCGGCATCGCTGTCGACACTGGGCCGCTCAACGGCTTGGTGGTCAACTCCGTGAAGACTGCTGTATACTCCTCGAGAAACTTGAGCGTGGCTGAATCCCGGAGCCGCGTCGGGGGTTCGAGAGTAGAGGTCACACTCGCAATGAGGGCAGTGTCGAGGTCGATCAATAAAGTCAATGAGAGTGAGCAGCGCAAGGTAGGCATGGATGCAGCTGTTCAGGACATGATTGTCAGTTGATTCCCAATGTCGAGTAGAAGGGGATGACCTACAAGACAAGAATGTATGGTACACTGGCATAGGCAGTCAGCACCGCCAGCCCAGCATCCCTCCACCATGATCCAAGATAGATCCAAGTAAAGATCAGGAAGGTCAGAAGTCCGGCAGCTGACAGTGTATCATATACGAAAATTAAGATGGAAATCTTTAATCCTCCGTGTCCCTTTGTTGGGTTTCGACGCTTGAAGCAGAGCAGGAAGGTTGAGACAATAGCCGAGATAAATATGGCCGAGAACCCAGCTATACGGACAGGCCCGGACAAGCTTGCATCAACGGTAGAGAGAATCAAAGCGGGGAAAAAGGCAGCTATGGTGAGCCGACGGAGAGGGTGCGTGAGAACATGAGCTAGAGAAGTCATCGTGAGTATGGATGTCGCAATTGCCGAGATACGTGCACTTTGGATTCAGACGTGAGAATCCTCGATCGAAGGGGAGATGGTTCGATTATTTATTGCTCACAGGGAGTTGTACCCCGAGCAACGATCGCCAAGACTCCGGCCTCTTAGAAACCGAGAAGCTCAGACGTCGCGAAAATAGCACAGAGCAACAACAATACACAGCCACGGCCGGATTGGGACATTTACGCTTACACAGCCTGCTCCTTCGCGCATCAGTGGAGAGCCAACTCACGCCAAGCGGCTGACAGACTCTCCGCACTGGCTCGTTCCATCTGCACAAGGACTAAATGGTCATGCCTGTTGCCTGGCTCGTTTCATATATGTGAAAACAAAAGGTAGCGGGTCGCGGACACGCGTCTTGCTGCCAATCACTTCCCTGGCACTCGCCAAAGGTTCAGCAAACGCTGACAACCTGATTTCTCGGGTATGCTTCCCGGCCGAGTGAGATGATCAACCCTACTCTCGATACCCGAAACAAAACCCGAATTCCCCAATGTTCACTTGTTATTCTAAGGCACCTATTTCCCACGCTTGATCTTTCGTGGTGATATAAAGTCCGCTCGCTAGGAAGTGACGTAATGGCCCTTCACCTCATGCAGGATGATTTAGTACATGGGCCATGGACAAAACTGACTTACCTAGCCGATATGTGTAGTATGGCTCCCAGATATGAGAGCGATAAAGGGAGATATTCTGCGTTCAAGCCACTCGCGACAGCTGCTTAATGACTTATTAGCCTCGTTATGCCTTGAGTCTAAGTGAACATCGAGCACGATCCTAAATCTAAATAACAGAGTAGTTCTTTTGCGTATCGAGGATGCTGAGCATACAAAAAGAGAGGGTGTTCACAAGCGACGACCCAGGTAATAATTGGAGGCCAAGTAATACCATAGGAGGGCACCAACGCCATCTTTGGACTGTAAGATTCGAAGTTCAGGCGCTTGTTTCCGAAGACTTAATTCACAGCAAGTAAATTCAAGTGCTTAACCTAGTAGAGTAGCTATTATCTCCTTAGCGCCATCCCAGGATGTTCATAATTCACAGCGGGAATCCTATAGATTATGATATGTATCTATACGTTCCGTTGCCTAGCGATACCATAGTATAATCCTAATGTGTTCACTGCTCAGCCTTTATTCACTACTTCTCGCCTCAGAGGCCAAGTGTCGCATTATCATTCGCGTGTCTTACCTTCATATGTGCATAAACAAATCAACTATCTTACCTTTAACTTTGAAGTATTTCAATAACATGCCGTCTGTGTCGTTTTGAGAGGCTCATCAGTTCAGCAAATTGCAGCCGTCTCATCTCTTTTATCTGTCTTGTTCGTAGGTATATTTGGTCGCGATAATTGCTTTATTGTTGAAATCAACAAGGTTGCTCCTGGTGAAGCTGATGGTGATCACACTAGAACTTTCACTCAACCTGGTAGACACTCGAAGTGTATCTGTTTGGGCTGGAGAGACCATCTCGTTACACAACTTTGGCGCAGAACAGGGCCAGATCCAAACCATCACGAGCCCTTCATCAAAGGATGCACTAGGTCATGTATGCGTATAAAACTTACGTCAATAGATGTTTTATTGATTGAATTTAGCATATCAGTTGCCGAACTAATATTAAGCACGTTACGCCTCGCGAAGATATTGGGTCTCTGGGATATTGTCACGGCACGTTGAACACACCGACGCTGCCCCTGTCCCAAATGATCATACTTCAGTTGTGGGAAAACTCAAGCCGGTATGAAAAATACTGTAGTTCAGCTTTTTTTCTCGGGTAAATATTTGGCCCCAGGGCTCGGCGGCGGTTAATCACTAAGCGTGAGAACTGAAGCCAGGCTGTATAGGCTGAAAAGCGATGTAGTGGTAAGAGAGCACGCAAGGTGCCACCAAAGTCACAGCACATTCGTATACACCTTTCTCGACAGGCTCTTGGCATAGGTAAAATCAAAATCAGGAGATCGGACGGCTTCTCCCCGCGGATACCTCGTCCCGCATATCCGGATTGGGAATCTCACAAGGCCAGTATAAATGAAAACCTACGCCAGGGGGATTTGTGTATCCATTTCTATCCCGATCAGATGATGAAATCACACATTATGAAGCTCTTGTGTTGGCTTCTAGTTGCTCTCCCACTGAGCCGCGGTTCGCCTCTGGCGGCCAACGATATCAGTGCCAACCAATTCTCAAATCCTATCATATACTCTGATTTTCCGGACAACGACGTGTTTCTGGGACCCGATGGAGCGTATTATTTTTCGGCATCGAACTTCCACTACAGCCCAGGTGCACCAATCTTAAAGTCCGAGGATTTGGTAAATTGGGACTTGATTGGTCATTCTATTCCTCGCCTCACATTTGGTGATAACTACGACCTGCCCGCCAACGGCTCTGGCAAAGGGAACGAATATCGCGGCGGTACCTGGGCATCTTCTTTGCGTTACCGAGAGAGCAATGGACTCTGGTACTGGATTGGCTGCACTAACTTTTGGGTTACTTGGGTTTTTACTGCAACTAGTCCCGAAGGTCCCTGGACGAATCGCGGCGCAATGTCTTGGGAGGGAGTTTGCATGTACGACAATGGCATCTTGATCGATGATGACGACACCATGTACGTCGTGTTTGGTTCGAACAATGTACGGGTAGCTCAGCTGAACCCAGAGGGAACGACCTATGCTCAGATCCAGAGTGTTTTCAACCACACTGACGTCGGCGCTGAAGGCCTCGAGGGCAACCGCATGTATAAGATCAATGGAACATACTATGTCCTCAATGATCAGCCAGGAGGAACAACCTATATATGGAGGTCGGAAAGCCCCTGGGGCCCGTACAAATCCAAGATTCTGGTCCAAAACATTTCTCCCCCGATCAACGGAGGAAGTTCCCCGCATCAAGGCAGCCTCATCAGGACAAAGGGTGGCGACTGGTACTACATGTCCTTCACGTGGGCCTATCCGGCTGGCCGCCTCCCAGTTCTTGCCCCTATCACATGGGGAGACGACGGCTTCCCTGTCTTTGTCAAAGGCAGTAACGGTGGCTGGGGAGCATCTTACCCTCTGCCTGACGGAGGTAGTGAGCCTACCAAGAATTGGGATCGCGTTGATACATTTGCAGGACCCTCTCTTCACCCTTCATGGGAATGGAACCACAACCCTGATGTGAACTCTTATCTTGTCAACAATGGTCTGACTTTGAAGACTGCTTCTGTCACGGATGACATTTACTTTGCAAGAAACACTCTCACTCATCGCACGCACGGCGAGTTCCCGGTGGGCACTGTTCTCATCGACTACAGCAATATGTTACCTGGCGACCGCGCAGGCTTCGCCGCCTTCCGCGACCAGACTTCGTACATTGCCATCCACCGTGCCGGAAACGATTACTCACTTGTAGCCGTCCATGGGATCATCACTGATGAATACGGATCCGGCGTCACTCAAAGTCTTGGCGAGATGAAGCAAACGCTGTCTATTCCTACAGGTCAGACAAAGGTGTGGCTACGGATGGAGCTTGATACCCGTCCAGATGGGACAAGAGACTGCGTCTTCTTGTACAGCTTCGATGGGGAAGACTTTGTGGTGTTTGGTCCGACTTACACTCTGTATTCGGGCTGGGCGTGGTTCCTGGCATACCGGTTTGGCATCTTCAATTTTGCCACCGAGGCTCTGGGTGGATCAATAAAGGTAGAGTCTTTTTCCGCAGCTTCAGCTTGAGATTACACAAGGATGAGGTTCTCATAGATTGCTCGGAATGATGTACCTCTGGCGGCCAGTCGCCATGCTAGTTAACTGTAGCCAAATTGATTCCTTCGATGCAGATGTTTTTTCCCCTTGCACCGGATTTGCTGCCTTTGCATCCTGATTACAATTTACAGTTATCAGAATGATGAGAGGGCATTGGTCTTCACAATGATGCAGCACAGATTATTGAAATAGTTGTGTTCGATTTTTTTTGTGTCGTGACATTCCTAGCAACCCTAATTCCTAAGATCGTCCCTTTTTCAATTGTTTAGAAGACCTCCCCAGCTACTTCACCACGCGACGAGCGCTTAGTAAAGACCAACAACGACATCACCCTTGACGCGGGCAGTCAGGTGGACCTCAGCCTCGAGGTCGAGCTTGATGCCGAGCAGGAGAGCGGCATCGCGGAGCGAGCCGTCATCCTGGGTGGCACCCTTGATGATTTGGCCTGTTCATCAGCTTGATTAGTATCAGATTGGAAGAAGGGATGCCGGGGAGCATTGGACTTACCAGCAGGCTCGGAAAGGCCGGTGGCGGTGGGAAGAGGGACAGTGAACTGCTGGGTGGAAGACATTTTGTTGGTTTGGAGGGGTTTGCTGGTGAGAGCTGGTAGTGATTGATGTAGATTGAGTTGTGAGTGAGTGATGGATAAAACAGATTGGGTTTCTGAAGGATCTTGGACAGCCTTTATACATTTTTTCGAGATAGTCTGGAGAGTATCAAACTCAGTCAACTGTTCCTCCTGCTCTCTCCATCCCCACAAGCGTCAATGCCATGTCCCTTGGCTCCAGCTCACCTTGCAGGAGCCACTTGAGAGCATAAACCGAGGACCCATCGCCCGCATTAACATCGTAACCCACATGGAGGAGATGATGCGACCGTACCTGCAGACAAATCGCTTAACGCCGAGGCAAGTCGCCAATCGACTGGCCAATTCGTGCCGTCAATCTCGAGGCGTTCTCCATCGGCATCGAAATCGTACCACTTGGCGCAATGCGTGGCGGACGTGGCCAAGCAGAGCCAGCGCAGCACATCAAAGCGCCATAATTGCTACATTATGCCGGCAGTTAAAGGCGAAGCGCATCGGGTTGCTATTCACGGCAGACCAATGGATAAGTGAGCGGATGGTGGGATGTTCAGGTGAAGTTGGACCGATTCTCCCGGTCTTATGCGAGACACCGGCGAACCAATTCCTTGGCGTATTGATTCGTTGGCTTGCTATGCCTTTAATTGCCTTGCCTGAACGAATTTGCCAGACGACAAAATCGTGGAGCAGCGATAATCGACCCGTCACCAGCCGAGGCTCAGTCGCATCACGTTGACAACTGGGCAAATTTGTGAGAGAAGAGAAGGAAACCTTATTCGTCGCATCACCTACTTCTCTTTTACTATCACACTTAGCATTATTGTCACACCAAAAGCATCAAGCCAGGAATATCAGGTGTGCCGAAGGAACCAAACATAGGAACTGAGAAACAAAACCATACGTCTTCTAGGTTTGTGGCTCGTACACAGTGAGTCGGTTTGTAGCTAACCTAGCCCGCTGTTGATTTTGATCAGAAATTGAGGGAATCATCATACTATAGCCTCCCAGAAAGACAAGGTATTTACTCTTGATCATGAAATAAGTCTCCCAATGACATATTTGACACAATTGACTGACAAAGTACATTTCTGCCTCGAATCCCTGCGGTTTCATCTAGTTTGTTTGCTTCGCGTACAGCTCACGCAAGCCATCTACCAATTCCGTCTTTCCCCTAAATGTGTTCTCCCCGTCCTCAAAATCGTCCGCCATTACTCCTCCAGGTAGCGTAGCAAGAATCATACCCGCAAACTCCTGGGCATACGCCGGAGGCACATGGTTAGCAAAATATGTGGCCAACTTATCCTTCTCAATCGTGATGAGTTCACCCTTGTTTCCAGTCACTTGTTCGAGCGCCTCCTTCACATCTAGACTGCTGTAGTGCCTAGGACCAAACAAAGTGACGCGGGAAATACCTGGCCGGCTGGTAGTGTCGAGGAGAGCCTGGGCGAGGTAATCACCGACGTCTTTCACACTCAACTGCACAATTGTCAGTAAATAGGTCACAGGATCGGAGCTTGTCATTATGTTTAGAGGGCAAGCATACCATAGGAATTTCATGAGACGGTGGTGAAAAGGTGGACTCAAAGCTCGGATTGTCTGACCGCATGGTTTTCAGAGCATCAGCCCAGTTTTCGAAAAACCACCCAGGTTTGACAATTTGCACCTCTGGGAGCACCGATTCGAGAATTCTGTCAGAAATATGGTTCAATCTGAGGACTCCCTAAGCGTTGTCAGTCTCTAATGTTCACGCACATTCATTCGATACGTACAATTCCATGGTCGTATTGCGCTCCCATAGCAGAATGAAGAATCAGCTTTTTGAGGCTTGGGGCTCGTTGAATCGCTTCTTTCACATTCTGGGCCGTTTGGGTAGCGAATTCGCCTTGATCAGTACCGTCATAAGTCACCGGGGGTATGTACAGGATGGCTTGGGAGCTACTAAAGTCCAGCCCCTCGCCTGTCGCCACATCTCCCTGGGTTGCCTCAAAGTTTGGGTGCTCCTTGAACTCGACTGGTACTTTGGCCAGGTTACGGTAGATAGCTCTGACCTTGGGCTTGCTGTCTGAATCAAGGAGGGCACGAATGGTCTCCCTGCCGGATTGCGTTGAGGCGGGGAAGACGGTGATATGTAGAGACATGATGATTTGAGGATGACGATGTTCCAAGTAGCAGGACGATTGAGTGATTGATGAGTCTGTTGTGAGTAATACCAACCGAACTGAGGAGACAACCTCTCCCCTTTATACATTTCAGAAGGAGAGCCAGTGCTCAGGTAGAAACGTGCTTCCTTGTTAATCAAGGCAGTATATTACTTGCTTAGAAATGGGGGCATCATAAGACCAATCAACAGCCAATGATAGATGGACGTAAACATCCAGTGAGCACCAGGACGATTTTGGGGTTCGGGAGATGGATCAATGCCCACTCATATGCGAGTTGCTGATCATCCTTGTCGAAGCTTAACCTAATTTACTCCCTTCTCTCGGTGAATACTTCGTCAAGGGCTAGCATATATGAGTAATATGAAGAAATATTCATCACACCCTTAGACAGTGCTGGCAATACCCAATCGGAATTTTGATCTAAGAAGCCCATAAGAACTAGAGGCGAATGCACAGCTTCACTGATATCTCAAGGCTTTAAGCATGGCTTGATGACAGATATGCCAAAGGCCTTTCACCTCTCTGCCTTCGCCAATAATTCGTGGCCTCTAAAATCTCATGACACCCTAGCAACAGCCACCCCCATCGCTTGAAGAATGGCAGCGTTACCTCCCAATTCCTTGGGTCCCAGGGCTCACCCCACACTATCATGCCACCCCAATCTGTCTGGCCGCATACTTCAATCATATCGTCCCAGAGCTTCTGTTCTCCTTCTATAGAAAGACTATTCGAGATAGCCAGAAGAAAGTTATCGCGCATCTGAGGCAGAGGGAACAGGTCGACCCATGGATGATGCGGCATTCGCTTTTGAAGAGCAGTCGGAAGGAGGTTTGAGGGGCACGGTGCCTGGAAGAATCCGCCACCTGATTCCTTCTCCGGCCCATAAACAGTAAAAGGGGAAACCGAGCTACACAGGAGCCAGTCGACAGTGAAGCCGAGCATAGCCGAATTCACAGTGAGGCTCTCCACGACATTGTGCTGAATCAGTCGGAGCAGGTGATCTGCACTTGGCTGACATTTTGCGTAGCTTGTAAGGGCGTTCTGGGCAAATTGAGTTAAGAGCCCACGTTTCCGATCCACGTTGTCTAATGTCGCCTCCCCCATCATCATGTCATCCTCGGAGCAGGCAATGATGCTCGTACATGGTGCCTGGTGTGAGGCGGCGGCATCTTCCCCGGCACTCCCTCGCTGAGCTTTTCTCCGGCGACCTAATTGCAGCACAGTTTAGTGTCAAATATATCGACAGTGTCTTTTCTTGTTTCAGGCTTACGAGCTCTTTGGTTGAGTCTGTTCTGCAACTTTCTTCTCTCCTTTTGGTTTGTGACCCCGGCCCAGTCTTCTCCATAATCGCACAGATAAGCCTCGTGGGGCATGGAGACTAAGTCAATGGGCATATTATGGGCAAAATTGTGAGACTGCATGATGAGAGAATGGAATATACTCATGAGGTGCCTAAACCAACTGACGACCCCTCCAAGTCCAAGTTCGTCTCCTGCAAATGCACCCGGCTGACAAGACCTTCGTCTACGAGGATCGGGGTGAGGCTGGATTAATAATAAGGGGATTGCGCTAATGCAGCCTGCTGACAAGTGACGTCAACATTCATCATCCCTCATTCCTGAATTTATTGCATACCCTAGACTCCCGCCTCCGGATTGAAGGCAACCCCAACGGTGAGCCATGTTTTGCCAATATTTAGGGCATCAATGATGTGAATCTTGGCAATTAGAAGACTTGACAAGATAAGGCCTCATGGAGTCAAATTTTCCTCTTCTTTGTGCTAAGGGTACCGCTCTCAAATCTTCCAATTTTGCGAATTAGACATATGCAAATTGTATGATAAAATTCTCAACCATATTAAGTCCAGATTAATAAAATGACGGCCTTAAGAAAATATTGTTTTTAAGAAACTACATAATGACGAGAAGTGAAACATATAACGAGCTTAATTCGTCTCCGGTTTCCTATTTCATACACGGAAGCTCTCTGGTAAATACGTATGTAAGAGCATATGGCTCCCTCGCGGTTGTTATAGGCCTAAGCAGAATACCAAAGCAAACTACTTTGGAAGAGACAAGCCCGTAACTGAGACAAAGATTTTATCCAGCACTTGATAAGAAATTCGGGAAGTGATATAGCCCTTAATCGCTTGGTCAGCCATCGATGGTTCGCTCGGTGGGTTGCATGAGGCAGAGCTGAACAAGTGAGCAAAAGATGCCTGAGCCCCTCCTCGCCTGCATGAGACGGCTGTTTAATATTGCAAATATTGGCTGAGTTGTCAGCTCCAACGTCACAACCCCGCTCTCAATTGATTCTTACTGCGCCAATTGGGCATCGATCCAAAATCATCCAAAGCATCATAACGAATCTTGGCCTCAACATACGTTTTATCGGCGAAACACTCATTCATGGAGGACGAGATTGAGCCGGCTCTCTGTGCAGCTTTTTATAACTCCAACCTCAACCTCAACGTGGATTGGTTCATCCCTCGTAGAGCCAAACATATCTCGCGTGAAGAGATATGGAACTCACATAAATCGCTCAGATCGAGGGATGCCTATCAGTACGAGTCGCTGGAGGCCCGCCCAGACGCGTTCCGGCTATTGTACATCGACATCGGTGATGATTTGGAACCCATTACCTGCAGTTTGCAAGTAGCCCGTCCTGGGACCTCTTATTCTGCCATCTCCTATATGTGGGGCACGGACACACGCTCTTTGCCGATCCAGATTGATGAACAAACATTCCTGGTATCTGCGAAGCTGTGGTGGGGAATATGGCATCTGCGACGACCAAGAGGAGTTGGTGGCGAGCGATGGCAGGGGCCTCAGGGCCCCTTTTGGATAGACGCCATCTGCATCAACCAAACTGAAATGGCGGAAAGAAACCAGCAGGTAGCTATAATGGGCGACATTTACGCCGGCGCTGATCATGTTTACGTTTGGTTTGGACGCGACGCCACTGGTGGCGGGCTCTTGAACATGCTATCGGATCTACAGACCCTTGTACATGATCATGAAACAAACAACGCGCTACCTGGGCTTGCTCTCTTCTTCAAAAATGACTATTGGAGGAGAGTGTGGATTGTGCAAGAGCTGATCCTCGCTCGCGACGTCTTGGTTATCTATGGATTCTATGTTATACCTTGGAAGGTTCTGGAGGATGCGTTCCGACTATTGGAGGCCAAGACGGAGTTCTCTAGATCAACTCATCCTTTGTTAACTAGTCCCGCCGCCAAAATTATCGAGCTGCGGATGAGGCGAGGCATAGGGGGCGATTTGCTGTCGTATTGGAGAATGTTTGAGGACAGTCAGTGCTCTGATCCGCGGGACAAGGCCTTTGGGTTTTTGGGCTTGAATGGCAGGCTGGCGAGCCACCGAAATACCCTCCAGGAACTCAAGGCAGACTATATGATATCCTTGGTCGAACTCTTCCAGCAGATGGTTGGACTGAGGAGATATGGTGGCTCTGAGGAATGGATAGCTGCCTCTCACACTGAGAGACAGCTCGAGACGTATGATCCACGCCATCGGGATGCTTCCTGGAAACAGAAAATGAGTCGGTGCCGGAATGTTAAAGACAGAGAAATCCACGACCATCATCAATTAGCAATTGCTTTCAGCCAGTTCTTTTGTCGTCTCCTCTTTGGAGAATCTCTAGCCGGGGCAGGTTCAAAGTCCCTCAATGGGCAACCCTCGTCATCGGAAGGAGAACTCTTCCAATCTAAAGGTCATATCGTAGGGATATTAACAAATGACCTGGGTCTATCTGATATCTCCGAACTCAGTGACAACGACCGGAGACGGCTCGGACCGTGGCATTGCCAACACCCAAACGCAACCAAAGACAACAGCAGTATGTGTAGCTCACGAGAATTCATCTTCAGCCAGCAATGGCAAGATCAGAAACCGCCCTTTGACTGGGATTTCAGTGCCACACATGTACACCACACGTCATGCGGGCAACCAACGATGTCATGTTCCACCACCACAGGCTGCGATCACGAGCTCGAGCCCCGAGCGTTTGAGACAGACTCGGGGCTCGGAGTACATACAGTGGGCGATGCTCTCCCTGGTGACTACCTCTGTCGCTTTGAAAGGTGCGACGTGGCCGCTGTATTCCGTCACATTGGACATGTGGAAGACCACAAGTTCTACAGAGGAGCCCCCATGAACCGAATCCGTAAAGAATATCACCTCGTTGGCCGTGCCATGGTAAAAATACGCGAAGGAGAGGAACCGAAGAGGTTACATGAACATACAGCACGGACATTTCGGCACAGCGTGCTTGACCCTACGCAAAATAAAAATAATACGGCCATCATGGAGCAGTATTTTGATGCCAAAACCTTGCGATACTTGACATGTTGAGCACCGATTCGTGTTCATTGTGTTGAGAAGTCGGGTCTGGCATGTTCCACAGCTGAATTTTTCTTTATTATTTGAGTCAAGTTCTTCAAACTCTCTCACACGTTGAGCACAGACGAAAAATGGACCAAGGAACAGGACTCGATGTGCCTAATTATTAGGATGAAAGAGATTTTCAAGAAAATCAACGTGTAGGCTACTGAATTAATGATGCTCAATTATACAAGATACCTATACACTCTCCGCCGCTCACGCGCCCGTTTCACTTTGAATCCCAGACGATATTCATCGTCACCGGAACAGGCCAAAACGAGCTACGGTCGCTCGTCATGTACATTGACTGGCCTTCCTCTGGGCCTAATTGGCGACCTGTCTGGCCGTGCCATTGTACGGCAGGAACACTTGCCAGGTGGCCCGGAGCGCCTGGTGCCCTTCGGAGACCAGGAAGGCTCACGATGATTTTGAACAGTGCTGCCATTGCTTCTATGCAAAAGTTGACATCATCAGAATTGGTACCCTCAGGGAAGTAGTCGACCAAGACACGAGTATTTGTAGGAGCGGCACTACTGGTAGCCGAGGAAGTTGGAGAGTATGACTCTTTGGTTGAACTATCGTCACCTCGTAGCGAGCAACCATTAAGGAGACTAAGAGTATTAGCGATACATAGCACGCGGTTGAAATTCGGTATAAGATATCAGTCACTTACTACCGTAGGAGTACTTGCTCACTCGTATCTGTTTTCTGTTGAGAAATAGCTCTGAGTTTCTCCATGTGTTCGGGTCCTTGGTTCAATTGGTAATCTAGGCTCTCAGACAGCAGTAATACTGGGACCATGGCGGAGCAGGCCACAAGAGTTGCAACACGATCAGCCAGCTTCTCGTTGTCCCTCAGCTTTTGAGAAGTGGTAAGTCTCTGGCCGTAACTACGGACCGAGAATTTGGAATTGTCTGACAACCCCTTTGTTAGTTTAGAGAGCGGGATTTCCTTCCTGAAGCGGACTACCAGATCCCGTGCCTGGCTTTGAAGCTCATACGATCTTCCCAAGCTCAGTCTCGGTGACTCAGCAGCATACAGGACAGACAGAATTGTACCCAGTTGAGCATCTGTATAGGCACCTCGGCGTTTGTCGTTCGTTGCCTTGAGGCTCAGTGAAAACATCTCAGCTGTCAGCCGCACAAATGTCGAGTTGATCACCTCGCTGACCACGTCAATGCCTCGACTATCATGATCCGATGACGGATTGGGTACGCCGTAGGATTGTGACTTTAAGAGGTTCGCCGACGTAAGGACGACAAAATCGGTGACCACATGCTTTGGGCTTGCAAGCGACGATGGGTCTGGTTGCTTGTGGTCATTGCTCACCTGAGCTTCCTTATCTGGCTCTCTAGACTCCTTCACGACGACAGTATTTGCATGACGGCTAGGAGGATCCCAAGTATATTCGGACGCCTTCTTCAAGCCTTCAAAGATAATCTTGTTTTCAGCAGGCGTGACAAGGGGATGGTGCGCGTAAATACTGTCTCGTTGGAAATGATGGGGGAAGGCGCAGAAGATAAGCTTGTACATGACATTTCCGCTGTCAACGTCGAAATCAGAGTCAACTTCCGCGAACCCCCAGTTGGTGAGGTTCTTTGGCGTGAAGTCGTCCGTGTAGAATCGATCACCACGTACAAGGGACACAGCATCAGACAAGATAGCTCTACTAGAGGTGAAGCCGAGGCATACTCCACTGCCAGGTGCCATGGGCGGTTTGGTCTTCTCCGACATCAGACCAGGATACAGCTCAACGTTTGCCGGACTTCCGTATAGACTCTTAAGACTTGCTGCGACGGCGGGATCAGGGTTGATATCTTCAAAGGTGCGATGCCGCGTTAGACCGATAAATGCTCGGAACTCATTGAGCGTACATACTCGCCATCGGCGGGCCTGAAGAATCCCCAGCATTTCGACCGGTCGTAAGCAGCGTGGAACAGAGTTGGCACCGAAGCTGCCAGCTGTGTCCTCAATGCTGGCACGCAGAATATCCACCAGCTCGTCATCACTGTAGGCCCCATCGGATTGACGTTGGAGCCCTGGCACAGAATCGCGCTGATGCGGATCTGTTGGCAGTGCCGTTTCCCAAGCTTGAAATGCCGTTATCATCTCGTGAAATGTGGCCGTCTCTGGGTCGCTGCCATCCAGCAGCTGCCGCATCTCCTCAGCAATCCATTCGGCGTCGCGTGAGGACAAGATACTGTGCCACCTGTATAGAAGGTTGAATTCGACAGATACCTGATTTCCAACGCCCGTGGGTGCCGTAGTCTTTTGTGCGTGTCGGTCCATGTTTGTCCGCGGATCGATCGTCCATGTCGAGTCGGTGCGGTTCAGGCACAATATAGCACGAACGTAGTCTTTGAGAATGATGTTGACGTATAAGCCGCAGGTTACTAGGCGCCCAGTCTGAAACAAATCCTCATCATACTGCTCCCACGCTTTCTGATCATCGAGGTCGTTCGAGTCGGGTGCGGAAGTCGGCTTTTTGAAGCGATTAGCTTCGTTGATGCTACCGGAATGTCAGTCTTGGGAATTATTATCGCTGCGAAGGAGGAAACAAACCTGGCAAGCTGCTCGACCACGTAGTTGTGGAAGCGATTGAACATGACCAAAAACACACGGCAGGCGGGAGGGAATGTTAGCAAGCGCTTGTGAGCAAAACAGTCGGGCTTCAACAGGCCATTCCTGAACTGTCGCATCTCCTTCTGCTCCTCCCATGAGTTGCCGTAGAGAGGAGCGAGATCTAGGTATGAGGATGCCAAATTGATTGCGCCATCGCGTCCACCCTGTATATGATGAGCGTACATTGGGCGAAGGAAGGAAGTCTAGTTTATCATACCGTTTGGAATATGTCATGCGTGATAATGACACCAAGATAGAACATCATGCTGGAGATGCCGCATTGGTGTGGCTTGCATTCACCATTGCGCGACAGCAGAGTGTCAAAAATGAGTCCTGGATCTGGCATATCTGGGCTCTGCACATCCATCGGCGCTACAGAACGCGCATATGGAGTTCCCGCCGCTCCAAGCGTCCTGAAATACGGGTTGCTGTTTGATCCATCGGCCGTCCGGTGCCGATTTTCTTGGCCCATAAGAGTGGGAATGGGCGTCGGCTGGGGATGGTCCAGCGTAGACCAGAGCTTGGTAATAAATGCGTCAGTCAGGAGCTTTCCTCTCCGGGAATGCCGTGGGAGCTTGTAAAGAAGCTGAATGAGCCTCTCCAACAGCATGTTCTCGTCATCGTAGTAGCCGGCCTTTTCGGCCGCATGGAAGAGACGGATTGTGCCCAAATCATAGAGCCTCAGGGTTTGTAGGTCTGTAAGAGTTCCAGTCTGAGGGACACTAAAGCCGCCAGACTGTTGACGGCGACGGTCCTTAAAGAATGAGGAGGGCTTCGACCATGCCCTGGCATTTGATGCGTGGCCTGCAGCTTTCGCCGTAGGCACCACAGGCACTGCCGGCTTATCTTTGGGCATGTTTGATAGTGTTTAGGACGAGGTAAACAATAGGAAGAGAAACAGGATTCATGGGAATGGGAAGAAGGGAGGAGCAAGACCTACATCTACATGCGTGGGGAAACTAGTACCGCCGCCAGCTGCTTCCATTATTGTACTAAGACGCGGGTTGCAGCTAGTCTTGTCGATCTCAGACAAGGACTGCCGGCTGCTAGTTTAGACAAGGAAAGGACCCGGGAGATGGACTTGCAATATGATTGAAGCAATCAGTCATCAGTGCCAGAGCTGTCCATGACAACTCGGTGTGATCACTTCACCAATGCATGATCCAATCGAGCTCATTGATACCTCCCAATATGATTGCGAAGGCTACATTATTGCATGTGGTGTGATCTTCTTAATCCATTCATCCTCATTCGTCAATGAATTGCTACCCTGGCTTCAGAGTTCAGCTGAGAGATGATATCTGTCTGAGACATTCTAGCCCAGTCTGGTAAGACGCATGACACTATTTGCGCCATATCATCAGACATACGAAATAGTCACCAGCCAGCCAATCTCAGTAATTAGCCAAGAGATCAACATCCACAGCGCAATGCTGGCTGCATGGGTACGTGGTGATCTGCTGAATTGGAAGGGCAATTAATAGAGGCCCATCATATCTCTCATGTTTAAACCTAGAAAATTAAAAGAGATAGCATTCACACTTGGCTATGTACGTTAAGAATGCGCATATCCAATTGACGATCATCTACAGCGTCCCCGGAGACCAATCGAAAAACTCTTCTATCCACGATTCATTTCCTCTTTCCAACTCGTCCATCCAGGGTGCCTGGTCAAAGTCCGTCAAATGAGCCTCGTCGCAAGGGAGCGAAGCTGGCCCTTGTGCAGAAGAGGCCGCCGCATCCCGTTTTGCTGCCACCCACATCTGGCTCAGGCGTAGGCACTTGGACACCTGCCGGAACATGTCACTATCAGACTGTTCACCGGCTGCCTTGCTCGCCAAATCGGACTTCGTAGCCATCCAGTCCAACACCGCCAGGAGGTCGATTGTGCTATACACAGCTACTCGATCCCAGGCAGGGTCCTCGAAAACAGACAAGTGTTTCAAGATAACCAGGCAGCGCACAAGTTGAAACCAATAAAAGAAGGGGAAACCTATGTACAGAGAGGGCGAGACAGTATGGAAGCAGTCTAGCCAAGCCTTGGCGGCATGAAGGATTCGCCACAGGCACTCAACGGGTTCGAATCCAGGCGTATTACTACCAACATTGGTAGACGTTGATGCCGGGAGTAGAGGATCGCTTGACGTAGCTTGGCGAATCGTCTCATTGATGCAAAGCTCGACATAGTGCGATGATGCACTGAGCATATCTATGACCGTGTCAGTTCAATGTGATGAAAACGCCTGGGTACTGACGGCCGAGTCCTGCAATGCATACCCATGTGTGGTGAATTTGGAGATCGCGAAGCTCTCAGTTGATCTAGCTGCCCCTGAAGATATTTGACGTATATAGATGGCGGATTTGGCGGTGATATGGAGTTCGTAGTATTATGCCCTCGAACCTCAGCGACTCTTTGCGCCAGCAGTTGAAGCCGGACCTGAAAAACGAAAGCTTGGTCGGACAAGGAGCGTTCATCATTCTCACTGATGGCACGCAACCCTTCCTCCATTTGAGAAGTCCACCGCATAGCATCTATTCGGCGGAAATACGAAGAGATGCTAAAAGCATGCCAATTTTAGCGGGAAAAGGCTCAGACAATCCCTTGTGGGAGAATTTAATACCGAATAGGCACAATGGAAGAATACATACTAGCAGCTTAGTACGAAGCAGGCTAAAATAGCTCTCTGTTGCTCAAGGTAAAAAACTTCACTCGGCGGCTCGGCTACTTCACGATCAGCAATACCCAGCCCGGGCGCCATTTTTGCTACCACGTGAACCTCTGGTGGAGGTGGCCTGGCCTTTTGCAAATCATACACTAGGGAGATGGCCAACATCATCATACGTGATAGATTGCTTGTGCGCTTCATGAAAGGGTCGATGCTCCAAGTGATGTAGGTCAGGATACTCAGCAAAGTGTCAATGTTTGATTCGTCTTGTGTCAAAGCTGACTTGGCCCAGAGGAATCTTAAGCCATCGATGCGGCTTAACTTTTGCTCTGTCGAAGATGTAGCCACAGCAACAATAGCTCGGAACAAGAGAGGTCTGTCTCGCCGAAGCTGGCTTGCCGTCATGGTAGAAGGGATATGAATGAATGGGAAAAGCGGCAACATCTGGTTCTGGAAGACTTGTAAATAATGGTCTGCCTCGCTGTCTGAAGGCTCATATAGCGGAGGCGAGGACGAATACAAAGATTCCTCTATCTGAGAAGAGCTCTGGTTTGATGGAAAAGATAACGGGCTGACGTTGCTCGTGGGTGTCAGCCCAGGGATTGCCCCTCCGTTTGGATTGATAGTCCCCAAATACTCGCCAGGTGCTGATGAAGATGGATCAGCCGATACTCCCGTGGCCCTGACGACTGAATGCAACATTGAAGTGAGTGTCTCGATTCTGTTCTCCAGCTGCGCAATTTGCACACCCATTTCGCGTGTTTGCTGACCACGTTTTCGCTGGGACTCTGATGCCTGACATTGTCTTTTGAGCCGGAAACATCTGGTAGGGGATCGAATCAGCTAAATCGCTCTTCTCCAAACCCCAGTCTACAAAATCCACTGACCTCTCGCAACCGCCGCCTGGTCGGGCCACACAGCGACTTTTCGCCTTGTAACATTGTACACAGGCCTGACCGTATGTGCTGGCTTGCGGACCTTGGGGTTGCTTCTCCATTGCCAGTCAGGGCTTCAGCAGTATTGAAAAGACGCATCAATAACAGATTCTCGTATACCAGCTGATGAACAGTGCAACGGCCTCGATTCCGCTAGATGTATGTGCAAAAGGCAAGTAACCCTCTTCCGCGTCATCTCTGTCGGAGTTCGGCCACTGAAATCCTGCCCATGCCATATCCGGAACCACGATTACTGCCCACTCTTTTGGCGATAAAGACACCTTGATAAGCGAGGCAACGGAGTTGAGTCCGCTCTTGCAGGTTTTGTCTAGCCCAAAGTGAAATAGCCCTCTAAGGTGTAGTTCGGGGCTGTGCATCCTAGCAAGATCCTTGAGGCGGCTATCAAGTATTGTGTGGCTATGATGGGTTACAACTCTGCAGTCAAGTTTTGAATTACATTGGAAATCAAGAGGAGCTGCATGAGAACAGGTGTTCGGCGGAAATTATGTGACTGGGCAAATATTTGAGTATTGCTTTTATTGAACTTAAGTCGTCAATCTAGTACTTACTTTTTTTGATATACAGGGGGGAATGACCAAGGTCGCGGAGAAGTTGCTTGTCAGAAATCGATTAAGCATTAGAAAACACAACAAAAACAAAATAATTTTATGAACCCTCCCATTATTATGCTGGGAATCATGGGGTCACAGTTCAATCACATCCATCATTGAGCCCAAGCAAATTACGAGAACTGCGCCATCCTCTCTTGCAACTTTCCCCAGATGATTTCCCCTGCATTCAGCCTGTCGAGCTCCGCCATCACTTTTTCCTGTTGCAGCTCATGAAGCTTATCGTTGACTAAAAACAAGGAGCCTCCCTGTCGGGCTTTATCCATGGTAAGCCCCGGTTTCACTTTGGCGCCAAGCGGGACGCCTTGACCGCCGTATTTTGCGCTCGTCATAAGGTACACGACTTTCTCCCCAGCATCCTCTGGTGTTGTTGCTGCTAGAGAGAGAATCAAGCTAGCAGCTCCAAAGAACCACTTGTCCCCGAAAGCTTTTTCAAAAAGCCCCGTATTCACACCGCCAGGGTAGTGATGAAGAAAGGTAACGTGGGGATTTTCTTTAGCCAGTCTCAGCATCGACAGTGTTGTAGAGGCTACTGATGTTCTAGAAGAGTTCATGAGGCTGAAGTTTCCCGGTTTCTTGAGTTCTAGATCATCCAGCGGGAGAGAGGAACTCTCGGTGCCCGCAGCGAGCACATTGACGACACGCGGGTTGTTTGTAGATGCGTTGAGCAAAGGAAGGAGTTGGATCATCATCGACAGCCGGTTGTAGAAACTCAATGCCAACGTCATAGGAAGACCCTCGGAGGTTTCTAAGTCTGGTAAGCTTTCGCCATGCCATGTCAAAGCTGCTGGTCTAATACGTACCGGTTCGTTCCCCTCTGGTGAGAAAACCAGGACTTGTATACAGAATATCAAGGCTCTTTTCACGCTCTTTAATGGTTTCACAAAGCCTCTTGGTATCGGCAAGCAGTGAGACCTGGCCCTCAAGCCAGATAATGTCCGCGTTCCCGTTAGATGCCCGGAGCTGATCCAGGAAAGGCTTATGCTTCTCCCCGTTACGGCCAATGACGTAAATTCTAATTGAAAGCTTTGTTGAGACCAGACGAGCGAGTGATGCCTTCCCAATTCCGTCCGTTCCTCCGGTGAAAACTGCGATTTGTGGCGCTGTATCTCGAGAGATTCGGCTGTTCGAAGCCTTGACCTCTGAGATTGAAACCGTCATGATGGCTTGAAAGAAGGATCATCAAATGATATTTGGAGCGATTCAGCGATCTAAATACCATATCATTAAATAAATCCAATCTACGGCGATTCAATCGAGAGGTGATCGTTATATAGTTAGTGGTGACTGGCAGAGGACCGGAATCCACGGCCCTTACCGTCGGAGTTCAATGCCGTTCACTTGCGCACCCCATAATGGCGATGTTCAGTGTAATGTAAGAGAATTAAGGAACGGAGTGCGGCCTCCGCTTCTGTCAGACTCAATTATTGGCTTCCTGCGCAGAGTTAGAGCATACTATATTATACCCGCGCCGTAGTTTTGGACGAACCACAACGGGGTTAGATGTGCACCAAAAGGCTGATAGCCTTATTGCACGGTGCTCCAAGCAAGAGTCAGGATCATTTATTGTCTTGCTCGGGCTTACAACACTGGGACTGTCTCGTAGCCTCGACATTGCGTGTCGCGGCTACTACGATTCGATCTAGCTCCCATCGGGAAATGACCGAGTTGCGATCTTCCCAGCCGATCAGCATCGGATTGGACCGCGTGCATAGAGAATGGAAAAGCAAGACGAGACATGGTCTGTCATTTCGTCATGTTGTCGCTCTCCGTACAAGACTTGGTCTCTTTGCGATTCGGGGCGACAAATTTTGAGTGTAACGTCGATCTTCAGGTTATAGGACTTCATTGCATGAACTTCCACGACTTTCCTTCAGCCACGAGATCGAATCTTGACTCTCTCACGGTAAACAGGGCCGCCGTTAGTGGCCCCGCAAAGCTTGTCTGCTTCCTCGAATTCTCCCACCAATCGTCCCATTTAGCCCGGACAACCGGTAGAGTTGGATAAATTGGGTGAACTTACCTTAACTACCTCGTATCTATAAAAAGTGAACCAAGGGACACGTATCCAATTGCGATAAGAAATGCGTTCATTTATACCTGCACAGCTGATCCCTCATCCCAAGTGTCAAAAATCGATCAACTCCTCAAAATGAGGTCCCACCTCTCTACCATCTCGGTCTTCGCACTGGCCTGCCAGAGCCTGGTGGCCGCTAAACAATTTGATCTGAAGAAATTCTCATCTGTAGTTATTTTTGGCGACAGTTGGACCGACCAGGGCATTTACTCATACATACCACGCGTAAATGGCACGCTTCCTGACCCCGTATGCAGCCCATCCTCTCCCCTCCTCCCGGGAAGTCTAGCTCACTGTCAAATAGAAACCAGTCACATCTACAGGTGGCCGGATTTGGCCGCAATATATTAAACAGTACTCAAATCAGGTCAACGTTTACGACTATGCTGTCAGCGGGGCTATGTGCGACACTCTATTCTCTCCAACTGGCCGAAATGGTATCGTGCAAAACCAAGTGCCAGCCTTTCTAAGAGACCTTGCCTGGAGGAATGAGACTTCGAATCAGCCTGCGCTCAAGGTCCCCGCCGACGAGACCGTGTATGCAATCTGGATCGGCACAAATGACCTTGGATACGCTGGTTTCCTTGCAGAGCAACAGCCGCATGATATGCCTCTCACCGCGTTAACTAACTGCATATATGAACAGTTTGATCGGGTGTATGAGGCTGGAGCCCGATTCTTTGTGATTATGAATATGGGAGCACTCGAGCTCACGCCCCTTTATGCGACACTTGAGAACAACGGAGTTCCGACGTCTAGATTCTGGAAAGATAAGTCATCTTACGACGCGAACATAACCCGCATAAGCGAAAAGATGCGCCAATATAGCACTACCCTCAATACTTTGTTTGAATATCAAACGCCATATGAAGTCAACCTGTCAAAGCGTTATCCGGGTAGCTCTTTCGCATTGTTTGATACCGCCAGCCTGGTAAGCTCTCCTTTATACTATACACCAGTTAGACTTGTGCCCGGTTCCCCTAATACCCCCTCCTCTTTTTAGATTTCGGAAATGTGGCATAACCCAGGGAAGTACCTCAATGGGAATAGTGAGTTCAACGTTACGGGATCGTATCTTGGATGCTTGGAGAGTGGATGTAAACTTTCGGGCCCGGACCCAGATAGCTTTCTCTGGTACGACGAGCTTCATCCCTCAGAACAAGCCAATCGTTGGTTTGCGAAAGAGTTTATTGAGGTTGTCAAAGGACACAGCAATCTAGCAAAGTATTGGAAGTCCAGATAAGAGTTGATAGCTGGTTGAATGATTGGGATGCTCTTGTTATAGTGGAAGTCTTTTTAATAGGTGCATGTATGGATATTCTGTTTGCACTTGAAATGAAATAATGCCGCCAAAGATGGAAAGAATCAGTCCCAAAACTGTAGACAGAGAGAGTCGAGGTGTGCGGCTCTTTGAAATGCGGTCTAGAAATTCACCACCTCAACTCGGGTTGCCACGTTTCCTTTTGTCGCTCTAGAGTAAGGACAGACTTTCTTGGCTTCCTCGACCACCTTTTCCAGCTCCGCCTTTTCCAAACCCTTCACCTGGATCTTCATGTGAACGCGTAGCCCCATGTCTAGCCCCTTCATGTCGCCAACAAGCTCCACGGTCGTATCAATGACGCTGTGCTCCTTCTCCGTCGGCATCGTGATGCCCATCTTGGCAGCGCAAGCATTCATGGCTGACTGGAAGCACGCGCCGTAGCCAGCCGCGAACAACTCCTCCGGATTGGTTTTTCCCTTGTCCCCGGGCCCCCCGAGGGCTTTGGACATTGTCAAGTCCACAACGAGATTCTCCGCTTCAACATGACCTTTGCGAGCACCGACGACTTTTGCGTGGGCGGAATAAAGCAGCGGCGCGGTTTCAGTGTTGATGTACCTCACAGCAGGAACGTAAAAATTGGTGAGCCTACGCGAAGTTATTCGACGCAGGAGAGGTTGGCAGCGGTACAGAGAAGTGAGAGATGCCATTTTGAATATTTTCAGGTGATTTTAGATGAGTGATGAAGGGCACATTCAAGCAGAATTAGGGATACGGAGCAACATAAATAGCGTACATGGTCTGAATAAAGTTAGACCATTGTCAGTGATGGGCGTCATAGAATAATGTTTAACGTCATACACTACATTCCCCGATCGCAATGATAGCGACATTGAGAAAGAAAACGGATGTTTCAGCCCTGCACAAGGAATTTATTGATTCATCTTTGATGGTGTCAGTGATAGGCTACATGGTCACTGTGGGTTATCAAAGGAAAGTATGTGTTAATCCAAATAAGCAAAAGGAATTTTTGGGCACATGCGACTTATTATCCACCTGACACAGTTATGAAAAAAACATGAGAAAAGGAAGAAAAACCAAGAGTCGTCCCGAACCTTAAGAAAAGGCTTACGCCCAACCTGCGCAGCTGCAGTCGCAAAGTTAAATCGCGGCCGTGACTCAGATGCCAGAGTCAAATTAGGCACAGCGATCAGCGCAAGTGCACTTAGTTTTTGCTGGCGTAGAAGAATTGGCCTTGAAAAACTTGGCAGAATTCTATCCGAACCAAAGCCTCTTACAGTAAACAGAACTGGTCGTCATCATGCGCAGTGGCGATGGCAATCATCCGATCGCGAGGTTTGAAGCAGAATGTCCGGAACACATATAAGAAAATTGTCCTATTGGTCATTCTTTCCGAAGCGAGGGGGAACCGGTCACCAATGGTTTCTCGTCCTACACTATAGGATTGCATGTTTCGCGCCCGCTTCAGTGAGTCATCTCTTGCTTGTTGACTCAACTACTCAATCATATGGCCTGGAACTATCCAAAGGTCTAAAAAAAGCGGGGGAACCATTATCTTGGGTTTCATTTTCATGCAGCTCAGCAGCAGGCAGAAGCGCAGCAGTGAGGCGAAGCATGACCCAACTTGCTCCATGATTGGCTTATGGCAATCTCCTTGGTGCGCAGTCTAGATATGTCCCGAAACGAGGTAATATCCTTGGCATGTGAGACTCTAATCCAGGATGGCCTATAGAAGGCGTCCGGACGCCTTGCATGTATCTAGGCTTATTCGTGGCTTTACGCCTCCTGCGCATGCACAAGCAAATCCTTTGGCGTTTAACCCAAAAATATCTCCTGATCTCTATTTCTTGAATCTTCTTAAATAGGCCCTTTTCTGAGCTTCGTTACTCAGGCGCTCCCTCAAGACTATTCTCTTCATCACTGTGTGCACTTTTGCGTGAGAATGCCCCGACCAGTTCCGCCAATTAGGAGGAAGAGGATAATCAAGGTATGGGAAATCGTAGCTGCTCCTCTCCTTTTCCATTACATTCCTCCTAGATACTCATATATCACACCATGCTTACACAATCCTCCTTCGTCTCAGAAAATGTCCAGCTCAAGCAGCTCAAGCCGCTCAAGCACCTCTGGTGAGGACTACGACGAGCATGTCAATGGAAATTCGAAAGCTGCTGCTGAGGAACAGGCACAGAAGGAGAGATTCGTAAAGGTCCTCTCCGGCACCTTCGATGTTGTGCCCCTCGAGAAAAACAGCAACGGTGAATCCCAGGCCGCGGAGCTGGGGTACTCCTCCCGGCTCGTCAGCAAGTGGTACCGCCATAAGTGCGAGTACAACTCTTGCCCGGCCCGCTGGGCCGAGTTTGACAACGTGGATGACGAGGAGGCCAACCTCAATGCGCGTGTGTCGTCCGTCCCCATCATCCACCGGCATGCGTATGTGAAGAGGCACTGGGTGACGCAGTCGGTCACGATCCAGGACCCTTCCATGCGCCAGGTCCTTCGAAGTGTCCTCGCCAAGTACCAGGACCTGGATCTTGAACTTATCAACTGGACCTTTGAGCCCCCCTTCATGCCCCTCGTTCATCGGTGGGACGACCTGAAGGCTCACTATGTAGGCCTCGAGGCAGGCAAGATCAAAAATGCTGCATCGGCTCTACTTGCATTCTTGACACCCATCGTCACCTCTTCCGTTCTGTCGCTCTCTCATACTAGGCAGACTGGCAAGGTGAGCTTTGAGGACATCTGGCAAATATTTCCACCCAGCTCTGTCGTCTTGACCAGGTTCTACGGCGTCGATGTCATCTGCCGAGTGATCAAATACAAAAAAGTCAAGTGCAATGACAATGAAGGTTGGCAAATTGAGATGGAGTTTATAGACTGGAATGGCGACACTTCTGGCTGGAAAACCACCTCTGTCACCATCTGGCAATACAGTGGCTATAGAAGGGTAACTGGTCTGCCCGTATTTCCTATCTCATTCTCCACAGAGGAAGAGAAAATCCGAGGGGCCATGATTGAGCGAGGACACAAATGGGCTAGTCTTCGCGGTTACCATTTCAAAATTGTGAACGGGACCAAGATCCTCCTTGAGACAAAGAAACCTCAGCAGAGACCCGTGAGTCAGACTTTACACCCAGAAAAACGAGCTGGCTAGTTCATCTAACTAACGATTTCAATCATTAGGTTTCCGGGAAAGTCTGTGTTGATGCCTATGCCTACTACAAGAGCTGCAACATTGTCAAGCCTTCCCTCCGTCCAGTTGCCGCTGCCATTTCGAAATCAGATGCTACATCAGATGAAGGCGAAAACAGCCCTGAAGAGAATGACCCATTGCCCTCTGATGGATTCAAGGCAGACTTTACCGCTGTTCAAATTGATACCAACTCCAAAGCCAAGAGTCCCGCCGACCGGTGTGAGGAGCTGCATGATTTGTCCGATGAGGAGCTTTTGATGACGACACCTTGGATGAAAGGTTTCGACCTCAAGTCTAAAAGCTTCTGTGAACTCAATGTCTCTGATCTCCACGACATGCAATGGAACGATGAAGCTTTCGAAAAACTCGTCTTGCCGGGAGGAGAGAAGGACCTCGCTTGGACGTTCGTGGAGAACAAGAGCCAATCTACCTCCGATTTTGATGACTTTGTGGCCGAGAAGGGAAGAGGTCTTATCATCCTCATGTTTGGGCCTCCCGGCGTTGGAAAAACATTTACCGCAGAGGCCGTGGCTGAGAAGTCTCGAGTCCCTTTGTACTCCATGAGCGCTGGCGATCTAGGCACAGCACCCTCTGAAGTGGAGAAAGCCCTTGGACGTGCCCTTGAGCTCTGTCGCATGTGGAATGCCATGCTTCTCCTCGATGAAGCTGATGTCTTCCTCGGGGAACGCACCAACGAGTCGCTTGCCCGCAATGAGCTGGTCTCTATTTTCCTTCGAGAGCTAGAATATTACCAGGGCATTCTTTTCCTCACCACAAATCGTATTCGAAGCATCGACAATGCCTTCCAGTCTCGGGTTGATCTCTTCTTGCCATATCATGATCTAACAAGTGAGGCCAGGAAGCAGGTTTGGGAGAACTTCATCAATCGTGCCGGGCGGGAAAAGTTTGATCTCACTGGTGACTCACTGGATAAACTCTCCATGCTCAAGCTGAACGGTCGCGAGATCAAGAATTTGATCAAGTCTGCCCAGCTGCTCTCGATGAAGGAGTCTGGGAAAGTGCCCGTTGAGCGGCTCGTGCTGCTTGCTAACAAGCGCGTCGAAGCACTAAAGGAGCTTGATACGGATGAACACTAAAGAGACAGGAGTATAGAAGGGTATAGGTGGGGTTTTCGACCTCTTCACTTAGTGAATATTCTTCGATATTTTGTCTCGGTTATGAGCTTAGCTTTATGGTAAACCCAGGCTAGATGAGAAGTGAACAGAGTCTTATTTTGAATTCAAGCTGCTTCAAGAACCCGGAGCGATCTTTTGCGGTCTCCAACTACTCGTTTTGTTAAAAATCATGATTTGTCACCACTAATATGTCAGAAGACATTTGGCGGAATATTCCATATTATGTTCGTTCAAATACTCTGCAGGAGTATGTCCCTTGTATAATAGTGCTTTGTTTTTTCTACCGCGTTCCTCTACGATCTGCTGAAACTCACTGGGTTACACTTCGTCATCCCAAGCGCGCAAGCTGATGAATTTATGTAAACAATCAAGGCTCCGTTCTTTTCACCATCAATATCGATCCGTCAACTGATGTTTTGTTAAGAATTGACAAACTGTTTGTCCAAGTCGATCAGAAAACTAATCTATCCTTCGCCTGGACTCAACATTTTGGTTGCTGGGCTAACAGCACGTCTAAAAAACGGGAGATCTCCCACTACCTTAAATCGCCGAGCAGCCTCCGAGAGAAAATCCCATTTTTTAGCAGCCGCGCCTATCACTCCTCTCGTTGTTATGCAGTGACAGTTATTCTCCACCTAAGAAGTGAGTTGACGTTGCATGGCGAGGATGTGAAAACAGCCTAATATCTCCCCATGCCGTCATCGCGCTTTTCTGTTTCCCCGTCGCCATATATTAAACCCCGCTTGAAGTGTAATTTCATTTCCCCCTCCTCAATTTTAAGAGAAAAGGAATTGGACATTCTGAGGATGAACTTACTGAAGAAACGATTGGCTTTTTCTTGGGCTTCGGCCGTCGTGTTGTTCTTCTCCACGGGTTCCGCACAGGAGACAAAGACCGGTGAGCAGTTTCACAGGAAATGGTGTGAGGGGCATGAATAAGCTCATGTTGTAACATAGGCATCGTGGTTGATGGAACCTCGTTCGCTCTGAACGGAGAGAATTCGTCTTACCGTTTTCACGTGGACAACACCACTCTGGATCTGATTGCAGACCATTTTGGCGGACCGACAACGGAGGATGGTATCTTCGCCGAAATTGGCCCAATCAATGGGTGGGTCAACATGATCGGGCGTGTCCGACGTGAGTTCCCAGACCTTGGAAGGGGTGACTTTCGAACACCTGCGGTGCATATACGCCAATCGGCGGGCTACACCGTCAGTGAGTTTCACTATCAGTCTCATGAGATTCTCGAAACAAAGCCTGCACTGGATGGATTACCATCTACGTTTGGTGAAGGATCCGATGTTTCAAGTCTGGTTATCCACATGTACGACAATTACAGCTCTGTGGCAGCGGACTTGACATACTCGATTTTCCCGAAACACGATGCTGTTGTCCGCAGTGTCAAAGTTACCAACAAAGGCAATGACTCCATTGTTATAGAGAAGCTGGCAAGTATGAGCATCGATCTTCCCTACGATGATCTAGACCTCCTAGAGTTACGGGGCGATTGGGCTCGTGATGGTGTGAGAGTGAGAAGGCCCGTAGATTATGGCACCCAAGGGTAAGTGAGATTCTCTCCGCAGGATCATTTCTGAGAAATATACCAAATGGCTAAACAATCCTTATTTCTTCCTAGATTCGGGAGCACTTTAGGGTTTTCTTCCGCTCTACATAACCCATTCCTCGGTGTTGTGTCGTCGACAGCAACAGAATCCCAAGGAGACGCGTGGGGATTTTCTCTCATCTACACTGGATCATTTCAAGCTGAGGTGGAGAAGAGCTCGCAAGGGCTGACCCGAGCCGCGATTGGATTCAACACACACCAGCTGTCTTGGAAGCTTGGCCCCGGCGAGTCTCTGACGTCGCCAGAGTGTGTGGCGGTTTTTTCAAATGCCGGCATTGGTGGAATGTCACGCAAGCTCCACAGACTCTATAGGAATCATCTTATGAAGAGCAAGTACGCAACTGCAGAGCGACCGATTCTCCTCAATAGCTGGGAGGGCCGAGGATTCAGAGTCAATGAAAGCTCTGTCTACCAGCTAGCAAAGGAGACCGCCGATTTGGGAGTCAGCTTGTTTGTGCTGGATGACGGGTGGTTCGGGAACGAGTTTCCTCGACAAAATGATTCTCTTGGACTCGGAGACTGGCAGCCAAATCGCGAGACATTCCCTAATGGCCTCGCACCGCTCATCGAAGACATCACCCAACTTTCAGTTGCCAACAAGACAGACCAGACATTGAAATTCGGCTTATGGTTTGAGCCTGAAATGATAAGTCCTCGATCGACCTTGTACAATGAGCACCCGGATTGGGCGCTTCATGCCGGGCCGTATCCTCGCACACAAACTCGCAATCAGCTTGTCCTCAACCTTGCACTGCCTGAAGTCCAGGATTTTATAATTAAAACAGTCGGGGACATACTCCGAAGTGCCCCTATCTCTTACGTCAAATGGGATAACAACCGTGGCATTCACGAAGCGCCCAGCCCAAGTCTTAACCATCAATATATGCTTGGTGTATATCGTGTATTTGAAGCCTTGACCTCTGAATTCCCAGACGTCTTGTGGGAGGGATGTGCCTCAGGCGGAGGGCGTTTTGACCCTGGAATTCTGCACTGGTTCCCGCAGGTTTGGACATCTGACGATACAGACGCAGTAGAACGCATAACAATTCAGTTTGGCACTTCTTTGGCATACCCTCCATCGGCCATGGGAGCACACATCTCCAACGTGCCCAACGGCGTCACAAAGCGTACGACGCCTTTCCTCTTCCGAGCCCATGTCGCAATGATGGGTGGTTCGTTTGGCCTCGAGCTGAACCCAGAGGACATGGATGCAGATGAATTGGCGCAGTTGCCTGAGATTCTCGAGCTCGCCGAGCGTCTCCAGCCCATTATCATTCGCGGGGACATGTGGCGCCTGGCGCTTCCGGAGGACTCGCAATATCCAGCCGCTCTTTTCATCTCGGAGGATGGATCTGAGGCTGCACTTTTTGCTTTCCAGACACGGCCCTCGATTACTACCAAGCGACCCATCTTCAAGTTGCAAGGTTTAGATGCCAGGTCAAAGTACACTGTTTGGGGAAACCAAACTCTTTCTGGCGCCACTCTCATGAACGCTGGAATCCAGCTCAAATTTGAGAATGAGTATGATAGCAAGGTTATACTTCTAAAGAAACAATAGGCAATAAGTATCAACACAATAAACATAATAAGCAGCCATATACCAAAACAGCACCCGTGATATCAGTCTCCAATATTCCCCATGCTATTGAAATCATACCAGGACCAAATCTGCTCTAAACGGCTCGCGAGATTTGTGATACGTCATTTGATTTCACCACCTTGAACTTGTCACCTTTGTTTATGGGATCTCGGGCATCGCGAATCATAACGTGTCATATTAGTAGTAGGCTTGGCCATATCCAAGATAATTACTGAGGTTCAGGTATCATGCCACAATCATTGGTCAATGGGCAGTTTCGGTTCTTCCAAATGCAGGATAATTCACAGCCTCCCCCGTTTTGGTAAAGATAATCGGTGAATTTTTCTATGGGGAGGAAATTGGTCGTATGCAGTGCTATGTAAGCTGATCTAACTCCATAGAAACACCCATCACCATGAATCCAGATCCACAGTGACTCATCCTGAGACAGCGTCCATCATTTTCATTCATTCTGAGCTCAAAAATTCTTTTGGATAGGCCTCTATTATATAACTAGGCGTTTGTAGGCGGAAGAATGGAAAGTCTCCAAGCCTAGTATCTACACTATACCAACAATCAATCCATCAACATCACAACCAAACCATCGCAATGCTGTACAAGGAAAAGACCGAATACACCACGGCCGACGCCAACTTCCAGCCGCTGCCGAAACACGGGCATCTTTCCAAGATGACCCCCGAATTTGCAGAACTAAAGGACGGGATCGACCAAATGTTCAATCCCATGTGGGAAATAACTGACATGGCCACCCTCCTTAAAGTAGGACGTACCGACCCCGGCACAACCTACGAAGACCGTGGCATCGTCACCGAGTTTATCCAGTTCCCCGCCAGCGATGGCACACTGATTGAGCTCAAGATCTATCGCCAGCCCAAGGTGCAGGAGAATGCCGCACTCATTCTTCGACTACACGGCGGAGGTGAGTCAAATTCAATAAAAATTGTATACGAAGATGGGCATGGCTAATTTTATTCATTAGGCTGGATGGTCGGTTGCCATGAGACTGATGGCGAGGAGAATGCACAAGCAACGGCAAACCATAATGTCGTGGTAGCCAGCGTGAACTACAGGATGTAAGTTTGTCCACCCAGAAGATACATATATTGACGGAAGAATATCTGACCAATGAATGATCTCTTCTAGGGCCCCTGAATTTCCCTTTCCCCAGCCACTCTATGACGCCTACGATGCTTTGGTTTGGTGCAAAGCCAATGCTGAGAAGCTTGGTGTCAATCCCGAGAGAATTATCTTGGCTGGAGGAAGTGCAGGTGCCAATCTGGTAAGTGCATGGGATGATTCCGAGATGCCTGCTCAATCCTCTCCAAAGAGTTGTTGCTAATCATGATGTTCGTAGACTGCGGCACTCGCTTTACTGGCCAGAGACAACGGAATTACTGGAATTCTTGCCCAGATCCTTCATTTCCCCATCATCTGCCACCCAAAGTTCTTCCCCAGGGACAAGTACGAGTTCGGAAGTTATATGCAAAATGCCAACGCCAGCGTCCTCGACGCTATCAAGATGGAAATGGCGCTGGACACGTACATCCCGGACGCGAAGCCTGATTTTCGCCATTCGCCGATTCTTGCTGAATCCCACAAGGGTCTCCCTCCTCTCTGTAAGTTCCCTCGTTGACTGGCTAAGAGAGTCATCATTTGTTCCATGGTCTAATCTTTTCCAGTATTGCAATGTGCGGGTCTTGACCCTCTTCGCGATGAAGCCATCGCCTACGCCGAAGTCGTCCAGGAAGCGGGCGTTGAAGTCGAGCACTATGCTTACCAAGGCCTGCCGCATCATTTTCACACAGTTGTGCCGACTGTTCCAGAGTGCAAGCCTTTCTATGCCCGCTATCACGCATTTCTGACCAAGATCCTCCAATAAGCTACTCCCTTATTTATGGATCTGCTCGAGCAAGCCATGCTGGGACCACCGCTATTGTTGGAGAGTAGACATGCAGGAAAGTCAGGCCTAGGTTTTGAAGGAATCCATTTTTCAAGATAGATCATAGACCATTCATCCGAAATATAATCTGTCCATTTTAGATCAAACTTTCAACGCGCCTCACTCTGAGTCTACCCTACAAGGCAAAGCCCATACACTGTAGATAACGACGAGCGATCATTGTACAAACACTGAACACCTGCCATCTACGTCAATGCCTCTGTAGTTTATTCAGCCTAGGCTAGCAATCTAAGATATCTTGCAATCGCCTTGACAGAAGGCCTAACCGATGATAGTAGGCGCCACAAAGTTCTGCTCAGGAGCCAGACAGAAAAAGCCCTCAACAAGGCGGGTGAAGATCATGGGTTCCTGTGTATGCAGCTGTGAAGGAATCGGGTCAGAAACTACAATAGCGATCGGCAATCACAAGAGTGGAGTGAGTATTCGTGGCAAGAAATGCTCCTGCTTAATTCGTGAGATCCAGTACTTCATTATTGTGGGTGGCGGTATCACTGCTCGCCTTCGCTATCCACAGTCTGTGCATGAAGTTGAAGATACGGCGCTTCTTCACATACTCCATTGAGCTTCAGTGTGCTCCCTCAGACTTGTGCAGCTGTCGTTTGAATAACTCTCCTGGTCCCTGTCTCAAACGCAGCCACGTGGTGCGATGCCTACGCACGGATGATGAGCTTCGCATGACCAGAGATTCGCTCCCATCTGGCAAGCGACTATTATATCTGAATCTTCTTTCTGGAATCGCCGACACAAGATCAAGCGTTTATTTACTTTTGCGTAAATGATCGACAACCGAGTACGGAGTGCCCACATGAGGCAATCTTGCGTTTTCTCGGTAATGCCCCAATATGGTGGCTGGATCCCACCCCCTGGAAATCAGCTGGGACCTGAGCAAGGTCGCAGTCGCAATAAAACTCCATGAAGGGACTGTCTGTAAAGTGAAGGTGATAAGATGTCCGTGAGGGGTCTTGGGTCCATAGACTCGGGGATGCCATCTGCGCGGATTCCAGTTTGTTCGTAAAGGGATGGTCGTTTGACACTATGGTGGACAAAAGCAGAACACGTGTGGTGGTCAGGCCATGGTGATAGATTTGTGACGGCTAAACGGGATGGCAAGCTGCTGTGCCAAGGTGATGTTGCCACAGAGCATTTGAGTGCAACTCTGGAATAGTGAGCTTCTTCCACCCAGCAGCCTTGATTGAATCTAAAGACCTACATCTTCAAAAACTTTGGACGAGGAGGCGATTGCCGAGCAGACCAAGTGACGCGTCCCACTTCTCTCATCACAGCTCATTACATTGGTGCCAGGATCGACTTACAAGGCTCAGGACCCTGGTCCTCCTTTTAGGCAGGTCTCTTAATCTTTCAGCTCTAGCGTTCCTCCAGACTCCAATCGGGCCACATGATCTTCTTGCGTGCTTTAACCTGCAGCATGACATTCGGCAGCACGCTCGGGTATTGAGCAGACGAGTGCTGCAGGTTTCGTTACGTGACAGAACAGGTCCGCAAAATGCTCACTCACAGGACTGTGGGATCAAGGCTCAAATATAGCAAACCACCTTCTCCGGCCGAGTTAGCGGAACGATTCGCTCCCCATATCTCACCACGGGTTGGGGCAGTCTCACCTTATTGGCCAGTTGCTAGTGTTCCTCCGATTAAGACCTTCCTTATTGAATCGATCTACGTGCGAACCCCCCTCCAAGACAAGCCGGACTAATAAGTTAGGTAGTAATGGAAATAGGGCGCAAATGCAGGGCTGAAAAGTGGCAGGAGTTGGTATGTTCTCCTATGTTGAATGTGTTCAAATACCAGCACTCCCTCTGGGATGTCCTGACCGGCAGTGTCAGCTTGACGAGGATTAGACGCTCTGTGGTCTGTGATCTGTAGGATCCCCCTCGGCTTCAAACACACCAAGTCAAGATCGACACCATCTTTCTCTTCCAGGATGGGTCTCAACATGCGGCTCATGGTGGCAGCAGCATTGCTGGTAATATCTCTCCCAATAGCTTCCTAATAGTTCGGATTAGGGTCATCATGATCAAAGATCTCTAACATGATATTTCACAGTGCGCCCCCCTTGCTCACACCAAGCCGGTCCCTACGCCTGTGGCGACGTTTGTGCCTACACCTGCGCCAACCACTGAGGAGACTGAGGAGGTTGACGACGACCTGGTAACGATCCAAGCTACAAATGACATCTCTAGCTGCGGTGATGAGTGGATGCCCAGGGACGACGTCAAGATCGGCCAGGGAACCGATACTCGTCCTGGCTTCAGCACTGCAGTGCAGAAGTTCTGCAGCGCCGTGAATGGGCAGGTCGTCAAGCCATCTGGCTATGTTTCGCTTGCCACCGAAATCTTCTTAAGCAGTGGCAAGGCACCTACTTCGTATGGCATCCAGGGATATGTTTACTGTGAGTTTGGAATCATCTAGTATTCTCAGACGCGAAGCTAATGTCGGGTGAAGTCGAGGTTCATAACAAGGAGAGCTCGGATCACACTATCTCACGTAAGTTAATGCCATTTCTTCCACGCATGTTGACAATCTAAGCTAACTTGATACCAGTCGATAGCTGCAAGCAGTATCTACTTGCTCTGAGCAAAGATGGCGGTAAATGCTCTGGCGAGACTAACAAGGACACCAAGGGTGGCACCTGGCAAGTCGGCAACAATGGAATATCCTACCATGCTTTGGGCAACAATGTTCCCCCCAAGCAGGATGCCATCAACAAGCTCTTCTGGGGCTCGGCAATCAGTGCGCAGAGCGTCAACAGGGGATCAGGCGCACCTCTGAACCCTTGGCCTCTGGATTCCCTCAAGAACGTCAAGCCCACCAAGTGCCACAGCCACAACGACTACGACAATGACATCCCCATCTTCACCGCCTTGAGCGCTGGCTGCATCGGTATCGAGGCCGACGTCTGGTACTTCCTCGGGGACGTGATCATTGGCCACATCCTTCCCACACTCGGCAGAACACTGACCGTGCAGTATGTCCAGCCCCTGCTGGCCATTCTGAACCACAACAACGGCGGCTCCCCGGGACCCATCGGTGTCTACCCAGCCAGTCCTAACCAGGGCATCACATTGTTGATTGACTTCAAGACCTCCGAAGCCGCTACTCTGGATACCGTCAACAAAGCTCTCCAGCCTCTCCGCGATGCCGGATACCTCAGCCGTGTTGAAAATGGAAAGTTCGTCGAGAAGCAAATCACCGTCGTTGCCAGCGGCTACTCTTCATTCGATCGCATCAATGCAGGCGACGGCGTGCCAAACCGAGACATCTTCTACGATGCCCAGGTTGCCAGCTGGAGCTCCAAGTACACCAGCACCAACGCTTACTACGCATCGGCCAACTTCAAGGACGACGTCGGAAACCCTGGAAGCGCTTCTGCCTTTACCGACGCCCAGAAGAACACTGTAAGGACGCACGTTGCCAACGCTCACTCAGCAGGTCTCAAGGTCCGATACTGTAAGTTGTCATCTATCTAACTTGAGTTGATCGAAATCGAGCTAACAATGAGATCCAGACGACCTTCCCGGAGAGTACATGTGGGAGTCACTGGCCGACCTTGGCGTGGACAGGCTGAATGCCGACGACCTGTCTAACACAGCCAGATTGGCTCGTCTATAGATGAAGTAATGATTAGTGCCACTCAGCATAGTGTGTTGGATAGTATGAATGGAATATGAAGTGATGATTTCTCACGGCTGCAGTTGTCTTAATCAATATATACCACATTGTCTTCTGTACAGTGCAACCTTTCCCCATTGACGCCCACTCATTGTCATCAGACTTCATTTTCACCTGGTTTTTGATGTACTTCAATCACTTGGATAAAAGTCTGCTAAGAAAACTAGTTTCTTCAGGTGAGGGCGAGATGTTGTTAGCCATAGCTCGTGCAGCGAAAAGCGAGATATGGATACAACGGGCTTTGGTGTTTCACCTAAACGTTAAGCAGCAGTGGTCTTATCATCTAATATAAGATTCTCGAACTACCTAGTTGGCACAGTCTCTTTCTTTAATCGACGCAAGTAAAGTGTAAAGATCTAGCGGAAGTAAGTTTTCACGCTAGCTATTGACACCTAAGAACCAATATGAAATAGAGACAATGAATGGGATAGGAAAATCAGATGTATATTCGCTTTTCTCGTAATACCCTTACGAGTTGAGTAAATCACTTGTTGTAGAGAACGCTTCGACCACTGAAGCTATAGAAGGCTACCCGTAGTGAGCAACCCATTTATGCTAAGCAGACGGTTATGGCTTATCATCATCTCACTAGGTTTTTGACATGCGTAACATACGTAAGAGAAAGAGTATAAAGTTCAACAGCAATGGAAGATGCTAGAACCCGGCATCTCAACACAATGAATAGAGATGCGTGATATAGACGGCTTTAAGTGCAATATCGTTTGGCATGCCTGATTCGTTTCAGATTATTTGGGGGTAAATTCGTGCACAAAGCACACGAATATTTGTACAGGAGGAAGCGCAGTGGCTATCTTCTCCTCAAAAGGTGCTATAATCCCAATAGGAGCTACCAATAGTCTAACAAATGTGCTTTTTCAAGCCCCAGCCAACTAAAGTCCCGATTATACGGAGCCAAAGCCAACCAATCTCGACTCAATATCGAGCCCAGGGGATCTTTTGTCGGGAAACATTGAGGGGCTGAATTGCACGGGCACAAATGTGTATTCTCCTGGCTATTGGCTGTAGATAGGCGCCGTGTGCCATAGTCATGCAATGTGATAGCCTGATGGATGAGTTGTCTCAATATTTGTATGCAACAGCCACACACACCCAACGCCACCTGGTTGCCTTTCGTAAGCTTACGTGTGTCACACCCCTTTCTGGCCGCTCACGTGCAATACTCACAGTTCTGCCTTGTGCCATCATCGTGATAGTGCAACCTGACGGTGGGACTCCCCCGCATTGCCGACTTCTGAGGCTAAGACGCGTCTCTGATGCGCCGCAAAGGACGGCCATCATACCCACAAATTCATATGTCTACGTGGAGTCGGGTGAAAATACTGGATACAGAATTATCGACCTTTGATTCAAGATGGTGGAGGATGCTGTAACGACAGCCTTCAAAAGAGCGCGTGGTGAATTGCGACCGCTTTTGCAGAAGGAAAAATCTACTGGATGTACGATCGATAACACACCTAAAGCACGTTCTTCAACCGAAGGCCCAAGTTTTCGATATGATGCAGCTTTCTTCCGTGATGGAGTAGCTGAGAGCATCCTCACCGACGAAACACTTCGACAAGTAGTGCTAGGAACAGCCATCCACCCGCAAGCAGGGAGTAGAGTCCTCGAAAATGACATTAGAAGGATAACAGTGGCTCCAGGGTTGCGAAGAATTTTACTCACGATCCTTTGCTTCGGGACTGGCAGCATGCTTCGGAGTTTCGAGGAAAGGTTTCTGGGAGAGAACCATTGCCGCTACTCTGACAGGGATTTACCATTCGATCATTCTATTGTTGGAGAGCTTTTTGGAGAGGAGGACGCGACAATTTTCTTCCAATATCAGTTCATGTTTGTCGCACTAACTCTTGGAACCGGAAAAGATGCCCAGTATGAACCTCATCATATTTTGCCATATGTGCCGGAAAAAGAGCTGGGACGTGGCGGGTTTGGCAAGGTAGATCAAGTCAAGGTCGAGAGAGGTCATTTCCTTTATCGAGAACCCCCATCTCGCAACAGAGATGTGAGTTATCAAGGCTTCGTTTCCGTTGAGCGTTTTTTGCTGACATTTGTACTTATTTGTAAGCCGGTTTTCCTCGCGAGAAAACAGTTCGAACCAGATGCGGAGTCTTTTAGGTCATTCGAGCGCGAGCGCAGGACTCTCCGACAACTTGCTGATCAAAAGACATGCCCTTCCAACATCGTGACCGCCATATGTACTCTCGTTTGCAGACTACCTCAAGGTCGCAAGCTGGGAAGTATATTTTTTCCACCAGCTATTTGTGACTTAGATGCCTATATTCGGAACAACCACAATTTTTCAAATACCAACGCAGCGCGACGGAGGAATATCCAGCAGATGATAGAGGTAGGTGATGCAATGCATTGGCTTTCGGAACACCTACGCCATGATTCAGCAACTGGAACGTATGTAGAGAGATCATACATTCACTACGATATGAAACCATCCAACATTCTAATATACGAGGATGTCTCTGTTGGCAATGGAGCTGTCGTATTCAAAATCGCCGACTTTGGCCAGACTCGGGAGATAAACAGGCATCCTGAGGGCCGGACCGGGCAAAAAAATAAAACCTCCCCATTTCTTGATGGAGGCCGCATATACGAGGGCACATTTCGTGCGCCAGAAATACACGGCCAAAATGTCCGCGATAAGAGGGTAGAAAAGGGTGATGTCTGGTCCTTCGGCTGCATTCTCCTCCTTGTCATCTTATTTGGAGCTCAAGGTGCGCAAGCCATAGAAGAGTTCGAAGAGGACCGCATCAGGAAAAGCCTGAGCCGAAGAGACGACAACTTCTGCAACCCCCAAAATGGGGCCAACTCGGTTTGCAACCCGGCTGTTCTCAAATGCCTGAAGCGCCTTCGGGAGCACGAAGTCTCCGCGGATATGTACATGAATAAAAACATGATGAAACAATTCATCGATTATCTCCGGACCGGAACATTAGTTAAGGACTCCCAGCGAGACAATATCTCCAAAGTATGCAAGAAACTGCGGGGGATCTACAACCAGTTTGAACCACGATCCGCTACCCCGTCATCCGTTAATCATGGAGAGTTGCCACCCAGGGCATATCGTCTTGGACATTCGCCGGACGGCAAGATCTTCTGTTGCTCACGCGACAAAATCTATCTTTATACCCCTGGAAGGCCGATCCTAAATCCGACAAATAACCATCATCCCTGGTCGAGAGTAGTAAAAGCCGACTCATCATCATGCTCTAGGGAGACCTTATGCGTTGTAGCAGAATGGGTTGGCTGGTTCAGAGTGAGTCTAATTTCTACTGATGTATCTCTCTGGCGTGATTTCTATGTTAACGATAGTTCAGTGTACCCTATTCAAAATTGGCAGGGAAGATTCGGCACCGCGCGACGTGGCGATAAGAGCCATAACTACGCGGGTGCTGAAAGTCGCTCTGTCACCTGATGACCGCATGCTTGCTCTTGCATGTGAACCTGATGAATATGGGCAGGCATTTGTCAGACTATTTTATCTAGAAGACTTAAGCCCGTGAGTTCCCAAACGCCAGAGCACGACTTACCTTGACTGATTCACTGCATTTATCAAGTGTTCAAACCGATGGCTCTCGCTACAGCACCAGCAGCTCCGTTCGGAGAGATAGTCCAGCTGTGAATACAAACCCAGGCTATCTTTCAGGGTCCCATGGTACATTGGAATTCGTCGAATCGTATCATGATCTCCGATTCTCTGCAGATAGTCAATTCCTATACTGCGCCTGGGAGCAAACGGACGCCCGCTACTCCGTTCAAGTAGCCATATGGGAAATATCCCCAGACGAATTGCATCTGACAACGCAGATTCAACCTAATGTCATTATCAAAGACGACGTAGGGTATATTCATCAAACCGGGCTAGATATATTAGCTCACAGCGATAATAGGACTTGACGTTTCAGCCACACTTTTTCAGTGCCCTTCTTCCCCTAAGTACAAGCGCTGGATTTTTGGCCATTACACACCAAAGAAATATAATCATACATGACGCAAGCGCGAAACATTCAGGGACAAAACGCATCAAATTTGATGGTAAAGGAAATCTCAGATGCATACTCATCTCCTCGGACGACCAGAAGGTAGTCATGCTAGCAACTAAGACAACGGGGAAAACAAAGGTCGACGTTTGGGGAGGGTCTCTTAAGAATCTCAAAGCAGGTCAAGCTTTGAATAAGCTGGCTCTTGATGAGAATAATTCTTTTGATGAATCAGAGGACGACGCTTATCTCCTGGAGGAGGCAAATCAAGTGCAGCTTCGTTTAACCAGCTTGAAAAAGGGGCAGTCATACTGGCATGATATTTCCTCGCTGTTTCGTTAGTATGGTTAGATTGTATATGAATAGTCCAGGATTGAGCACATTTGACAACTACCTTAGGTTATAACGATAGGATGAGTCTACCAGAGGTAAATATCTTCAATATTGTGTCAAGAAGTGTTCATTGCAAATTTCTCGGAGCCGTCTATATATTTCAATCAACTACTTGGGATCTTAATTGTTCTTACAGAGAAGCGTTGTGCTATCAGAAGATCGTCTCTCTGAGGAGAAACCTGCACATCGTCCTGACTATCGGCTTTATGTATGTAGTTGCCTCTCAGATTTCACCCTGTTAATAACTTATTGACCTGACTCTTTATCCATTCAGAGTCAATAATGCCTCCGAAGTCCCATACGGAACGTATTTGCACTTGATGAACCTCATGATTATGCTTCATGTGATTTCTCATGGCTTGGAAGTGAGCTGCCACTGAATCCTCATCTTGTAGATCAGTTAACCAACCCCTGTACCAGACTTCTCTGCCATACCACTTGAGAAAACAAGTCAATATCACGAAAAGAGCAACCTGCCTTAGGGTCAGCAAGAACGAATAGAAAAGCTGAATGAAAACTAACAGAAGTGAACGATGCAGCTGCTTGCAAGCCGGTGCCGTTCAGGACGATCATCATGGCTCCACCGAGAGTAATGATTAAAACGCAAAGCACGACTGAGAGTCCTGACATTGCCAGATGTAGGAAATACCAGCCGTTTTGATCAACCTTCACCACCCTCTTAATATACGGCGGGATGCCCTCTTTAGAAAAATGTTTGCGAAAGCTGATAAAGTACATAGACAGGTTAGACACGAAAGATCACGAGTTTAGATTCATTCGCTAGGGGATTCTTACCATCGGTAAAATCGAAATGCAGCCCATGATTCGCAGGTCCAGACTATTATACAACATACAGCCGCGAGCTGCGTTAAAAATTCCGATACCTATCATATGCCACGTTAGAGTTGAAAATTCAAGCACCTTGTTTTGATGATATGAGAATTTGTCTTACGTCCAAGAATGCGGCTTTGAAGCCGTATTTTAAAAAGGGAAGCCAACACAGCCATGCTGATACAAGGATTGCAACATACGGCACGTCGAACTTGCTCTTCCTTACCAATATGTCAAGGAAGCGACTCAAAAGCGTTGTCTCTGTATGACCACGAGACTTAACGGAGGTATATGCCAAGCCAAAAAGGGTTCGCGACGCGACGTAGAGTGAGCTAGTCGACGTCGATAGAACATGGACGATGAGAAAGGCTGTGAGAGCAGTTGAAGTCGTCGCGGAATTTGCTGAGCCCGAATCTTTGTTGGCGATGACAAAAATTGAACGACTTTCGCCGTTCGGAGTCGTCTTTCCATCAGACCACACAGATGCCGGTAGCCTCTCGTCGTTCCAATAGATATTTTCGCTCACAATCCAACCACCCCAAACGTAGATGACTGTTGTGACCATTGGTACCCAGAGTGAGAATTCAAAGGGGTCCTTGAGCTTAGTTGATGATCTTTCTCGATTTGAAGGCCCATTCAAGATGCCGCCAGATGTTGATTCATTGGCTTTTGAATCCACAAACTTGGCTTCCTGTGCAGTTCCCGCGACAATTTCAACCCCGACGTAGGAAAAGGAGGCGATATATATCGACGCTGCTAGTGCTGTAAACCAACCTCCGGTCAGATCTTCCTCATTCTGGAATATAGCATCTCTTGCTAACTTTGTCGCATTGTGCTGTTGCTTAGATGCATTGGTTCCCGCTGAATAAGTCTGACTGTTAGTCTTTGTGCAAAATTTCCCTTTAGTTCAATCAACCTACCCGCTGGATTTACGACGTTCATTGCAATAATGATAGAGACAACCAAGAAAAGCTTAAAAACCCCGAGCCCAAGCTCGATCTGCCGGAATACCTGTCAAGAACACATATCAGCATATCATGACCTATGACTGTATCTGCCTGTGCTGGATTGTGCACACCGAAATGTCCGTCAAGTTGATCAGGATAGGTATCACCAGTGAAAATACGCTGATGACGACCGATACACCTGTGCTGACAGAGAGAGAATCAACAAGACCTCCGATTGCGGTGGTGAGTCCCGCATATGAGAAACAAAAAGTGAGCCTGTCGCACTTGATCTTAGTCCATCGTTGCAAGTGCCTCCTGGCAGGGCCACCCCTTGAGAACAAACCAAGAATTCATACCAATATAATAGCGACATTACTCGTCCCATTTCTTCATCGACGAATTCTCCAACGAACACAGCGAGCGCGCCGGTAATGGGCCACACACGCAGCATAACCGTGAGGTTTCGTATAATCATAAGAGTCAGTAACCCCAGAAAGAGATATGAGTATACCACAGCCCCTTGACCTCCTATTCTCAGAATTATACCAGTCTTGACGTAATAGCCGATTCCGACGACTGTGTTGATAGCAATCATGAAAATATGAATGGCCCGCAGTTCACGCCTTCAAGCTTGTTGATTAATTCAGGAAAATATTTCAGATACTTTGAGGACTTTTACATACCTGAGTGAGTCGAGACGTCCTCGTGGAGTCTGTGGTCGCTCTACACTATAGGCACATTAGTACCAGAATGTAACAAGCCAGGAGAGGGATAATATTCTATTACTCCTCATTTGCGGCTGGCGCAGAAGTTGGGCTTTGTTCTATCTCCTCGTCGATATTTTCTTCTTCATCTTCGTCGAATAAAGTGGCCCCGAATGGGTCTGACGTGGGATCATTCCTAGCGGGAGCTTTTGAGGATTCTCCCTCACTCCTGTGGTTAGGCATTATGTCAGGAGGTGTCCAATGTGGAACAGAAAAGACAATATTGCCTTGCCCATCGCCAGAGCCAGAAGCAATGCTCTGGTCTGTGGTCAAAGAACCAATTTTGTGAGTTTTGGTCGAGCAACTGCTCAAGCCATCAGCTGAGCGGCTGTGAGAAGACATGATAGAGTGCTTTAGGCGCTGAACCTCGTTCGGTTTTCACATGAAAGAAGTCAAGTTGGACTGGTGGCAATAGATTCACTAAATAGATGCCCAATGCAATGCAGCGACTCACCCCCCCCTCCATACCAACCGGTTGCATAATGAAGAGCAGGGGCCCATGCAATCAGTCCGACCAAAATTCAATATATCGGGCGTTGCATGTTGTGCGACGTATTTTGAACAAATGAGCTTCAAGTACTCGTCAGCTGAACAGCCACATGGTACGCTGGGAGGATCAGCTGGCTCCTTGCCTCAGCTAGGACGGACGCCTTGCATATCTTATGCTTTGGTTCGCTTGGTTTTTTTATCCGCCGTCACTAGAGACCGCAGCAAATATACAGAGCACTCCCACAGACATCGGTAACTTTGTCCAGCCTCAAGGTCAGCATGGGTCGCTATCACGTTCAATTTCGTTACATAAGTAAAGCCAATCTCCTTTTGCTCCTGCAGCAAACCTGGAGCGCCATGACTGAAAGTGAATTTAATATCGTCGTATGTATTATTGGAACAGCTCTTATGTCACTGCTGCTGACATTCCCCGACCCTTCTAAAGAGTCGCAACGACGTACTGTACTACAGCGCTCCAGCTGAGCTTTCGATTCAAAACATTAAGTAAGTCCTTCTCAAAGAGTGATCGCAAATCATGATATGCTTACACTCTCATTCTCAGAATTGCGCAGCAGCAGGGGGGCTGAGTGCCAAGATTTCAGAACAAGTGAAACCAGGATGGTTTGAATCCCCCACAATGATTTGCTAGTACTGCGAGGCATACCGGCAGGGATATCTGAGAGGCTATAGAGCCTTGGAGGGTACCATATTTCTTTTCACTTTTGTATTCTCAAAGGCATGACGCCTACTCGCTTACTTGCCGAACTCAACATAAATATGATCACTGAGCCCAGCCCAGCCCCACCATAATTTCATAACTACGAATTTATCAAAGCATATTCACACAAATAACTGCTGTCGTAACTGCTGTCGTGTCGAATGCTTCACAAAGAGAAGATGAAGTGCCCCGAAATGGGCCATACACCACTCCCCATTTCCGATATATTCACGGATGGTGAAGACTCTTTTATAGATGTGCACCTCTTTACCGAAACCAATGAAGGGAAGACTTCCAACTTTCCAACCAGCACTCGTGTCTTCGATGTAGAAAGCCTCCAAACCCAGTTCAGCCGTCCAAAAGTCCAAACAAGAATAGCGTAAGCCATTCACATCTATTCAATTGTATCCGCGAATCTACTGACAATCATGGAGAGTTGTTTATCAGCCTTACTCGTGGGCTGCTTTGCAAGTGTCCAGGGAAATGCTACGGGAGTTCGCCAACCTCACCAACTGCACCGACGAGATTTGGGATTTAGCATCATATTTCAGAGAAAAGATTTCCGAAGTCGAGCTCGCATTATCGAAATGTGTGTGGAAGTACAGAAGTAACATGCGAGGTAAATATTACACAATCGAAGCGAAGTACTCAAGGCCTATTAATAAAACCATAGAGATTCTCTACACTCTGAAATATCCTGAGCTTAAAGCTATTGGAGATGAGGAAACTACCTGGGTCATTCGCCAGTGTGGGTTGTATCATCAGAACGACCTTCGATCCAAGCAGAACACTGGGTTACTGTTCTTCCCTAATATGCAGTCTTCTTCCACCGAACCAATAATCGATTATGGGAGCAAAAATGAACACCCACTACAAGTACATGTGAAATTCTACTTCTCCCACTTTCATAATTGGAGATGGTATGTAGCAGAGTCGGATAAGGATATTCAAAAACTAGTGAGACTCCATATCGTCAAATGGCGCACGGTAGCTGATTGGAAAGCAGGCGAGTGGCATCCTCAACATAGAAATCGAACGTGACATAGATTTTCTATCCATTTACGATCAAATCTCACGTCTTCACTTCATTCAGACAAAATTAGCGCCTTTATTGCCGATATTCGGCGCACACTCCGAGTTCATAAGTATGCTCAGGCAAATGAACAAAGATCTCCGCAGCTCTGGCGAGGTAAGCCAGGCATCAGCCCAGGAATTCAATGGAACCTTGCATACTCTCGATGCTCAAGTGGAATCTATGAAGAAAAACGCCACGCATCTTCTTTCACGTGTTTCGACAACAATTCAGGCGGTAGGTGAAATAAATTACCATACCTAATGTTGACTCAGTTGACCAACTCGTCCTTTAAGGCCTCTAATATTATCAGTCTCAAAAGCCAAAATATTACCGAGGGTATGTCTAATCGCATGATGAGCGATAGCACCGCCATTCGGGCTATTACAGTGGTTACATTGGTCTATCTACCTGCTTCGTTTGTTTCAGTAAGAATTTTCTGTAAATCTGAATGCCGTAGATCTACCTTTGCTGATGTCAACAGAGCTTTTTTGGTATGGGGTTCTTCGCTACGGGCCAGGAAAATAGTATAACATGGGCGGGTGCACCACAGATATGGATCTTTTTTGCCTTTGCTGTCCCTTTAACTGGCTTGACCATAGCATGTTGGAGATGGACGTCTCAACGAGAACGTCAAAATCGTGCCTTTTCAGCAATCGAAAGGGTGTAAATTCAAGAACTCGCATAATTAGAAGTGGTTAGGTAGGAGAAAGAGGTATTATGTCCAAATATTTTGTTCATAACCGAGTGCACTCCCCAACGTCCAATCCATATGATATTGAAGAACAACCGACCGGAGTACGTTGAGTGATCATCTCAATGAGTAGGGTCGGGCCCGGTAGGTGCCTTAATCCAGCCACTGGGGATCTGAGTAATGAAGTCATACCAGCTGTCTCCCATCTTATGGTATCCAGCTTCGGAAGGATGTACGCAGTCGCTGGAAATCAGATTTGGCCAAAACCCAACAAAGTCTGCAGCCAACACCTTCTTGTTCGCATCGAAGCGCTCCTTGACAACCTCCGACGTAAGCTTCTGGAACTGCGTGGTACGCTGATTCTGGGCCGCGTGATGGCTATCGCCACAGGTGGGCATGATCATGGAGACCAGGATGGTAGCATCAGGGCACTTGGCGACCATCTTATCGATGAGGTTTCCGAGTCGCGCGGCAGCGTTGGCAGGGTCGTTACCTTCTGCCGCGATGTCGGGGTTTGAATTCATGTCGTTGGTTCCGGCGGCAAGGAGGATAATGTTCGGCCTCTGTGCCAACGACGCATCAACTCGATCGCTTATGTACTTGATAGTCTTTCCCGGCCATGCATCCTGTAACGCATTGATGTTAGCAAAAGCGTTCCACGTAGAAGGCAGAAGATTGATCAATTACATAGTAATTCCCCTTCATGGTGCTCTTATCAGTGGTGATAGTCCCCGCAAAGACGACATCATTCTCTGAGTCAATGGTAAGCATTTTCACACCTCAAAGTAACCCTCCCTACGTCAAATTGGTGTCCTTACTTGACAGGTCTTCACGAAGCTTTCCCCGGTACCCATTCCCATCTCCGTGCCAGGGAAACCCGGCGGTGATGGAATCGCCAACAGTGAGTATACGGAGCTTCTTGCTGCCCTTGATTTCGACTCCCGGGGCAGTGTTCTTCCATAGAAGACGGTGAGACGTGGGATGGGCTCTAGAATCAAGGTCGGGAACCGCAATAATGCTGTCTTGCGTGCTAGATGGGACGGGACCAGAGTGAGCGAAGGTCAGCAGGTTGGCCATGCTGGCGAGGATGAATAGCCCTCTCATGATGAAGTAGTCTAAGAGCCCCCGAATAGGTGAGATACGGCTTCAATTCTCGTGACCGATGGAGCCAAGATGGTAGAGAATCAGAGGGCAACAAATGGCAGGCAACAGAGTACATAATAAACGATGACTTAAGAACATTGTGCGCCGCAACCTCCCTTTTGCCAAGGCCGAGGCCATCATGGATTTACGGGCCAGATCCTTACCTCATTCCTCCAGTCTCAACATGAGGCTTTACCTCCCCCTGCTCGCGGGATGCTTAGCCGTCAACGACATTATGACCACTTCCACACACACGGGCCGATGCAGGACTGCTGTACACCAAGCAGAGTCTAAAATTGGGTAGGATTCTTGTGGAGGGGGGAGCAATCTTCGTAAGAAATCTTCCCCAACGGGGAATTAAACTAACACATCACGAAGTGATGGTGTTGTACGCCACCAGTCCCGGTGCAACAATGAGGGGCGCAGCCCTCACCAAAGTCGCAACAGAACTGTTCAGTTGGGCTGACTGAGACAAGAATAAAGTAGGGGGCCAATGCCAGGTTGACCCGCCACTCAGAGGGGGAGATTCAGCAAGGTTCGGTACCAGAGCGTCTATGCTGGCATTCTCCATTCATACTTTGAACCAGGGATGGCTAGCCCTATGTCTAAAGATAGCCACGTTTTCGTACGGGCATTGACCGTTATCTGCCTCGCAAGTAGGTAAAATCGACCAGCGGCCAACACCCTAATCAGAATCGTTCCGAGTTCCATTACCCTCATCAAACAGCCAACAAGACAAGGTCAAAGCTCTAGCAAAAAAACACTCCCGCATTGCTCCATACAACCTACGCTGCCAACTTTGTGTTGCTTTGAGGGTTAAGGTGCCGTCACTTGACTGATGCGTTCTCCACTTCCTCTACCACGGTGTGAGCGGGCTTAGGCATACGAAGACGTGGAACATAATCATTCATCCTTTCAGGCCTTGGTTGACAATGACGGCATTGTGTAAGCGGCAGTTAGTTGCATTTAGCCCCATGTATGAAAGGAACATGACGAGCAGCTCCTGATATGAGCCTGGCTTCTCCTGTTGACCCATCCGCCTGATAGCTACGAAAGCGCAGCGGTTGGTCTCTTTCCAAAAATATAACCTCCCTACATTCCTGAAGGGTTCGCACAATTCCGATTGAATGCCTGTCGGGAAATCGCCAGCCACTCCCAAAAAACACAACGCTCCAAGTTTCAGCATTCCTCAACCACCATCGGAGCTTTACCCCCAAATTTCTTGATGATTCTATTTCGGCAGTTAGGTTTCATATTTCCGGGTGGCTAAGCATGGGCTGGTCATCAATTTTGGGCACTTCGGTGCGGTGGTTACTCGATGAGTACTTGATTCTAGGGCTCGGACGCATGCAATCTCAAAAGTTCTATCCCATCCCTGCTAATATACCTACAGGAACTTTGTCTCGCAAAGCCTCATTTAAGAGAACCACATGCTCAAATTCCCGCACCTCGCATTCTTTGTCTCATAAAAAAACAAACTCGCTTTGAAATCATAACTTCACAATGCTCCCGAGGTACGCCTATCAAGCCCTACTGGAGAAGTGTAAACCAAGCAACGGGACTAAGGGATCTTGGCGAATGAATCGTGGCCAATCTCGCAATCCTGAGAGCACGTATATTAATAGGTTTCACCCAGCAGTTCCTGTAATTTGTCCCACATCGGTTGAGCCTATCCTTAGACCAATCCTGGCGGCCTGTGCAACGACGCCAAGTCTATGTTGTGTTGGGAAAGACCAAGCCACTAGCCAACAGCACGGATAATAGTAGGGAGACTATGCTTACGGCAAAAACGAGAAAAATAAATTGGGATCAGTAAATTGGGATCAGAAGTCATAGGAAGAAGGAGTGTAGCCTCGTGGGTTCGATTGTATTGGATCGAATACTTGACACGGTTGACGGAAAGACTCGTTGATTAAAGACTGGTACTTTCAAAAGCGAATTTGGTAAATGGGAATGGTGCGTGGGTGTTCTATTTGAAGGATCCAGCTTTTTATACAGGTCCATCCTAGCATTGCAAGTGGCCCCGACTCGGTTTTTAGTCCTCCCACGACTGTGGACCAATATCTCAAATCTCGGAATTGCTCCAGTAGTGTCCCCGCTATCTTCAAGCTATCAAAAGTGCAGTATTCACTTTGTTCATCTACATTCAGGCAGACGATAATGCGCTGCCGTGTAATCCAACAGTACTCTCTAGGGCAATGGATCAGCCATTGGACAACACCCACTTTCAGTCCTAATCCATGACATGATAGCCAAAGGCAGGGCGGGATAGCACAAAGCCTCAGGTTGCTGTAGCTGGGCTAAGAAACATGGGACTGACTTTGCGTAGGTCGGTACTCCCTGCAGGGTGAGCACTTCAAGAATTGATTGCTCCCAGATACATTGAAATCTAATCGATAGGAGATTGGAACCAAGGACAGTTTGGCCGACGGTATTCCCAGGCGGATAAGTCTTCCTTGTGAGGCTCTTTACGGGGCGAGCCTGTCATATGGTGTGGCAGAGCGCTTACCCTGGGCATCCAGTAGGCAAACAGCAAGAGAATGGGGCATAACATATTGCCTTATAAGGCTTTTCAATGTCAACATATCATTGATATATGGGGAAGGGGCCAAGGCATTTCTCAAACTTCAGAATTAGATTTTAAGGCAGGAAGAGGATTGCACAACTTTCGCGTGGTTTCCACTAAACAGTCAATTCAGGAGCCACCTCTATCACTCTCAGAGTGTTTATTCTTCAACGCCGCCTGTTTCGCCATGGCGGCTTAGTCGAGCGATCTGTTTGATATGATGTTAGCTTATACGTAAGATCCCCCTGTCTCGCTCGCAGTTAATAATATATCCTAACACGGATATTTCAGCTACTCTAGCCAAATGCGCGATAACAACATCAGAATGATCTGTCGGATGCTCTACAAAATGATATCCCAGTCTACGTCTTACACTAGGCATTGAAAAAAGGTTGGGCCATCAAAATCCACAAAAACTCGCCAGTCGTGGGATACAGATATGCCTCCCGGTGTGAAAAATCGACGATAGTGACCTTCTCACATATTCTACGACCCTTGAGAGGGATGTGCACGAAATGGAAGCCCTAATTTGGATGTATATGGTGAGCTCAAGAACCGGTTCCTTTGTCTGGTTCTCAACTGCTCGGGAGCTGAGATGAAGTTGGATCGCTTATCCTTTCACCGACAAGTCTCCCAAGGACATGGTTGAGATCAAACAGCCTCCTACCTGTGGTCAAATGACCCAGGACTCTCTATACAAATGCTGAGACGAAAGATGCCTTTCGAGGCAAACTATTGCGGTATCCTACTCCACAGCGGGAATATGATCTTGGTTGGAAGTTTTCCTAGGACCACCAATCTTTCGACTGGTCGCTGCTCCGGTGTAGGTGCTTTTACCATCGCACTGATATTTAGCCTCCTCAAGCATGCATTAACAGCTTATTTCTAGCTAGTCTACCGTTCTCAATATCAATATTATTGATGTTACTTCAGCGAAAAGTCGGTCAACCCTGAAGACTTGTCACTCCAAAAACAATGGGAAGTTCATATGGACTACAGGAACTTACTGAAAACTGGTACCAATCATCTAACGATTGGGAACAATCTCTGGTGGGTTCAGAATCTCGGCCAGTGATATCAGACAGCTCTTCATCTAATACTTCGAACATGACAATATAATGAAGGCATAAATCCCTGTAGGCTCTTCGAATGAGCTCAGCCGCACCGGGGGATTGCTTAATGGACACATGCTGCTCGCAAGTTGAGGGTTTGATTTCTTATTTCAAGGACAGTACGTGTGTTCGAAACATGATGAGCTGTGATTCAACAGACCAGTTATACGTGAGCCATTCCACGTCTAATCTAGCCGGTACACGATGATAATAAACGACAAGATCTCAAAGTCTCGCCTCGCCAAGCAAAAAAAATACATGAGTGGATAGGTACTAAGCATTAAACCAAACTATCGGGCATACTAAAGCCTAGAGAGAATTAACTCAGATAAACAGATGTTCTGGGATACCCCGTCTGAACGGTTCCGAAAGAAGATTCTAGCAGTTAACCAAGACCTCGAATATCCAATTCACCCACGAACAACATCCGGCTCCAAAACACCATCCCATTTTTTCATAACCGTAAACCCCGTTCTTCAAGGCGTGTGTGGTAATAACCCCAGAGTGGCCAGCTTCTCCGTCAGCTGCGGAACCCCAAACGGCAACTCCTCCCCCAGCTCTTCAATAGATGGCCTCGCGTTCATGGCCGCCTCGTACAGGTCCGCCAGCCTGTGGCTGTCCCAGACACCCTCGCGCCGGCGCACGGATCTCAGCACCTCGATGCACTGGCGCAGGATCCCCTCGTCGCTCACGTTCCCAAACACTCTCGAGATGATGGGGATGAGATGCCCGCCCAGCGCGAAGGTCGGCCCCGAGTTCTCCGCGTCCGCCTGGAACAGGAGGGCTAGTTTTTCTAGTATGGCGTGGCAGTCCTCCGGAGCCAGCTCGTCGTCGAGGCTGTCGAGCTTGGCCAGGCCTGTGCAGAGGGTGTGGTAGAGCGAGAGTGTCTGGACGCGGTGCTGCTCGTCCTTGGGGAAGGCGGTCTTCTCGTGTTGTTTTAAGAACAGGCCCATCCTCGAGATCCAATCTTGGAGGGTGGGTTTGCTCGACTGGAATGCGAAGCGGATAGAGTCGTGACTCAGGGATAGTGGTTTAATATCGTCGGCCGTCTCGTCGGAGTCGCTCTCTTTCGGTAATTTGGAATGGTGCGAGAGCGCAAGATAGCTCTGCACATCGTCGACAGCAAATAGCATCTCCATCGCCGTGATGGCATCTGGAAACGGGATAGTCGGGTCTCCGATGTCCGCGATCTGAGGCTCCAGGTCGGGGAGGTAGAATGTGTCAAAGGCTTGGAAGTCAGCAAAATCCTGCCATATTCGCAGCAGCACGGTGGACATGGTCGGGACGAAGGCCGCCACGCTGCCCTGATTCGTGTGATACTTGCGGAGAGCGGAGAGGATCAGGCAGCCCGCCTGCAAGTGCTTGATCGCCTCCGGGACGCGGCCGTGCAAACTCTCGATGTAGACGAATATGATGCAGCAGACCATGCTGACCTGGAGGTGCTCGATCGTGTTCGTCGTCACCGTCTGCTTGATCTGGTTGACGGCGTCATTGTACTTGGTGACGGCCAGCCGGCTGTAGCTCACGGTATCACCGACCTGCTGACCTACGAAGGATCTATGCGCGCCGCCCAGGGCGCACAGGGCTTGCTTGATGGGCTCTGCCGAGTTAGATAGAGGCAGTGCGAACTTATACCAGAACCCCGCCGGGTCATCGAATCTCACGGAGTCCTTGAACAGGAACTGGTTGGCGTGGTGCAGCAGGAAAGCATCGGCCGGGGTGGGAAGCACAACCAACGAAGGGCCGCTGTTCAGTCGGAAGTTTAGAGAGCTTGCGCCTCGTCGCAAAAGCGGCAGCGGGTTGATCAGTACATTGTCTCTCCGGAACCCCAGGTCAGGGTACTCCATCGGCAGCTCGTCGATGGTAGTGAGGATGGTGTCTGGCTCGTCATAGCCCTCGCACTCGAGTTCATCAGCGGTGCAAGTGTGGCAAAGAGGCTTCTGTAGATCACACGCGCGGCGTCGGTTTCTTGAGAAGGGACAAGACGGGTAAGCCTAGATCTCACAAAGGTTCCCTGGGCGGGTGTACTGACTTGCTTCACGCCCGCGTCAGTAGCCTGCCCAGCCAAAAGGGGGAGAGAGAGACACTCCGAAATCTCATCGCGACGAAACGACCTACCAGGTAATGCATCCGGCCATGAGCCTCTTCCACCGCCGGCGATGGTGCTTCCAGATGGGAGGGGCCATTTCTCTCGCGCACTCACATGAGCATCGGCCCCAGTCAGAGTTTGGATGCGGCGCAGAAGCAACATGCGGGGGAGGACAGGCCGGCAAAAAGCCTCAGTGTCAGGGATTCCCCCCAAAACCAAGACGGTCAGTCAGTCGATCAAATCGGGGCTCTCGCTGGGACTTATCAGCGCGCGAGGTAGGGCACGATGCCACGCGGTGCGATCCAGGCAGAAATGCAGGAAGAGACAACGAATCGAAACGTCCCCTGTCACGCAGCCCTCGGCTGGTGCCGTGAGACGAAATCCACGCCATCCTCCACTTGAGCGAGCGAGCACGAGGGAGCTGATTGGCCGAGTCGTACCAACGAGAGGCATCCGTCCGCCATGATTCTGCCCCATCCGGTTGGCTTTTTCCCATCACGGGCCCCTCTTTTCCCAGCGAATGAAGCCCGTATTGGCCTGGGGGAAGACGATCTAAGATTGGAATTAGGCCAATAATTACTCATCCGGGTGCGCCAGCGTTCGGTGAGCACGGCACTTTCTGCTCTGTGCTCGGGCCTGGATGCAACTGTACCGCAGGATTCCTACCCGATGCATGCTGGACGAGCACGATAGCCTACGCCGTAGTCTCTGCAGAAACGGCTCTCGGGACTCACACGAGTCGGTCTGCGGCTGCGGGGGGGCTGAGCAAATGCATGGCATTCCTTGGCCCAAGTGCCGTTCGAGAATTCTAGGAACCTTTCACGGACGGCACAATTAGGCAGCTTTTCGATTTAGGGCCTTTTCAAACACTCCAATCCATGACGAGATTTATGATAGAAAGAAAAGGGGAGAGGAAAAACTCTACTATGTATATCTGCTATACCACCAACACATACCGGTGAGGTAGATGTCAATCGTGACTTAGGGTTCACTTTATCCACCCATTCAGCCATTGATTGGTAGGATCATCGGGAAAAGACCAGTCCGCTGCCTGCATGTTTTGCCTAATCGAATTTCGTTGTCTTTCCTGTCTTGCTCTGCCGTGTGTGAATGCCAAAGGTTCCGCCCCCCTTGTCCTCCCCTGCCACCCCCCTTCACGTTCCTATCGATGACTCCCACCTTCGTCTTCTTTCCGTGACACACGCAACCAGGAAACGTGCAGATCGCCTTACCTGGCCCGAAGGCAACTCTGGTGTCTTAACCCGAACCGCCAGCCCAGTCCAACGAGGACCCTTTGCACATCCTCTCAGCCCATGCCCATTGTCTCCTTTTCCTGTCCTCGGGGATTACCTGGCTACGTGCACTCTGATTGATCGACTTTCCTCCGCCCACACAATGCGCTGGACCACCACCAGCCATCGGACCAATGAGGACGAAGCCGCGTTGGGCGAGGGCGAGGCGCATCGCCGCGGTGCCACCAGCGATCTAGACCATCGTGTCCGCAGAGCTGTATGTTATTCCAATGAGTTTTCTTTCTTTTTCCCCGAAATCAGTGCCGCGATTCACGCCCGTGCATTGCCTTCCCCGTCGCTGATCAAGGACCGGGGTCCGTTTCATCATCTGCAGTTTGACCTTCGCACGCTGCCCATCATTTGCTGCCTCTACGTGCTCTCCTACGTCGACAGGGGCAACATCGGCAACGCGAAGACGGCGGGAGCCCAGCGCGACCTGGGCCTGACGTCGTACGAGTGGTCCTGGGTCCTCAACTCGTTCTACCTGACGTACATCCTCTTCGAGTGGTCGACCATGCTGTGGAAGATCTTCCCCGCCCATGTATACGTATCCGTCCTATGTCTCCTGTAAGCCCGCCTCTTCTCGTATAACCAACCATAATGTGAAATTCGAACAAGTGGTGTTTTGCATGTTTCGAAACACAACTCCACTCTCTGACTTGAGACCGGCAGATGGGGCGCATCGGCAATGAGCTCGGGAGCCGCGCGCAACCTGACTCAACTGATCGTCACCCGCTGCCTCCTCGGCATGTTCGAGGCGGCGTTTGGGGTCGGCGCGCCGTACTTCCTGTCGCTGCTGTATAAGCGGCGGGAGCTCGGGCTGCGCATGTCCTTCCTGCTGGGCATGTCGCCTCTGGCGAATACGTTTGCCTCGAGCCTGGCGTACGGTATCACTCATATCAAGGGTTCCTTGGAACCGTGGCGGCTGCTCTTCATCATAGGTTGGTGTTGATACTTCCTCTCTTCTACATATAGTGATAGCCTATAGTCCAAGAAAACCAATAATAGGATAGTGATGCTAACGTAAGAAAAACAGAGGGTGCCCCAACCATCCTCTTCGCCCCGGTCGTCTACTTCTTCCTCATCGACTCCCCAGGAACCGCCAGGTTCTTGAGTGAAGAAGAGCGCCAGCACGCCGAGGAGAGACTACACGTCCGGGACGCGACTTCAACCAAGCAAGGCGTGCAGTGGAGGCAGGTCCTCGCCGGCCTGAGAGACTACAAGAACTACACGCACGCGCTCATGCACTTCTGCTGCAACTTCTCCTTCGCCGCGCTGTCCAACTTCCTCCCCTCCATTGTGGAGGGCATGGGGTACAGCTCCGTCAACGCCCAGGGCCTCACCGCACCCGCCTACCTCGCCGCCTTCCTCAGCTGCCTGGTGGCCGCGTACCTGTCGGACCGGCACGGCCACAGAGGGTACGTCGTCGCGGGGTTCGCGGCCGTTGGCGCGGTTGGGTACGGTCTGCTGGCGGGGATACGGGACGCGAGGCTCAACGGGGTGAGGTACCTCGGCGCCTGGCTGGCCGCGTGCGGCGTGTTCCCGGCGCTGTCCATCAACATTACCTGGCTGCTGAACAACCAGGGCGGCGACTCCAAGAAGGGGGCGGGCTTGGGAGTGGCGCTGATCGTGGGACAGTGCTCCTCGCTCATCAGCAGCGTGGTGTTTCCCCTGGAAGACGGGTAAGTGTTGTTGCTGAGAAAGATGAAGAATGTGATGATAGCTAACAATAGTCTGACGATAGGCCGTTCTACACAAAAGGGTGCGCGATAGGCTGCGCATTCACGGGGCTAATTGTGCTGCTCTCGCTGGCGCTCCATTTCCTGCTGGACAGGGAGAATAGGCGAAGGGACGAGCTGTACGGGCCGGTTGATCCGGATGCTGAGGTCGATGTCACCGAGGAGGGAGATTATCACGTCCAGTTCCGATACTTGACTTGATCCCGACTAGCATGAAACGCTGGTTGTGAAATGGGCCTGCCAAGCGGCTCGGCGAGTCAGTTAAGGTTTGCCACAACATATTCGTCCGCTCGTATTGGAGAGGCGGTTTCACGTAGGTAGGGAAAGGCAAGGCTGTGAAGAGGAAATAAGTAAAATAAATCAAAATCAAAATCCAGTTTGTTCCCGTAGCTACATTCTCGAGTTGCTAAAGCCGTCGTCCCCCGTTTTAAAAAGTGAGTATTACATTGATTTGCTAAGTGGGAAAAGCCAAAAAGACCAAAAAGAAACGAAAATGAAAAGAAGAAGAAAAAAATTGGCCTTCCCGGGACGTGTGTGCGAGTAAATGACGGACTGATTGTGGCTGTGACAGTAACGGTGTGAGTGGCATGATCACGTCACGTCACATCCCGTCACACAAATCAAATCAAACCAAGCCAGGTCAATCAAATCAAGCCAATCGCCCCTGCTGCCGCCGATGCGCGCGCGCCTGTCGCTGTCTTTTTAGGTTGCCGGTTGCATGCCGTCCTTCTCGCAGTGTTCTGCCTTTCAAAGGCGAGTGAGCGAGCATTAAGCATAAGCATAAGCATTGCATAGCCAGCCTCGTCCCTCCCCCCGGTCTCCCCCCCTGGTAAATACGTAGGTGTTGGTGGAACGTCCGCAATTCCCGATTGCTTTTGGTGCTCAGCCTCCTCTGGTGTGTGTTGGTTCATGTGTCGTCGTTGCAGTGGTAGTTGTAGGTCTGTTGGTGATGAATAGATGTGTGTGGTAGTATTGGCGGCAGGAGTAAGTATGTTGGTGATAAAAGGTGATGATGACGGGCGCCTATTCTTCCTACTTCAGAATGGGCCATTTGGCAGCTGATGCCGACGCCGCCGACGACGACGAAGACGACGACGAGGCCTCGTCGAGCTGCTGGAAGTACTCGTCGACGAGCTCGGGCACGTCGCGGCGCATGGTGCGATGGTCCTCCCAGGTGAGCGTCTCGTAGCCCGTCCACTCGATCTGCAGCATCTTGCGGCGGCTCAGCTTGTCCCGCGCATGGCCTCTGACGGCGTAGACCTGGTAGACCTCCGGGTCGAAGGGGTTCTCTGGACGGCCGCCCACGTCGCGCCAGAAGTCGAGCAACAGCTCCTTGAATCTACGGTGCAGGACGGTCTCACCAACCCAAGTGTGCTTGTCAAGGATCGGCCAGAGCACCTGCAGCTCTAAGGAATCGTCTGCAGCCCACCGGTAGTCGCAAATCTTGGGCCAGTCAGGGGCCTTTCGACGAGCAGCGGCGCCGTCGCTGCTCTCGCCTGTGAAGTGAGTCATGGCGGACTCGTGGCAGGAGCGGCGGATGTGAATGGGCGCAGATGGAGATGCGGAGATGAAGACACAGTTCAGCGACGATGAGGAGTGTGAGGGTGTTGTGTGTGTGTGTGTGTGTGTGTGTATGTTGCCTTGGCTTGCTCAGGGCTTGCTTGTGCTCGTGCCTGCGGGGCAGTTGTGGTTCTCTTATACTAGGATCTGCTCTGCCTGCTTTTGATCTTCATCCGGGGGTGGGAGAGGACGGAAGACGAGGATGTGAGGTGGAGGAGTGAGTATGAGCGTGCGTGTGAGTGAGTGTGAGAGAGCGTTAGGTAAAAGGACAGGGAGGAGAGAGAAGAGAGAGAGTTGTGGGTTTCGGAAGAACTGGTGGGTGAGAGTTTTTTTTTTTTTTTTGCTTCTGGGTGGGTGGCGCCCAAGTTAAGTATTGCCAGTGACCCAGCGCTCGCTGTTGGCTGCCTGTTGGGGGCGCTGCTTCCGCTATACGCCCTGTAGCGAGCCGGCCAGTGGTGCCAGTGTCCGTCCGTGTCTGAGAGCTGCAGCAACACGCTCCCGGCGTCTCGTCTGCAACAAGACTGTAACAGGACTGCAGCTCTCCTGCGGGGATGCTCGCAGAAGCTGCAGCATGCCTCGGACGCCATGGGCATGTGCAGCACCAATCTGCAGACCTCTTTGCGCGGATCCCGCCGCTTAGGGCGCACAGCGAGTTTCCAAACCGCCGTCCTACAACGCCTGCCGGATGCTGGCCGCTGAGGGCGTACAGACAGCGGTGCAGGTGCCAAGCTACAGCGCCCTATTGGCCTCTAGTCCACTGTAGCACGGGCGGGTGCTCCCCAAGCTACAGCGGGTTCTAGGCGCTGGGCCATTCCCCTACATTAGTTAAATGGAGAGCTGTCAAATGACGACGATGATCTCCATTTCGCATCTCCTGCTTCTGCCCCTGGCCCGGTCTCTAACTAAACTGCCCCATCCCTCACCCGTCTTTATTAACATCATCATCATGGTTCTCCATCATCATCGTCGTCGTCGTTTGTTCACATCTCGTTCTATCCGGTCCTCTTCTCTCTCCCCCTCCATCCCCCCGTTCCCTGTCAACCGCCACACCCTCCCAGATGTCTCGCCCTCGCATGGGCTACCCACCGAGCCACGAGTGCCACAGCCGATGCCATGGCCGCAGACCGCCGTGTGTGTAGCTGAAATGTATGTACGTTACCACCTGGATGCATGGCGACGTGCGTCTAGTGCTGTCGATGGGCCAAATCAGATCATTCGCTTCTGCTGCCACACAACCCAAGCCACGGCTGATGTATCACGTCTGGCAAGGCCATTGCACATGACAGGACAGCATAGCGAGATGATGCCCGTTCTGTTGGGCACAGACCACCGTCGACGTAGCTAACATGTCGGATCGAGCGAGCCAGACAATACCCCAGCCTCTTCTCTTATCCCCTCCCCCCGGTTGGTTGCCAATAGCTCGCCAGTCTGTCTGCCTCTTGTTTCTTTTGCTCTCAATCTTTCTCCGCCCTGGAACCGGGTTCAGCTGAAGCTAGACCGGGCTAGACTCTAATCATCTAGACACTTAGCGGGTAATCAAATTAGGCCCGTCTGCCCAGATATTACACCTTTCCGCCTTGGACACTCGTATGCACACACAAACCGCCGCCTTGGAAGAATCAACGCATACAAATCGTGATTTGCCTTTCCGGTTGCCGACATCACGCACAGGACACATACATCTCTCCCTTACCCCGCCGGCCAGGCCCATCACATGCCCGGATCTCGTCTTCGGCATCCTCTTCTTCCAGCCCACACCATGACACGCCAACGATGCCCTATCTTTTTAAATTCTTCACCATTCCTCACTCGGGTGGCAATAGTGGCCAGCTCCAGCCCCATCCCGATCCAGCTCGTCTCACCCCAGCCCAGCTCAGCCCAACTCAGGCCATCTGTCCACCAAACAAACTATATCCCACGCATGGACGCATCCCGTGGTCTTTTATTGCAAGACATAACCCCCCCAGAGGAGGAAGAACTCTGTTTCCACCTCAGCACCTCCTGTTATCTCCAGCTCTCGCTGCTTCACTCACTCACCTCACCCCATCCATTATCTATGCTATTTTGATCTCTGCCTATCTCGTGACCTTCTCGGTTCCTGCCACCTTGCGTGGTTGACGCAGGTAGGTCTCAGGCCCTGTCATCCGTCCTAGGGCATTCCCACACATCCCACCCATCGACTATGCGTTAATGCATATGCGTCTATATTACACATTCTCACTTCTCCACCCGAGATCGCCAAAGACTGGCTACAACGTCTCCCAGGGTAAGGGCCGGGTGTGAGCCTCCACGTCCACAATTGAAGGAAACCGTCTCTGCGGGCCGACTTACCTCAACCCGCATAACGGCGGGGGTTTTCTCGTACCACATGGCATCAGAAGCCCTACCTCCCCAAGCCATGGTACCCAACTCATTTCACCTACACTCAACAAGAAGATGGAATCAAGAGCTATGCCCAACCTTAAAACCCGGCCGAGTGGTTCCCCAAGTCGGGTCGCTCTGCTTCCTCTCCTCCTCTGGTAGGTCAACCCAGCATCAGGGACCGGCGCGTCCTCCTATCAGAGACTGCCAACACAGCATTGTGTCGTTGATTGCGCCTATTCCCGATCGCTCACCCGACTTATCAGCCGCCTAATATCAAGGCACTATACCAAGTGCAGAACAGGCGACAGACAGCTGAGCATGTGTTGATAGTAACCATCAGTACATGGCTCATCCAGATTTCCTTCTCTCTCGTCGCCGCGACTGCTTGTTACCAGTTCGGATCCACCTTTGATTCTCAAAGTCATGTTCGGTGAGTTCTTCAGAAACCTGATCAGATTCCAAATTCATGTGTCATAAAGCACCCGTCTATTCTGTTCTCTCTATCGTCTTTTATCGCGAAAGTCTCCCAGAATAGTCCCCCTACCACCTGGTCCTCAGGTTGAACTGTGACTGCTTTCCTTGCGTCTATCTGATCTCTACCCCAAGACTCAGACCAAACAAAGCAAAAAAGAGACGACCTAGCCTTCGCTGGAAATATTCCTCTTCAAGAATTGGTAGTATTCGGTATAGCAACACGGCATATGTCAGTGGGGCCAGCATGAGATATTGTGGCGTGATCGGCACCATCCAAAATTTCCAAAATGCACGCACACGAGCCTATCGTTCCGGTCCCCGATCCAAAACCGCAAATCCCTCTCTCTCAACAACGCCCCAATCTGGCAATTGTTGCAACCAGTAGGATTATAGATCAAACAGCAAATCAACCACCCTGCATAACGTGCGGCCTCTTCTACCAGGGTCAAGGGGGAGGGAGGCAAATCGAGGGGTGCCTCGTGCTCATTTCTCGCGGCTAGTAAGGGAGCTTGGCTTCAGAAAAGAATTGCCCGGATAGTCGTAGTCGGTGATTGTCTGCATGGATCTGCATCCTGCTAGCCTGGTCCAGGAGGGCTTGGCTGAGTCTGTAGTCGCCCGAACCCCGCTCCCCCGTGAGATGAAAAAGCCCTTGCCCCAAAGTCCTTTGTCCGAGTCCCAGAGCAGCTTAGAGATGCGATCCTCACCGCCGTAAGTAACGATCGGTTAATATTTCACTTACTTAACATGTGGGGCCTATTGGATGGGTGTGTGCCCCAATGTGCCCCAAGAGGGTTAGTGTTGTATTGGCAATAATGCTATTCTTGGCCGTCTTATTCGTCGTATCTATTTGGTAAATCGTTGTCCTGGGTTTTATCTGCTTGGTAATATAAGCTTACCACTGAGGCATCAAGAAGAATAGACGAAGTGTGTTTCATCTCCGAGGTCTCTTATATACCAAGATCATCCCAGAGTGGTGGTCGCCGTATGTTTGTTTCTTGCTAAACCCCACCAAGTTGCCTGCCAGGAAGACCTACTTCTCGATATGAGACAACAGGCCGGACCGGAAGGGTCGGGGACGCGTAAGAAGACCGGGTGATCCAACATATTCTCAGGAGCTTCTTACAGAGGTGGATTTTATCACCGATATACCCGGCACTCAAAACCGACACTTGGTCCTGTTGATGGCCTTGTAAACGACAGTTGCCAAGGCGATTTTGCAAGCTGCCCAATCTAGTGGGGCCACCGATATTGAGAAGAAGTTTCATACCCAATATAATGAGGACGTAATTATTCACATCAGCGATGTCCTCAAACATTCAAGTCCGAATATGAAAGACTTTGTGCACCTACCTTGCCGGGGCTTCGGCAGGGATCCAAGGTGTAAGCACGACTAACCCTGGACAGTTTTAGAACGAACAAAGAAGCTTTTTTAGGTCGAATATTACTCATTCCGGGAGAATCTGTTGCCTTCCACGAGAATGAGAAACCGCTGAGTCATAGCGTCTATCTCCGGCTGGCAAGTTTTGCCACCCGCTCTCAAGAGAGACTACAAGCTAGGAGAACCAAGGGGTTGGCTACAGCCCTTCAGCTAATTACAAATCAATTCTCTTTTTGGCCGATGGCATTGTAGTCCCAGAGACTTGTACGATTGGTCCTAGGTTGTAGAGTGTGTGCGGCTCGCCCAAAACAACATCATAAACCATGGAGGATACTACAAAATCTCAGAGAAAAGGTTTTAAAAACGACTAACTGGGTTTCAAAATACCACGATGCATATCAAGGAAACACAGAAAAGAATCGATTTACGAAGTAAGGGCGTTGAGTGCGGAAATTGAATAATACTCCAATGAAACCGATAAAAAACGAGATTGGGGATTTCTAGTTGTCAACCTCACCAAGATCAGGAAGATCCAAAGAACAAATCCGGGGATAAGCAATCTAATAGTCTTCTCCAATTGATGAAATGTATATTTTCCTTCCCATCCAATTTATCTCTGTTTCGGAGGTAACTAATTGATATTCATCTAGGTGTAGGGTAAGCCCAAGAACAGCTTCCGCGAACCAAGCAAATAAAGTTTTAAGTTGGCCAACTAACAAAAACTCTCTTCTTGGATAAACTCTATATTTGATAATCACTGCCAATAAGCGTCTTCCTTCATCTACGTGGGTGTTGAGGTTACGGGTTGCCACATTTCGGGGGATCTTGAACTCCGTTCCTCAACTTGACCTATTCCGACTGGAGTATGCGCAAAATGGTTATTGTGGTCGCTTTGGGGGCATATTTATCATCATCGAGAACTTGATTCAAACTCATGATTGGGAAGTTCCCGTGCAGTGCTCGCTGGGCTCTCTAGCCTATACGGCTTTGAAATACCGCTTTGGGTCTTCCGGATTTCGAAGATCAAGAAGATCAAGAAGATCAAGAGAGAAATGTCGTAGAGTAAAACCATTTGCATACAACTGATACAAACAGTGCAATACTCATCTTGGTTATGATTTAGGAAACATTTGTTACGTGATGCTACGGTACCCATTGGACTTTCCCAATAGTCTCACCTGTTGTGGTCGCTGGTGTGATTTATTTCTAGATTAAAGCATATGTATGAGAACTTTGCAATGGCCGACGTCACTGTGAAAATCAAACTACTTAATCCGGCAGTGATCTGCCGATTTCACAACGGTTCAGTCCAGGTGATACTTCCATGGGTCATCGATCTGCAATGAACTTATCCACAAGCTGATCTACGCCGCACAGGACTCACGCTGTATAGACTATCGATAGCTCCAGTTGGAGCTACGGAGAGTCACGAGCGAGCGCCTCTTGACTTCCGCGTCTCCGTCTGTTGTGTCGTATCCCCTTGTCTCCCCTTGTCTACCCATCGACACAGCCAACTAAACAGAACTAGGTCATATAGTTTGATGGTCCACCCACGGCCAGCGCGGGCCAACAAATCAGGCGTCCTCGGTCTTGGCAATTAGCGCTTACGACGCCAGCCTGCCCGAAATATGGGACCCAGCCGACCAACGAACTCATCTCATCGTTGTATTGGGCTTTGGCTGCATATCTCATGTGCAAAGACGACAGGCCAGGTTGGCTGACTCTCCGGCGAGTGGGTTGCATCTGGGATGATGGATGAAACCTTGGCCCGGTGCATTCACCGTTGATTGGGCTGTCGAGCCCTCGTATCTGCGAATGGCGATTTTCCCAAGTTGATCGTTTTTTGACAGGCAGCCCTTTTCTGAACAAAGCTCCCTTCTGCATAAGACTGTGTGGGTCGGGCTACGCGGTAGTTGTGCTGATTCAGTCGTGACATGCCATGAGCCCTACCCCTTGGCGAAACACGACAACCCCTGGGTCGCAACCGAATTCGTTCGGCAAATTAATGCGCATACACTTTTGGCTCTCTCGAAAACCATCCAGAGCCATGCGACGTATCCCTTTTCGGGGGTTCCAGGTGGAGGCATTGTGCGAGCCCTTCATCTCATTTCCACGACAAGGCGGTTTAGCGCAGATATGCTGGTCGCCTGAAGTTGATGCAGCTCTCACCACCCTGCGCGCCTTGTCGGTTTTATTCTTAGTCCCTGTCTTACTTCAATGCCAGTTTCTAGAAAGAAAGAAACGATATCCTGAAAATGCCAGGAAAGGGGGTGGAGACTTATGATACCAACTGGGCGGTAAGACGCGGTAAGGCCGCGAGAGGAAACAGATCCTATGGAGCCACGACAGTTATCTGACGATGAAGTGCGTGCGTAGCTTGCTTAAGAGCATCTTGGTTTCCAGTAATATGGCAGTCATGCATGTTATATCTGTTGGCATTCCACGCCTCTAACATCTAATCCTCCTCGTTCCCCTATACTCATATTAATGAACCCCTCGGGTGTAATAGTTGCTTAATCAAGATGAATATTTATTCCTTAATGACCTTTTTGCTGCGGTTCACGCAGATAAACCGAGTTAATCAACAGGCACTCAAATTCCAGAACCCCCTGCGCAACGGGACCGCAGATCCATCCATGGTATGGGCGGATGGCCAATATCATCTGTATGCTGGCTGCCGAAGCACCATGTCCCTGGAAGAGGCTAACGCTGGGTAGAACCTACACGTCTGGTGGGAAACACATCGAAATCACCCGGGCTTCAAACCTGAGGGACTTGGCGCAGGGAGAACCAAAAGTCGTTTGGGAGGACAGCAATTCCACGAGGAGCGCAGATATTTGGGCGCCGGAGATCCATCAAATCGACGACGTTTGGCACATCTTCTATTCAAGCCGTGATGCCAACGTTATCGGAAGCTACAGGACGAGAGTTCTTCGTGGCTGCAACGGCACCAACCCGACTGATTGCGAGTACACGTTTGGCGCCGACTTGGTACCCCCCGTGGGTAAAAGAGGTGGCCCCGATGGGAAGAACGCGTACAGTATTGACGGCACATACATGGAAATCCCGGGCAAGGGTCGGTACCATGTGCTGAGTATGCGTGACGAGAACAACGTACAGTCACTTGGCATTACAACTTTGAACACCACGACCTGGAAGGTGGATCAGTGGCACGTTATATCCCGCCCTGACTATGAGTGGGAGAAGTACATGGGAAAGGGAGCCGGCGCGCAGGCCCTCGCTGTCGGCGCTGGGTTGAACGAAGGTCCTTACGTGAGTTGTTGATGCCGGCAAGGAGATCAGCCAGCGCAGGAGACTAAATGTATACAGGCTTTATACAACGGCGATGATGTCTGGCTATCCTACTCCGCTTCGAGCTGCGACACGCCTCAATATGCACTCGGTTTACTCTATTATAATGGAGGCGACCCGCTCCAAGAAGCTTCGTGGAACAAAACCGGGCCAGTCTTCCAATCAGCGAATGGAAACTTCGGGACTGCACATAATTCTTTCTTCAAATCACCCGACGGGACGCAGACATGGGTGAGTTGTGCTTTGCTGAGACTTAAATTCCCAACTGACAAATTCCCAGAACCTATTCCATGCCACATCAAACTCTAAAGGAGGTTGTGGGATAGATCGATATACAATGACACAACTGTTGACGTTTGACGAAGGCGGGACTCCAAACCTTGGACAGCCACAACGCCTCCATACCGACATTACTCCACCAAGCGGCGAGAGCTGGATTTAATTTTTGTCAAGATGCTCAACTATCATGTGATGAACGACTGATTTACGACTTCACTACACGGAAATGTTTAATTGTTTAATGTAATGAGATAGAATTTTAGACTAGAGTAGCCTCGTCTTTAGGTCGCGGGTTGGAAGAACGAAAGGCGAATGGGATAGGTCACGCAAAGATGAGGGAACCCCCACGGGAAATAGACGGACAAAGACTATACATACCTGGTTGGAGGAGATGCAGCGAAGGTCACGACCCTAATTTAGATATACACGGGACAGGCAGATGGTTTGATAAGCTTGGACTTGAGCGAATGTGGATAAAACGCCGAGGCGTCCTCGTACCTAATAGATAATCACTATCCGGAATCAACAAACATCGTAATCTTAGACCAACACACTTGCATGCCCAAGTGAATATTTCGCGGCTTACCGCTGGCCCTTGCTTACTCTAGACCAACATCTAAGGTTGAGTGGAATGTCTATCGCATCGACCCACGCGTATAACCAACTAATTCTCCCTTGTGCCATCTCGATCAACTCCGACAAGAGCGTCGGCAAGAACATCCTAAGTGAGTGGTTAATTCTTGGCACAGACATGATAAGGGGATTTATTTATACCTCACTTGGGAATCCGGGGATGGATAGGTGAATTCCAGCTTTCATAATGGATTGGTGCTTCATATCTATCTCATACGTATAACTGGAAAGGCATTGGGTTCAAATAGGTGGGTTTTGGTTTAAATTTTATCAGCGACGTATGGTAAGCAAATCACAGGAGCTATAATGAGAGAATCAAGATTGGGAAGGCCGCTCTAGTCTCTAGCGACAGGATCAACAAGTTTGGAAACGTTGGGGATAGGCCAAAGGTAAAGCTGAGGAGGACCTGGTGACAAATACGTACGCTCTAGAGCTTGCCGCTTGTTTATATATACATGGGACATTCTACTCACCATCACTGGTCGAATATCTACAAATATATTCTAAGTGTCCGATTACCTTGTTCAAGCTTGTTGAAGGAAAGGATTTGGGGGATTGAAGGACTTACCCATCAGTCGTTTCCTTGCAAGGCAGTTAAGAGAACGTCATCCTACAACAGAGGGCAAGTTGATCTCCGCTATGTGCATTTCGGCTACGAGCAATCAAGCCAACGCGAGGTTCCGCTACAATTCCTAAGGGCCCACAGCGGTTTCCGTCAATGATATGCCCAGCTCTGGTGGGAATTTCAACAGATTATTGCTGGACGCTTCTAACTCGAGATGGTAGAGGTGCGCTCTTGGCCTGGCACTCATGCTGAACGTAAGAAGGTACGCGCGAGAAGGATCTCCTCGAGTGTTAGTGCGTTTCAGGTGGATGATCGCCTATCTTGCGTGTCCAGGGGTCAAATCCCATTTCGAGTAGCACTCAAGAAGATCCGACATTGCTCCAGGAATAGCTCAATGTACTGGGGGGGGGGGGGCAACTAACCATGGCCCCCAAGGATCGCGTAAGTGTAGATTGTATGGCCCAAGCTGCAGCTCTCGGATCAAGGTCGAAGGGAGGCTTCAAAAATTGGCATTGTAGCGTGACACCCATGAAACCAACAACATATTGGCTAGGGGGTGTAGAGTCCTGGTCAGAACCCGTTGGAAACTAGCCAACAGGAATCACCATCATTGGGGGGTTCGGCTAGCCAGTTGATATGGTGATTTCGGTTTATCCACGGGAGTTTCTCAGGTTACCAGATAATTGACCCTCCCTCTGCCATAGCAAGAGTCTCTTTCATTGGGGATAATGTGATAGCTAGTCATAACATATTCAAGGAAGAATGATAGATGTCTTCTCTGAATCGCTGGAAGTAAGTGGTCCTTCTTCTTTCGCAATAGTCTGTGATCAAACTCGCTGTTATTAAATGTTGAACTAACTCGTTGGGATACCTCAACCCAGCGCCATCATGTCGTGCCCCAAGGTGGTTGAGAGCAGCATCATGACCAGTGAGAGGAATCATCACCGAATTTTTCAGTAATAAATTATTGGAAGCATCGGGGGGCATTGTTAGATAGACTCTAATTCCATCCGCTTTCACCATCCGCTTTCAGAGCTCACTTGATCAATTTCGCAAGCTGAGAAAGTCTTAGGATGGAGATAGAGGAAGTGACTGCCTCAATTGTAGTTTGTCATGCCAGTACGTCAAGCTTGGCATGTCGGATACTCTCCTCCGAATTACTGTGCTCGAAAAGGTGAAGCCCTCTCAAGTAGTCGCCCAGGCAGAGTATGGCTGAGACTTGCGGAGAAACTTCAAGACTTGGAGTTGCGATATTGCTGGGGGCTGAAGGGCGAAATTACGACATCGGGTTCATGCGCGCTGAGGGCGAAACCTTATATAGAAGTTCCCGAACATTTCATTCAACAAGCACAATAGCCCCTGTGGTGCAGTGGTCAGCGCGCTCCGTGATGCCTTCTCGTGATGTACTCACACTGAAGACCTACCGAGCATATGAGGCCCCCCTTGGAAGGTGCACCTTGGTAGGGGAGATATTGCCCGTGGTTGGTCTTTCTTCAGTATGAGTACACCAGGGGAGGGAATGGAGAGGACCTTGGTTCGATTCCAGGCAGGTGTGTTTGTTTTCCTCTTTCATTTTCTTTCAAACAGCAACTTGGTTCAACTCAGTATGTGTGTGCCCTTGGGCGGTCGCATATTCCTGCATCCTCGATGCTTCGTATCCACGAATCGTGACGAACAACGGAGATTCTCCTAGAAGCCTCGCTCCTTGGATTATTGTAGAAGGCCGTCTCTCGCTCTTTCTTTTGCTCAAGATCTTCGGCAACATAGAAACCTCGGTGGAGCTGACGTTGGCCGGTACATTTCAAAGCCTTTCAATCTATCGATACTAGACCAGCACCCTCTAGAAAGAGTCACTGGCCCCAAAGTCATGTCCCATACCATAGACAGCTTGAGCTTCATTGTCAGAGAAGAAAGAGGAAAGACAGTGCCGTGTTCTTTGGTAAGGCCAGAGGATATCATCGGCCAAATTGATGCCAGGGCGACTCGCCACGACCTGCAACGTCATGTACACGAAGGGATTCAACAACGACACTCTCCAAAGATTTCTTGAAAGTTGGACTTGATTCTTTGGGGGGATCAGACTTCAATGACGTTACTCGCGAGGTATGGGCGACCTGAGGGACCTTGACTGAGCCTGACGTATCGAGCTGGTAGTCATGAACGCGACAGATCCATCTGTTTGCTCATAGGGCGTCCAAACCAGCTGGCGTCATTGGAGAGAGTTGATCGAAATTTTTTGTGAGCCAAGCCTTCTTCTCTTATGAGGCATGGGAGGCATGGCAGGACCATTTACGTTCCGCCCATCGAGGGGAAGGCATCATGTTCATTCGAACAGAGAGGATTCTCGCTCGCTTTGTACAAAGCGAGCGGATCAGCCGCTATTCAACGATCCATGATCGGAGAAGGGATCTTTTTTATTGATAAAATTTAGCATCGTTGTGGTGATGTTGGTTCGATAGCTACTATCAATTCGCTCTATATCTTGGTTAGCGATGCGACTCTCCACCCTCTCCCCTAAGCATATTAAAAGGTAGCTGGTATGCCTACATAAATGCACTTTGATAAATAACAGCAACGGGGGCGGAGGCGGAGGGCCATGTTAATGAGAATTTCGGGGAACCCCAGTAGATATTCGAGGAGGATACAGTGCTATCGCCCAAAACGCTGAGTTTGGCGAGCAGGCTGTTTATTTCTGTGCGGAATGAACCACCCGTATGGGCCGAGTTTTCATATCATGTCGCTTCTCCTCATAGTATAGAGAGTCGCTAGCAAGTCTGAGATTGATCATAGGTCCAGTCCAAAGGGAGAGAAGTTGTTGTCTGAAGCCCGCCAGGCTTCCAGTTTGAGGGTCAGGAAGGGCGAGAAGAACTACGGTCACCACACATGACCGCTCTCGGGAAATGGAAGTGACAAGCCCCTTTGAAGCCAGAGAATGTGCAAATTTACAATCACAAAGAAGCTACATTGTTTTCACAGGGGCAACAGGGTACGTGCTCAAGGTGTACTTCCGCATAATAGATCGAAATCAATGGGAGGGGGTGTTGAACTCCTCAGAAAAGGGAAAATAAATCTCACGAGACCCTGACGCGCAGGGCTCGTTGGCTCGGACTTTCGACTCGGCCATAGGGACAAAGAAATCCTCCAATCCAAGGAGTGTTGAACGCCTTACTGTAGATACTTCCGGCACCACCTCAATAGAAGAGGCAGGCTCCTTTTTCCTCCATCATCTATGGCTCGGACTTTCGACTCGGCCTAAGATGTTTCCAGGTCCCAGTTTAGAGGTTAAACGTGGGGTTGTTGTAGGGGATTTCCACCCCGACAGTCTCAGCAACGAGCGCCTCGAGAGCTGGGAGCTTCTCGAAGTTGTACTTGCGTTGCAGGTACTCGGAGGAATGGGGCATGAGGACTTTCATGAGGCCTCCAATAGAAGTGATGCCGTTTCTCTCACCGATGCCGAGGACGGTGGTGTCAATGTGGGTGGCACCAGCCTCGAGGGCGGTAAAGGCGTTGGCGTTGGCACAGCCAGTGTCGTTGTGGAAGTGCGTCTCGATGTCGCAGCTCACGAACTGGCGGAGAGTGCTGATTTTGTTGTACACCTCCATGGGGGTGGCACCGCCGACAGTGTCGGCGATTCCCACACGGCCGGCACCGAGGCGGTCGCAGAGGGAGTACAGCTTGATAATTTCATTGAAATCGGAGCGGAAGGAGTCTTCGCCAGAGAAGCGGATCTCGACGTTGTGTGCCTTGACGAAGGCGATGACCTCGGCAGCCTTCTTGGCAATGAAGTCGAGATCCTTTCCGTGGGAGTTCTCCATGAGTTGCTTGGAAGTGCCGATGCACATGTTACTGTGAAGACGCTGTTAACGGTTGTCCCACATGGTGAGTAGGATGGGAACGGGCTTACATTCCATCGACACCAGTGTCAATGGCAATTCGGGCATCGTCCATGTTGCATCGGATGTGGCAGAGGACCTAAAAGCGGCAATTGTTAGACAGCTTGTTTCTCGTCGGCGGTTCGAGGGTGCGGTTCAAGCATACCTTGGCCTTCAAGCCCAGCTTGCAGATGGCTGCGCAATCATCGCGGGACTGGGGGGAAGCGGCAGGCGAGGTAACCTCAATCTAGTCGTCGGGCTGGGTTAGCGATCAAAGAAACAAGGACAGATTCGGGGCGGAAGGGGGCCAATGGAAAGGCCGGTAGGTGGTTGAGCAGGCTTACGTATTCGGCGCCAAAATCATCCAAAGCTTGAGCAATCTTGAGCTTCTGCTCCGTGTTGAAGTAGGCGTTGGCAAACTGTTCGCCCTCACGGAGGGTGCTGTCGATGATGCTGAAGTTGGAGGTATTTCCGAAGTTGGCGTAGGTGGAAGAGGCAGCAGAAGAGAGGGCTCCGGTGGTCAGGTCGGAGTCGAAGTCGTCATCGGACACAGTGCTGGCAGCGGAAGAGGCTGGGGCAGAGGCGTCGTTGGCGATGTCGGTAGTAGTGTTGTTGGTCAAGTTCATGTTGTCAGTAGCGAGATTGGCTAGGGAGGTATCCAGGACACCTCCTTGATCGCTTCCTACAGCACCGGAACCGTTAGAATTGCATCCAAGCAGATAGAGACGACATCACATACCGTTGCTGGCACCGCTGGCGGCGCCATTGGCCATGGTGTGGCTGGTATGGTGGAGGACACACTCTGCGCCATTCTGATTACTACCGCTGGAGGAGCTGCTGGCACCGTTATCCATGGTGTGGCTGGTGTGATGTGTGATGGGGTGAGTAGAAGACATTGTGCCTGTCGCATTCAATGTGGGCAATTGCAATCTCAAAGTGGTGAACGCGGACGAGGGAGTTGTGTTGTGTGTTGATGATGGAGGGGAACAGAAACGAAGAGAGGAAGTGGGCGAAATCGAAGTAAGTACTACGTACCCCGGAAGTACTGCGGGGGGGATATTCTGGGCGTCAGTCTCTGTTGCTCTGCCATTCAAATTGGAACAGTGCTGACTGTCCTCAAGGAACCACTAACTCAATATTACGTGCCGAGGTTTAGGTAAGCTATTTTTACTACGGAGATCAGAATAACAGGCTCATTGGTAATGGCACAAGAGTGAATTCTTCCGAGCGCGTGTGCCTGTGCCTGTCTCGTGCCTTGTACTGCCACCTTAGCGGTTGGCGGACAGGCACAGGCCGGTCAAGGTGGCATCACAGCGGTCGAAAACCACTGGAAGGAGGGGCGGGACCGGCCTGAGACCCCTGATCAGGCTGTAACAGGATCAAGCTCCAGGGGCCACTGTGCCCCTCGATCCATTGACTCCGTGGCTGTGACGTGACTGGCTGGCCTGAGTCACCAAACCCCCACCTCCGCCTCCGCTGTCGGTCTTTGGAAAAAAAATTTCAGCAGGCAGCCCCAATGACGAGCACGAAGCGAGATGTACCCAAGTACCTGGCCAGGACGGCCGGAAATGTACAGAAATGTGCTCCGCGGCATTTGAAAGCCCTGACGAAGGCTCTGGCCGACACCCACACAACTTTTTACCACCACCCACACCAATGCATGCACGCACGCACATCTCCCACGCAGGCCACCTCGCAAACCCAATGATGCATTGCAAGATTACCCCAGCCATGAATTTAAGCTAAACCTGGATGTGATGCAATACTACCCTTGCGGTGCGAGCCTACCTTCGTGCCCAAGTGCTTCCTCCAAGACTGTCCCCAGCCGGAACGTAAGGGCCCACCCACTCAATCTGAGGGTGGCTCAGCAAACAAACTCCGTCTCGCCCCTCTCGCATCTGAGGCCTGGAGATGTCCATTAGTCCAGGGGGCAGCTAGGCCTCTCAGTGGCCAGATCTCCTGCCTTTGCCCCGCGATTCCCCAGCCCTCCTAATCGTCATCCACTCAGGCTCAGCGCTGCGAAGTAGGAAACAGATGAACGCGCCCGAAGCGCTCACGCCCAAGGCCCGCCCAGATCCGTACGTCTCATGCAGGAAAGTTCATCAAGGATCTTCCCTCCCCGTGCAGGATAAGCAGCTCCTCGCAATGCCAGTGGCCCCCAGCTGGCGAGCGGGTTTTGTCTCAGACGTACCTACACCGCCTGGTGGCCTACCCTATGGTGATCGTTGATTCGCGCCTCATCTGAGGAAAGTTTGCGGGTGCAGGAAGTGAACGGCGCCTGAGTTCAGTTCAGGACTCTTTAGTCCAGTCGTATTGATGACACGTTTCCATGCTTCATTACATTGGCTTGGCTAATCCCGTGACGCCCATCATGCAGTATGATTAAGTCTTGCCTCTGTGTAACCACGTCGTCAACCCATTTACACCGCCACTAGAGTAGGCCCTCGTCATGCGCACATGATAGGCGAAATCCATCCTAACGACAGGATGGCAACTTACGTATCCTCGATAGGATAGAGGAAAAGAATGTCCAAGGCAAACCTGTAACGGTCTCTAAATTTAGGACGGCGAGATGAATGTCACCAAGTAAAGAATGGTGCTCACCAGGTGGGTGGGTGGATGGGTGGCCTAGGCTAAAAAAAAAACTCCGTTCTGGACTTCTAGTTTGGGAAAAAGAATGGTCTCGACGTGGGCCTGATTCGAACAGACGCTCCCGAAGGAACAAGATTTCTAGTCTTGCGCATTAGACCACTCTGCCACCACGCCATGCATAACAAGCGGTGAATTATTCACTATGTAGCCTAGGAACTTCTGGGTTGGAAATGACAACGGCCATCTAGGAGATTCCCACAGATTTGACTGATACTTGCCGTTATTTAAAGAATTGATTTTACTGTTTCCAATTGCAAGTAAGATCAACATCGGAAGCATACACTGATGTCTCTATGGAACTTCAAATACCGAAACACATATTCAGCAGGCAGCACACTCCAATGGTCACAACACCTCCATTGAACGTATGCCAAGAGTAGGAGTATATTTCTTGTTGCGTGCATGGTGGTGGGAAGGGAGTGTTGGGAGCATACCTGGGTATTTTCTAAATGCTAGCGCTTGAAAGTCAACATTGGGTTCTATTCTATCCGACATGTCGCGATATTCAAAATAATCATTCACCGACGAAATACGTCTTGCCTTTGCGAAACGCACCATTGAGGAAATTCGCCATAGATTTTTCATTGCGGCCTGCACAACTTTAAGCAGAATGGAGCTCACTAGAACATTGGCTCGAATTATGATCCTTCACATAGTTCGAAGTCCCCCATGTAGCTGGAGGGTGCGGGCTGGTGCATCAGATTGCATCAGGCGGCTTAGCAGGCAGCGAACGCATGCGTGGCCGGCGGGGGAGGAAACGTCATATTCAATAAAAAATCAGGTTTTGGATTCACAGAAAAAGGAAAGAAACGTCGCAGCGAGCCTTCCAGCAAGCTCTGCCAAATGTTTACCTATTTTGTCTTTGTGGCTTGCAGGTGCGCAGCTGAGCAAGATTCTGCAGAGCCGAGACTGAGCCAATGTACTCTGTACATTATCACGGAGTCTCACTAATGTCGGCCGTCGCGAGCCTTGTGCGAGATGCATAACATGAAAACTAGATGTGCCTTCGAGAAAGGGAGCTATTTCATTGCCTGCAATCAGCCTTTCTAGCTTAGATCGGATGGAAAAGACAAAAAATCACTTCTATCGTTTAACTGCTTCTGTTAGAGACGGCAGAGTAACTGAAAGCACAAGGGAACATTCACCGGAGGGATCGTTCCTATCTTCTCTGCACCAAGTACCCTCTACTAGTGGGGATTCTCCTTTGTTTCTATTCGTTTCTCATTTTTCAGCCGTGGCTTTCCGTACCCCCCAACCACTTCAATGTCTTTCCTTTGCATGATTGCATTGCATGGGAGGTGGGTGCCCTGAGCGTAGCTGCAGAAAAACCGTTTTTGCACCGTGGTTAGCTTCCCCCTAAAGCCAGGAAGTCATAGAATGGGATGGAATACCGTTCCTGGATTAAGGTACCTGTGAGATGGGAAACAGAAAAAAGAAAGATCACTTGCCAAGGTTTCAGACAAATTTCAGCCGTTCTCTCGGCTTACGAAACCTACTGGTGGAGGAGCTGTGACCCCCCTGAACATGCCTATCCGTCGCCAGCCTCACTTTTGGTGGTAGGGTAGTATGGACGGAAAGTTTTCGGACCCGGTCCACTGCATCAGCAGCTACGGAAGGGTGTCTATCTAGTTAATTAGACCTACTGACAAGGCCGTGCTGGTCATCTGTCGAAGGTGTATCACATGATAGATCAGCATGTCCGGCTTCCGCGACGAATAATAGGTGTTCTGCTTTCTGTGATGGTCGCCGATCGTAATTCAACACAGGCTTGAGTCTTTGCACGCACGCTCCCTCTGTATTAGTGTCTATGCAAGTAATATTTGTCGTTGGACTATCCTATGAGGCTCCGAGACCAGCCCCAGGGGGATCCATAGAGGGTCACTGCAAAGAACAGCCCACTGACAGTCAAGCGGAAGCCGGTAAAGGCTAGTAAGTAATGGAGGGCCGTTGACCGGCTGTCCCCGGTCGCACTAGAGCATTCAAAGGGTCCGTATGTGAGACCGGGCAGACACGAAGATAGTTGTGTGCCTTGGGAGCCACAACTATCTTCGCCGAACGAGTTGTTTGAGCCCCGATTGGTGGAAGCATGAGGATGATATTACGAGAGAGGGCATTTCTGCGTTTCTCCTGCGCTTCTCCGGTTGCGTGTGTGTGTGCGACTGATGTAAATGTGCTTCTAGGCCCCAGCAACCTGTTCAACCATGCATGCCAATCGTTCAGCTTTGAAGCTGACCGACTATTTATTCCTCGATCTAATCACCCAAGAAAGAAAGGAACCAAAGACACCAGTCTTGGTCTCAGTCTACCAATATACCTTTGAAACATCACAAAGACAAGTTGTTTATTGGGATTCATCCTAATCACTATAGTCGTCCAAGCTGGCAGTATTGCTTTGTGCCATCATGGCGAGTAAAAGGTCCAGTGACAGAGAGAAGTAAGGCTCTAGTAAGGCTCCAGTAAGGCTCCAGTAATGCTGCATTAGTGAATGTATGCAATATTACCATACAGTCCTTACCATTAATTTCATCATGCTGTGTAACAATCTAACTACCCAGAGGGGATTTTCTTGCAGCCCCGGACGGACCCCACATACCCAAGATACCCTACCACATCTGACGGCACGTCATTCTGCTTGGTTCGATTGCGGGCTCGTAGATCTTGCTCATTTTAGGTAAAAACAAACCGCGAATGGTGCTCATTTCTGTGTATCACTTCCTCCTACATTTGATGGCGACTTTCCAACAGCCGTTTGACTTGGGACTTCTCATTAGAGCGGGTCGATTGCTCAGTCACTTTTCCAATGGACTATCAAAGTATGCTTCATAAGGAGCGTAACGGAATCTTGCCATCGGTGGATACTCGCTCAGCTCTCCTCCACATCATCTGCAGGAGAAACACTAGTCCGCCACTTGCTCCGGCTGGAATAACGTGTTCTGGTTGATAGATAACCAAGCCCCATTGCCAAGACGGCTCAGCGTTTATCCAATACTACCCCAAGTGAAACAAAACATAGACCGTGGAGGATCCTGACTGGACGCCTTTAACAAGCCTCTTTCCTCCCAGGCTTGATTCCCCTCCCAAAGGTTCCTTTTTGACGCTTGGTGGCTGCCGACTATTTGGTGTGCTTATCCTCCTCGAGGTGATTAGTCGTCTGCAACTCGCTGTAAAGGGAGAGTAAGCTGAGATTAGGTCCCGGCGGCACTCAGATTTGCCCAGGTTCCAGATTTCCAGTCCAGATTTCCAGCTCAATCTCGACCATCGGCCCGGTAACTGGGGAAATTCCCCTCGGCTGGCTGCCGGCCGTATCGTATCGATACTTCCCCAGCCCGCTTAACCTGACGCCAAAACATGTCTAAAGGACTTTTCGATATGGGATGATGAGCTGGGATTTATTTAGACTTTTAGCCTGCAGATTTAGTTGGGAAGATCGGTTGTACCCGAGGTATCCCTGAACTGAGCTTCGACTTCTGATATTGCGCCTGCCTGCATAGTAGTGACTAGGTCAGTGCCTCCTTGGGCTTTCCAGAACGTGCTGACAAGGGGTGTAGGCGGGGATCGATCTCCGTTCGGGACTTGTGTCTTTGGATCTGTAATATATCATAAAAACGAGCATGCAATGAGCGACGGAGGAGAACCTAGTACTAAGTCCTCTAAGTAGGATATACATTGCATCCCAAGAACATATACACAATGCACATTGCTTTTCTTGGCCGTGCGCCCCCAGAGCGCCTAATAAACGAGCTCAGCTCGGAGCGACAATCATGGTTCTCCCATAGCTCCTGTCATGTCACCAGGACTTCTGACGACTGGCACCCTCTTCGATATCTCTCGTCTCCTCCCCAAAGCTGAGATCATACTGCGTCATGGACAATGATGAGAAAAGAGGCCTATATCCTTTTTGACTCTAGCTCTGCCAGTTGTCCGTGGATAGCTGTGGCGGTCACCAAGAAACGCAATCCTATCAAGGAATCCTGCTTTCGCGAAGGGCCCAGAACCATGTCAACCTTTGTCGATTGGTTGACTTCTGAGACATTGCGAATTTTTTTGACCAGACTATCTATGCAGTGGTTGCGTCTGGACGCGCTCGTATAGTTGCGGTATGCGAGGTGCAGATGGTGATGTGCCCAAGATGATTTGGCGAAGAGTATACTATCGACTATCCGTTGGCATGCAGCAGACGAACAACAAAGGTATAAAAACCTGATATGTCCTTCAAGATCAAGGGAAAACTTCGCTCTCCATCCTCTCTCAAAGTCATCAAATCAAGAAGCTGCTCTTCCATCCATTGTTGTGCAACGGCTGATAGGCTTTACTATGGACACCGACAATGTTCCTGATCCTAGTCATGCCGCTCTCGCCCTCGAACACCCTAGTGTTTGTCTCATGTGCCAACTCTGGGACCGTCATGTGAGCCCCTCTTTCTTTGATACAATACAATAGATGTATGCTTACGTTGCAAAGTGCTGGCCTCAGCATCGAGCGCCCGGCCAGAGGTGTGGTGGCTGCGAGACAAATGCACTCGCTTGCCTCAGCCCAGAATTTGCCGTCCTTTTATTTGGCACTGACGCTTCGTCTATACTGGGCATCTATCCTCTCGGCCTATCTGAGGGCCCCATTTATTACGAAGGTCCCGAAGGTGCGAATTCGGGATTGGCTCGGCTCATTCTCCGTCAAGTCGCAACATTGGCTTGCGCCATGCCCTTCCCCTGGGCCCTTGCAGGATCCGATCAGTTTGGTCTTCATCCTGCAAGTTCTGATAATGGCGGCGAGATTGCTTCAGGCGGTGCGCTAGTCCCCTGTCTCGATGATGAAGCAACGTCCGCTTCGACAACCACTTGGCAACCAGACTGGAAGGTTCCTGGCGGCTATGCCGGTGCCTCAATGCCGGAAAGCACCCTTGCTAGAAGGAACCCTTTCACTCAACCTTGCGGTGTTCATGCCCGTCGGGGAACCTACTGGAACACCGTTATTGTCACAATATCACCGTCCCTTGAACGTTATTTCTCTGTCCCGCATGCTCTAGGCGCGGACTTTGTCCCACGGGAGGGCATCTTGAGCCGGATCCTACAAAGCCTCTCCCCGGGATCTAACACCAATGGATACAATGTTCTCTTTCTGGAAGGCCTTCCGGGGTCTGGAAAGACCACGATGGCTCTCAATGTTGCCTACGAAATTCGTGAGCGTTATCCAGAGCACTCTGTTTTCTGGCTGTCAGCGACAAGTTTGAGCGAGTTACAGGATTCTTACAAACGAATCGCCAATGTTCTTGGGATACAACTACACCAAGACATCGCCACTGACCATTTGCAAATCACTCAAGCACTTGAGCAGCTCGACCGAGGCCGTTGGCTTTGGATCATCGACACGGAGCAGCATATCCGCCCAGATGGCTCTAACCCTCTCTGGCAGTATCTCCCACGAAACAGAAATGGGACGATACTCATTACAGGGAGGAGTAGCCAGGCCGCCGCGAGTCTCGGCGCTCGGCCAGGGAACATCATCAACGTGTCGCGCATGAGCGATGACGAAGCTGTCAAGCTCTGGCGCCAAAGCATGTTTGACGGCGTTGAATACGGCACTGGGAGTAGACTTGAAATGATTAAACATCTGGGGCATTCACCTCTGGCAATTAAGAAGGCGTGCAGCTACATCACAATGAACTGGAGCCTCGTGGCTGAAGGCACCAAGGTCGACGGAGTCGTCACCCAGCCGCAGCGTGTGAATGTCTCAATCTCGCTGGCAGAAAATTTTGACCCTTTGTTCCGCTTGATCAAGCGCAAGGAGCCATTTGCGTGGAGCACTCTGTGCTTCACGTGCTATCTTGACGCATCTCCTATCCCGTTGTCCCTGCTTCCAGAGCCACCTCAGGGGGTTGATATCTATGAGGCCCTCCAAAGGCTTAAGGAATATTCCTTCATACTCCCAGGGAAGGAGGGCCCATCCAGCTCAATTCGGATTGATCCGATTGTGCAGCTTTCTTTGCGAGTCTGGCTGAACAATGAAAACGAGAAGGTCCAAGTGGTCAATACAACGATGATCAAGCTTGCCGCAAGGCTGCCACCACCAACGACCAGTTCGTGGGAGGAGTATTTCCCGCATCTGTGGGCTATTTTGAGGTTCGCACACAGCACAGAGCTGAGCGCTGAGATCATAGTACGCTCTAAATTCGGCCTCGGCCTCTGGGCCATGGATCAACTCGATGATGCGGAGATGCAGCTGAGGAATTGCATCATACTCAGCAGATTGGGCGAGGGCCAGAGACCCATTGGGCTGTTCTTATGTGCGGAAATTCTGGCGCTGTTCCTGAAAGAGGACAGCAGGCTCGATGAAGCTGAGTTCTACCGACATGGCACTTCCGATTTGAAATTTCACAAGTTCTCATCTTTCTTGTGGAATCGACATTTCCGGTATAATTGTCTGGATCTTGCGGTCCAGAGGCAGCGTCTTCTGGAGCAGGTTCACATGTATCCTTGCGTTCAGAACATCTTGCAGAAACAACTTGGAGCGAGTATCTGTGCCTGAAAAGAACTTGGCATGGAGAACAAGGTTGGAGGGAAAGGGGGGTTGGATTGCGAAAAAGAATTTCGAGGAGGCAAAATTTCTCTGGTGAGATAATGAATTTGGATCAAGCTTTATTGGTTTTTACGTTTCGTACTGGATTCAACATCTGGTATCTGATGAGACTTGGCGAAGCTTGCTTGAGTTCAAAGTAAGCATCGGGAAGATTTCCATGACGAACTTGCAGTATTATTATCTTGAGTGAGAGACAAAAAAACCAAAAACAAAACCGAATGTTTGAAAATCTACTGTGAATTGAGATAAGGCGGAATACTTCTGCTGTAAGTTTCATATTAGGGTCCATGGCTGCTTCTGTTGCTGCAGTGTCCAATCAACCAAAAGAGCACCTGCTTTCTTCACATCCCTAACCCTCCACCTCCACACTACGGCAAAGGATCTTCCTGTTGTGTCCCTTTTTTGATCTTTTCCTAATTGGGAAGCAACATTCTATGGCTTCATCATTTGGGATTTGAAAGGGTCAGTAAATAGCCTTACCCTTATTGATGATCTGAACAATTGTGACAAGAAGAAACGTACAATCAGATGGGATGTACTGGAAGAGATTGCTCTTATCAACCTAGCCCATGCCGAAGGGGATTAACAGCCGCGAATATGATGATTTCTGTATACTTATTCCAGATGTTGCTAGTGAGAAATATGTATTGTTAAAAGTATTATGCGAGCCTTGTGTGAGAAATGAACAAGCTATGCGAGGTATTGTTTCCTGTTTGGTACATATTCAAAACGATACGCGTTTTTAATCACCAAGTCGTACATTCGGGGCACTACTGGAATCTCCGAGGCGGAATAGCAAGGAAATAGTATGGAGTGTATTGGTCTAGATATAAGTTACATGACAGGAAAAGAAGGGTATCGGCTCTCGGCGAAGTTTTCGTTAATTATTAATTTTTCTAATCCTAATACTCTCATTGCACGCGACCACGTCATAGATTAGGCGTGGACGGCAACATGGACCTCCATCTCGGGGCCCGAAGACGTGAAGTTCTTCAGGTTGGCGGTGCCGGCCTTGAGGTAGCAGTCACCAGGGGCTGAATTGCCGAGAGCCATCAAGATGTTGGTCCAGTAAGGAATGTAGGTGGCGGTTGTGCAGGCTTTTGATGTGTAGTTCTTCTCATCGAGGTACTTGTTCCAGGTCGTGCATGCTTCCATGCAGCTGTTAAAGCTGCCAGAAAAGAGTGAGAAGATTGGGCCCTCCGGGCTGTCTTTGTTGCAGTACATTGTGTATTCCGCAAAGTCATAAGCTTCACGATATGAGTTAGTAAAACGGTCGGAATATTTGATATGATTCAAGCACGTGCGGGATATACTGACAATGTGTCGAGTATTTTGTGCCTGTTACACTCGTGGCTCTGTCTGAGCATCCATTCGTTAGGTTGGAGTAGCTTGTGACAAATTTGGCCGCTGAGAGATTGGCCGTGGCGGCTGTAAGGTTGGCGTTGGCTGCGTCGAGGTTGGTGTTGGCCTGTTGGTAGTTGTGCGTTGCGATGCCAAGGCCAGCTGCCAGACCGATTATGACGATACCCATGATTGCAACGATGACCGACAAGATGAAGACGAGGATGGGTAGTCCGAAAATCTTCTTTTGCTCCTGAGTGCTGGGGATGCCGCCGCCCCCTCGAAGGACTTCTTTGTGCTCTTGCCCGTAGATGATATCATTGTCATGCTTTGCGTACTGGGAATAGACCGTAGTCGGCGTTTCTGACGGCGCTGTCGAAGGGCTTTGGTAATGCTGCTGATTGATATGGGCCGCTTGCATGTGCGTGTATGTTTCGGGGTACGAGTGGTCGGCGACCTCTGGCGCATCATCAGGCTACGAGTTCAAGACATGTTAGCAAAAGACTGGCACGAACAAGTTCATTGAGCCAACTTACATAGCGAGACATGATGGCAGCGGCACGCGAGCTGCATGCGAAGCTTTCTCCAAACAGCTACTCAGACGCAGTGGTGAGAGAGGAAAACGCAGTAGGGGGCGAAGGCGAAGGCACGTCGAAGGCGCGCGGATCTCCCACCTCCATGTATATACATTGTGCCCTCTGGTCCAACTTGAAACGTAGGAATAGGACCAATGTCGTCTAGGTCACCCAGAGCATGGGGCCCCTGTCCAAGTGACTGCCGCCCGCCTTGATAAGTGGACAGAACGGCTCACGCCATTCTTTAAGCGGGCTGTTCTAATTTCTGCTCCTTCGGCTGGAATACTCTGCCGTTGCCAAGCCTTGTCACATTGGACTTTCCCAATGGAAACTGCCGTCTCTGCTGCAGTCTGGACTCGTGCTCGCGATGCTGATCAGCACGCTCAGCCCTGACTGGCCGCATAAATGTCTGATTACCGAGCGGAAGGCTCCTATCGGCACCGAAATTGGATACAGACTTAACTCCAAAAAGAACACTAGTCGAGCTGTGCATAAGCAAGCCCTCAGAGCCAATTGAGAGCCTTCATTGGGAAGGCCGCCCGCCAACTCATCTCGCTTCACTTCAAGCACGAATGTGGCTAATAAGTTTCCTCCCCCAATGGCAGACGCAGCCTGCACCGTCAGCTGGGCTGAAACAAATCCAGGCTAAGGCACTGAGGTGGACCGTGGCGATGTCACTCTTCCTTCGCACTATTACGTGAGGTGTGCCGTATTTGCGGACGCTGTAGATCGGCGAGGCTGTTTCATCTTCCACTCGTCTGGATGCTTTTGGAACGATCAGGCCTCAGCTGCGAGCTCTAAATTAAGCCATTCCCTGCTATGAAAAATGCTGCTGCTTTCGATACTACCCTCCCTTGCCATCTCCACCAATTATCGATACTCGCGGACCCGTTGAGCCTGCTCCTCTGCAGGTTCCGTATAATGAAATTCCACCTGCATTAATAAGGGCTTACGCTGTGGCGTCTCTTCCCAGGGGATGCTGACCGGAGCTGAAGGCTAGAAGTTTTACTGGGCTGGACTCTGGAGTCCAGATCGCCAGCAGAACCAGCCTCCTCAAGGGGGAATACATAGTAGGTTAGTGTAGCATTTTGGCGTCATTAGTAGTTTCTGATTCAGCCCATGGGTATTAATTAGTGCAATCCCGCGCTCACAGGATAATGCCTGTAAGAGAAGGGACAAGCCTCCTCCACATCCCGTCTAGGCTGATGGATTCCTCTTTTAAGGCGATGAAAGATGTCTACCTTTGTAAATGTTCCAAAACAGATGTGACAGCTAGAATGGCCTTATATACGTCCTTCCTAGTGCAGCAAAGAATGCAGCCCGAAGCCCATGGAAACAAAGTCTGTGTCGAACTTATTTATCTGTAACCTAGATTAATTGCAGCCGAATACCGCTTTGGAGACAACGAGGTAGGGCTTAGATTCCCCATCCTGGCCTCGTGGTGAGCCTGATTTCGGCTCTTCCGGAGGCAAGGATCTATGCCTTGTAGGGCCATTTAGGGCCTGTCAGCACCTATAAGTGGTGAAAAATACAGCTGGAAAATACTGATTATAGGTGTCAATTTTCTTGCCAGATGTTTTGCAACACATGCATAAGTCTACTTATATCGTATATCATGACGTAGAGCTGTAGATCACATAAACTGCGTACATGCTCGTAGTTTCTTCCTTCAAACTCATGTAGTGCACCGTTGTGTACCATTCCCGTAGATCTCAAGACATGACGCGCTGATCTCGAGCTTTTCGAGGCACTTCAGCTGCCAGAGCGATCCTAGAATATCGTCATTATACATCTCTCCAACATGAAAGAAATAAATCCTGTGAAAATTCCTTCTCAGCTCTCACTCGACGAGCCTTTTCCATGCTCTCTCAGTGCAGATCTAAATACGGCGCTGTTGAAGATCCAAGGAGAATCATTAGACACACAGACAAAATATAGATGGCTGCATCCAAACGCTAGGCCGCCCCTCCGTAGACAGTGCCCGAATCCTGGAGAGATAGGAGGAGCAGTCTATTTGCGAAAAAGCTGCTTATGACCCGGGTACCACTTCCTACAAGACGGGATCCGACAAGGTTAAACTAAGCACGCGCCGAGCGCGGTTTGGAGTGGCGAACAAGGTCTCTCATGGCTTCGCGTTTCATTGTTGTCTTTTATTGAGTACAGGATAGATGGTATGCTACTGCAGAGGCTAGGCGATGCGATGGATATGTTCGATAATGCACAGCGCGTGGAGTGCTTTGTGTTGGCCATCACAGGTCTGGGGGCATTCGTTGCAGATCAGAGGCGAGAATATCTGTGTCTAGGTTTCCGGAGGAATCAGCATTATTCCTGTGGCGAAAGATTAATGTACATGAATGTGCTGCAGAACCTGGACAGCGAGCGCGTGGATAAAAGCCGCGATCCTTGATGGCATCCATGGATGAGGAACTGGGTAGTTTGTGAATCTGAAACGGTGGGAGCCGGTCCCATGTGTATACCCTGTCAACGAACTTCCTAGACAATCAATATCGTATACGCCAGATTCCTATCCTGGACTGGGGATTGGTGCTGCTCTGGTCCGGCAGCTGCTATCAAGATACTCTTACTTCGATAACCGGATGTGAGGGTAGATTCAGCTTTTGTCCCCTGAAGCAATCACGAGCCACAGCACAACAGTTGACCAATAGCTACATCTCGGTCAGCTCACTACCCTACAGCCGTGTTTCCATACTCGACTTTGACTTGTGGTGCTACTCGGGCAGAACGCGTGCCAGTGGTTAAGACGTGGATTTTGTTTATGTAGCTTCTCCTGCTACGCGTCTGCCAGTAGAAGAGCGAAGTACCCGACCATTGCTCGCATGGTCGAGTGAAGTAATCATCTAATAGGAAGCCAGAAGTAGAAGCAACAACAGTCGATTTGTCTTGAGAGAAACTCAAATGACCCCTGAAGGCCGAAGATTCAAACTTGCTTTGATTTCTGTTTCTATCAATCTAGTTCACATAAACCTCCGTCTAGTCATCATCTAGCCATCTTGATCCCAGATCGCGGCGGTTCTTTTGTACTCTAACACATCTGCAACTTTATCCGTCGTATGATCAGATCATCAACCTATTAACCGGCTTCTTAACACAAAAGTATGGAGGATCGATCTCTCTTCCCGAGATTCACTTGTGCTTTACCAAGACTCTACAGAGGAGAAGCTCTTCTGTCTGGCTAGCTCTCCTTCATCGCCACTTTCGATCTCAAGTTTGCGCTTCAACACGTTATCTCCTGATCTCTCGTTGCTCTCGTTGCTCCGGTTGCCCGTGATAGGAGTATCGACGAGGATTGGCACGTCGGCATACTCCACACCATCTTCCCGTGTGCCATATGAGGTGGCCATTGGTGTATCGTTCTCTGAGGTGTACGCGTCGAATAAGTCCATGTCGTCATCCTCCTGGTCAACAGAGACAAAATTCTGCTCGGAGAGAATGTTGGCGAAGTCGCTTCGAGAGATGCAAGACTCGTCTCCGTCGCTGTCTAGATCACCAGAGTCATAGGAAGCCCAGTACTCTGTGGTGTCGAGGTGGACAGGCTCCTCCATGAGTGACTCTTCAGAGACGAAGACGGCGAGGTCGAGAGTCTCCAGGTGGTCGTCGAAGCCTTCGTCATCGTCGACAATGACAATCTCGAAGGCTGTGTTGTCGGGAGCAGAGAAGTTGACTCCCTCCATGACGTCGAGGTTTGCGTTTGCGAGTGCTTGGCCGTACGGAACAACTGTAGCCACGAATGTGCCTTGATAAGGTTCGCCTCCACCTAGGTACTCCTCGTCCGTGGCCTCGCTGGAGGAGAGAGAATCTGTATCGCTCCAAGAGTCATCACTGTAGTAGGAGCCGTTGTCACTATCATACCCATCCGCATCGTAGTCGTAGTCGTCGTAGTCGTAGTAACCCCCGCCGTATCCCAGAACTGCAGGGTCGATCAGGAGAGAACCTTCGGATGGACCAGCTGGGGATGACGAGCCCTACTCGCGTCCCTCATCTGGTTCTCCCTTCAAGGTGAACTTGTCAGCGAAGCCGAATGGACAACGGTGCAAAAAGGTAGAAGTGATGAGAAGAGAGCTGAAAAGATGATAGAGGCATAAATTCTTACGTGGTTGACTCTGGCGTTGCACGGCGAGGCTCTTGCTCTTGGAGAGGGCATGATGATGAGAATAAAGAGATAGCAAGTGTGTGATGTGATGTGAATTAGATGAGAAAAGTGATGAAAAATTTTCCGAGGAAGCAAGTGGGGATGTAGATGAAAGGAGAATTGTAGTGAGGCTTCGGGCGAGTGGTGGGAGATGGAAGAGAGTTGTTGTGCCCTGAAGGTGGACAGGTTCTTAGGGCTGGTTCTAGGGAGACTTCACTGACACAAAGGATGAATGTCGAACTCGCAATGACTCAGCAAACAAACAAGACTCGTAACTGATTGGGTGGGATGAAATTTCATCAGTGATTCACGGTCACAATACTCATCCACCACGCGTCATAAACACAAAGGCTACTTGAAGTGCCAAACACTAGGGACGCAGGAATTCAACTGATCATTGTCTAGATTTAAGCATCATGGACCTTTGTCCTTGGATAAGATACGAAATTTTGAGAGAAGAGGTGTCTTGGTTTCCTTGACCCAAGCGACAAAACATGGAGGTTTGTTGATACCAAGAATTTCGAGATTGGGTTGCATCTAAACGTTAGCTTACGGGCATCATGGGGATTATGCGATACTGATTACCTGTCTAACATGTACTCGTAAGCATCTGGCGGAAGTTTAACTCGAGTTGCGAATTGGATGCAGGTACTCGAATTGTTTGAGCTGCTTGTGTAACCATGTGTGAAGTGTTGTATGATGTAACGTCCCACCATGCGTTTACTGAACATTGACCTTTATCATTAATATGCTTTATGATCTCACTCTCAGAATTTAGTAGTCTAATAGTTATTATTAACTTTCCACCCCAGTTGCCGTCCAATTTGTTTATAACGATGTCGTGTGCTATGTATTTCTCAATAATTACCCAGCGTTTGAGCTTGAAATTGGATTTCCAAGTCGTGTTTTGCTTCAAATGGCCTCGAAAATTGCACACAAAAATTAAGATTTAACCAAGTTTGTTAGATTGGACAGTTGGAAGAAAGTTTGCCAATCAGCTGGCCTGGTTTTGAGTAATCGCCCACATGTAGATAAAAACCGAGTGATATTAACTCATGTTCCATGCACACCGTAAATTCAATTACGCAAAGACAACCGAAAATTTATCCACTTAAATGGCTGAAACCCTTTTCACTTGCTCACTTGTGCACGTGGTCGGAGATCGGTGTATTGGAAAAGCAAACATTTGTCTTTTCACTCAAGGTATCGTTTCAGGGTTTGTGAGAAAAGGATGTTCAGCCAAATTACCCCAAAAATCAACCTCGAAATCCTGCAGCGAATGGCTCTCCCAACCATTCCAAGTCTCTTGTTCCTGTGAGTTCAGAATTGAAGAGACAAATCTTGCAGCTGGAGGAATAGTCGGCTGAGAGGGTATTCCGCCCATCAATAAGCGACTGATCAGGCTGTCAATAGTTTGGGAAGCACTCGCTAGGAGTCTGTAGTTTGGGTCGTCGGTGCGCACGAGGATACCTGTTTCCATTTCTGTTACAAGAACGCCAAGGTGCTGTACAGCTTTGGAAATGTTGATCTGAGTGCTCTCTCGGGTAGTCGACATACGATTTAGTAACCATAAGCAGATGACTCCTGCGGCAGAAAGCCCATAGTACGCAATCTTGCGAAAACATGTAAGTTAGGCATGAGAATGCGGGTTAATGGAGACGAATGCACGTGCTCACCTTCCAGACCAGAGATGTACCGGAGTTTACAAGCTGGTCCTTTTGAATGATGGCGTCCACGACAAGGCCAAGTATCTCAACAGATATGGAAACCAACTCCTTGTCTGCATCAGGAGCTTGTCTGGACAAGGCAAGCCGAAGCAAAAACAAAATGTGTAGGTGATTCAACCTGGCACTGACCATAAAGTCACGAACTATCGGCTGACGGTTGCAAAGTCTGAGGGGGGTCTCCAGGCGAAAATGCTCTGGCAAAGCCGACCACTGTTCTTTTGCTCGGGTCTCTAATAAGCTAGTCGATTGTTAACTTGAAGCCATATCAAGAATATGCCACGAGCTGGCACACAGGGGAATGGGTCTATCAAATGCACTCACCTCGCTCTATGGGCGCGACCTGGATTGTCATCGGCCTCGAATAAATCTAGAATCTCCTCTTTGAGGATGGCGCATAATGCTGACCATTGCGTATCGACCAAGTAGTCAAATGGTAGATCCATTTTCCACTGATGGTCCCCGAAACCTGGGAGCCTGAACCGACAATATCTCCTATGGATTCGCGGAGGTCTGCCGAGGAAGATGGAGATGTTCTTGTCTGCAGAGTAAGCTCTTGCAAAGTAAGCGCCGCGCAGCTCAGCGAGGAACGCGGGCGTGGCTGGACTGTTGCCTTCCAGCTGCTGGTGGTAACCCAGCGCAAAGAGCGAGCTTATCACGTCCCCCAGCGCTTTCCATGTGTGATAACCTGATTTGCGAGGTATGTGAGCTTCAAAGTGCACACCGCGAACCTAAATGTGTTTCGAGCCACTTACTTTGATCACCGTCTACGAAAGAATGGGAGATAAAATTCTCGTACTGCAGAAAAAGTTGCAGATCATTGAGACAGTCCAACGAGATAGCAATGTCGAGACAGCTATCAGCAAAGGCCATACTCAGGCGTTGAAGATTTCGTCTCTCCGTTTCCGACTCAAAGAAGGATTCGATTGACGAGATATCGACTGTAGATCTGGATACGGCAGCAAAGAAAAGTCCGAGAGTCTCCCACCGTGCATTGTTATGAGAAAATTGGGAAGTGAAGCCTTGCAGCGTGGTATCAGAGCCTACACGCAAAGGACGGGAAGTATGCGAGAACAGACTCTTGGATATGGCCATGAAGTCAGGTGCATGACTGCTATTCCCCTCAGGGAAAATATGTTGAATGGTCTTGGCGCAATCATCTGTAAAAACCCCAGCAAGTGCCAAATTGGAGCCCTTTGATAGCCACCGTCGAACTAGCTTCTCACATAGGGAGAGGGAAAACGTCCGGCCTAGTTGCTCCAACAAGCTCGCTCCGCGGGCAATGTTGGACTCTGGCGCGGCGGCTATGGGACGAGACTGGTGAGGATCGTATGGCGCTCCGTCTACACCGAGACTGGGATTGTGAGTCCTCCCAGGAAGGTTGTTGAATAGGGTTGTATGGCTGAACGAGCCCAGATATCCAGGGTTGGGGTATTTGTGTGCCTTTGTGATCATTGGATCAACAGGTAAATCTGATTCTACAGCTCTCGCCGTACTTTGTGGCGACTCTTGTTGGGATCTTTTGTTCGGTGAGTATTCTTCTTCGCCTATGGGTCGTTTCTTCTTCTTGAAGGGCAGTAGCCGATATGTGCATTCCGTCGTGCGGTTCGAGTCGCGGCAACGGGTGCAGACTGGCCTAGAATGGTCGCAGGCGAGTTTGGCAGCCCGGCACGGGTCGCAAGCCGGGAGCTTTCTCGGAGTGCCCGGCTTCCTTGACACCATGGTCAGGGTCTCGTTCGAGAAGTCATTCGCGGTATGGCGATGGAGAATTGCATCGAAAAAAGCCGCTCTCGTGTATGGTGCGTGCTGATTTGATGCTCCACCAAGTCCACTCCGTTTAGCTTCCCCTCGGTTCGATTACTCGTGAAGGAGAAACCTAGTAGAGATCATAATATGGCCACGATGATGGTGCCGTGGCGGATGTGGAACAACCTGGGGTAAATATTTCGGTTCAAATCATCCCCCATGTAGTTGGGAAGCGATCCTGGGATGGAGGAAAGCCGATGGGCGGAGTGTAGCATTGCATGCCGGCTGCCGGGCTTGAAAGGCGTGCTTTTGCCTCCGCTGGAATTCTGATATCATGGACCTGTTGAAAGAAATTACGAGCCAAGATGGGCGGCTGAGGACATTTCCTCTTCCGTGGAGTCAATCTAATGCCTCTCACATTTAGAAGAAGATTGCTCTGACGAGGAATCATTCATTGGCTGGTTGGTTTACTCTGCTCTCCTCTTGACAGGGCCTCCACTCGGTTCGGGGATCGGTGCTCGGATATGATCCACACCGACGCCCTTGAGGTTGTTGACTTGGTGCGTCATCGGCTTCAAACACTTTGACCAGTGGAAGACCTGCGCGTTTTGGACGACTCGGCTATCTACGGCCCAATGATGCAAGCCGCCTTAGGCCCTCAAATCAAAGTCATATCAATTCAGCTTGGCCATATTATCTAACCTGACGGCTTGTTGAAATATTGGCTCCCTGTATGAACAACTGGAGAGTGTCCTATCGAGCGTACCTTATTTCTGTAACTCGCCGTTGATAGGGAGAGACCCTTTTTTGCTTCCGTCTTGCGACTCCTCCATGCCCCATTCCTTGATCGTAGCTCCCTTTTTCCTCCCAGATTTATATAGAAGAGAGACGAAAACCGCCATTGGGACGAGAGCCAAAATATATACAATGATGTCCACTGGCCGCATGCTGGGGCCCTCATATTGCCCCTCAAGGTCTCCTTCACTCTTAAGCCTAAGAGGCACGGATAGGAGCCAATTGAACAAGAGATTAACTAATTTAATAGCCAAGAAAGCAAAAGAGAGAACACCAACAAATACGAACATATAGCCAGACCCGAACACTGCCGGTAATTTTGTCACCGGAGTTTTGTTCCAGTTCTGATCGATGAAGCCTCCATTGCGTCGTTCTGCAGCAAGATTATCAACCAACTTCGTATTTCTCTGGGAGATAATCGTCTTGATCTATGCTCTTGAAGTTAGAGAAAGTGTCATGTTTTCTCAACGTACTGCTTGTTTTGGTTTGCTTTACCATCTTTCGCTGAATCTTCAGCCTGCTTTGAGTATCAGCGACGAAGCTTTCCAGCCCTTCCAACTTCATGGCGAAAAAATGCACAGTTGAGACAAGCTTTCTGTGGATTTTTTCAATCGCTTCGCGACTTGAATCCTCTTGATCGGTCGTCTCGTTAACATCAAACACCGAACACATGTCCCAGAATGTATCCAGTGCTTCTTCAATCCCCTCCAGGACCACCCCGTAATCCTTTGTAGTATTTGACCTTGTGTCACTGTAGCATTCGGCCATCTCCCGAACTAGAGCATCTATGTCAAATGGCATGGAAAGCAGCATCACTTCGCTACTAGAGCCTGCTTCCTGACACTGAGCAACGTGGTGTTCAAGTTGCTCGAGGCGCGCACGGGCGTCATAGTAAGATTGTGTCCTATGCGGAGTCAATTGATAAGATGTTAAAAGAACCGGAAGCGAGATGGGATGGAGCATCTGCTGTGGTAAAGCTCTTATCTGGGCGACTACTTCTGATAAATTGGACTTTGGTGACCCCCTGAGGTATCCGCAAGTGAGTTTAGTTTGGAAAGAGTATGACAGTATCATCTCACAGACCTGGGGCTCTCCGTTATCATCTTCAAATGACTGGCGATGGGTCAAAGCTGTAGGTATGTGTCTGTTAAGCTTAATATTTCTCGACATTGTCTGACCATCGAACGAGAATAGAACACTTACCTAGATAAGAATCACCATCAATTCCGTCTTCGGCAGCCCAAAATGATGAACCAGCTATAGAGCCTGCATCGACACTTCTCTTGTTCAGATGAAATGCATTGAACATCTCCCTATAGAGCTGTCTAGGAAGGAATATTGCCCGACTGGTAGGCGTGTCAAGGTGAACCTCATTCGTCTGTATTCTGATGTACCTCGGTGAGTGATCACGCGCCACTTCAAGACGCCGAATGCAAAGGTGGATCTTACATCAGTCTAAGACCGCCAATGCATTTCACATTATCGCCCAAATGAACTGGTGGTTTAAATGCTCCCTATCGTGCATTCAGCTATTTAGCGCGACCAAACCACATTACCGCCGTGATATCTCAAAGCTTACTCGACGGTATAAGAACTCCGATACATTCTTCGAAAACAACTCATACTCCTCACACGTGTTGCACACTGGGTCCTAGATTATGTTGCGCTTAGAGCCAGAACTTGAGGAGCGATACGGAGGGGAGATAGTAGAAGCCGTAGCACAAACCGTGTAATTGAAAATATCGAGGCCAGTCGAAGCCTCAGGAAACTCTTGGCAGTGCTCCAGAAAGCTATCAAACACTTGGTTCTCCATTTTGGACTCGTGGAAGAACCGACGGCAGCCGCAATGAGGACGAGCAATGAGCGATTGGGCGGATGACGAAAGGATTGAGAACACAGAAAAATATCAACTTGCTTAAAAGCCGCAGGCATAATACATAATAACTCATGAATCTCGCTTCCAGTTAAAATCAGGGAATAATTGGCTGCCTCAGAGAGCATGAATAGGATTCTCCACGTCTGCAGGCAGCATTTATGCGCGTGACGTGGACACACATAACCGACCGCCCAGTCCTGCTGTAAGCTCCTACTAATTTTTCTAATAAACATATTTTTACTCCGGAGAAGATACGTAGTTCATATGGGAATTATGAATCATGGCGGTATTAGCTTTAAGTTGAGCCGTGGACTTGGAAATTGGGTTACCCTACGAATAAGCATTTAAGAACGACTGCTTGTTGACGTGCATTATGCAGCGCTTTGACAGTCCCACTAGCGGTTAATAATGGACTTAAGGCTAAATGTCTAAAATAAGTATACTCAGCTGTCAATTAGTAAAAGGTTGTTTGTATGGACTGGGCAATGTTTCCTTGTACAAGAGCTCTTTCGCCTTCCTGATGGTTCAAAAGATTTATTTTGAGAAGATATAGATAGAAATCTGTTTGCTCTTCAACCAAAGACTCTGCAAACACCAATAGCTCGATTCTTTACGACAGGAGTAAGGAAGAACTACTGATGTCTCAAGAGAGAGGTTGATTCTTAGACGCACATTTGGGGCCAAGCACTTTTGTGAGTTACGCTACCTTCCCGATAACAGGGTCCAAAGACAGAAGAATATGGGCCCATGACTGTATGTAGACCTATTTGAGTTCCTCAAAATCTCCTGGGAGAGTGAGCTCCTCCTTGCTGTCTGAAGCCGTCGTGCTACACGGTCCATGCTTTATAACCTGGTGAGCAGGTGCCACGCCATCCTTGAATGGGATTTGCAACGCAATTGCCGGAATATCCGATGGGTACTCTGTGTAATGGCCAACTCCCACAGTATCAACAGCTACTATCAGCCCATTTTCGCCGTCTCTAACCCATAACTCGTCATCGCCCTCTGGCAGGGTGATGTGGGCTGATCCCGAGAGCAAGGCGAAAAACCTCGACCAAAGTTAGTAATTGCTCCCGGATAGATAGCTGCTTGGGTAGGGGAGTGCTCACATCGGATGGGGTGGTTTGTGAAGGCCCTCTCCAGATCTGGGTGGTAGGACGACATATGAGATATTGGACACGTCTGCAAGGCCATTGACGGCCGACCCCACAGTCGGATATTCAGTAAAGGCAGTGGAAAATTCCCAGCATTCAAACGCGGCATTTTGGTCCTTGTCCGATACGACTGCTGTGAGCTGGAGGTGATGTTCTGAGGTACCAGAACGAGCACAGGCAACGCCCAGCATGAGCACGGCCAGTGAGCGAATCTGAAACGAGCTCATTTTTGGAACTTTGGTAGAAAGTGTAGTGCAGTCTTAGACTTTGCTTAGAATGGTAGCGGTGTGCTTTTAACCTGTGTAGGTGAGATCATGGAATGGAAGAGCTCCGACAACGGAAGCTTACGCGGTGTCATAATAGGTAAGCAAGAGGGGAGAGTTTAGACGGTTAAAAGTCGGTGGGATGGCTGAACCGAGGCAATCAACATCTCGAATAAGGAAGTGCTGGGGTTGTTAAAGGCAATGTGGAAGTGATACTCGATCCCTCACTTGGCTTACGGATCTAGTCACAGAGAAAAAGAAATGAACTAAGGAGCCGCCGGCATATCCGGTTTCAAATTACATAGATTGATCTTCTGGTCATATGGTCTTCAAAACTTAAAGCGATCTGGTCCAGAGAACATGAGATTCCTTCTAGGCAGCATGATCACCCAGAATTAAAACACGTTATTAGACTAGCACGCAGGTCCATTCAAGTAGTGGAATAAATCAATTAACTTGGCCACGCCACAGAGATATTTTCGAGGCCATATACTGAGCCAAGAGAAGTGTAAGAACAGAGAGTCCGGAATATACTCCATAGAATATTGCGGTGAGTTGATGATCCTATAAGGGAAAAGAGTAACATAAGTCAAAGGATACTTAAAGGTTTTGATTCCACATGATATACACGGGCAAATTGTAGGGAAGAACAATTATAAATGGTATCAAGGCCAGATTTTGCTAATTTTTATCATCAGATATGTCGCTATCAATATCAAAGATTCCCGTCGTTCACCCAACTTAGATAAGCTCCCCGATCCAGGCGTCAATGAAATCCCTTTGCTGGGCGAGCCACTGTTTCATCTCATCGGCATCAAAATCACGGCCGTATCGCTTATGCTCCATAATCTTCTTGAATTGGTGGCGGGAGCGAGCCTCAATAACATCCAACCTGTACTTTGAGTATTGGTAGTAGAGGTCCTCCTTATGGCTGATGGGACGGGAACCAGTAAGGATGAGCTCGTCGGTAACGAGGGGGTCCTTGGGGCGAAATGCTGTGACGATGGCGATACGTTCGGGGATTCCCTCGGCAGTGAGAGCAGCGTGCTCGATGTAACGACCTTGCATGATACATGAGGTGCCCATGCTGGGACCACGAACCTTCATAATACCACCAGTGCCCATGCGCATGGCTGTTTCGCCTCCGGTCATCCCAGTGCAGTCGGAAAGCATCGTCACACAAACAAATGGGAAGCTGTCGCGATGCCAGGAGAAAGCAGATTTCTCGGTGCGGTTGGCATCAACCTGGCCGTCCTCAAACCAGACATTGGTATGGCCAGTCTCCCAATCAGATGCAGGTACAAGATCAAGACCGGCAAGATCAGATATAACACGGAGAAATTCGGGACTGTTATAGGGATCGAAAATAAAAGGGGCGAGCCTTGATGGTATCAGTATAAGTAAGTAGCTATCGCCGGAACTAAGCTACATGGGATTGCACACTTACTTGGGACCGTAGCCACGGATCATATTGGAAGCGAAAGCGGAAGCAAACTGATTATTTTCAAGAACCTCGGGGCTGAAGATCTCGGCTCGCATCTGCTTGATTGCTTCTGGGGTAAAGAGGCTAAAGGGTTCTGAGGCAGCGGTGTTGGAGATACCCTCTCCGGCAAGACCGATTTCTTCCATGGTATAAAGCTTAGAGGGTTTCTTGAAGCTGAGGTGCTTCATAGCATCAAATTGGATAGGCTGACGTGCTAGACCTTCCTTGATCATGTATTGAGGAAGCTTCTTGGTAGGTCGAATAGGGTTGGCGTTCGTGGGTCCAACTACCTTGGGTGGTGCTTTGCGCACGATAGGTGTGGGCATAACTTGAATAACGGCAGGCATTTTGGTTCGTGTACGTCGAATTTGCTAGGGATATGTTTTGATGTGTTTAGGAAGTTGATGGAGGTACCGCTAGACTTTAGTGTTGGATCTAATGTTTGATGCTGGATATGGCTATAGGAGCAATGGTGTCCCGAAGAGAAGAGGTTATCCCTTTATATCTATTACATCTACGTGATGTGTTTCAATGACAGGCACTACCCTAGCTCCCGCCTGAGCTCCGCAACTCTGAGTTCCGGGAGGTCTAGCCCAGCCTGGTCATCTCCATGAGAACTACAGTGATACAGGGATCGGATGATACGAGCTCGCTTATCATACCAATTTATACGCTAGATGCACGAATGGCTGTTCCCAATCTATATAAACACATAAGATAAACTCCACGAGACCTGTGACAGGATGCTAGGCGGGTCCATACCTGCCGAGTGTTGCTTTGCTGTGAATCGGTGAAGAAGCCCTATCAAGAGTCACCTGGACACCCCCTCCCTATCCCCATGACCTCTCATTGGGAACACGTCTCGCTCATACATATCCAAATCGAGGCCTTGAATTAATTCTCTAATAGTTATTCGAACGACACATTGTGCATGATCACTCACGTGATCGGGCATCCCTCACGCCACCTCCCCGATGAGCTCAGCCGGCGGCCACGGATAGATGCTGAAATCCGACGGTGTCTGTTCGGAAAAGCTACTCATATATCCATAGCGATGAAGCAAGATACTAAAAGTATTACAAGCGGGAAATGTCATAGCAATTGATTAAAGAATCAATTATGAGCTCGCCTTGGACTTGGCCTGGCCAGAGAAGCCATGATGATCCGAGGCGGCATCTACGGAGTTGAAGCCGGGCAAACAAGCTTCATGTCTGAAACTATTCCAAATTTGTCCACAATCCTGAGAGCCACCCATATCTAGCTAATTTCTCTGCGCGTGACACGATTATGCGCTATTGAAATCCAGATTCGTATCTGCTCTTATCTAATAGAGAGTTGGGCATCGATGCAGTTGACTAAACCCTATCATGCACGGATGGGGATGGTTTCAGCGATGGTAAGTAACATGTCTTGTTGGGGATATCGTTATCAATAAACTCACTGGACGACGCTGAAAGAAATCAGAGCCTATGCCTTCTCCATGACTTTCTTAAATGGTTTCAATTGTTGGCTATGTCTTCAACTACTAGAGTATGCTATCGAAAGAGATGTCTCAGTTTCTGGAATATCTTCTCCTCCCGTAATCAGTGACATAAGAAGCATATGTCCTTTATGGCTCACAGGCAAAGGTAACGAGGCATTGCAACAGTAGTGGTTGAAGGAGCGACCACGATCGGAGGTTCAATCCGAGGGAGATAAGAGCGGGCACAGACAAAGCGAAGATATGTTTCCTCCTGGCAAGTGAACCGCCCGCAAATCTCGGCCTATTTCCCGGGCTTGCTGAATCATCATAGCTGCCAGCTTGTGAACTGTCTAGAGCTGAGTTATCTAGGGAGGACACTACAATAGAATTGTTATACGACTCAAATTCTCTCACACTAGGACAGTACAGTCTACAGAACAGATCGGTATGCAATCGCCCACGAATCATTGCGGAAGGCATAAAAAGCATTGATATAGATGGATAAGTATGGAGTGTGAGCAGGAGCAAGGTGACGCGTGGACCAGAAGAAAACTATGAGTTAAAGCACTGGGATCATTTACTAACTCTGCTAATGATCCGTCTATATGTAGGTACTATGTGCACCCGCAACCACAAGCCTTGCACGGCTTGCCCTTCTGGGCCTTTCCACACCTGGCGTTCTTATTATTATAAGACCACTCGCAATCCTGCCAGCGACCACACGGCGTCCATTTTCCATTGCCGCCGTTGTACGCCAACCAACACCATGGCTTGTGGTGCCATGGCTGCAGAACTTGCTCGAGATGAACATTGCAGTTTCTCCAGCACCAGCCCTTTGTGCATCCATAATCGTAGTCCGCGCCAGTTCCACGACCAGTCGTACCCGGGCAGAACTCGCCGCCTGACCACTTTTGTCTGGCCTCCAGCCCGGTTGACTCTCTGGGGCTAGTATCCTCGGGGATCTCATCGGGGTTGAACGCTTCCCCCGTGGAGCTCTCGAGGAGTTCGGGCATTGCAGAAGTGTTTTCGAGGGAGCTGCTAATATCAAAGTCGGCAGGGTGTTCTTTGCACTTGCGAAGTGCAGTGATGTCTGTGCCCTCTGGGAGGTCATTCAGGTCCCATTCCTGGACGCCGAGGGGGCCACATTCAGCTTCGGCAGCGGCGAACTCAGCGTCCAAGGGCGTGCAGAGCGCTGGGGCGGCAATCAAGCCAAGGAGGGCAAGAGAAGGTCTCATTGTGTAGACGGTTGAGTTGTTTTGTTTTGATATTTGTAGATGGGCTGAGTAGTGAGCATATTGACATAGAAATTGGACACCCTCTAAGTTTATATAGATGGGCTCTTGAGGTAAACGGAAGAGGCATTGTCCATGTGTAGCTGCTATGCATCCTTCGCCAAGTAAAACTGAAGCTCGGAGAAGGACTTATTTGGCAATAGGGTGACACTTCAGCAGCGTATAGACAAGGGAGAGTCAGTACAAGCAATGCTTCTAGAGCAACAACTCAATATTATTGTGAGGATTCCTCATTTCAGATATTCGTATTGTGGTTTACCGCTCTTTGAATGCATCTAGAATCATTAAGGTTGCTATTAGTCCAATAGTGCGTCGGGCAGTTCCTATTGTAGGCGTACCCGAGCGGGAAACGAAATTAGTCGCCGAACCAAGCCCCCACAACCCGGCGATACAGAGCTGGTGTTGCAGGCATAGGCTTATGACCTTGAGTATCACAAGCCCGTATGTCAGTCGCTACATGACGGTACTTCAAGCACGGATGTGTCGAAGTTGGCAACAAGATGGCTAATCTGTCCGCTCGAGTATATCGCAAATGTGTACTGGGCACTCATAACCAAACTCGATCGGAAAATCTTAGGCTTCTACGTCGATGTCTATGTCCATGAGTCTAATAAATACCTTCATATTCAGGTTCAATCCTTCTGGATATACCCAGGTCATTACACCCGGTATGCGGGCCGGTATGAGCGCTTGAGCTGGTAATATATTGGGTCTTCCTAGTTCACGGAGCCTCTGTTCCCTTGCCCGCTGTCAGAGCCGGGATTAGTGGATAAGAGTGAAGAGCCCAAGCTACTAGCTACGTGCGAGGCACCTGCTAGTTAAGGGTGATACGGCGGTGTTATTAATTTCTGAAACTTCCTCTCTATGACTGTGCGATCAAGATGTCTTATGAATAGGGGAAAATTACCCTAGTCACGTGATAGACGGGTTGGTCCTTGACACTCGCCATACGCTGGACAAACGCTTTTCATGATGAAATCATCTAGTCGTGGCGAAGACTATCTTATTGGCCGGACCTAAAGCTAAGAAATCGGAGGTTGTCCAACCTGTGTCTTCACATGAACCATGCTGATTAGTGCCAAGACCCAGTATCTGGCTACGGCTCGGAGAACATCGAGCCCATGAGACGGGTGTTGCAGAAATTTGACCCAGACGGTGTTTTCTCGAGCCTCCATTCTCATTCTGCGGGCTTTTAAGATTTTTGAAGGGCGGTTGTAAGTGGACAGTAGTGAAATTCAAGATAACTTAAATTGCTTATTAAAAATTTTTATCATTCTGTCTATTTTGCCCTCCTGCTATGGATAGCTCCCCTTGTCGTTTTCTCGTGTTCGGATTAATCCGTCGGGTCCATGTCACCGTACCTCGCCCTGACCGGTTGGTTAAGCTCTCCACCAGATTACTATCAGTAGAAAATAACATGTAAAATAGTAAATGCGAACGCGTTTCTAATCCTATGACAGGATTCATAAAGAAATATCAACAGCTATGAGGGAAAGTTTTCAGAAGGCAGTGAAGGCCACACAAATGATTTACGTTGACACATGGCATTTCGCGTGACTTGTGGAATTAGACTAGCCTCGGCTACTGTGGACAGTCATTCTAAACTTTGATTTACGCTTAGACAAATCGGCTTCGACATGCAAAGGTTCCGTAAAACCCCTGCTCGTAACAGAATCTCGCGTCCAACACACAAATTCCAAAGCTGCATATCACAGCCAAATGATATCTAATTGATTAATTGAATAGGACAGATAGCTTGGCCTCCAATTTGTAGTTAAATTACATCAATGATTAGTATACCACCCCTGCGCCGCGATAACCGCTTCAAGCCTCTCATCCATTTACCGTACAAGCTTTCGCAAAAGCTCGGGTTCAAACAGCCACAGCAGCTTCGGAGAGTCTTTGAAGTGATACATTGTTCTTCAATATGTCAGAAAGTTCAGACTAATACTCAAATATACGGTCTTTAGGACAAACCATAACTTTTAATTTCAATAGGATTGAGATCAGGGCTCTGCGGCGGCCAGTCTATCATTCTCTAATGCCCACCCACGCAGCTAAGTTTGGACTATTTGAGCCGTATGAGTAGATGCATTATATTGAAGGAACATCATTGCAGGTGACATGTCTTTACAGATCTAGAAATGCATGTTCGGCCCATGAATCTAAGTGACCTTACAATGCCCTTTGGGTGGGAACCTCGCCGAGGCTAATCCCCTGCTGGACTACATCGACGAAATTTACAAAGGTTCATGCTCTGTTATCTACTGAGAACAAACACAGGTGGACCATCCACTAAACTCACGAAGCTTGAACCTATGGGCGCGGCTGAAGCCGCCTTGGGCGCCTATCGAGCAGCCCTCGCAGTATGGAGCTTTAGGTATTGCTAGAGACCCCAAGCATCAACGTCGAGGTGCTGGGCTGTTTCTTCTTCAGGAAGGCCTGATTCGGGTTGATGAAATGGGGCTGGAGGTGTATCTGGAGGGAAGCCCCATGGCAGTGCCACTATACAAGAGGTTCGGATTCGAGGAAAAGGCATCAATCTCGTTGACATCCCCAGTTCAAAAACGTCAGCAGATCATCATGCTCCGAGAGCCTGTGCATGAATAAAATGGGGAGAAGCGTGTATCTGCATCGAGGCGAGGCTAGTATCAAAGCGCCAAGCGCTGAATCTTAAGTCTTCCTGTTGCTGTTACCTAACTATGCCTCCAGCTTCCAACAAAGTAACATTGAGCAAATGTCTCTCTAGAATTATCCCGAGTGGTCCGCTGATGCTTAATTTTCCATATAATGAGCATCCCGAAATACCGCCTTCCAAATACGAAAGCATACTAGAGACGCTTTGTCTCACAGATAGACATCAGTGATCATTATAGGAGGAGAGTTTGAAGACATTGTGATGGTATGTCTTTATCTTTCTAGTTTTTACATGATATGATAAAATCTAAAATAAAATGAAAAATGATATGCTAGTAATAAGAACAAACAATGTTTGAGAAAACTGAAAGATGCTCAAAAGGGAACAGGCATTGTTTACTTCCAATCTCCATGCCGTCTTTACTCCAGCACACCGGAGCTTTGCAGCAGCCATTTCACGTTTCCAATCACCTCTTCCTCGCTGCTTTCAGCATCCACAGGTAGAACATCGACCTCGTCTACACCGGGTGCTTCATAGGTCTGCAGCTGCCCCTCAACCATTTCTTTGCTCATATAATGGTCCTTTCTCGACTCGAGTCTCTCGAGTAGAACCTGCTCGGACGCCTGTAGATCCACAAATGCTGCCTTGATTCCTTTCTGTGAGAGCGTTTCTCGCAAATTGGAACGGTATGACTGCTTCAGTGCGGAGCACGAGACAACGGCGGTGGGATAGTCCAGGTCAAGCAGCACTTCTGCCGCATGTGTGGCCAGACGCGAGAGCCACCCAGATCGATCTTCATCGAGGATCGCGGTCCCAGAGCGCATCTTCTCAACGGCGGCACGTGTGTGCAGGCTGTCGCCTTCGACAAACGGCGACTCGATCCATTGGGCAATCTGCTTCCCGATGGTGGTCTTGCCAGTACCGCAGGGTCCAATGAAAATGATGGCGGTCTTGCCGCTGGCGGCACTGGGCGGCGACCACGCATTCTTCGTGAAGTAGCTGATGAATTTCTTGACAAATGCCGGATCGAGAACAGGTGCCTGGGCGAGCGCTGGGGACAGAGAGCAAGCCACTTCGGTGGCAAATGCCTTTGAGGGTGCAAACTCCTCCTTGTCATACTTGGACGCGAAGAAGTCCACGAGCTTGAACGGGGGATTGACCTTGGGATCTGGGTTCGATGCCCGAAGTCGACGGATCCATTCTTTGGGCTCAACTTCCTCAAAAGAGAGGCCTGTATCCTTGAGCGCGGGCAACAGATCCCGGACGAAATCAAACGTCTTGGGGTGCGTAACATTCGTGAAGACACTTCCAGCTTCAGAGAGCGAGATATCGGCAACCGCTTCGGCCACAATGTCGACGGGCAGCCATGATGGGGTTTCCTGCAACTTGGGCAGAGCGCCGATAGTCACAGCCGTCTGCATCAACATAGGAACCGCCTCTTGAGCATTCCAGACTCCGTGCTTTGTATCGCCGACGATCTGGCCAACTCGTAGTACTCTGGCTGTGACACCCTGGCTGGCAGCCTCGGCACACAGGTGCTCGGCGACAGATTTGGACTGCGCGTAGCCCATTCCCTGGGCCCATTCGAGGTTCGGCAGCTGCTCTGGGACCGGAACGACAGTTGACCGGGTGACAGTGCTCACGGACGAGCAAAAGTTCATGGAAGCCTTTGAAGCATGGCAGAGGGCAAGGAGGTGGTGCACACCGGCGATGTTGCCCTTTTCGAAACTTGTAAGTTGCATGTTGAAGTTGACCGACCAAGCACAGTGGATGACGGAGCGAAGGTTCTGCGACACCAAGGAGTAGTTTTCGTCCGAGAGACCGAGCTTCTGGTCTGCCAGGTCTGCAGGGAAAGCAGAGATCTTGCGCCTGGCCTCGAGAGACAATGTGTGGAAGATCTTTCGTTGGATCAATGATTCAACGACGCGCTTGTTTGCCGTCTCAGGGTTTGATGCGCGGACAAGGCAGTATACGTTTGAAATAGCAGGGTTTTCAACCAGCTTGGACAACACGTGGGCTCCAAGCGAACCTGTAGCTCCAGTGAGGGCCTTGAGGGAAAGTCGTATGTCAGTCAAAGATCCGAGACATAAGAATAGGGGTGATACTTACAACTGATGAAGCAGGCGAGGCTTCGAGAGTCTTATACTTCTCGATCAAACCTTGCATCTCCACCTCAATAGAGGCTCCTTTGTCTCCGCCCTGGCCGGTACTGAGGCTGTACAAGTACTCACTAAGCTTGGCAATGGATGGGTTCTCGAAAACGACATTTTGGCCGAGCTTAGTACCTTGACCGAGGTCGACATTTTGGAGGATGTGACTGCGCATCTGGATAGACTGAACAGAGTCAAGGCCGAGATAGAAGAAGTCTGCGTCGTCTTCAATTGATGACTTGGACAAAGTCTTGGTGATGAGCTCCTGGACGAAGCGGCGCATGCCAGGCTGATCTAGCTTCTCGCGGTCTCCGTTGCTGGCTTCCTGTTCATCATAGGCCTCTTCGATTTGGTCGCTGAAAGTCTTGTAGAAGGCTTGTCGAATGATACTCCCCTTGTCGGTGCGTGGGTATTGGCAGTCCGTCGGAAGCAGCTTAATCATGGTCTTGGATATACGGCCAAATCCGTCGACCGATGCGTTGGCTTCGTTGACTACCTCCCAGACGCTATCTAGGATCTCATCCTTTGACTTTACGGCCAGAACGGCAGATGGTACAATCAGAACTCCCAAATATGGGCGGCCGGCACCGAATACGACTGCTTCGGTGATGAGCTTGCTAGAGCGCATCTTACCCTCCATACCAACAGGGCCAAACTTCTCTCCGTTGACCAGCACGATGGTGTCATCGAGACGTGCGATGTACTTCCATGCTTTGGGAATAGTTGGGTGCGGTTCAAAGAGATCTTTGGTATGGTACGACCCATCAGGCTGGTTGGACTGTACCTTTGCAGGCCATCCATCCGTGACCGTACATTCAAACAGGTTGGGTCCTCGAGGGATCCATTTGAGATATGGCGAGAGAGCGTCATGCTCGCGCACATAGTTCCAGTCCTTGTCGTCGTTCGGGCGGAAGGAAGTCATGAGCTGACCAACTTCAGTACTGCGAGGCATTAGAACCCATTGTGATACGTGCTGCGAGATGAACAGATGTGCTTACGCTCCATAGTGGCCGACGAGATTCACGCCATTCTCGACCAATGCGTTCCCGAGTTCGTCTGGGCACGCTGAGCCACCGTACATGACCATTCGCAGGTCTCGGAGAAGACGGATGCCCTCATCTGCCTCGGAGAGAAGCTTGAGGGCGTAAGGTACGCCGTAAAAGATTTCAAACTTGTTCTGTCGAAGAATTCGTACCAGGTAATCCTGCGTCAACGGCAGGTCTGCGTTATAGAAATAGATGGGCACGCGGGCATATATCGCGCGGAATAAATTGCAGATGCCATGGTTGTGGTACAGTGGGAGGGTAATCAGAGCCTTCATTTCCATGCTCTTTGCATAGTTGGCAATGCAAGCCTTGTGTGTCTGATAGATGGGCTTTGGCAGACCCGTCGAGCCTGTACAATGTCAGTGAGGAGCTCCCAAACGATCTGGTTTGGCAACTTACCACTAGAATGAATGATAAAGGCAATGTTGTCTTGCTCGATCTTGGGGTCCAAGGCCTGGTCCAATTTGGTCTCGGCGTGGACTTCAATGGGAAACTCGAAGACGCTGCGAGGCGCAATCTCGAGCAATTCGATTGACATGCTGTCGGAAACTTTTCCTGCAAGCTCAAGGAAACGGGCTTCTGCAATTAATGTCTGCGCGCCCGTAACATTCATCAAGTTCTCGATGGCGGGCTGGGGGATTCTGGTAGAGAGTGGCAGAACAGTGTGTCCCAGCTTGGTGAGGGCGAGCAACGTGATGAGATATTCCAGGTTTGAGGGACCCAAGAGCGCAACGACTCTGGGCTTCTCCGCAGAGGAAGAACGGACCGGCAAGGACTGCTCATATTGCTTGGCTGCTCTCCAGGCGAAGACATCGAGTTGCTGGAGTGTGTAGTTGACAAAGTCGATGCCCGATGATGGATATGAGATGGCGTGAATGTCGGGATTGCTCCTGGCTCGTCGACGAACCAATGAGTCAACTGTGAAGAGATCGGAATCATCGCCGATGATTTCTGCCTGCGGGGGAAGAGTCTGTTCGCTCTCTGTGACCTGGAGAGCCCCTGGGGCGCTTTGAGCGCTAATTGAGGCAAGCATTTCGGATATCTTTGGAAGAGAATGGCCCAATCTATGCTAAAGAATGTGTGAAGACGAAATATCTATGGTCTACAGATCTCGTGAGGACCTCACTGCTTATGAAGAATGGTAGCACTGGAAATACCACGGCTACTGACATCGAGCTCCACGTATAAGGACCACATCTGGTTAGGAGGCATTAATCAACGACGGGATTATCAGCAGGTCGACGGAAAATTGCCCGTCAGTTCCCCCAATGAGGAAAAAAGGACATGGTCTCGAACAATTGCAGACCTGCGGTGCTCGAGTAGCAGCTCCAAGGCGGGGAACGGCGAAGCCCACCTTGGAGAAGTGACACTCTTTGCGGAGAGTGTAATGCTGGGCCATCACAAATTCTCTATAGAGCGGATTTTGCGGCTCCAATCTCAGCATGAGAAGGGTCGGATTTCGATATCACTGGCTGCCTGGTTGCGGGAGTGACGGTCATCCCTGAACGGCTCGTCTCAGTTTGGAGCTTCCCCGCATCTCCAACGGCTTAGAATAGAAGTTCGGGTGACGGCGACTTTTCCGTATATCCTCATCTGGTAAGCTCCATTGATCCCCCAGCGTGCACTAGAGCAGTCGGTTGTCACATCCGGCACATGCAATCCGGGGTGGGTGCGGGGGGTTGAACCATGGAGAGAGCAAAGATGAGTGAGTGACATGCTACGATTCTTCCCAGCACCCGATCAAAAGATCTATATCATCTATAACATGCTCCTAAACCACCAGAGCGAGAAGACAGCAGCATCGCCATCTTCCTTTCAGTCTGCACTTCACCCTCCATCTTGTTTTACGTTGTGATACCCATCCAGCCGTGACAATGGCCATTCCATCCGCCGAAAAACCAGACATCACAATGATTGATGACCGCTCGATCGACCGGGCAGACGCCGAGAAAGGGCAGAACATCCGAACCATAGACAACTTCCGTGTTCTCGGTTTAACTGATGATGATGTCGATTTCTACGAGAACTTTTCCGATGAAGCGCGGAAGAGAGTAGTTCGTAAGGTAATTCTTTTCTATTCTATTGAGTTTCGGGGCGGCTCTCGCTAAACATTGCAACAGGTTGACGTTCGCCTCATCCCCATGCTTGCTGTCCTGTACCTTATTTCTCATCTTGATCGTACGTGCAGCACGCGACTTCTTATATTTCTGTCCCAGATCTCTTCTCTGACCCTTGCATAGGAGCCAACATCGGAAACGCCAAGATCGAGGGACTTGCAGACGACCTACACCTGACCGGACTCCAATACAATCTTGTCCTCTCTCTATTCTTCGTCCCTTATGTCCTTCTTGGTAGGTGTTTCTGCAACCGAGCCTTGTTTCAACCACTAACATGCACTCAACAGAGGTGCCATCCAACATACTTCTTAAGAGGTTCAGCCGGCCTAGTCTTTATCTCGGTACCCTCGTCACATCCTGGGGCGTCATCATGACCCTCCACGGAGTGACCAAGAACTTTGGCGGCCTCCTCGCCGTCCGGATGCTCCTGGGCGTCATGGAGGCCGGATTCTACCCCGGCGCCGTCTACCTCTGCACCTTCTGGTACATGCCAAAGCAGCTGGCCACGCGCATCGCCTACTTCTACTGCACGAGCGCCCTCTCCGGCGCTTTCTCCGGTCTGCTCGCCGCTGGCATAGCGCAGATGGACGGCGTCGGAGGCTACGAGGGCTGGAGGTGGATCTTCATCCTTGAGGGCATCGCGACGGTGGTTCTGGGCGTCGCCTGCTTCTTCCTCCTCATCGACTCCCCTCGCCTCTCCACCGGCTGGCTCACACTCGACGAGATCCGCTTCCTCGAGCTCCAGGGCTTCATCAAGCAGGGCGGCCGCTTCAGCGACATCGAACAGGAGAAGAAGTTCAACTGGCACGACCTCAAGATGGTCCTCACCAACTGGCGCCTCTATCTCCAGGCCTACATCCTGCTCGTGCAGTCCGCCTGCAGCTACGGCACCAAGTTCACCCTGCCCACCATCGTCAAGGGCATGGGCTTCACCAGCACCAACGCCCAGCTGATGACCGCCCCCGCCTACGTTGCCGGTGGCATCTCGTCCATTCTGTTTGCGCGCCTCTCCGACCACTTCCACTGGCGCATGCCTTCTTGTGTAGCCCCTCTGACAATCATGACCATCGGCTATGGCATCATCATGGGCCTGCAGGGAGATCTCAAGGGCTCACACATCGGACCCGGTTACTTTGCCATCGTCCTCACCACAATCGGCATCTACCCGTTGAATCCCGCCGGAAGCGCCTGGGCAGGTTCCAACCTGGCGCCGACCAACCGCCGAGCCATCGGTGTCGCCTTCAACATCTGCGTCGGAAACCTGGGCGGAATCGTCGGCAGCTACATGTACCTTGACAAAGAGGCACCCAGGTACCAGACTGGTTTCGGCCTGTCGCTTGCCTTTGGCGGCACCGCCATCATCGTCGCTCTTCTTTTGGAGCTGAGCTATAAGCTGGGCAATGCTCGCAAGGCCAAGCTGACGGAGGAGGAGATTCGTGACAAGTATACTGAGGATGACTTGTTGAAGCTTGGAGATAAGAGTCCGTTGTTCAAGTATACCCTGTGAGGAGCTTCTCACATTCGATTGGAAGCGGTTTTTTATGAGGGTTGGATTTGGTACGAGCTATGTATGCATATGGTGTTTGTAATTTTAGTGCTGGCAGAGGGCTTTCCTTGTGTCTCAACCAGTCACAAGGGAATTCTCCTTGGTATATCCTAATTTCAAAAGTCCTATCTTATTTTTTCTTGTGCCGCATTTATGCTCGCTGAAAGTAACTATTAGATTATAATCAAAGCCCTACAAGCTAGTTTTGCTCCAACAGCTCACCATCATAAGCGATTATCTCCAGCTAGAAGAACACTTCCAAAAAGGCATCATCAATGAATATTGTAATTAAGTTCCAGTTCACTTTTGATGATGATGTGTTACAATAATGTCCAATTTCTCCTGTTCACTCCATGCCCTTCCACTATATCATAAACTCCAGCCTGCCAGATCTGACCAGCCGTTACTCACATCGTCATAATCAGGATGTGGCCAAAACGCCTATATCCAACGTTAGCTCTGTACCATACCACCAGCCATAACAAACTTACAGAAGAATCAAGCTGCAGCCAATCCGTCGTCTGCCAAGAATCCAAAAGGTCAAAATCAAGCATCGGCGTCTCCCCAACCGGCCCAACCACCTCGAGGTGGGCTGGCTGCGCGCCTAGCTGTCCGTCGACCGTCCCGCACTCCACCGTCTCGATCGGATTGTGCAGCGCTGGGTCGATTTCCAGCCTCGCCTGCTGGCTGGTTGCTGCGGAGCGGAACTCCTCGAGGATGACGGCGTACCGGCGACTGGGCGAGTTGCTCGCAGTGGCCAGGGCCAGATGCTGCTGGCACTTCTCCGCCAGCTCGAGCAAGTCTGTCCGAGGATCCGTCGCACCGCGGATTGGTCTTCCCAGGCGCCGTTGCTGTATTTCAAATACATAGACAACGAGGAGGGAGCAGAAAGTCACATAGTGCGTCCACCAAAATGCATGGAAGATTGGCCCATCCTTGGCGAGCTGGTCGACGCATTTCAGGACGGTTTTCGCAGCCGCTATACAGCCCTCGACATAAGGCTGTTGGATAGGATTCGAGTCTGTTCCACCGAGGATGAAGAGACGCGATGCGTGCATTATGGCGTGGGAGTAGGCAAGTTTGAGGACAATGGCTTGGCGTCGGAACGACACGATAAGCGTCGACGGCCGGACGGAGCCAAGGTGAAGAGGTAGGGAAGCGCGCCACTCGTGGATTCTTTGCACATGGCGGTACGCAGCATCAATTCGCTCTTGGTGCGGGATTGGTTTAATCGTGTAAACTTCCCTAGAGATCGAACCAATCATTTGGGCAATCTTGGCATGATATATCAAGGCCTCAATGTGGTAATCGCCCTCATCTTCATCCGGAGGTTCGCATGGCTCGGACGATCCCATGTCTTCATCATGGACGCAATCAGGATAATCTTGATCTATGTCGTCGTCATGGAAATGGCGCGGTCGTCCAAGAATTACGCCCAGGTAATTATCCAGGATATACGCAGTCCAGAACGTGCGCATCCGATACTGGGAGTGGATGTAGTCTCCTGACACGTTCTGTCGCTTAGACTGCCCTCGTCGGTGAAGTCCAATGGCCGAAATTATCTGCAGCGTGTTTCCAAACACATACCATGCTCTATTGAAGCGCGACGTTATCAAGAGATAAATCACCTGCACCAAGCGTGCCTGTGCCGACTCCAACTTTGGGTGCCCTGTTTCATTCTCCGTCAAGCGTCCGGCGACCCCGAACAAGACATCTCCGAGACTTGATGTTCGGTCAACGCCCCCTATAGTCTCAGACTTTTCATGGTGAGAGATAGCTATAGCCAGAGCCACAAGGACAATCGCCGCTCTCGGGCGACCAATCTCATGCCAGACCGGGAGACCCTCCTTGATATTGTGCTCAACAACAACAAGCCACCTCTCAACCGCAGGTCGATGCAAAAACCTGTATGTTGCTATGCAAACATCAAAGTACAAATCCAACAGCATACGGTTCTCAGAGGGACTCGGGAGTTGAAGCCTCGCGGCTTCGTCTGCTTCTGGCAGCGGACTGTCCCCCGCCATCGTGAGTGGCTGGCTCTCCGCCGCACGCTTTGCATTATCTGACCAAGACTCAGTCCCCTGGGACAGAAGCTTCTTCCAGGCACGATGCAGAAAGGTAGGGCTCGACGTGGGATCCAGGATCTGGCCCTCGATCTCAGCCATGCCGAGCTCGGGCGACGCACGAGACGGCGCGGTGCTCACTCGCAGCGGCGGGTCGATATGCGAAACTACCAGCTCCTCCTCGGACGGAGGCGCCAGCGAGCTTCCCTCAGGATAGGGGTGAGACGCAGATCGCGGCGGCGTAGGGGGCCGCCCCCTGGTGTACGCCGAGTCGAACCGGCACGGCTTCCCTCTGGCCTTGCATCTGGCGCAGGGCTGGTTGCCGCTGCATTTAGTCTTCCTCGACTTACAAAAGTCGCACGCGCGGCTGACCTTTGGATTTCCGCGATTGGCCGTCCGCGGCGTCTCGACGGCATTCGAGGATGAGGCTGAGGGATCGGAGGGTAGTCGGCTTCGTTTCCTAGGCGTAGCGACCTCCATCGACCTCGAGAATACGATGACCCGAGGGCCTCGATTTCTTCCAGGGGACGGGGAAAGCGTGGCTTCCATGTTGTTTGGAGAATGTTGGGATGGTTTGACGATCGGAAGAGATGTTTTGCCCCAAACGGGGTAAATGGACGGAAAAGCGGATGCGGGGAGGGAAATGCGGGGGAGTCTTTTTGCTGACTCGCTCCGGACGGACAAAGGGCCTTGCCCAAGCCGAGCCTGGTCATTCTCGTTCGTGGCTCGGGCTGGCATGAACCTTAGTGCTGTCGCTATTGACGAGGCTGTGAGGCTGAGACTCTGATCTGGAGATGGGTTACTTGGATGGAGACATAATTACAAGCCTGCACATTCAGATTGAGGGCAGGATATGGTGGCTCAATCACTTCGAGATAGTCAGAACGACGCCTACAAAGCAGACTAAAACATGCGAAGGGGCGGTGGCACTTAGGTGTTAAGGTTCACATCGCCAATGACGCTTCAAGCAGATCATGACCCGAGAGATGCTTGTCACCGAATGGGAGAGCACGAGGTATCGTAAATGGAGACCAGAGAAGCACTACGAAGAAATGGCAGAGGAGATCATCGTCGACCTGAACCCGTGTACTTAGAACAGGAAGTGCCGCGACCGTTGGCAGGGAAAGGCCGACGCGATTATGGAAGCGATCCGAATAGGAGACGTTGAGAAAGAGTAACCAGCGAGAAAAGCGTGGCAAGCTGCGTGGGGGTTGATCACAGGAAAGACCACGAGTTCAAAGACATAGAGACTCGAGAGCACATAGCCCGGCGACAAGCCCGTGAGCAACGCGAGGTAGCTCAGGCTGCCCCGGTGCCAGAGAACCAATGCTCCAGCCATACTCCGCCAGGTCCGATGAAGCCAGGGCAACAGTCCACAGCAGAGGCGACGCGTCGACAGACGCTTCACCACCATTATCTGACAGCACCCGAGGGGCTATGATCGACAGGCGTACGAAGGGATAAACGAGTCGGGCTAGAGAAGGAACACGGCGCAGTCGGAGGAAGCGCGAGCTAGAACCAAAGTTCGAAGGACTCAAAGGTTCAGAAGGGCTTTGCGCCGTGCCATGAAGGCCAAGGCTTGGAAGATGTAGATGAGGCTCGGGTTTCCCTCTCGGTTTTCCCTATGTGTAGGGATGGGGGCATGCAGTTTGTCGTTGCATCCTCGAGGATAGCTCCAGGAGCTTGAGTTTCGTGCCATCGTTCGGATCACCGTGCTTTCGTATGCCGTTCTCAAGTGCGATGGAGAAGGCTAGCTGGTCGTGTCAGGTTGAGGCAGAAGCAAGGAGCTGCATCAGTGGAATGGGATCTCTCGTTCTTGTACAAGTGATGCTGTCGTCGCATCGAGGGACGGATCAGAAGAACATGCCAGGAGTAGCTGCTTCAAATGGATGGTTCCCAGGTAGCCAGCGGCACTCCCAGTAAGCGCCAGCGTGAGACACTGGGCACTAAAGGGGGAGGCCGGCTGCCGGTTACCATGGCAGATAGGTCGATAACCTTCTGAGTAGGCATGGATAAAGAATTAAGGTGGTGTATTACGCCCAACAAAGAGGTTCGACGTGATTAACGGACAAGCAACGGACAATGTTCGTTGCCCCTCAAAAAGTCCTGTGCATATCGCCACGTGACCACAGGCGATAACGGACAACCATCGGACCAATTTCAGCACTCATTGTGCCTACCCTAAACACAGCCATCACGGGCATTGGAGCAAGCAATTGCCGCATCAACGTGAGTATATAATTTATAACGCGGATATACGCCCTGTATATTTCGTATGCTTGATGATTTCCTTTTCATTTGACTCATTTTGGAAATGGGACCCCCCTATGCGATGTTTACCTCTCCGTGCGACTGCCGCAATCTTGACTGCCATAAAGTAAGTAGGATTCGACTTGCTGGCGACGGAAAAAAATTGTTGATTATACGAGCTTTAGACGCGTCTTATATTATAACAACCTTTTTTTAATTAGAAGATATCTTTATATGTCTATGGTAATTTTTTTCTCTCATTTGCCAAACTTTTTCAAGTTCGCGGGTCCAGCCTCCTGTGCAATTCTCTTCACCTCCGCCTCGCCAACCTCCTCAAAGATGTCGAACCCCCATTGCGATTGCCAGTGCAGTCGCTTGTTACGCTCCATGCCATTGAGCTGCTCAAAGACATCCTCAGGCAGCTTGTGCACCTGCAGGTTGGACTCGATGCGGCTCGGCGTGACACTCTTGGGCAGTACCACATGGCCGCGCTGGACACCCCATGAGTACAGAACCTGGCCGATGTCGAGGCCCGTCTTCTTTGCTATCTCGGCGACCAGCGGGTCATCGACTGTGCGAGGCTCGCCGATCTGATTGTTGCCCAGGGGGGAATAGGCCGTGACCTGGATGCCCTTCGATTGGCAGTACTTGAAGAACTCGGGCTGCTGGAAGTAAGGGTGCACCTCGATTTGGTTCACCGCCGGCACGACGGTGGTTTTTGAGATGAGGTTGTCTAGCCTGTTTTTGTTGAAGTTCGAGACGCCGATTGCCTTGACCTTGCCTGTCTGGAGAAGCTTCTCCATGGCCGTGTACGTTGTAGCGGGATCAATGTCTGCGAGCTCAAACAGTCCCTCGGAATCAATAGGAAACCAGTCATCCCCAGATTGGAATGCTCTTGTAGCGGAAATGCGATATTAGCGTTGGATTTTGGTGGCCAGTGGCATGCGGCAACTTACACAGGCCAATGCATCAGGTAGAGGTCCAAGTATTCCACGCCAAGATCCTTTAGCGACTTATCCAAGGCACCCTCGACATCCTCAGGAGCATGCTTGGTATTCCACAGCTTGCCGGTCATGAAAATCTCGGAGCGGGGGACACCACTTTTGCGAATGCCCTCACCGACCTCGACCTCATTTCGGTAGATGGCTGCGCAGTCAATGTGCTTGTAGCCGCATCTCAGAGCGGCCTCGACGGCCTTCTCGACTTGGCCTGGGGGAGCCTGCCAAGTCCCGAAGCCCACAGCTGGGATTTTGGCCCCTGTATTCAGTGTAAAATGTGTAGGAAGCGCCATTGCAATCGCTTTTGATTATTAATACTGGTTTCGGGACAAAGCTTATTGTGTAAGAGAAAGAAATCGACGGAAATTGAAGGCCAGCCTGATTTATTTGACATGTATTTGAATACGGCATCATAGGATATCACTTTGTCTTTCCGATCACCAACTTTGCCAGCATGAATGTGGCGACGGATTAAAGTCCGAGTCCATGTTGCTCCAAAGGCCACGCCGCTAGCCGCTGGTATATGCCAAATCCGACGTAGTTCAATCCTTGGGTACGGCATGGAGGCCTGCTTCCAGGTGCATTTGTAAAAATCCGACAACTCCAGTGAATTTTCTCCAGTTGAGTGGAGAGGGCTGAGTGAAGACTGAACGAGGACCGAGTCATCTCGATGGTCCCGCCCTTAACGTGAAATCCACGAACCCGCCTGCAAACTGAGGACTCAGTCTGGTTAGGTGGATAATGGCGTCTGCGCTAATTTTTACAAATTTACAATTGAATGGCCTTTCGGATTAAGTCATGTAGGCGGAGGATGTCGCCGGGTGGTTTCCGTAGGCAGTTTTGAGACTCATCTAGATCAAAGTCACTTGATTGATGTCTCAAGTTAGAGCATTGACGCTGCTGGCCTCCACTATGAGATGCTGGAGTTGGATCAACAGCTGCTACACTTATCAAAGAAAGGTAGAAATGAATAGCTAATATGAATAATAACTAATCCAGACAGACGGATTAATGCTGAGGAAACATCTCCATAATGCGGCCAATGTTTTGAGAAAGTGTACCTTGCAGGAGGTAATGAGGTTGATACTCTTCCTCTCTGAAAAGATCTCGGCTCTGAATAATGCTGCCTGGAAAACGACTGTTGACGACCTGCAATCTTCATTGAGACACCTGCGTCATCTTATCGATGTATTCTGGGAATAAATGTGAACAGCTTGCTGCACACCCCGATTCTCAAGTCACATGAGCCAGGACATGACAACTTGTGCAGCTCTATTTTCGCCCATTGGATGTGCTGGTCAAGGTAGCAAAGAGCGAAGTCAAAAAGGCAAAGATAAACGCAGTCCTATTGATTAGAGTAACATCCAGGATTGAAGTTGGCGTTTCTCACGTAAGTCTGCCATTATACTACTGCAATTACTGCTGGGTGCAGGCAATATGGGCAGTGCTCAGCAAGCCACAGAGTCGGTGAGTGTTCAATGTGATGGTCTCGACCAAGTGAGCTCTTGGCGATGCAGCTCAGCCTCACCTACCGCAACGCTATGGAGCTAAAGCGGACGCCACTTTGCCCAAATTGCCCGAGCGTGCGTTCTGAATACGAGGTATTGAGGCATCTGTGAATGAGATTGGTCGCCGAGACTTACCCTTTCCAAGACAATATTGCTCTTCGGGGACTTGATTGCATAGCGTATGAATCTCGAATAATACAGAGCGTCGAGGGAGTTCTGATACTAAGATGATGAATGAGTCTTCACATAGTAAGCTTTGTTATCAACGATTTCGCCATTGATGCAAGTAATTTATCATGATAGAATTAGAAAATAGAATAAAAATGGCCGAGCTACCATGATCTTGCTTCTTGTGAGTTGGACGCTTATGTTCTGAGTTCCTCATAAATCATTCTGTCTCATTACGAGACACGGGATACTGGACCGTGCATGCAGCACGTGGAATGCAGACGCATTGAGCGCAGCTGAATCTCCAGTGGCTAAGATGCCCAAATGGCACAAGTACAAATACCAAACTGATTTCTCTTCTTCTTCTTGCTGCTCTCTCTCTTCCCCCACAGCTCAATTGCTAATTAGCGTTCGATATCTTTCTGGCACGTCAAATTCTTTACCTCCACTACTGTTCAATCACTTAGAAATCATGAAGATCACTGTTTTCGTTCTCATCGCTGGTCTATTCTCCTCGTTTGCCGCGGCCAAGCCTGCGAAAACTACATGTACCTCCACCTCCCGTGCCCCCGAATACACACAGACTTGCGCGCCTGAAGGACGTAGGTACTAGGAACTCTCAAACAATACCACATCTCTTTGCTGACACTTGTGTAGGGGTTTGCAAGAAGTTTACGGAATGCTGTTCGCGATACTGCAAATACGGTCTGCCCGGCACGTCCATGGGTAGATGCATGCCCTTGAATTGATTTTGATCATTAGGGTGTAGCTCTGAAATGATTTTGATGGCGGCTACCGTTATCGTAGAGCCTCGAAGAATGGACTGGTTTAGTCGTAAACTGTTATGAATAAACTACTTTTGATCCTTTGTATTGCCATGAGGAGAAATGAAAAGGGTGTTTAGTAACAAAACGAAGTAGTTAAAACTGCCACGCGGGGATGGGAGTGTATACACCAAGAGACTACAGATTTTTACAGTTATACATAGCCATCAGAGCCTATCATACAGTTAGATATTATTTCTTCTCTCTTTGTCAGTGTATAGCTGAAAGTATAGCTTAGCAAGTTACATCACACCATACAAGCAGGCACCCAAGTGACAAACAAGTTGATACAAGGGCTCCCAGCCATAACTTCGGTCAAGTCCGACCATCAGATAGTTGGCTTCATTTAGCCCATCACGGAACCTGACTCGTCGTGGGCAGTTCTGGTTTAATGGAGATTTACTAACCCTCTTGTTCAAAGCCTCCAATAACTTAACATTATTTCAATATTCTATCTGGCCTGTTATTGAGACAATGAATTTTGGACATGTTCCGTATTTCAGTGCACCCATTAAAGGATTTGTTCCATGCCTCTACTGATGCATTTTTTGGGGGTGCTTTCTGTTGAACATAAAATCGAAAGAGGGCCCTGGGCTGAATAGGCAGTCAAGGCATGCCAGGAGTCTAGAACATTTGTTACCCGACAAGGTATATTATAGAATGTTATAGATACTTTGATGCATACATAGAGGACTGTGAGGGTATTTGTAGAGTGTAATTGCAGCGGGGCACAGCTCGTGAATGGTGGAAAAACTTTTTCCTTGACCCGTAACTGTTCTCTAACTTGCACATCCCTTGTATTGCGGTTTCTTAAACTTACCAGCCCAACTCTGTGAAAGTAAGTGGAACAAGCCAAAAGGGGAACTGCTATGGCATCATATGATGAAAAGGCTTCATCTGCAAGACACAACTTCCTGCAGGATAACAGTGCAGTCAAAGGATGGATGGATTCAAATCGTCATTTAACCCTTGCTTGATGTCGGGACCGGAATCTCGCTTAGATTTGTAAAGATGAGCAAAGCAGGTTTATCCAAGAAAAAAGAAGATTCCTCCTTGCTAATACAGCGCTTAGCCGCCCGTCGACTCACCGTAGGCCTTGCATCTGGTCTTCTGGGCGGCGGGGCCAGAACGGAGAATTTGCAGGATGCGTAAAAACTCCAAGCCAGTTGGCTCATTCACAATCTCGCTGACCCGTCCCTGTTTCAGGATGGCCACTGACCCTGGCACACCATGGCCCCCACGAGCGACCGAGCGATTGTGATCGGCTCTCGTTAATAGCCAGCGACTGACGTAGTTTCTTCAATTCTGGTTTCGATTGGCCGAGGAGACGAAATATTAGATGGTTTCTGTCAGTCAAGGGGCAAAAAGGTGGTCAAGAATACATAGATATAGACCTTGGCCAATTAATGAGTTCAGATAATGCTTGCTAATCCTCCTCTTGACTTGATATTCTTGACTGTCGACAGCCCAGAAAAAGTGTCAGCACAAAGAGCGCAATCGATTAGAGCCACCAGATCGCAACTGAGGTGCCCTTGCGTGAGTCTCCGCCCACCTGGAACACTTGGATTACGAACGGCGGTTGCCACACTGGCCGATCGAGATACAGAAACAATCTCGGTGGATGTATCTCCGAGAGCAATCGTAGATGGAAGGCAGAGTATTACTGTGCCTTGGCTCTGGCGTTTGTCCTTTGGTGCGGTGCGTGCTTTCGATTTTCAGGCTGGTGCAGGCATTGATGGTTTCATCCCCTGCCAGACCAAGAGGAATGCGCATGAGAGATAAATGAGCCAGCCAATTGCGGCACTGCGATTGTTAAACACGCCTACGGTAATCTGAAACAGTGCCGTGATCCTATAGACAGTAATGGATTAGTGTTGCCTCCGAGCGGGTCAGGGAAGGCCTGATACACTTTCTCTAACAGGACTCTCTGACGCCGTTCTAGATGCGTGCCTGTCAGATTGTGCAATGGGAGAGGGACAGATGAAAGGAAGACTGCTTCTGTGGGACCGCACCCTTGTCAAGCAAGGACCCTGTTGGAATCATGCTCAAACCTCCACCTGCCAAGAGCGGCCACGAGGGAGATGGGGATGAGACTGAAGTCGTTTGAATAAATATCAGACGTCGACGGGCATGAATCGTTCTGTCTGGTTCACGCTTCTCGCTAAGCTTAGCTTTCCTTTGCAACTTTCGCACCTCCGCAGAGACGGTCGTGTTGTCATTCATTTCTTGTGCAGTCAGTTAACCCCGGTGGTTAACGTCCTTTTCCTTCGCTTTCCAACACACTGCTCGAGGCAGTCTCCGAAATCCAGTCTTTATAAACCAAAGAAACTAAGTCTTTCGAACGAAAAAGCCTACCCATCATGCGTTTCAACCTGGGATTAGCTAGCCTTCTGGGGCTCGCTGGATCGGCCGCTGCTCAGCAGACCTGGGCATTCACCGATCCCAACACCGGCATTGATTTCCAACACTATTTCTCCAAGGACTACAGCTTTAGCATTGCGGTCCCCGAAACTCTGGGAACTGACTTCATTGGCCAGCTGGTGGTCCCTATCACCTCGACGGGAGGCTGGGGCTCTGTGTCGCTGCGAGGTGGCATGTTGAGAAGTCTGCTGTTTGTTGCTTGGGCAGACGGGGAGGACATCAAGACCTCGTTCCGAATGGCTGGCTCATATGCCAACCCTGATGTCTACACCGCAAGTACTGTCAACGCATTGCCAATTGCCAACGGAACTTTCGTCAACAGCACCCACCTGTCGTACACCTTCCTCTGTGAGAACTGTGTCAACGCGACCGTCACCAACCTTGCCAACGAGACCCCTATCCTTGGATGGGCCATCTCTGCTGAAAACCCAACCACCGTCACTGATTCTGCTAGTGCTCTGACGTACCACGCTGCCGGCTTCGGCCAGTACGGACTGAACATTGCAGCAGCCAAGTCTTCCAAGTATGCCACATGGGCCTCGTGGGCATCCTCAGGAACAACACCTACCCCTCCTGGAACCACTCCTGGAACTCCTGGTGGCAACAGTACTCTGCCTACACCCATCACTTCCAACGTGACCTATGATACCATTGTCGTCGGTGGTGGACCTGCTGGTATCATTGCTGCTGAGCGCATTGCCGAGTCAGGAGCCAGCGTTCTTCTCATCGAGCGTGGACCTGCTAACACGGTTGCTCTGGGGTCGTCTCTGGGTCTCCCATGGAACAGCAGCCTGACCCCCTACGATATTCCCAGTCTCGGAAGCAGCTTGACGAGCATTTCTGGCACCACATTCTGCAGTGATACTGCTTCCACGGCTGGTTGCCTTCTGGGAGGCTCCAGCTCCGTCAACGGCCTGAACTTCATCCGCCCCCCTCAGCAAGACTGGCAGCGCTGGCCCGCTGGATGGAAGTGGGAGGATGTTTCCGAGGCCGCTGCTCGCCTCTATGAGCGCAACCCCGGTACCACAAACCCATCGGCCGATGGAAAGCATTACAACGATCACACTTACCAGGTTCTCTCTCAGTTCCTGGGTGCCAAGGGCTGGGCTGAAGTTGACTCCATCGAATCACCCAACGAGAAGCACCAGGTGTTCTCCCGCCCCGCGTGGTCTATCAAGGATCACCTTCGTGCTGGACCTGCCAGAACCTACATGCCCTTTGCCCAACAGCTTGATAACTTCACCCTCAAGCTGAACTCCAAGGTCATCCAGGTTAACCGAAATGGCAGTACCATCACTGGTGTTCTCACCCAAGAGGCTGACGGAAGCACCCAAATCATCAACCTCAAGGCTGGTGGCAAGGTTGTTATCGCAGCTGGTGCTCTTTCCACTCCTCGTGTGCTTTGGAACTCGGGTATCGGCCGAGCTGCTGACCTGGCCATTGTCAAGAGCGGTTCAGCCCAGACGGGTGTCACTCTCCCCGCCGAGGCTGACTGGATTGACCTTCCCGTTGGTCACCATCTCCAGGACCACGTCCAGGTCACTCTCAAGTTCAACGATGCATCCAACTTCACTGCCTACAACTTCAATGGTATCGCCACCGACCCCATTGCAGATGATCTGGATCTCTACTACCAGGGCTCCGGTGTTATCACTCAGGCCGCCCAGCGCATGCATCTCTGGACTTTCGTCGATAGCGCTGATGGCCGCAAGCGTTTCCTCCAGGGAACTGCCAGTGCCATGGCCTCCGGTGTCATTACTGTGCGCACCTTCTTGACCCACGGCACCTCCACAGTGGGCAAGCTCGGAATCTCTGCTTCTGGAAACACTGTTCTTGAGACTAAGCCCTGGCTGATCGATGACAATGACCGAAAGGCCATGTCTGACTTCGTCCAGTTCTGGCTTGATCTCACATCGACCAACAACTCCACTCTGACCTACGTCGCCCCCGATTCATCGGTCGAGGACATCATCTCCAAGAACCTGATCAGCGGTGACCACTGGGTCGGCAGTGCCAAGATGGGTGTCGACGACGGCCGCCAGGGCAACGGCACCAGCGTCGTGGACCTGGACACCAAGGTCTACGGCACCGACAACCTGTTCGTGGTCGATGCCTCCATCCACCCCGACCTCCCCACAGGAAACACGCAGTCCATCATCATGATCACTGCCGAGCACGCCGCCGAGAAGATCACAGGCATCAAGTCCAGCCCGACCACGCCTGAGACTCCTTCAACCCCCACCCCTTCAGCTTCCTCGACCCCTGCAGCCTCCTCGGCTCCTTCTTGCCTCAAGAAGCGCCATAGCAACCGCAGCAAGCGCACCTTCAGGTTTTGAGGGATCTCGGGACCTTCTTGATGAAGTTTTCTCATGACTGGGTCGTAGAGACCGGTTAGATTTTCTTGTATTTTCTGCTAAGCATTTTGTGAGCGGCAACTGGTCGCCGTTTAGATATTAGAGTAAAAAACTAAAATGTATAAATTTTCTACTGATGACCCATATGACCCATTCTACCACTAATTACTGTGCTTTCCGACATGTCTTTATAATTTGGAGCAAACGCCAATACGGGTTGAGTCGTGATTGAGTACTTCAAAGTATTTTACCCATAGCGTGCGCTTCGAAGAAGACATGTTAATCAATAGACAAAAGAGCCGTGTTGGCTAGCTGGATTGGCCATAACAAAACAAACGATCTAGTACCCAGCGCCTAGAGCCTGACGATTAATCCTGCAAATGGGGTGATCTTCTGTTGGTATTCTCCAACTCCAGAGCGAACCAGAGAGGACCTCACGGAGAGCGCAAGACTGATAGCATGAGTTAAGAACTTGACTAGCCCATACCTAGCCGTGAAAGCCCTTGATAAATCCGAGACTAAGAAATGGCAAACAACTTCCCGTTCGGATGAAAGAAGAAAGGCTAAAGTCGCGGAGCATATCCTAGCACCACACCACCGTTATCCATCACCATGTTGATTGTTCAATCAGAATCGTCCCCCAAACACCATCACGGGTGTCAGCCGTTGACCCCTCACGCGACCCCCTTCAACCTATGGCTCGACCTGATGTCATAATTACGACAGTAGCATCGACATCTTTTGTCAGAGTACAGTCACATTTGATCGAATTACCTATAATAATATTTGCTGCTCCCCGCAAGGGGAAGTAATGTTTCGCGGACCTCATCAGTGGTATTAGCCATCGAACCCCGCACATCCAGCATATCATCAACAATAGCCCACCATGCCTACTGCTGCTGAGAGAGCAAAAGCAAAGTATCAGGCTGTTATAGACAACCCGAATAGGAATGATGCTTCAAGTAGGGTCCCTCGCGCCCAAGAACTGACTACTCTGCTCACTAGAAAAACAAATCAGATTACAAAAACCGGATGATGACAACAAGGCACCCTTCTGGCGGTTGTGATGTTACAAACTCGGTCACTCGTCGCCCAAGCCAAGGAAGTGAAAACTCTGACCACGGTCAGATTCGAAAAATGGTCAAAAATTGGATGTCTCGTCCGGCCTTCTAAGGTGGGAGGTAGCCTCTTTACAGGTACAACGAAAGGGTGATGCATCTCTTTCGCGTGGTAGATATGTGAATCAACTGTCTATTGGACACAATCCCACACGCAATGTAATTCATAATGTCACAATTTTGACCTTGTGAATGGAAATCGAAGCGCTTGAATCTTTTCCCCATTCGGCCACCGTTCACAAACATACTGTCGTGCCACTAGTCGAGGAATTCAATGAGTTGGACTGCCAGCTACAATGTAACCACTTGTTATTAGAGATTTGTGCTGAAGTTAGGGATAGTAGTGCTAATCAATGCTGTCCTTTTATTCCGGGCTGTACCATAGATCATAGCGGTAATGAATTGTAATGAGGCCAGGTCTCTGAGAGAACATTAGAGCCACGCACACAATATAGTTAAAAATGGGATTGCGTGCAGTGATAGATTGCTCGCCTTTCAATCATTAAAATAAGACGGACGAACACAAAAGAGCTCTGTTTAACGGCTCCTCGTTGCTTTGTTTGAACATTTCCCATTATGGTGGGTTATTTGGTGCTGATTTCTATTTCCGGACCCAACAGCATTCAACGCAGAGACATTTCCAGAATATGATTTGAAAATGACTCTTTCTTTTAGTGTTGCTGTTGGGGAAGAACGTAAACATGCCCTATGGCTTTTTGCCCTCTCATAAACAAGGAAAACCCTAAGATCAAACCCACCGGTGAGCGCCATCACAACAATACCTGGACCTATGACACAAAGAATAAACTTCAAAGGCAAAAATTAATAGGCTAGGTATAGGTTTCAATGCCCCCAGAACTGTAAAAAGAGCCGGAGTGGTATCGAGAACTCTATGTGCCGCTTCTAACTCACAACGTCCCATCCCACCCTGAGAGGAAAACATACAATCATGAATATGAGTTTTTGATGTATGTTATAAGAAAACTAGTGTTCTCGATAGACAATACAGAATGAAATCTAGACTGGCATTCTGATTCAAATATTATTTACGGCTCTATCGTATGTTCTAAGACATCAGGTGGATTGTTAAGGAAGAATAACAATCAATATGCTGAAGGCGCTTTCTTTTGTTAATGAGGAATTTGTTCGTTCTTGAACAATGGATGTATTCACGCAATAGACTTTTTAAAAAGCCTTTGAATAGATGTGAGTTCTTATAACCATCTTCTAAGAGTAGTTCGTCGGTCCTTTGTTTCTTTCATAGGTTAATAGATGTTCAAAGTTCAGCATAAGCCACGTTCACAAACTTCTTATTAGTCCGCCTACCTTGTAAAATACATCGAGTATAGATTCTAATGAAAATAAGCAAGAACAGAAGAAGTCTTCCCTCGCTACGATGATCGATACCATACCAAAAACTTCTTTTGAGCCCGTCCTCATTGCACTCCTGGTGCTAACTTCCCTCGTTGTTATTCTCCAACTCGTTTTTACCGCCATTATTCGCAAGCCATTCAGTGGTGAGGATATCTGGTTATTATTATGCTATGTTTTCTCGTTCACCTGTGGTCTGATATACATAGACCTGTTAAAAGTTTACTTTCGAACTATTGATTTGGCAGGTGGGCCATACCCTGACACAGAGGGTGATGCGGTTTTGATGCAAAAATGGATATTTACGAGCACTATATTATATTGGTCTTGCTTATGGTCAGCAAAGCTATCCTTTCTTTGCTTCTATAAAAAGCTTTTCGTACAGTTGCCTGTTTATGTCAGGCTGTGGTGGAGTCTGGTCGGCGTCTGCATTTTGGTAAGCAGGATATAATTTTATAAGATTTGAGCATTGCACTAACACAAAATACGATCGCAGACTTACATAGGTTGCCTAGCGACTTTAGTGTTATCCTGTTCCAGCATGGAGGACTGGTTCAGGGCAAGGGCATGCACGACACACCGTGATGTTGTTGCTGGCAACGTCAGTAGATATTTTGGTTATGGCGTGGACACGTTGACTAACATACTGAGTGAGTATGAATATCCCCTAAAGATGAAAAACTAGCGCCCTATAGCATCATCACTGACTGATTCCACAGTTATGCTACTTCCACTGCAACTAGTCTTCAAAGTTCAGTTACCCATTTGTCGAAAGATCAGTATTTCAGGCTTGTTCTGCCTAGGTTTTATTTGCATCATCGCTGCTACGTTCAGAGTAACTCAAATTGGAGAAAGGGATTCTCGACCAACTATTCAATGGCTTGCCTTTTGGAGCAGTATCGAGAGTTCAGTGGGTACGTTGATTTAAAACTTGCACTGGCCTGGGCAAATCCATTACTAACTGATAATCTAGCATGCGTAACCTGCTCAGGTCCGGGTCTCTATAAAGCCATAAAATATTATTCAGTGTCCCGCAAGTCTAGCCCTTCAGCGAGTGAGCGAGGACAACGTGGAGGAGGCAATAACGGAATGCCGCAAGGTGCAACTATTGAATTGCAGTGGACGCTTCCAAGGCCTCGCCATATCATTACTGAGGAATCTATGTTGCCTTTGAGAATGAGCAGCAGGGAGGAATACCCAGCGCCTTCGTTCAGGGAGCCGTCAACACGAGCAATGCATTATACAAGAGCAAGCAGAAATTCCGACGACAGTATTGTATAAGAAATCGAAAAAAGAAAATAAGGACGCCTAGATAGGAGTTTGATTGTTCCTGAGCACGGCATTAAGGGTGGATGTTCCGTTCCGTTCTGCACTGACCTATACTTGAGGCCATCGGCATGCACAATGAACATAAGAGGCCCCGAAAGAGAATTGTTAAGCGAAAGACTTTGGAGTCTATCGCCCACGTACTCAGAGGGACGCCTTTGCCAAGCCCGGGGTCTCGGCAATTCTAAATACATATTTCACAGCACTCGCTTTACCTCCTTTCAAATTCTTCAGCCCTGTCTCAATCCCAGACAGACCTCCGGGAATGACCTCGTGCGGATGAGGAGTGAACCATCCTTCTTTGAGTCCATTGGAGAGAAGTCGGTAGAAAGCATAAGCAAGCTGTCGCGATCCGCTCTCCAACCCTTCCTCATTGTGAACACGACCGACGCTTGTGGTCTTCCACTCGATGGTTTCTGGCAGCTCATCGTAAGATTTCCCAGGAAGGACAACAGTTAGTTTTCCACCATCGTGTGTTAAAACCTTGCTTATGTTCACATAACTTCCCTTCTCACTGACAGCATCGAAAGCGTGGAGTAACCTCTTGCCGCCGAGGGCGCGTTTCATGCCCTCGATGACTGCATCGTCTCCCTTGCGGTAGTCAATGACAGTATCACCCTTGGTTTTATCAATAAGAGATTCCACATATGCAGTACCCCGACCGGCGACGCATATCAAGGGGTGGATGTTGGATAGACGAGCCAGCTTGACAGCGAAGGCGCCAACAGCAGAGGCTGCGCCATAGACTACTAGCGGTATTGGCTCTTCAGTTTTATTCCAAGGAGTTGGGAGTGCGAGATTCTGATAGAGACCAAGCGTGGAAGTCATGGCAGCTAGTGGAATTGTTGCGGCTTCTATTTCGTCTTATCAGTGAGATTGTCCAACGATTGAATGTTAGCACGTACCTTCGAAGCTGGTATTCTTGGGAATATGAAAGGTCGACCACTCCCATGCGATAGCATATTCTGCGAAGCTTCCAGCTGGCGTTATCATTTCATGGAATGCTCCGACTCTGTCCCCAACCTTGAACTCTGTCACCTCGTCGCCAACCGCATGAACAAAGCCTGCAATGTCATCTCCTTGGTTGAAAGCTGTCTTTATAATATAGGGGACCTTCCAATCCTTTGGGTTGCTTCCGCTGACAATAACTTGGATCAGGATCTGTCTAGGGTCGGATATCTGGGGGATGGGCACATCATGGATGGTGACTTTCACACCCGGTGCGACGAGAGCCTCCTTCATATTGGGGATAAGTATGTCTTTAAGAAATTCACACGGGCAACCAGAAACCCTTTCCTTGATGATTCAATGCAGCTTAGTAGGGAAGAGGGGATGGGCAAAAGCAAAAGTGTTGATCTACTGTGGAAAGAAAGAGCCTTCCCTCGATCCCCGGGCGAGTAAATATCACATTATTATTATCCAAAACCATGAAACTTAATAATGTCGACCGGAACAACAAACTCCCCGCCGGTGGTGATTAGTTGATGGTGTGATAGGATCCTCCCCCGGAAGATGATACCAGAGCCAATGGCATTGGACACAGAACGATGAGGAGTTGGAAGACCCACCACATGCCGAGGTTGGCTGGAAACCGGACACTAGAACAGGGCACAAAGTGCACCCTGGAAGACTATTTGTCTCATATGGCCATCGAATATGAACTAGTGAGCATGTTCGGGCAGACATCTGCTGCGTACGCTTCAAGGATCTTCACGTCTGTATCTTGCACATCCGGCTGTTCCGACTTGCAATGTGAGGAGCATCAAAGGAGAGGATCCGGTTGAATTTCGATTCCCTCAAATGTAAGAGAGTGTATGGATGTTTAAACGACAGCATCAAGACCTGTTAATCTTATTATCTTCAATATTATGAATGAAGAACTTTCAATTCTATTTTCTGTACCCATAAGCTTCTTCTGGACAGCAAAGACAGATATCAAGATTCAACATCACGGGCAATACTGACGGTACCCGGGTCAGCGTCAAGAATAGAAGCGCCTCGCAGCTCCGTATCAAAGTCCAAGCTCATGACTGTCCAATTCTCTTCAACTATAACTGGCTCCGAGGGCCGACCAGGACTCTCCCCGAATCCATGGTATGCATCCAGCTTCGGGAGCTGAAGGTTGTACATCCACGAGGGATGAGACGTGACAAAGATTTTAAGAATGTCTTTACATGAAGTGTCTCCGTTTTTCAGCATACCGTCGGGTACCCTCATTTTAAACATCTTTCGTATCATTTTAGGGTATCCCGGACCATTCCTAGTTGCAATCTTGGTGAATGTCTCGCTCAACGCATTTATCACTCCCCACTGTGGTGAGAGGTTGTAGACAGAGACGTATAAGTCGTGCGGGGCCTCGTTGCGAATGATGATTTCTGCCTTCTTATTGTGTCCGATGGAGATGACTTGAGACGTGTCAACTTGCCTCTTACCACCTCCCATGCCAGTTGAATTGTCAGGTCTTTCAATGTCGACAAACACCTCAACTTGAAAAAAATTCTCAAAGGTCTTGGGTGTTTCTGTATTTTTCAGCTCTTTGACATGATTAAATCGGACAAGGTGCTCTAGCAGATCGCTCATCTCGCGGATGTTGGGCTGCGAGCTATCCAGAATGGGAATATTTGGGAATCTCTGCCCGTCCGAGCCTCGAAAAACAAAGAAGCCATCTTCAAGGTCCACAGACACAAAGAAAGCACGAGATTCAGTATGCCCTGAACTCATAAACGCATCTAGAGAGCGCTTTCGCAATTCGAGCAGCCATGCATCGCCGCCAGGGACGCCGGAAGAGAGTTTGATAGGGAACTTCCGAAGAGCAGCTTGGGAGCGGATGATTGCTTTCCAAGACCAGCCCCGTAAGTTTTCCAAAGTCGCGTCGACCGTTCCCAAGACCGATTTGAAGGCTGTCGCTTTTACAACACGCGCTATAATGGAATCTGGCCGAGCTTCTTCCGTTGTCGAAGTGGAAGCATAAAGTTCAAACTCATCACCATCGTTAATACCCTGGGCTTTTCCAGCCTGAAGGAGTAGTCTATTTCCCCCTTCTTCTGTCTTTACCTCAAAGTAAGCAGGATGATATGGTGATGGCATCGAGCGGCGATGGGTAATAGACCCTCCAAAAAATGGCAGAAGCTCGTTCCCGTAGAGAATAGGATGCTGTTTCAATTGGTTGTGTTCGAATCCGAAGCAGACCCGTGAATAAATATCGTTGATATAGCGATCCAGGTCCGAACGGGTTTTTAGTGTATCCAGAAGCAGGCGTGAAAGCTGCCCGTTGTATTTCTCAGTCCCAGGCAGTTTGACCTCTGCGGCTTCTTGGTCGGGACCAGAGGCCACCAGGAGAGCATAATGGGATGTATTTCTGATCTTGAAGTCATACATCATGTCCACATCGCGCATGCTGCTCGCTGCAAATGCCCGTTCAGGCAGGGAGGGCTCATCATAAAATCCGCTGGCTCTTGCGATGTCGGGATCAGCTTCAACGCACCGAATCATCCCGTCGCGGGTAACATTTCCTGAGAAACAACAATCAAGGACGAGAGTAACTTTGAGGCCGTGTTCGACCATGTCATTTATGTACGTTGACAGCAACTTTCCCCGGAAATACGTCTCCCCTCCGCGGCTGTTGAGAAGAACTAGTCCCAGAACACGACCATTCGGACCGTCCTTGTCTTCAAGCGTCGTGCCGTGGCAGGAAAAATGGATATATACGAAGTCGCCGGGCTTGGACTTTTCTGTGACTCCACGCAATGCCTCGATAACATTCCAAGCGGTCGGCCATTGCTGTTTCTCCTCGATAGGGCCAGGGAAATCGGGGTCTTTGCTGGCCGTTGCGGTAAATGTATGCAGTTGGACGGATGGGATTGTCTCGGCAAAAAAAGCTTGGATTTCCAAGATATCATCGACCGCCCCGTTCAATGGCTGAGTTTCATACCAGTTGACCCCTACCAGGATTGCGTGGTGGGTGGGTGATGGTGGACGATCCATTATTTCGGCGCACAAATGACAGTTGTGTCCGGGATCTCTCCAGCAGGAGGGACAAGTTGGATGGATGAAAGAAGAAGTGGTGATGATCTATATGCGGGACTATTTCGGGGCGCAGCTTGGACAGGGGGAAGAGCGTTAGGAGAAGAGGAATCATGACTGGGTTGGTCCTTCATCTACGACGGAACCCCTCGCCCGTTGTTGCCAGCTTAGGCAAACCAAGTATCTCGTATCTCTACCTACAAGAGAAAGGCAGCAATGTTGGATTCGGGTCAAAGTACCAGATCAATTGGGTAATGTGATAGTGTCATTCACTTCTATTGGTGCTTATCACGTATATGTAGTCAGCAACATCAGTCCATCCCCATTTGCCAAGGCAACTCTGCAGGCGGACCAAAGTGGTTCGCCCCCTCTCCTGTTCTTTCGAGCAGTTGGACATTGGATCCTCCGTCGCGAGAGCATCCACGAGGCCGTGACACCTAGAGAATCTGTATCTCGGATATTTGCACAGCAGCTCCCCCATTGACTTGTCTTCCGCTTGCATCGCATAATGTGCATGATAGAGGGGGGATCACTTTCTCAATAATATAAGGCCCCCGCTGGCCCTCAGGAGCCATATAAAGCACCTGGTCGCCGACGGCTGGCATCTACGTAAATCCAATTAGTAGGAGAGCGCATTTGGTCCACGGCCGGCTGGGGACACGAACCGATCCAGAGGCGGCGATATATGGGCGCCCACCGGCGTCTTCATACTGAGGAGTCTGGGTACTATGCGGACAGCGTCAGCGAATGAAGATATTGCGTATCAACATGGCAAGATGCTGCACTTACTTCTGGGTATCAGACATGGCTGCGAGGACAGAGAAACGTCTGAATTTTGTGATTTTCTGATGGAAGAAAGTCGAAATAGAATGAAGAGGGTCAGCTGAGATCTGCTTCTCCTCCTTGGTGAGCATGAAGCGCCTTGCATAAGACTACAAATCCTTTGGTACCCAACCAGCGCATCACTCAGCCTACTTCTCGGGGAAATGAATGTCCACGATTACTCCCATACGCCCCGCCTCGTATTTAGATAACAAGTAATATTAAACCTTAGGGAAGTTTCCAGAATTTTTGCAATTGGCTTTGATGGTCTACGAAATGGCGGGAAAATGTATCACGGCCACCCAGATGTAGACCCACAAACAGGGTGTGAACAACTGTAGATCAATATGTACCAATTAACCCTCACTTTACTCTAATAAATTATTTGCTCGGATAAATCGGTGTTGGGATAATGGAAATTTGACCCGTTACTTAAGCTTCCATGCAAAATTAGAATGGCAGCATTACTTGGATACAGATACCAAGCAACTAGCGAAGTAAAGATCTCGACAGACAGGTGTTTTTTCCCCTCAAAGGCGTGATTCTCCGACCAAGTTCTCATAGAATCTTTGTGTTTGGATTGGTAATAAATTCTGCTTTCCAATCTTAATTGCGGATCTTGGGATCTTTAGCCTTGCCATGTTGTGAATTGAGACACCAGCGTTCCCATTCCCATCAAAGACATCAGAGCCGTAATATATGTGAAGTCACCGTAAATGAAGCACGTTCCGAAGAATTTCAGCTTCTGATATTACCATAGCTAGTCAGCGACACGGATGATTAGGCGTTTAGAAGGCCATCTACACCTTCGCCTAGAGAACCTGGCTGGCTTAACATGGCATATCGCCGAGCAAACAGTCCATTCTGGTGTTTGGTTTAGTATCATCCATGACTGAAGGTTAGAACTATTTTATTATTCCCAACTAAGAATTATAGAATATTAAATGCGCGGCTCTGGGAACTTATTCTTGAGCCTGCTTTGCAGCAATAGCCTTTTGGAACAGGGTCAGATCAAGTGGAATCCTCTCCCCCATCCATATAGCTCGCTGAGTATGATCTCGCAGCTCCGCGACAATGCTATCCACACCGGGGTCCTCTGAATTTGGATGAATCAACGCTGAAAGCGGCCCTCTCCAGACACTCAGCCACGGAATGAACGCGCCGAACTGCGCGGGTGTGAAGAGGTTGACCTCGAACATGGCTACCGGATGGGGTCCAACAGGCTTGTCCCAGAAACGATAGATCCTCAGCTCGGGAACTGTATTTTTTCGTCAGTCGTCGTTTATTCTTTTGGAGTACACTCAACGGAGTAAGTCACTGACATTCCCGCCTGATTCTCTCCCACAAGGCCCGAGCATGCTTCGCCTGCTCTTCGTTATTTTGGAAATAGTAAATGTGGATGTCGCTATTGGCGCTGCTGTTAGGAAATGATATGGTGTTCGATAACATCAAAGAGGATTCTCACAAGCCGCCCCTCCTTCCTTTGCTCAGCGGATCCGGGAACTCCTCGTATGCCTTGCTTAGAGAATCGTTTGGCGGGTTAACGTAGCTTTTCCCATCCTCAGCCTTCTCCTCCGGCAGAGGAGGCGCGTTCTCGTAACCAGTGAGGGGGGAAGGGTACGTGTACGCAGCGGTGTTGTAGGGATTAGGCTGTGCCATTTTGCCCGTCGGACGTAGATGATATCAGCACAGAGTATCGCGGGATGAGACGGGTTTATGATCAGCAGCTGAAATGAAAAGGTCGGAATTTCTTGGAATTTTGGCCAAAGCCTTCTCCGCATTCTTGAATCGTTTGATTCGTGCCTTCACTATTATTATTAATCTTCCGCGCGCTTGAGTTTGTGGAGCACGCCATCTTTCACCACCCACCGGCCGATTGATAATCATCCCGCCGGAACGATTCCGAGGCATTGGTGATGGATGCAATGGGACAAGATCTTGACGCCTAAGCAATTCTTTTTCATTCTTCTTATCAAATAATCTAGATGCAAATGTCTTTCAGCAGAAAACCTTCTTGCTATTGTTACTATGGGTGGTCTGTAAGACTGAGGGCAGCTAATAGAGATATTGACGAGCCTCACTCCACATACACCTCTTCAAACCAACCAATACCAGAATGTCCCTCGACAGAATCCTGGAATATTTTATAGCCCATTAAGGGGGCTTTAGATTGTTTCTCCCCAACGCAACATATCACACACATATTCTAGGCCCTCTCATATAAACGGCAACATAATAGGTGGTGTTGATCGTGGAAAATAGCCATCTTTTGGTTCTAGGGTAGCTACAAAGTAAAGCACAACCCGAATTTGCTCCGGCACCAATAAACAACAGGAGGGGGTACAACCTATCAGGTAGAGTTTGGGCACTTGGGCACAAAAGGCTCACCCAAACCTTCCTCTTCAACGCTGATTTCACATCTTCGTAAAGAACTCGAGGACACAAAGCTGAGTTGCCCAGACGCGCAAGTATGGAGTCTCTCAACCGTGATGGCGAAACTAGTGCCGGCCCTTCTACCGTGGACCGAGAGCCAACTCGGGCGGCTCGCTCGAACAACTGGCGGGCCCGTAACTCAATCTCGCCACCGAGGAATGACAGCTACAACAGTAGGAATTCTGGGAATGACAGACGCACTAGAAACGACAACATTCAGGAGAGGCAGGGCGATGGAGGCTATAGAGGCAACATGCGGGGGACTACGGTCGTCGAAACGATTGGGGTTCTCGTCGAGAGGATGGAGCCTCATTCAGGTCGCCGAATAATGCGACTCAAGGCTCCGACGCTATTGCAGAGGGGCGCCGTATATACGTGGGAAATATTCTCTATCATGTTCGCCCAGAACAAATCTCGGAGGCGTTTGCGGCGCAAGGCTTCACCAATATTGATCAGATCCACATATCCATCGATCCGGTGACTGGGCGCAACCCGGGATATTGCTTCGTCGAATTTGAGACGCGTGAGGTGGCAGATGATGCAATCCAGCGCATGTCCAGGGTCCCCATTGAGGGCCGGCCTCTGCAAACTGGTCCTTGCCGCCCCAAGAGGCAGCAGCAGCCTGCGAGACAACACTACTCACGGCCATCTCGCGACCCTACATTCCAGAGATGGGGAAATTGGGATGGTGAAGGTGGCCAGGTGATGGAGAACGGGCAGGGTCCCGTTGGAGCTGAGGAGCATCTCGTTAATGTCGTGGACGATGACCAGCGCTGCAGAGTCTTTGTTGGCGGGCTCGACAAAATGATGAATCAAGCGCAAAACGATGAAGAGCTCAGGGAGATTTTCAAGGACTTCAAGGTGTAAGTGCTGATCAGTTCTCTCGTTTATCCCAACCATTGGCCCGAAACCCCGTTAATGAGTTGGGAAATAGTGTGGCTGTGAGCAAGAGAATTACTCCTCACGAGTCCACAAGAGCAAGGCCCGGTAAACACCATTATGCCTTCGTCGACTTGGAAACGCGTGAAGACGTGGCCTGGGCTATAGAGACCTTAGACGGCACTTTGTGGCAAGGGAGCCGACTTAGGGTTCAGCCACCAGCCCGCATTCCAGTTAGAATTGCTGAACGAGGCATAAGGTGGAAAGGCAGTGGTGAACAAGCTGAACAAGCTTTGGAAGGTGGGTTTGAATGAGGCGAAGGGGCTGCAAGTTGTTTGTGTTTCGGCAAGAGCTTCGAGAGTTGGCAATTCAATCACACATGTTCTACCTTCTCAGCTCATAGGTGGAATTATGATTGTTTAATCGAATGGTTGTCAGGGTTAAGACGACGGTAGTTCGTCCGATGACACTCTGGAAGGAATTACTAACCCCTGCCGGCATTAAGGTCGACCTTCGGTAATTTGTAATTTGGCCCAGCATCAATTCGATAGTGGCTCTAGCGAGAGAAAAGCGCCCCAAGGAGCAGCTAGAATACGAATAAAGAGAGAATGATCGCGGAGTATCGTGAGTCTAGAAGCAGATGCATGCTTGGCGTATAGACGGACTATTAAACTCGGCAGCACGGGACGGACCTCGTGGTTCCGGCCTCACTCAAGCAGCCTAGCCGCTCTAATATATTCCACATTGCTTGGCATCTGGGCCACTTTGGATCGTGGTGTTATTACGGAATGATAAGAATGGCCCACAACTTGGTCTGATTCTTGCCGTCTAAGGTGAAGCGTGGTTTCATTTCCGATCTGACAGTCTGAAACGCAGATGGGGCTGGCAGTTGCCGTGCTTGCCGTGAAACCACCCCCAGTGCGTTCTCGGTTGACTTTGCCGAGCCAAATTGCGGGAATCTGCTGGGCACTCTTGAAGATGCTCCCTAGGTGATTGTTCGGCTGATGGTTCCCGTTTTGAGCCTGGGACCGTCCCGGAGGCTCGATTCAATGCCGTGAAGGCCGTGCTCCCGTTGCCAAGAATGGAGCATACGTAACCATACTAATGTTCGTCCGTTTTGCCAAAGGGTTTCTTATATATATGATCACTTAGTCGACTTCGTTCTCAGTTCTTAGAAGAGTCAACGCCAACAGGAATCTGGAATTCTTTGCTTAGGTCCCCTCGCTTTCATTCATTTCTCTGCCATTCACTATTCTTGCCTCGACGCTTCGTCACTCCATCGTTATAAAAAATGCAATACTCACTCGCTCTTCTCGGGGCCTTGGCCTCTGCTGGCTTCGCCAATGCTGCTGTCTTCCCTCGCGCCAGCTGCACCTTTACCGATGCCGCCTCTGCCATCAAGGGCAAGACTAGCTGCACCAGCATCATCCTCAAGGATATTGCTGTTCCCGCCGGTACTACACTTGACATGACTGGACTCAAGTCTGGCACTCACGTAAGATGCACATTTCCAATCATTCTCTGTATGGTCATCGTATTAAACTCGAAGCATCACAGGTCACCTTCCAGGGAAAGACCACCTTTGGCTACAAGGAGTGGAGCGGACCTCTTATCTCCTTTTCCGGAAGCAACATCGCCATTGACGGTGCCTCGGGCCACTCCATTGATTGCGACGGCTCGCGATGGTGGGACGGCAAGGGCGGCAACGGTGGAAAGACCAAGCCCAAGTTCTTCTACGCTCATTCCTTGAAGGAATCCCAGATTTCCAAGCTAAACGTCCTCAACACTCCTGTCCAGGCGTTCAGCATCAACACCGTGACCAACTTGGGTGTTTACGATGTTACCCTCGATAACTCCCTGGGCGACACGAAGGGTGGCCACAACACCGATGCCTTCGACGTCGGCTCCTCCACCGGCGTCTATATCTCTGGAGCTATTGTCAAGAACCAGGATGACTGCCTCGCTATCAACTCTGGTACTAACATCACTTTCACTGGTGGTCAATGCAGCGGTGGCCACGGCCTTTCCATCGGCTCTGTCGGCGGTCGTTCCGACAACACTGTCAAGACTGTCCGTATCCTCAACTCAAAGATCTCCAACTCTGACAACGGTGTTCGCATCAAGACCGTGTATGGTGCCACTGGATCCGTCTCCGACATCAAGTACGACGGCATCACTCTTTCCAACATTGCCAAGTACGGTATTGTTATCGAGCAGGACTACGAGAACGGCAGCCCTACCGGCACCCCTACATCCGGCGTCCCCATCACCGATGTGACTATCAACAAGGTCACCGGCACCGTCAAGTCCTCCGGCACCAACGTATACATCCTCTGCGCGTCTTGCAAGAACTGGACCTGGACTGGTAACAGCGTCACTGGCGGCAAGACCTCCACCAAGTGCAAGGGCGTCCCCAGCGGCGCGTCCTGCTAATTTTGGTTCTACTCACCATGCACAATCTATTTTTTTCATTTCTAAGAAGATGTTTTTATGTATTTTAATGGGGTTATTGATAAGGCTCTGGTTAGGCTTGCCAACCCAGATTATATACAAAAAAAGGCAGATGCCTAATAAATGACACAAGATTTCCATCTGCGGACCAACTCGTACTTCATGCTGAAGGGAATTGTCCATCATCAGACCTCGTACATCCAGTGATTGAAGTCAGCTGGGATGGGCACCTGACCTGCTCAAAGTTGAAGTCTGGGTTGTCTGATCCCTTGAACCAGTCAAATCGCCAATAGCAGCCTTGCTTGAGTGCACTTGGCATTTGGTCGCATTGGGCCCTTGATGTGACACCCCCATATCGCTCCCCAGGGATGCTGCCGTACTGCCTAGAGCAGCCGTCGAACGCTCCAACGCCTCCACCAGGCATAAGAATGTCGAAGTGGTTGTTAGAGAGATCGTACCCGGTGTTGGTTGATTGAACAACCATGACCTTCCCAGAAGCAGGTCCGCTCGTGAAGGTCAACCTGGTGTAATGATGATTAGTTTCTGAGAAATGAAGCACATGGCGCAGAGGGGAAGACGTACTTGTAGCATGCACAGCACCAGCTAGACTCGCTGCCACCATTGATAGCTGTGGCCGCGAAACCATAAGAGAGGTTATCGTTAACAGCCCAAGGCGCGTTGTTGGAACAAGTGTAAGCAACGCCTCCATCGCACGCACTCTTTGCGTTGACGTCGGACAGCGGTGAGTTGTTTGCGTCACAGGTTCGCACGGGAGATGACACTGAAGCCTTGCCGGACCAAGCACATGATGGCTTGCAGCAGTCCCAGTATCTTTATACGGTTAGATTACCCAGCTTTGCGTGATAGTACTGAGTTATTCCTTCAGTAGCCCTGGAGAGGCGATGAGTTAAGTACCTTGTTGAGTGGCCAGAACCGCTGGCAGCCAATGTCAGACTGGCCATGGATGCCAGGACAGAGACAACTTGAAGGGCAGGGGCCATCATTTTGTTTCGAAAAAAGAATGATATACGATGTTATTTATTCAAGAGTGTAGAATTGTTGATGGAGAGAACTGAATAATGGCCATATCAAGAGGGTTTCTCTTCCTTTTATACACGATATCGCAGGGGAGTGCTCCGCAAAGCCTAGAATAGGTTACATCGTTTCACAAGGCTTTATTTACATGACTCCTGTCAATCGCCGTTCGGGATCGCGGCGCGTGAAGATCATCTGCTTTTTTCTCCATAATACGCCGGCTCCTTGCAAGCCATCCCGGTCCGAATTGGCGGTGATTTCGGGGCGTGCTCCGGAGTGTTACCTTCGGAGCTCTCTCATCCGTACCTCATGAGAAGAACGCCTCATTTCTAGCCATACATGGTAAATTACGATGACGATGTCTGAGTTTTACGTATCAAACACGGTTAATATTCAGTTGGTCGGCCCGTTCGCCAAAAACCCATGCTACAAAAAGGGACTGGTGATTTACACCGCCTCTTCCTATTCACCGCTCGGTCATCTCTGGGCATCATGCAAACCAATTTGGAGATTTTTGAAACTGACGGGCAGCGGGGGTAAGGGAGAGGCACGATATGTTGTCTGAGCCTAGGCCTTCCTAGGCCAACGTGCAAGGATTTCACGGAGAGTGTGGAAACAAATGCCATTCAAGGAAAGGCAGATTCCAGGCAAAAACTATGAAATCTTTGCTATGGGGGAAACTATGAATCGTGATAGCCAAACTCGTTCACTGCCAGTGGATGTGGCGTTCGCATTTAGCAGAGTCCCGTCGTTCTTCGCAGCACCTGACCACCATAAATTTCAATGCAGATGAACTTTGCCAAAGCAGCCGGGCGCATGTGCGAGTAAAGTATGTAGTTGTGGATGTTGCTAGGCCACTTGACATTTTCTGTACCTCGAAGCTTCCCAGCCAGTTATATTCCTTTTTGTTCACAGCCACAATATGCATATCGTCGTCGGCCTAAACTAAAAGAAAAGTAAACTTCAAGGTCGTGCACGTTGGGAAATCAAAATTCCATTTTTGAATTTACCATCGACATGTTGATTTCGACTTGCATTTCCTCCCCTCACATGCGCGCCGAAAGGAGCATGAAGTCAACCATAAACATTGATGCGCCGCCCGGAAACATTGTCTAGGTTTACTTTACGGTTGTGCGAATGTATCTTGAGTTCCGAGGGAGAGTTCAGGAGATGGAATTATCAGCGTCGTGACCTACTTTACTCTAAATTTGCTTTGTGTTGCTTATGGTAACAGTTATGGGTCAAAATAGAGGCAAAATCTTAAACGCACGAAGCTTTCCATTGTATATTTTCTTTTCGCTGTTCTGAGACTGAACTCCGATCCAAATTTCTATAAAAGCAGGAGGACTCTCAATGAGGTCCTTTCACTTCTTCGGCCTGAACCATACACATACACACACACACAACACACACAACACACACACAAACACACACACACAACACACACATACAACACACAGCCCTATACACGCAACACACACCTATACACACCTTCTATATCCCACATCTCAACTACATCGAGTCGATCACCTTGAAGACAAAAGACCCAGCCATTTCAATTCCCAGACAAGTCAATTTCACTCAAAGACAACACACTTAATCAATTCGACTTCAATACAATGGCTCCTTTTGGCTCTTGGTTGACCAATGTTATCACTATTTGGACCATAGGGTCTGGCGTCAACACCCGTGTGGACAACGCCGTCCCCCTTCAAGAGGACAACATCACCCAGCTAGATGCCATACCAGGCTTCCCAGAAGGTCCCTCCCCCGTACAGATCAACACGCTGCAGCCAATACGCTATGATGCCAGGGCCCATGTAAAGCGTTCCCGCCTGGAAGACTTCGAGGCCGTCAACGAGCAATCCCTTTACTGGGGCCTCAAAGACGATCCCATCGCAGAGGTCCATCTCCGAATGAAGAACGAGACCGAAGGATTTATTAACACGGAGTTCTTCGACGACCTCATTGAGTCGATGAGTTGCCCGAAGCAGGGCAAAGGCGACCTGGTAATGAAGTTCTCTCGGGACATTGACATGGACGATGTTTCGACTCTGTGGGAGTGGGTTCGCAAGGCAGAGGATAACCGGCTCGTGTTCATGATCGCCGACCGTGGTTGTGGATGGAACGAAGGTCGTGTGGTGTACCGTGTCAACGACATTGACTTCCTCCCCGACTACACCGCCGTGCTCAAGGCTAAGAAGATCGACTGGTGCAAAAGCCTCCACAAGTGTCAGATACGCATTGGAGGGAAGTCAATCCGGCCTGTGAATCCTTTGGGATCCCTTTCCAAACGTGGGGAGCTTTGGGATAGTATCAAGGATACGGCGAAAGAGGTCAAGGATGATATCTCTGAAGAAGTTGATGAGGCAACGGACAAGATCTCTGAAAAGGTTGACGAAGCCCAGGAGAAGGTCAAGGAAAAGGCTCATGAAGCCAAGGAGAAGGTCAAGGAAAAGGTCAAGGAGGGGATTAGTAAGGTTGCAGAAGGCGAGCACAACAAGCAATTCTCCATCCCCTTTGAAATGGACTTCTCTGGAAAGGGTCTCGGGTTCAATATGGCAGGCATTGATTACAATGCCCACTGTACGAACTGTTCCACTGATGGGTCCTTTGAGATTGACGCCAAGTTGACTGTCCACGACGGGGAAATGGAGGAAGCCTCCGTCGAGCTGACCACCGATGGTATCAGGGCGACAACAATCTTGAGTCTCGGGATCAAGGGGAAGATCAGTAAGCCTTTCATTGAGAAGTCCCTGCCGATTTTCAAAGTATCTCCAGCGGGCATCGCTATTCCCGGTGTTGTAACCATCGGCCCTACTATCACCGTGGCTCTCAAAGCTGGCATCGATGCCATTCGGGGGGGAGCCACGATTACTACGGGCGGGCACATGAGGCTCTCCAACTCTTCAGCTACCCTCGACTTCTTGAAGGAGAACAAGACGAGCGCCGAGGGCTGGGACGTTGACATGGAGAGCCACCCCATCGAGATCGACGGCTTCGTTGAGGCTAAAACCTATCTCTCTATGAGCCCATCGCTAGGTCTAGAGATTAGTCTCCTCGGTACGTGAGCCCCTAAAGTATTTACTTCATTTTTGAACGTGGGCAAAGAACTAATCCGTCAGCAGAAACTGGATTTGCCGCCGAACTTTCTGCCAATTTACCCTACCTAGCCGCAACCGTTAGAGGGACTCAGTGTAAGTCATTTTCTTTCGGAGATTTTGGGGAAGGGGAAATATTTCTAACATGAACAACGAAGCCCTTACTTGCACCGCCTGCGGAAATTATTCGACTGGCGTTTCGGGCAGCATTGACCTTGGTACCTCTGGTGCTATCGGCCTGAAAAAGAAGATTGCCGGCACGATGACGGACCTGTGGTCCCTCAGTCTCTACGTGAGTCCCTTTGTTACACATGCACGATACGTGCTATCTTATTACGGCCAGCCGATATCTAACACGAGTTTAGTCTGCTGCTCTCCCACCAATGGCTCCCTTTTGTATAGGCCTTGTTTCTTGCTCGAATGGAACATCCTCAAATGGAACACACTCGAATGGAACATCCAACGGAACAGTGCCTAACAAGGCTGCGAATACCTCAACCAGAGCATGACCTAGGTTCCAAGGATAGAAGGGAATCGTCGGCGCTGGTGTGGTGTGAAAGCCTTCAGAGCCTCCTATCTATCTCGACATCTTTATTTCTCCTTGTGGCAGTTCGAGACTTCATGCAAGGGGTCATAGACAGAGTATTAATTTAGACCATAATTAGACAGACTAAACAACTGCGAATACACTAAAGTTTCTGGTGCCGTGGGACTCTGCGTAGTATGGACGGAACTCCACTGGACAAGGACACCGCAGCGGAGCCTCAGTGGCGACACCTTGCATGAACTACTTGGAAGACTGAGAGGTTAGACGAAGAACCCCTGTAACTTTAGGCAGTAGCGTAACGGTCTGATTGATTGTAGGTTGCATCGGAGCATCTCGAGACGATGGGACTGGGGTGCGGATGCTTAAAGAACTCGCCAAAAACACCAAATCGAGCACTCGATCAGATAAACAGAGATACTAAAGTGCAAAAAAGCGAGTCCCTCACTGTGACTCCTCTGCCACGGCATGACGTAGGTGCAGGTTTATATGTTGAGCTACGTAGCATAACTGCCGTATCTTTCATCATCCTGCTCTGGCACGGCCAACGTCCGAACTGCTAGGTTAGTTTTCTCTGTGGAAATAACGTCAAATCAGCGTTCCAAGCGAGAAATCCCAGCTTGGGCAGGGATATATCCTGGCGGATGACACTGATTATGGAGACGTAGAATTCCAGCCCAACTGTCAGATCCTGGCCCTGACCAATAAATGCTGCTCAAAGGCCTTCCACGGACAGTACAGAGTGCCAAAAAAGGATTCACCCACCTGTCAAAAGCCTCGACCTCGGTCCGAGAGGCATTCATTTGTCACAGGGTGGAACTTTTGCCGGTATCGGGAAACGTGGGAAACCAGATCCTTGCAAAAATCTTTCATCATCTGGAATGCTTTTGCGCTCGCAAATCCCTCTCTTGCTCACTAACATTTTCTTCACCCTTCTAGCATTCTTTAGCATCAACACTTGTTTCTTGTCGCGACACGTAATACTCCATTCCATAGTCGTCCACACAACCCCTATTGCTTTATCAAACACTCTGCAACACACTCTACCCTTTTTCCCCCCCGCCGAATCCCGCGAGTCTCGCGCCAATCTGACACCATGATCGTCACGCGAGCCATTTCTGTGACCAACTTTATGGTGGCCAGCTCCGCGCTGTGCTTCCAGGTGTTTGTGCTGTACCCGTGGCACAAGGAGCTGGACGCGGGATTCGAAGACCTCAAGAAGGAGCACCTCAAGGTCCTCAGCGCCGTCGGAAGCAACATCTCCGACCAACAGCGAGCCTCCCTGACCGAGAAGATCAGCGAGCTCAAATCCCAGAGCACCAAGAAGTGGTGGTGGGCCTAAGCCCGCCCCGCGACACGAGTCGTCGCTTCGACCAGCGCCGTTGAGATGCGGACCAACGTCGACCTCGACTGAAATACTCGGGCAAATGACGCTCTCGGCAATTGGTCTTCCCTTCGCGCGGGTGAGATCCCCGCCAGATGGGTTAGGCTTCGGAGCCGGAGATGCCCGACCACACATCGCTCGCCAGGACAGGGCCTGGTACGAGCCAATAAAGAGGAGGAAATATTTAAAGGCCAGCGCGCAGGTAGTGTGTATTTTGTGACTCTTGGGACAGACGAAGCAAATTATACCTCGACGGCGAAAGCCTTGGCCTGGGCCGGCTGTATCGAACAACAAGGCAAACCGATGGGGTAGAGGATTTCATCGTTCGGGACAAATTGGAATATGCTTGTTCTTACTAGATAATTGATCGAATCCATGGGGCCGGTACACCAATAGATGGATGGCGAAAGGGCTAGGTGGCATACGTGTTTAGGGTTTAGAAATTTTCCTCAAGGCAGTCACAAATTTACATTTCTCTACAATATCATGACCAAGATTCGCACCTGTGATCATGATTTGCTACCTACCTGATCATCAAATGGCCCTCTGATTGAACGGTTGAGTTCGCCCAGACAAGTGATAAAGCGCACTGAAGTATAATGCTCAACCATATCGACGGGGGCCACTATGATGCCAAAGATCAAAATAGGTTTACTGCCGGCCTGCCAAACTCGCCTTTGCCGTATCCTCAAACTGGAAAGATATTTGTCGCCCTGATTTAAATTGCAGCGGTTGAAGCAGAGCAGAACGTCAGTACCCCTTCCCAGAGATAATGATAAGAGCCCTATAGATACCGGCGGCTGGCCTCGGGCTCGGATCTTTGAGCTCTCAAGATTAATCGGGATGTTTAAGTGGTGTTTTCAACAGACCGGGTGACTTACAAGTTAAAAACTTCAAGCAGGCAGGTAGACCATGCTTCAGCTGTTGAGGTGAAGATGCTGAACATTCGAGAAAAACGACCTTTGAGCAAGCCTATCAAAGAGCCATGCAAGGCGAGACCAGTCAGTGTATCAAGAGGACTATTGGGTTTCTATAGAGGAGATTGAACCGATAAACTTAAGAACCATTAATAGACTAGCGCACTTTGCCCTCCCAGCGGGGAAATTCAGAATCTCGGGGAGCCATGAGGAAGCGGATTAAAAGCTTCATGTTGTCTCCATCCAAGCCCAGTCACCAAGACGCGGCCGTAGTTTAAGGGGAAGAGAGAAACAACAATATCTAGTCCACTTTCTCCGCGAACTATATCCTAGGGTCTCAAACAAGCCATGATATCTAACCGGACCCTTGCCATTGTTGGCTGCGGTGAGCAAATCTCCCCTCTCCAGCATCGAGGCATGTGGAAACTAACGAGATGGCAGGCAACATGGACTCAGCTATTCTGAGCGGGTTGCTCGATGCGACACGGTCGCAATCTAATCCACCCATCTCGAGTTTCATTGTCGTCACTAAGACTATCGAGTCTGCAGACCGTCTACGATGTTAATTTGAGCAAGACAAGTCGCGGCTACTGGTACACCACGGTACCAATGTTTGGGCCATGGAACAAGCCGATATTGTCATCCCGGGTTGCAAACCACATATGGCGGAGCTTGTTCTCGGCGAAGAAGGTCTCGGGACGCTCTCAGTGGAAAGTTTCTGATCAGCTTCCCAGGAGGCAAGACGCCCCAGGTACTCGAAAGCTACATACACAAGAATAACGACACAAGTCGGGGGCCTTATGTTGTCCGTGCTATGCCCAACGTTGCAGCACGAGTACGCAGGTCAATGACTAATGTCGAGCATAATCCCACCCTTCCCGACGAGTTGAACTACACCCTAAGCTGGATATTCAGTCAAATTGGTGAGGTTAAAGTTCTGGCGATGGATCAGTTTGACATCGGCTCTATGCTGGTCGGGTCCTCAATGGCCATTCTGTCTATGGGATTAGATGGGATCCTCGACGGCTGTGTGATGGAAGGGATACGAAGGTCCGAGGGATTGGAAATGGCAGCACAGAGCCTACTAGGCATGGCCGAATTGCTGCGTCAGGGCGAGCAGCCGGCAGCATACCGGGAGAGTGTTTCCTCGCCCAGGGGGGCTACGATTGCAGGAATATTGACCGTCGAGAAAGCCGGCGTGAGGGGCACATTTGCCCAATCAATGATAGATGGAACACGGAGGTTGCAAAGTTAATAGGACAGAATGGTATGAAGAACAAGAAAGTGGATAATACAAGTAGAGCACCGTACAGTAGCTGTTACGATCACAAAGCTACCTCGCCACCGTACATCTAAAGACACTTGACGCAGGTTTCGAAATCCACGCCAACTTTTTCCAGATTGTTCGAATCCAATTACTTGTTTCCTTTGTTCCTTGCCCAGTTTCCACGCACCCTATAACACAATCCAAAGCTAGTTCTTCTAGTCGTCAAGATGGCCGCTGTCAAGGGTTCGCGGAAAGACCAACTTGGTCAATTACATGGAGCTCTTTATAGATCCCAGCGAAGCTGCGTTTCCCGGCATTCTATTGCGCTAGATATTTAGATAGACAGATTCAAATGACATTTTCACTTTTTGACATAGGATTACTTTACCAAGCTATTATAGGTAATTATGTCTTGATAAGCTTGAATCTATCCTGCTGTATCATCACTTCTTTCTCCATCCTCCCCAGGACCATGATATGGCTTGGTGGAAGTCACATAGCAACCCGCTCCAGACTGAGTTAGTCAGTCCTGCTGAACTATCCATTGTTCAGTCCTCCGAAGCACGCCATTCCCAACAACGAAATTATTAGAGAGACTCATCGTCTCACGTTCTTTTCTCGGGCATGAGTCTCCATGGCAAAATACTACCTGTCTCCTCGATGAAACAGGAAACCATGGAGGTCCCACATAGCTCCGTTTGAGCGCATGCGGACTCGAGTCTTCATCACCGTACCGCGTCAAAAAGTGTGATGCAAAAGTGCCACGGCCATGTGTTTCAAAATAGTCCCCGGAACCTATGGCCGCCCAGGCCTTCCAAGGAGCAGTCGAGTGCGCCTAAGCCGGGACACTTCTCAATTCAGGACGGAATTGAGCGAAGCCTTCCGAGTTCTAAACTGTCTAACGCGGTAGTACGGCAGCTCGTGTCTGACCTGCCATGTTGCAAAGTGATTCAGCAGCCAAGTTTAGCCCTTATATTCGTCTTAACGTTGATTTTGTAGTCACGTCAATCGGGTGAATCAGCATATCCTCCCTGTTGAACTCAGCGGTGCTCGATAGTATCTGTTGGCTAGTATGGGGCTAAATAATGGCCAAAGAATATGGACAGAGTCAAATAGGAATACTGTAGGTATTCTCTCGATTGTATGGCAATCACATTGATCATCCATTGCGTTCATTACTGGATCGATGTTACATGTAGGACTTTCGAGCGCAAAGTCAACTCTCCCATAGCTCAAGGGTGGACGAGATACAGGAATGGCCATTACAAGACGAAAACCATATCAGTTGTTGATCCCGTGAACAACAATTCTTATCTCATTGCGTATTGACTAGGAGAGAATAATACCATCAGTCTCTTTGCAGCTGGCAGCACTGCCTGGCGGTGACGTGGTGACGAGACTCCATCGGTCTTTTCAGGCATTAAGGATCTAAGAATGGGAACTCCTAAAATAGAAAAATGCTAAGGCAAGCAATATGCTTTCTCGCTGATGCTTTGCGTTACTCTATCATGCGCATGCGGTGTGCGACCAACCGCATGTTTGGGTCCTGTAAGCTGACCGAGCTACCGGACAGGCACACGCAAAATTACTTTCATTCAAGATGGTCACCATGCATACGCAGTGCACAACGACTGTTAAATGCGTGCAGGCATGTCAAGTTGGCTGGGACGGCAGGGGGCAAGGGCAGCGTCCATGCGCATGACGCCGTGGAATGAACTTACTTTCCCGGGAGCGAGGCTCCTCGATTACACGAAAATGACGAAATGGCTATTCGGGGCCAGAAGCGCAGTGAGGGATAATTACTGTGTCGGTGCGACTCGTCAATGCACAATTGTTAGCTGCCGCGGACTGCGACTGATTTGTACAGGGGCATTTTGTTTAGTACTGTAGCTAACCTCTTGATTTACCGGCCATCCGTGATACGAGAAAAAAAGAACGATCACAGGCACCATCACACCGACATCACTATCACGCTGATGCCGATCATGCCAGGGGTGGCTGGGGTTTGGAGTGCTGCAGCATGCTGGGCCCTCCTCCTCCCCAATCGCATCTCCAGAAAAAACGAATCCGGTGCGGGCAGGAGAGCTTGCGAGCGGGCATAAACAACGCAGACCCAAAGGGATCCGCGGAACCAACTCGTTGCGCAAGTGTCTGCCCGATGCGGTGGCATGTCCGCAGGCACAACGTTCGGTAGTCGTAAGCAGTGTGATGGGCTGTGAGTGCCGGGAGAGGCGCGATGACAGACAGGAAGGTCAGCGACTAAGATTAAGGTTATTTAAAGAAGATGGGAAAATAATGCTTCCTCGCTTTGCGGTCTACCAGCAGGAATAAGGTTTCTCGGAGTAATGCGAAGGAATGGAACCAGCCCGAATACCTCCCTTCCCTTTCAAGCGTACAAAGCAAACAAAAGAATGAGGAAGACAGCACCGCGGGCACCAGCATGAGGCAGCGGCGGCCAGCAGCAGCAGCACAGCTCGTATCCAAAAATAAGGGCGGGCGGACAGAGTGGGAGTGACACATGGGAGGGCCCCCCACAGATTCTTCAAGCCAAGTTGGAGGCTTGGGAAGTGTGATTGGGCCAGCCTGAGCTGACGAGAAGGGCTGGACGGGCTGTTTCCCGCGTGGCTAGCCCCTTGTGAGCGTAGAAACTGTTGTTCTTGGAAGCCAGCGCTGCATCTGCCGAGCAGGATGCACCGGCCCAGCCCCTCTCCATGTAAGACTGATCGTCGTGAGGTTAAACAAACATGGACAGACCCCTGTCCATCGCAATTCGCCCATCAGACATGGCCCGCCAAGCAGAGCTAGAGATGTTGGTCGATGGTCTGCGCCTCGCCATGCCGCAGTGATAGTGCTGATGAAGAAGATAGTGACGATGATGACGCTGATGGCCATGTTTTATTTTAATCTCGCTCGTGACACTAAGGCGAGCACGTCCCAGGTGTTGCCTCTCGAACGACAGCGCAGGCAAACACCAAGACATGTCTTCGAGGCTCGCCAGGGCCTTTGATTGGGGGGGATCGTGATGCGATGATCCAATTCGCCTCGGGACTATGCATGGACTCGTCCACAATAACCCCGGGGCTGCTGCCAGTAGCCCGGCACTGCCCTCCTGTCTTGATTGTATGTGCAGAAGCTGATGGTGATGGGCGTTGGGCATGATATCCTTGCATGCTTCCGAGACCAACCTCTTCCTCCTCCACATCCCATCACAGCGCGCGCTTGGCCCCCGCTCCCACAATCTGACCTCTCGTGGGAAGCGAATTGCGATCGTCTATCCCTTTGCATGGCTATATTAATACCTGGTGTGGCCCTCCTCAATCCCGTCCGAGTCATCTCTACACCTAGCCGCCCATCTTGCCTACTACCTACTATCAACATCATCCACCTTTGATCTAATCATAATCATCATCTCACCCTAACTCAGTCACAATGGTCCGTCTCGCCCAGACCCTCTTCTCCCTGCTCAGCCTGTCCGCTCTCGCAGCAGCCGGCCCCATCCACTACCCGCGCGCGGACAACTCGACCAAGATCAGGACCTCGGAGATGCACTACATCTACCCCAACGCGCCAACGCTGAGCAAGCCCACCACCTCGGCCCTGTACGTCGAGGCCTACAGCAACAAGTCCCAAGTCGAGCAGGTGGCCATCTTCCGCGGCATCCCCGCCAACGCCAAGTCCTGCACCGTCGGCTGGTCCCAGGCCGACAAGAACGATCGCGTCTTCATCGTCAAGGGCGACTCTGGCCACACCACCATGCGCCCTCTGATCGGATTCCCCTCCGGCGAGGTCAGCTACGAGTCCGTCGCGCCCTTTGACCGGGACAACGAGGACCAGCAGTTCGGGCCCGACTTCACCTTCTGGGACGACGCCTCGTACGCGGCCACCGAGCACGTGGGCGGCGGCGTCAAGTGTTCCAGTGAGGTCTACATCAAGGTCCTCCTGCGGGATCCCACGGTCCAGGCGTCTGTCTTCCTCGAGCAGGACAGCAAGAATGGGCTCTGGCTGTCGTATACCACCTAGATGGCCTCTCATGCCAATTGGCATTGTGCGCGCGACACACAACAGAAATAATCGTTCACGACATCATGATTTTTTTATTCTATCAGCGTTTTTGGATTTCACTTCTTGTACATAGAGGTAGCCTTCGGTATGGGCAGGCACTTTCTCGTAATGTTTGTATGGATCGATCGATCGGAGGAAATTACATGGTTGGATATACCGGGGGGATAACCGGCTGAGCATTGCTTTTAATGTAATGGCATTGCGCCTCGAGATAGACAGAGTCGACAATTGGCTCGCAATAAAAGAAACAAATCATCTACGTCCTACGTCCCTGACATATGGGAAGGCTGCAGTTCGACCCGACAGACTCGAGATTGGAACGGCTTGATCCCTCTAGCAGCCTCGTGGACCCTCCCGAATGTATTGCGGCTCGTGGGGCAGTGGAAAACGTGGCTCGAAGCTCGAAGACTCGACGTATTACGCCCAGATGGACATCATCAATGGATGGGAAGCTGTACGTTCCTGGTTGTTCGATCAATGGGTTGACTAGCCGGTCGCGCACACGGACTGGAGGTTCGATCGCTCGGAGTAAGGTTTGTCGAGGCAAGGAGAGTGGGATCAATGGTCTAGCAGGTTCACGTTGGAGGTTGACAACTCGTTTGGTGGTTGATTGTGGCAAATCATGACGATGAAGATGCTGGTGTGGCTAATGATCGGGTGCTTAGTCAGCAACCTACGCACAACTGGCAGGCGCTGTCAAACTCACGTTTGCTTCCTGCCCAGCCACTCGTGATAGCTTCGTCAATATTGACTGCGGCATGCCCTAATTGCAAAGCCAGGAACTCCATCGACTGTTCCTTGGCATCCGAACACCTCCCGCGGTTCGTCTCAGGATGAATCCACCAGGACGAGCTGAGTGGCCCTGGCGTACAGCGTGGTACAGGGTAGCCCAGAGCACCCTCTGCTGGTCAGCTTCGTGAAGAGCTGACGCGCGGCTTGTCTTGCCCGTGCAGCGAACCAGCCAACCACAGACTGCAATGTGAGGCCTCTCGCCCTTCCTACTTGGCGCTCTCGCACAGCTGAGAGAAATTACAGTGCCCAAGCCGCCCTGTGTGCGTCGCTATGGGGTTTGCCAAGCCACACCAGCCGTCTTCCTTCGCGCCGCCCAAGCCGTGAGCCGTGCTGCCATCATTCACCGGCGCCACATTGGCATTTATTAAGAAGCCACATCAGCTGTGTGTGCCCGCTCGCGGCCGGCACTTTCTCTCGCTCATTTGCGCCGTTCAATCCTCTTCTCGCCAGCCCAAGCAGCTGGCCATCGCGTTCTGCTCGTCATCCAGCCTCCGCAGGCGCTAGAACACACCCGCCAATCGGTTTCTTTTTCACATCGCGCCCCCAGTTTTCGCCATGGCCCAATCCGAGGACAAGACGGCTAAGCAGGACGACGGCAAGCAGGAGGCCAAGGAGAAGGAGGGGAAATGGGACAAGGTTGGCTCGTTCCTGTACGTATCCTCATGCTATTCGATGCCATCTGATGCCATCTGATGCCATTCATGCCTGGTCATGCCACGCCGCGTGTGCTCGCTGCCACACTCCAGCCATTCATTCATTCGCCCATCAATCATTCAATCCAGCACACCAACCACCACCATCAAATCATGCCAGGGTCAATTGACGGGAGACCAGGGGCGTCGTCCTCTCCACAAACCCCGCTACCGTTCTCCCTAGACGCGCGCATGGACGCACCCTCTCTATAGCCCGGGCGAAATAATGATGCTATTCTCGTTCAGACTGACTGATTCCGTCTCTGCAGCCAGGAAAACCTCAACAAGGGTGAGCTTGCCCTCAAGCATGCGGTCGGCCTCGGCCAGACACCCAATGTCGTCCCGTTGGCACCCCCCAGATTCGACTGTGAGGCCCGCCCCGTCGAGGTCGGTTGGCATCCTGTCGGCGGCGTCGCTGGCAAGTGGTTCGCCGAAGACACGGGGCTCGGCAAGATGATCACCGAGAGGATCAATGAGTATCCGGATCCAACCCAGCATTGGGCTGTACTGGTGGGTGATTATGCCCATCAGCTTTGGATGGTAAGTTCTTCACCGTCCCCGTCATATCAGACGGGCCCAACCGATAGTCTGTTTTTCATTGTGTCTTGACACTCTGGATGGGATAAAGGATGAAAACTTTCACGTCATCTATACCAACGCCAAGATTGTCCGCGAGGAGTGGAAGACATTCAGTGTCGGCCAGACGGGCTTCAACGACGATGCCATTCGCCGTACAGGTAAGCATATCTGGTTCGACTACCTTGCTTGTATGCACCGCGAGACTCACCCGGACGTCAGGCGAGACTGTGATCCAGACCATCAGAGACGAACGCCCAGCCTACAATCTCATCACCAACAACTGCCAGACCTTTGCCCTCCGGCTGCTCGACGCAATCAAGGTTGAAGGCCAGAAGGAATTCGGTACCACCCTTGCTGTCTACGAGCGGCTCCTCGGACCTGGCAAGATCAAGGATCTCTTCGACCCGGAGGCCGAGGCTCAGCTTCAGAGCCAAGTCCAGGATGCTACCGTCGTGTCTGGACAAGATGCACTAACAATTCCTGGAGCAAATGGCCTCCAGGGACTGCCAACTCCCTCGTCGTCTCCCAAGCCTCCACCTGGTCCCCCGCCTGGGTTCCAACCACCACCGTTTGAGAGACAGTCTTCGGCGCCCGTTCAGGGTGACAGCCATGCGTTGCTGGCGCGAGGGCAGCCGCCGTATCCACCCCCGCGAGAGCACTCAGCACCACCCCCGGGACAATATGGCGACGGCCAAACATATTGGCAACCTACGCCAGCACAATATGGTGTCCCACCTGTTGGACAGGATGGTTTCCCTCCGATGCCACCACCTGGTCCACTTTCCGCCCCCCCTGGGCAGTACTCTGGACATTACTCGATACCAGGCCCTCCTCAATATCCTCCACCACCAGGTCTACCACATTATGCGCCGCCACCACCTCATGCATACACATTCCAAGCCCATCCAACAGCCGAATACCAACCGCCACCACCACCAACAGGCGCTTACCAACCACCACCTGGTGTATACCAGCCGCCACCGACCAGCGAATATCAACCTCCTACCAACTCATACCAGGCGCCATACACAGCACCACCTCCCGTGCCAGCGCAACCGTCACAAGCGGCCAACCTCGAGCCCTCGGGTCCCGGACTTGTCCGTCGGAACACCGTCGGCTTTGCGCAACAGGTCATGCAACAAAACACGACCCAGCTCGACACAAAGAAGGAGCTCAGTAAGCGCGAGAAGAAGAAGAAGCACAGCAAAATAGACGAGGAGGATGAGGAGGGGTCTGGTGGTGAGACCAAGAAGAAAGGAGGATTCTTCTCTCAGCTCTTCAAATGAACAACGTCCTTGTCCGCCATACCTGGGATGTGGCTATCTTGCGGTGCGTGTGAGCGGGTTGTTTTGTATTTCATAGTAACGATTGACGATACCAATGAGTGGAAAGAGAGCATCTATCCTGTGGTTGTGAGGATAAGAAGCAAGGGTGTGGCGATTACACTGGCTCCTGTAGTCGGATGCATCTTTGAATTAGACTAAGAGGTTAAGAATATATATATAAATGGCACCAAGATTTTTAAATGACGGCTGCAAGGCACAATTTTTGAACCATCTCGCGCAAGCCAAGCTACTGTTTGAAAAAGTACATCACTTGATACTCCGTGTTATCATGGTCCTCAATGTCTGCAAACTTGGAAATGACAATATCAAGGTTTCAATAATTCTATTTCTGGTATGCTTTAAATGAATAATTTGGATGTGTTGCCCTCATAAACTCCCTGACTTCTTCCAGGCGGACGTTCCCTCCTCCATTGAGATTGACGGGCGCTTCAAAAGAGCCTCTAGATTTCAAGAATATGTCTATCGACAGCCCACATCAGCACTAGGCAAAGGAAGAAAGTTGACGTGACAGATGTGCTCTCACGTCTTCGGGCCGGGCTGCTGTGAAGGCTATAGGATGGAGTTGGGGAAAACCTCATCCACAGTCTTTATGGAGATTCTTTACGGCATATGAAGGACACATGGAAATGGAGCTTACCTTCAACTTCCTGCGAGCTTTGAAGTTGGTCTGTCCTTTCCACAACTACTCTAAGTTATCCTCAATCTGGCAATAACCAGATCGGCGCCGTGATGAGTTGGATGAGGTTGGCTAAAGTGTAACGGGCTACAACAAAAAGGTGGATGGAAACTAATATCACGATACCTGCACTTGTATGAGAAGTAGTATGCTTGCAAAGGGTTTACTCTCTCTATGTACTGGCTGTCTCTAGTCCTTTTATACCTGGATTTGGATGTCACCTGATGAGGGCATGACACTCTACGTCTTCAATAATATTCTTTGTAAACGGACTTCGAGTTTCTATAAACTATCACCGACCTCACCTCGCCAGACCTAGTGACAATCTCTGGGCGTTGGATACGTCTGCGCCACTCGCTGGAACTGCACCGCCTTCTTCATCACCATCCCCTCACTGAGCCCACCGACCTCCCGCCTGAAAATGTCCTGCCATGGCGTGTGGCTCGGCGGGATGGGATAGCCGCCCTTGGCCTCCAGTTCCTTGCGGCGTGCATCCAGCTCCTCCACCGGGACTAATATGTCTACCCGTCGTTTCGTCAAGTCGACCCGTAGCCTGTCTCCATCGCGTATCAGAGCAAGGTTCCCGCCATCTGCGGCCTCCGGCGTCGCGTTGAGGATCGACGGGGTGCCCGACGTCCCTGACTGTCGTCCGTCTCCGATGCACGGCAGTTCTCGCACGCCCTGTTTGAGTAGCCGTCCCGGTGCGTGCATGTTGACCACTTCCGCCGCTCCTGGGTATCCGAGGGGCCCGGTGCCGCGCATGACGAGGATGGTCCGGCTGTCGATGGGGGCTGTTTCTAATCGCGCCTGGTAGTCTTCGGGTCCGTCGAATACAGCGAGTGGACCTTCAAAGGCATTGGGGTCGTCTGGGTTCTCGAGGAATATTCTTCGGAATTCCTGGGAGATGACTGACGTCTTCATGATGGCTGAGTCGAATAATGTGCCAGTCATATGCAGGAATCCCGCATCCTGGATCATGGGATCGGAGAAGGGCTTGATTGTCTGCCGGTCCCACGTGTGCTTCCCCTTGACCTCCTCACCCATCGTGCCGCCCGTACAGATGAGCGCATCTGGATGCGGCAGCTTACCCGCTTCCAGCAACTCGGCCATGACGGCTGGCAGTCCCCCAGCACGGTAGTAATCCTCGCTCAGCATCTCGCCCGCCGGCTGCATGTTCACAAGCAACGGGATCGAGAACCCGATGCGATCCCAGTCGTCGAGATCCAGCGGCACGCCGATATGTTTCGCAATGGCATTCAGGTGGATGGGGGCGTTGGAGCTCCCGCCAATCGCCGTGTTGGCAACGATTGCATTCTCGAAAGCCTCGCGGGTGAGGATATCCGAGGGCTTGCGGTCGTTCTTGACCATCTCCACGATTCGCACGCCAGTCTCGTACGCCATCTGGCCTCTCTGACGGTACGCCGCTGGGATGGCGGCGGATCCGGGGAGGGCCATGCCCAGAGCCTCGGCCAGCGCGTTCATCGTCGAGGCGGTCCCCATGGTGTTGCAGTGGCCGACGGAGGGGCTGCCGCTGGTCACCATGTCCACCATCTCTTCGTCGTTGATCCGGCCTGCGGAGTGCAGCTCACGAGCCTCCCAGGTGATGGTGCCGGTACCGATGCGCTTCCCGTTGAGCCAGCCGTTAAGCATTGGGCCTACGTTCAGACAGATGGCCGGGATGTTGATGGTTGATGCCGCCATCAGCGCTGCCGGAGTCGTCTTGTCGCATCCCGTCAGGAGTACGACGCCGTCGAAGGGGTAGGCGTAAAGGAGTTCGACGAGAGTCAAGTACGACAGGTTCCGGTCGATGGTTGCCGTGGGCATCCTCGTCGTCTCCTGGATGGGATGCGTCGGGAACTCAAACACAATGGCACCGGCCGCTCGGATACCCTCTCGGACCCGCTTTGCCAGCTCGAGATGATGCCTGTTGCATGGCGCAATATCTGAGCCGGACTGTGCAATACCGATGATGGGCTTCCCGGAGGTGAGCTCTTCCTTGGTCAGCCCGTAGTTGAGGTAGCGGTCGATGTAGATGTTGTGCATGCCGCGCTCGTCCGTACGCTGGAACCAGTGTGCAGAGCGGTACTTCTTCTTCTTGGGAGAAGAAGCGGTGCCGGTGGGAGTCAGCTTCTTGAGCTTCTCCTCTACTTCCCGGGTCCTCGCGCGCAACGACTCCAGCTCCTTCTGGTAGTCCTCGATGTCGACGAGGCTCCCATCCTCGCAATTGCCGCAGCTGCGCGTACAGTCTGTCTCGCAGGGCATGATGTGAAGCTCAGGTTGAGGTACGGGTGCTTACGAGATAGTAGCTTTTACTGTTAGTGGGCAGGCATGTGGCATTATTCCCTCCTTATTGCTAATGTGAGAGAGGTGGTAGGTTAGGACTGGAACCACAGATAAGGGAGCCCATAATAAATGATATTGATTCCAGCAGGGATGACGAGGGAAATGTTTCCGAGGAGGAGGGCCCCAAGAGATACGGGAACAGAACAGGGACCGCTCTCTCGCGTCGCGTCGGCACCGGTTTTCCCCTTTAGGTTACAGCTCTGAGTCTACTGCACATGCTATGGATGCAGTTATGCAGCTCGCAGTTGGCCTCTTTAGATGGGGACGATAAAGAGTCCCGGACATTCACAGGCCGGCTCGTCCCCAGAGCTGTCCGTCCCTCCAGCTCGCAGAAGCTCTGGGGAACCGATCACAGTTGCCATACGCGGTTGGTGAGTGTCGTCGATCAGCCAGCCCAGTGCCGACTCCGGAAGCGGCGTAACCTCCGAGTATCTGAGACGAGGTGCCATCCAGCGGGGCTCAGGCGCATGGCAAGGAACCAGCGCGTTCGGGACTCCAATTCCTGGTCGGTTGATGACCGAGTCCAGGCCTGCGGGGGTTGCTTAATCATTCAGCAGCTTCTCGTTGGCTGCATGTCGGGATGGATTTGCCCCTCTTCCCTCACTGTGCTCACTTCACTCTCTCAATCATGCAGCCCCCAGTACATAAACTAGGCACTGCCGACGAATAGAACAAGGGGATGCAGGCCACATGACAGCTGAAATCCTGGACAATAGGGTCCTTGTCTAAGATAGACGGGAGGACTGTTTAGCTCACCCGGCCTCGCCCATTTGATGGAATGATATCCCAGCAGGATTCACAAAACATCACTCATGACGTGACTCAGGGACTAGGCCAGGAGCCCAACGAAAAATGCATGATGCGATATGGTATGATGAGATGCAAGGTTTGGCTAAATTGCTACGCGAAATTCCGTCATCTTCCTCACCCCTCCCTCCCTCCCACAGCCTGATGGATGGATGCGTCGCCCAGTCAGTCGCCTAGGCCATTATCACAAGCTTTTTCGTCGGATTCAGGCCTAGCCAATCTTCCTCGCGAATCACCTTTCGCGGCGACGTTACGTTGACCTTGTGGCACATGTCGCCGTCCATCTCGACCAGCATCAACCTCATCCCTCCCGCATCCCTCCCATTCGCCTGGCAGGCCGCGATGATAACGAACGGGTGGAGGGCGCCATGCAGCTCAACAAAATTCTCGGGGAGAGATATGCTGGTCATCTGACGCTTGCTCTGAGGGTGTAGGACGCGGAACTCGCGGATGGGCGTGGATGATAGCCCGCGCGGTGCTTGGAGGGATAGGAAGGCGAGGCTGCTGTAGAATGCGATGAGACCTGGGGGAATCCCTCGAGGTGCCGCGGCCATCTGCTCGTGTCTGGACTGCATCTTGTTCAATTCGACATTGAAGTGGGATCGTAAGTCGGGGTGTAGCCAGCTCTTGGGATCCGTCTCCTCGCTTGTTGGCAAAGACATTGGTTCTATTGCATCGCTGCGAAACTTGAAGAATTGTATCAGGCCTTCGGGGCTTTCCAAGGATGCTATGGGCTCGATCCCGGCGTCTGCTTGCTCTCTGGTGTAAATCCATCCCGTCCACGACCAGGAGGGAAAGCCTGGTCTCCGTGCACAATACATGTCCCAGAACCAACACCCTCCGACAACTTGCGCAAAGTGATGTTCAGGGATGCCGTGATAGATTGGCCCAACAAGATCCTCCACCATGCCTGAGATGCCTGCAAACGCATTCTCCATGTCTTCGGCACGAGTCAGTGTTCTCTGCGTATACTGTTTGACAATGCTTCTGAACATCCTCACTTTCTCGTGCGCAGAAGCATTGGCGTTTCCCATGGTCCGAGGGGGAGAGTTGAGCCCGCATGATAGTCTAGGGATGTCGAAATCCTCAAGATGGATGTCCTCTCTCCAAACAGCAGTGGGGCAGGAGAAGACCACCAAACCCGGGAGAAATATCACAGAACGCAGAGAGCACATTTCTTCCTGGAATGTCCAGCCTCTGGTTCTCCATGTCGACGCTTCGAGTATGTACTTGGGCTGCTTCGGCAGTTTAGCGACAGATGTACCCAGGATATCAACCGCATGCATATCGCCCCTATCATCAAATTGACTCACACCGGAGAGGCCTTGAGAGCAGTCAGCGCCATCCGCCGCAACTAAAGTAGCTTCCGCTTGGTGATAGATCAGATACATTTGATTGATCTGCTCATCTCGTAGCTCAGCGTCGTCCTGGACGATACATAACGCATTGACCCAGATATACCTGACTTCGGCTTCTCTTGTCAAAGTGATGGCGTCCCTGATCTTCTGTGGTATCTCAACTTCGAGCAGCATACCCTCTGTCTGCCAGGCCTTGACGTTTTGGGCCAGTAGAGTCGGCTGCGCAACATTTCCCCATACGTAGCTCAGGGCATAGTACAGAGGCGGAGGGCCATCTGGGATCGGAGTGATGCAGTATCTTTCCGTATCAATTAATAAAAGACTTGTCGTCTGCTTTGACGAAGATTGTTTCTGGCAAGCCTCGCCATGATTATATCGACACTTTGTGATCCAGCTTTTCATCAGCTCGACATTGAATTTGGAGGCGGTTTGGCGGGCAAAGCCGAACTTGTGGTCATGCACTGGGATGAAGAGATTCACATCTTTCTCTGGCTGCCGATAGGCTGGTCTGAGCACCTTTGGAGTTCTCCTCACAAGCTCACCTGATGATGAGAAGTACGGTACGTTGCTGGGAGATTTCGGGTCCATCTCGTACTCTTGGAAGATTAGACCCTTCCAGGGCCCCTCGTTACTCAGCTGGACTCGAACTTGTTGAATAGCGTTGAGAGATAGCCGCATCCCGGCGTTTGGTAGATTGTGATTTTTCACTAATTCTCTTTTCCCTTGGAGCCCAAGGTGCTCGAAACGATCCAGTAATCCGCCAGGGTCTGTCGAATCGGAGACTGAGACACAGACCGGGCATGAATCGGACTCTGGGTGGCTGCGGAGGAAAGTCTCCATGTGGCCAAGGATTTGATTACAATAGGGCAGCTTCTTCTTGAGACCTTCGCACGCCGCTCTTGGATGACCGTCCCTCGTGCTATTCAAATCATATAAGAACTCATAGCAAAGCAAAAGCGCGTTATGAGGGTTGGCATCTGGCAGCTTTTTGTTACTGCACACTAGACACCGGCCTTTGTCATGATGAGGTTCCTCCGACTCATTGTCAACATCTTCAGGGACGGTAGGGTTGCCGTGTTGCAGCTCTTCGTCGAACGCTGCCTGTTGTATGACATCTTTGAGTGTCTGATAGCCGCTGACGAACGACCTGGAAAACAGTCAGCCCGGTCTCTTGAGCTTGTCTATGGCTAGCTCGCTAACTTTATATTACGAATCTGCTCTTTGTAGGCATCAATTCGATCCACCTCACTCTTCATGAATGAGCAAAATTCGCAGCCAGAGGGGTTCGCCGAGTAGTCCCAGGTATGTAACACAGCGTTATCATCTTCTTGACATGTATCGGCCCAGTCTCTGAGATATTGGGCGAGCGACGTTGGCGAACAACTTGAGCAGAGTTTTTCATCGTCGCGTGCACTGGAAGCGCCTCTCTGGGCCAGCCATTTTAGCATGATGGTAGTGGCGGGATTCTCTGGAAATTACCCAATGAAGTAATAGGGCATTGAACAGGTCTCTGTCAGACAGCTGTAAGTTGGGGGGTTTGAGTGAGCTTTGTGCATTTGATACGGCGAGAACTGGTTTCCTCTCAGGGGCGGGGAAGTTCAGCCACTGTTTACAAGCGTGATGGTGGAAGTCAGCCCTGTGACAGCGGATTCTTCAAGCCCTTCCAATCAGAGCTGGACGGACTGTTTTGGTTCATCAGCTAAGGCTGAATGCCATGATACACCGCTTCCCCAGCCATTCTCATCTTAGCAAGCTTGTGTATGCGTTCCGTGAGCTTGTGAAGAAACCTATTTAGAAAAATGCATGTTTGGAAGTTCAGCCTCGTCGTTCCACTTACAATTGATCGTGACATCATGTCGTATTTACTTCCTCATATTCAATACTTCGGTCTACCTACATCGCTTGTGCCTTGATATTCTCACCATCATCACCCTTTCCCTCACCCTGCCCATTCACCCCGTTTCTCACAATGTTCCAAATATTGCTCAACGCTTCCTGCCCCTCAGGAGAAGACTCAATCTTCTTCTCATAGAAGCTGCCCTGCTCCGTGTCGAAAAAGTCCCGCATCATCTGGGCGATAAAATTCGGCTCCCTCTGCCCCATGGCCGCCCGCTCCTCCTCCATCCAAGCCTCACGATCTCTTCTCTTGGCATCCTCTGCGCCCAAGAACGCAGTAACCAAGTCCCCTGATAGTTCGACACATCTCCAGCCGAGAGCGCTGGCCACCATCCCAATATTCACGACGACCATGCGTGGGGTTTCCAGCCCCAAGGGGCGGATAGCCTTATGCAACAGCCAGCTGTCCAGCGTTTTGACTCTTCCAAAGGACCTCGGATATGCTCTGCTTTTTTGCTCAATGATCTCGTCGAGCCGGACCTGCGTTTGATACTCAGCCGTCCACGGAACGTGTGCTTGCCAGATGTACGGGTCGCTCGTGACGCTCTTCATCTGGTCGAAGGGGGTCGGGAAAACTCCAGGCGCCAGGGTCATTTCATCGTCGTAGATGATAGGAAACTCAATTATGCGCGCTGTGACGGGGGTGTAGCCTGCAACGGCCTCTCTCACCACTTGGTCCAATTGTGGCCAGAGGTCCGCCTTCTCCGTCGTGAAGTGGATGAGCGCAGGGCCCCTTGTCTTCCAGATGTCGCAGAGGAATGAGCCGGGACACGTGAGGTAGTGGAAGCTCGCGTTACAGGGCGCTGGGTTGGCGTAGTGGTATTGCAGGAGCTGGTTGAATGCGCTGTCCCAGGGGTCCCAAAACAGCTCACCGATGTGTAGGATCTGGTCTGAGGCGTAGATCCAGTGGTGCCAGCATGCGCCCTCGGCCTCCTTATCTGTTCTCCGGTACAGTGAGTTCGGCAAGGCGAATTGATTCAACGGCGTGTCGTTGTCCTCCAAAATGGGGGAGACGTCGAAGCGTTCCAGGTCGAGCTTCGTCCACCAGTTGGTAGGATCACGGAGCTGGGGGATCCAGAATGGCGCGACTCCGAGATCGTGAATGCCCGGCGCACCAGGCACGGAGAACCAGTCCAGCTGCCGTGCGGACTCGAAATTCTCTTCGACATGCCTCAGAGAGGCAAAGTATAGCCGGGTCTCGTAGTCAGCCAGAAGCAGGCCTACAATACCACCAAGCACAAGGTAGAAGAGAGTCAATGGCAGTGTGACGAGAAAGCCACGTCGAATAAAGGTTCTGGTCCATCGGTATAACACCCGGAGGAGTGGAAAAGGACTCCACATGGTGGGCGAAGGGCTCGTTTGCCGCAAGGTTTTGATGATTCTGGTTGTCGTGAAAGAGGAAGTAAGAATTCCAACGTTTTTAAGGCTGTGCAAACTTACTGGGATTATGACCCTATGGGCCCCTGAATATCAGCAAGCCAACGGCCAATTTCATTGCCAAAGTTGCACCGAGATGCGGATACCTGAAACCCCACTGCTCCTATGGTGTGTGTATGTGTTATTCTTTAACGCCAGTACATTTCTTAATGGGGCAATATAGCAGGATTGGATAACATCAAGGTGGCTGCCTAAATCCACGGAAGTCTGGTGAGCTGAAAATCGGCGAATGCAACTAGTTATCTAAGTAGTATACAGCATTACTTCGAGTTAAGAGTCAAGTATCATGGACCATGCACAATACTCGTTTTAGTACATCTAAAAGATAGACTGGTCTATATTTTTTTACCTATTAAAGGTATCTATGACCAGTATGGCGCCAACTCGATCGTAGTATGATGCATCTGCTGACTGTAGGATTTAATTATCAAGCAAGGATGATGTGCTGTAGTCATTTCAGTTACTGTCTAGCTTGTATTCAGGCAACGGAGGCAAGCAAAAAAAGATCAAGAAAGTAGTACAGTTGAATTTAATCTTGTCGCAAGGATCATAATGATGGTGGTGCCTTTTTCTGCAAAATCCCAAATAGATAACCTGAGACCGCCAAACCCCAGAGGATCGGTTTCCATCCCGGAATAAGCCAAGAGAAGGCTCTCTTATGCGCGCGGCAAGGTATGAACGACAGGGGTAGGCACCAACAGATCTTGATGCTGAAGGCTGGGTGGAATCGGATGGGGCTGTGTTTTCAGCTGTTTGATCGCGCTTGCGCCATAATAAATGCGACATTTAGTCAAAAGATCTACGGACGCTCCCGATTGCTCCTGCTCACGTCGGGGATCTTCTATCCGTCAGCCCAACCTTTTGTTGAACAGATAGCCGAACTCCATGGCTGATGACGTTGACATGGCAGAGCGTGACCCTCGATTGAAGCGTCGTGCTGATGGCGGGAACAGCGACACCAAGTCACCCCTGAAACGCCTCCGCCCGGAGCCTTGCGAACCACCAGTTGTGATCGTGATCGGTATGTCATAGAGGGCACTGAGAAGAGATTGGACAAAGTTTTACTGAATAAGTTGTTAAACAGATTCTTCAAGCGAATCAGAAGACGCAGACTGCCAACTACCGGAGCCGAAAAGTGACCCTCAATATGATGCGTGCTTTGGGATTGTATGGCCCCTGTTGTCGGGTGTTGATGGATTCACAATTGACCATTTTTAGCTTCTAGTCACGGCAGTATCCGCCTTTAAAGGGAAAGAGGACATGAAACATGCTGCTGTGAGCGTGGAACCCGGTGTGAATATGCTGAAGCTTTCCTTTCAAGAAACTGGCGGCTACGCTGGTCTTGTGAAGAGTGAGATCCTGGCTGCGCTTCTCCTTAGAAACACAGTCAAGTTCAGAGCGACCATATTCGACCCTGGCGCCGAAAAAAAGATAATCATAGGGAAATTCCACTCTAAATTTGCTCTTCCAAGGGATTGTGAGCTTCGGTTAGCAGTTTACGGATCCATGGCCGATTCTGAAACTATCGGAACGGCTCTGGGGGATGCTGGGCTATACCTGCATCACCCTCTGACTTCAGATCTTGACAGGGGAATGTCTTACCACAATCCTCATTTCCTTCTTCGCCCGGGATCTGAAATGCCAAATCTAGAAGTCTTAGACCTAGGCAATGGCGATCAGACCCCGCAGGATCCCAGATCCGAAAATTGCGTCATTGATGAATACAGTAAAGCCGTTTATATGAGGCTATTCGAGAAAGCTACTTACGAGGACACTTTCAACCAAGTTTCATCAAGTCCCCGCCTAAAATCGACTTTGAAAAGGTGAGACTGTTGCATTTTCACCGAAATAGGTAATGTAGTTGTTATCTGACACTTAGCTATTAGGCATCAACGCATTGCACTGGCATGGTTGTCAAGAATGGAGTCTGGCGCAGTTGCGCACCCTAAATTCCCCTCTCTCTGGGAATGTCTTGAGGATTCGGAGAATACTGCACAGTAAAGAATTCTATCTCCCGCGATCACGCACCCGATACACTGACAATAATGATAGATACCGCAGCAAAATCACTGGGTTAAGGACGGATGCGCCGGCGATATTTCGAGGAGGCATTTTGGCAGATGTATGCGGGTAACTTCTTGATCAAATGCATCGAAGAATGCCATTACTTACTTATATATAGGAAATGGGTCTCGGTAAAACCATTGCCATTTTAAGCCTCGTGTGTGGCTCGCTTGATGCTCAAGCCCAGGTTGTAGATTCTGGAACAGGCGGGGAAGGATTTGGGCCAACGCTTATAATCACGCCAAAGTCGAGTATGTGCAAACTTCAAATATTCTAATGCATATTCTAATTACTACAGCAATTCATAACTGGATATTTCAATGCGAGAGGTAATGGCGTCGAGACCTGCAAGGTCGCCCAGGGCTAACTGGTGTTTGTTCAGGCATATTCATCCCGGACAACTAACCTGGGTAACTTACCACGGTTCGAATAGAGAACGAAGTTTCAATGCACTACAAAAGTATAACATCGTATTCACCACATATGGCACTATGCGCCGAGATTGGACAGAAAAAGGACCTATATATTCTGGGAGCTGGTATCGTGTTGTTTTAGATGAAGGTACAAACTCCCTTTCCTGTACGATATATATGAAGGCTGCTAAACAGAAAACGCGAATTCTCCCTTCTTAATAGCCCATCACATCAGATCCAGGGCATCTCAAACCAACAAAGCCGCGTCTGCAGTTGACTCCTCGCGTCGTTGGTGCGTGACTGGTACACCGATTCAAAACTCACTAGATGACCTTGGAGCTCTCATAAACTTTCTCCGGGTACCGAAATTTCTGGACAAGAGAGAATTTGATAAATGGATCACTCGTCCTTGCAAAAGCGACCATCCGGACAGTTTGCGACGGCTCGAAGTGCTCATTAAAGCCACCTCTTTGCGTCGAACGAAGTTATCAGCTAATTTGGCACTGAAACTTCCTAAAAAAGTTGAGAAGGTAGAATGGGTGAGCCTTACTCCAGAGGACAGGGAGTTATACACCTTCTTTGAGAAGAAAGCTGCAAAAATCGCTGCTGGTCTCTATCAGAAAAATACAAAGGCCTCGACGACACCAGCCGAGAAGGAAACCAACATTCTTTCACTCATCAACTTTTTGCGACTGATTTGCAATGGAGGAGAAAAGCTCTTACTAAATTCAGCAGTGGCCGCCTGGCAGAGCAGGAGTGAAGAATCCATATCTTGGGAGATGATGAAAGACTCTGAGAGTAAATGCGAGCTTTGCCATTGCTCCATAGCCGAAACGGATACTCAGTTTGCGGAAAACATCGAGTTCTTATGCCTACACATTATTTGTTGGAAATGCAGAAACAATCAAGAAGATGAGGATGTTAATGAAACGAAATCCTTATGCCCAACCTGTTTAGGTTCAGGCACGAACGAGAAGAGTCGCTTTATGAATTCTGACGGTGTATCTCTCAAGCTTCGTCTGTTGCTCGAGAACATCCGAAGAGAGCAAAAAACTGGAGAGAATGACCGATGTAGTCCGATAAAAAGGTACGTTCGAAGAAACTTCGAGGATAACTGTCGAGAAAAGAGAAAGTAACTCGAGAGATTAGTGTTGTCTTTAGTTCATGGACAAAGATGCTCGATCTAGCTCAGCATGTCCTCAGCACGGCCAATTTCAAGATTCAACGGATAGATGGTCGGAAAACTCTGCAAGCACGCCAGAAAGCAATCCACGAGTTCAATGAAGACCCAGAGTGCACTGTCTTGCTAGCAAGTATCGGAAGTGCTGGTGAAGGGTAGGGACAGTCTGACTGCTACCTGAAGCGTGTGTGCAGAATTGCTGACCTTGTTCGGCATCAGGATTGATCTAACAGTTGCCAATAATGTTCATTTGCTTGAACCAAGCTGGAACCCAATGGCCGAGGCACAAGCTGTTGACCGCATTCACAGAATTAGTCAACAAAGAGACGTCTTCATTACAAGATATTTGATCAGAGATTCAATTGAAGGAGTAAGTCGAAGCCTTCCGCATTCAACAACTGATTTTTAACACTATGTTTTAGTATATTCAATGGATACAACAGGATAAAATCCGACTTATCGAGCGGTCCCTTGACTCTGAGACTTCCCACTCTGAGGCTGTTGAGCATAGAATCGAGGTACATGATTGCCTCACATACAAATACCTCATATTATCATCTTAAGCTAACTGTAAAAATAGAAATTGCATCAAGTGTTGGGCTGTAAAAGGATTGCTGAATAAAGATAGATGAATGGCGTGGCATTGGATGCTCCTAATTTTATCGTGTCATACGGATACGAAATATACATAATCTTCTTAGGTGACTTTGCCTGCTTGGCATTCTCGCAACCAGACACTTTCCGTATTGAAATAAATAAATCGAAACCCTGAATTGGATCTTGTCAGTCAGTCTAGCAAAAATTTATGCAAGAAAATGTCACGTTGCGGTTTCTAAGTTTAATATCCTATGAGGAGGATCCAGCTCTGCTTAAGAAGCCGATTGTCATTTTGATAGTTGCGGCACATTGAGCCTAATCAATCGTCCATCGTTGTCGGGATATTTCTAGTAGGTAACAATCTATCAACAGTATTTGCTGCAACGACTACTGCTCATTGGTAGAAATCTGCCGCAGCCGTTCTCGTAGGGAAGGTTATGACCCCGGCATCAACCCCCTTTCCATAGATACCCTTGAAGGCGTTTACTATTGAGTTGTACTGACTGTAGGAAATGATCCTGGCCATTTTATTCCATTATCTCTGTCCACTCGAACTCTTCGCACGAGCTCTTCCCATGGTATCCCAAGCCATTGGGAAATGTTTTTGGCGCCTATCTCGTCGGAAGCAACACGCCTGGGGCCACGAATCGGTTTTTGACCATCTCGCTTGCTGCCCCTTGGTGCTTGTGGTACTGCGCTTGAATTTGGGCTGGCCCCTTGATACAGCAGGAATTTGATGAATTCTGCTGCTTCGGCGGTATCCTTGCGACAAGCGCGATGCAAAGGAGTTCGTATTGTCTCGCCTCGGTGAGCGTCAGTGGCCGCCCCGTGCTCTAATAAATATTTTGCAAGACGAATAGAACATGTCGTATCGGCAACATGATTTAGCCCAACTTGAAAATGCTGCTCTTTTTCTAATGCGCCCCAGATCCCGATGAGGAGGCCCTCGCGCTCAGGGTCTTTAGAAGTGGCCTTTATCACCTCGGCTGTGAAGCATCCTTTGGATACTGTAAGATTATGTGGTACATACTGAATGAAATGTGGCAAACAAGTGTCCCGTATCTCCGTCGAGCCCGTAGCTATGTATGCTGAGATGCATTTTGACACTGAAGCTTCCAACTCCCAACCACCGCTTGCTCTCCCTAGTTCTCCAAGCAGCCACTTCAGTGTGTCCATGTTTTGACCCTGAATAGCAGAGGCAGTCCCAAAATAAAACTGGCTGAGATCAGAATTTTGTAATGTGACCTTTAACATTTCTTTTGTTCCACAATACGCAGCGAATCGTTTCAATTCGTCCATGAACTTATCCCATGCCATGCGTTCTTTAGACAGGACTAGATGGTATTGCTTTTTTTTCAGAGTCATGACTTCGCTCACTGTGCTTGTGTCATTCGAGTACACACAATCAAATAGCAAGGTCATCAGTTCAGAATTGTCCATGTCTGGATCCAGGGATCGTGAATCGGAGGTACCACCTCCCAGGTGGTGGGTGCGTTGGTGATCTCTTCTCATTCTCTCCGAAAGAAACCCGTGCTTTGAATAATGACACGATGAAACATCGCACTTCCATACTCGGGAGTGAGTCTTGTGGTGCAAGCTTCTCAAATGGCGAGTTGTGAAGCCAAGACGCTGATCAGGGCAGCTAATGAATTCACATTTGAACCTTTGTTGTCCATAATGTCGAACAGCCACGGCCTGATCTGCCCTGATACAGCCGCAATCATCGCCGTGACCACAATTCAAGGCAAATTCTCTATCAAATTCTTGCTGTAATTTACTCGCCACTTGAAATATTGTTAATGGAGTGAGAGTGAGCCAGGATTCAGCTGTATAGTGGTGAGCATCAAAGTATGATTACAATTCAGGAGGGTCATACTCACGCTCTTTCAGTTGAAACTGCGAGTTTTCAGCCTTTTGCATGAACTGCGCCGCATGTTTTAAAATATTAAACAAATCAGAGTGGTTTGCTTCAATTGTGTGCAATTCCGCTGGATACTCTATTCCGTCCAAGGCAGTCCCCTTGTCGAATTTGTGATTATATCTAAAATGCGCGAGTCTTTCCAGATTCTTAATGAGATTGGTGGAAGGCGGATATGGTTCGATTCGATCGAGATAGGCGACCACAAGATCCAGCCACATCCTCAGAGCGTAGTGATGCAGCCGATATCTGCCCATGATGATGTTTTCTTCCAACTGAGAGCTATGGAGCTCCGCTTCATGATGGCCTTGACAAAGATACCTTATACAGCATATTGCTAAGCTCAGTGTAGCCTCAGCGACATCAATGTAGTCATCGATGCGAGGGCTAGACAGATACCTATAAATTTCCCGTTAGAATCACTACCTGAACCAACTAGCAATTTTGATCTCACTCTTTCACGCTGAAGTGCACCATGTACACAAAACCGTCAATCGTTTCAACAATAGGCCCACACAACTTGATAATATTCAAGGTCGATGATACTCGACAGCCACCTTGGGGGTTGGAATGGACCACCAAGGCTTGCTCAAGCTCTCGTAGAGTCATGGGGGTTGAGGAGCAACATATCCAACCCAATATAGTACGCGACTTTGCCCGAATCAGGTCAGAAGATTGGGCATTAATACGACGGAAAATTCTCCCGTATCTGTGCATATGTCAGTAAGTCTATATTCTTCGCATCCTAGTTGATAGACCAGGCGTGTCCTACGCTTCATCTAGGCTTTCAGGCAGAACGCGAAGTTCTGATCGGATCTCGTCCACCTCGCTCAATAGCTCAATGCTGCTTAGCATGATTTTAACGTACAGAAACATGCCTAAGATAGAGATTTTTCGGTTAAGAGAAAAGAACACCGGAGTAAGAATAAGAAGAAATTACCTGCAGCTTTTGATGAAATTGGTGCAAGCAAGCCTCTGATTTCCAGCTCGCATTCTGGGATAAAGTTCTTCTCGTTTAACCATTCTCGCGTCCATTGATCGACAAATTCCTGAATGCTTTCAAAATTATTCGCGTGGACAAGTACTGATGGTGCGAGAGGGTTCAGGACTTTCGCAATGTCGTCTGGGGCTTGGCTCGAAACCATGACCCGAGCCTCACGACAGGCGCTTGTTATCGTCACCAACTTCTCAAGTAGGCGTTTTCGCTCGATTTCTTCAATTTCATTCAAGCCATCGATAACCAGATAAGTTGGGCCAACACAAGCAACCAGGTCTTGGAGGAGCTGGGTGGCAGAATCAAGCTCTAGTCGGAGCCGGTTTGTTGCTGACTGGCAGACCACGGATTGCAAATTTTCGTCTTCCGAGGAGAGTTGAGAGATAATCGAGTGTACAACTGATAGAGCAGTGGTGTCAGCACTGTGGGAATGACTAAGGAAAGCAAACCCAGTTTTGTGGTGATTCATGCACTCCATGATGGCCGTGGCAGTTAGGAAGGTTTTGCCAGCTCCGGGGATCCCTTGCAGCCAAAGCAAGTTGGAGGAGTAGTCGGTGGTGTCCAACCACTTGACAAACAGACTATTCTTCAACAGCCACTTCCCAGTCCCTTCACATGTACGACCACGGATTCGATCAAGATCGCGATCATAGCTCTTGATTTTGAGACTTGTCATGATTCTATTGAACTCTTGAAGTCTTTTCGCCTTTTCTGTCAACTCGAAATGCACAAGCTGCCTTTTACGGGCCTCGTGTTCCTCGCGAATCTCCCCCAGCCGGACCTCGCTCCGTATAAGAGTTGTGTGCCGTTCAATATGCCCTATGATTATCGAAATCTTCTCTTTTTGCTTGGGCCATACGGATTCAAAAAAGAGGTGCCAACCTGAAGTTGAGTCAGTCAGCTTGCTTTCCCAAAGCTACCATGGTAGGGTCATGACGTACGATTCAAGCCGAAAAGCTCGAGAGCGACAACATAAAAGTCGAGAATGTCGCGGAAAAATAACACGAGAGCACCCTTAATGGCCTTATTTTCAGAGAACAAAGTGGTCATCTCCTTGAATTCAGGGAGCAGATTGCCAATTTGACCTGTCATGTCGACGATGGCATCGAAAGACTGCACTAATGAACTTGCCATCTGGAGGAGCAAAAGTATCGGTCCCCATATGAGCGCCATGATGTCAGGCTTCGCTTGAACAAACACGTTGATAACATTGTGATATTCGCGTAATTTCTCGAGATAGGGCTTGATCCTGGCCAGGTTCCTCATTCGGCCTTTTTTCTTCGCTTGCTCAGCCTGAAGCTTGTCGGTGACATCATAGACTTGATCGATGGAATGAACTTTCAGGATTTCTCGATACAGATCGTCATTATTGAGTTTGGACTTGAAATCATGAGCAGCCTCGGTAAACGCCGCTTGAAAGGGGTCTGGAGATGAAGCAGCCATACTTGCTCAGGGCGAGACCAGCTGAACCTCAAACTGGGTATTGCATTGATGAAAAGGAAGATAAGTTCTCGAATGAGATTGACTATGAAGTACCAACAAGAAACTCCTGACGAGGCAGTGTATGAAGTTTCGGGTTGCAGGCGCTTAGAGAGTGGCGCAGTACCTACTCCATGCAGCACTCTCCTCTTTGAGGGACTTTGCTATCAGACAACCACCCCCAAGGTGGCTGAGACCCCTGCGGTAGCCGATTAACGTATACTGTACATATTGACCAAAGGGGCTATTTACCTAATTCTGCTTAACGCATTTACTTACGCCAGATCATATAATAATATAAGCTCTTAAAGCTAGATTTAAAATAAGGCTAACGTAGGTCTACTATGGGGGCTAATATACAAATAAAGTGCTATACATTCAGCGGTTAGGCCGAATTTTGGGCCAAGACCTAGAAGTAGGCCTGGCTAGAAACGAAGTTTAGAATCTCAGATTATATAATCATCAATCAGTTTCAAGAATGGAAGCAGCCTTTGGTGAATGTATTTTATAGGGTAGTGTTTAGCTATAGAATATTCAATCAGATAACTAAATAACCACCCAAGGGCACCTCGAGAGTACGAGGACTGACCCCGCACCACTACAAACTGCCTGCTCGAATTGTGGCAGTGCATTTATGCTTATAAGCATACTCGAAAGTATTGTCAAATGCGATTTCTTATATTAAAGAGGGATTTTCCTACCTTTCAGCTGAGAAAATCACCACAACCTGATCTCAACATTGAATCAACCTTCTTCAGTCGCAACAAGTTCTCGCCCCTGCTTTCGTGCTTGAACGCGAGGATGTCCTTGACAAGTTCCGCAAAGGTTTTTGACATCACGCCACGCGGCTCAGATTCTTCAGACCCAGCGTATGTGACCCAAAGCTTTGGGGTTGCCTACAGAGAAAGATATGCCATAACGGAAGCAGTGGCTGACCTAAACATGGCCTTGGTACAGTCTGATGGGGGATTAGAGCTTAGTGCAGATGATGGTTCCGGGACAGTCTTCCAAATCCTGAAAGGTGGTCCCAGCCCTGACTATAAGAGCAAATATGAGATGACTGAAGCAGACATTTCAAAGGAGATAGAGAGATTTACAAATGCCAGGGATGCGACGTTAGAAAATGACCATGTAGCCCGGTCATTCTTCAGTCACAAAGTGGCAATGGCATATCAAGCGAAAAGCCAGAAAACCGGAAGGTTGGAGGACTTGGAGAACTCAATACAGCAGTTTCGAGCGGCCCTTGACAGCGGACCCGAGCATGATATGTTTCGACCTTACCAGCTCCTGAACATTGGAGTGGCTTATCGGAAAAAGTACCAACACACAGAAGAACCAACTGACTTGGATCTGGCTATTAGCTTCCTTGAAGCATGTGTTGATGAAACGCCACATGAGGATGGAGACAGGCGCTGGAGGCTTGAAGAGCTAGGAGTTACGCACTGGTACAGGTTCAAAGAGACCAACAAAGATAATCATCTCTCATCAGCAATTCAGAGAGTACAGGAGGCCGTCCAGATAGACTCGGATTACTATCCTGATCGAACAAGACAGCTGCGGAGTTTGGGGAGCTTACTCCGTGAGAGGTATCAAAGAAGTCGGGATGGAACTGATCAGCAGTTGGCTATCCAATGTTTCAATGAAGGACTCAGGGAAGGAAGAGCTGCTCCAATTGAGCGGTGGAGAGCTGGGCGAGCCTTGGTGCGATTGCAGGGCGAGGCTGGGAATTGGTCCTTGGCCTACGAAGCAGCTCATGCGTGCGTGGACCAGATTCCGCGCGTATTATCTCGAGGCCTTCAAGTTTCAGACAAGCAGAACTTGGTCACCGCTCTCGACGATTTTTCACTTGAGGCAGCCGCAGTTGCAATGATGGCAGGGCAGCCCCCCTATGAAGCCATTCGATTAATTGAACTGGGTCGCGGACTGACTCTGGGTTCTCTTGGCGAAATGCGTACTGATATTTCCCAGCTACAAGACAAATTTCCCGAGCTAGGGAGCAGGTATGAGGAGCTTCGCGATCAGCTGGCCGTGCCAGCAGTTTCCGGCCAATTCGAGGCATATCAACGGCTTGAGGCAAGCAATCGGCTGGATAAAATGATTCAAGAAATCCGCGGCCTACCTGGATTTGATCAATTCCTTCTGGCGCCTTCTGAGAACGATTTGAAGAAAGCTGCAGCGTATGGCCCCATTGTTATTGTCAACGTACATGATTATCGCTGCGATGCATTTATCATCGAGAGTCATCAGATCCGGTCATTGGCGCTCACAGATCTACGCCATAGTGACATCCAGACCCGCGAAGCAATGTTGGGAGGTCAGTTGGATAGAGAGAGTCTCAGATGGCTATGGGACACCATAGCTAACCCTGTGCTCACTTGCCTTGGGTTAACCCATAACATTGAGGAGAACTGGCCTCGGCTGTGGTGGATACCTACGGGAGCCCTCGCCAAGTTTCCTATTCACGCGGCAGGAGAGTATTATGAGGATTGCAAAAACTCAGTTCTTGACCGAGTCAATTCATCCTACAGCGTGTCTGTTCAGATGCTTCTACGCAGTCGTCAATATCGACAAAAATCGATGGCACCAGAGATCCTAAACACTACAGTGCTGGTTGGGATGGAAAAGACACCAGGCTTCAACAATCTCCAATTTGCAAAACGAGAGATTGAAGAAGTCGAGAGACTCTGTCTTTCGAAAGGTCATGTTGTCAAAAAACCACTCCCTTGCCAACCCGATGTTCTCTCTGCCATCAAAGGTTGTCGAATTTTCCATTTTGCCGGCCACGGAGCCACTGATCAATTGGATCCGTTGAAAAGCGCTCTTATTCTGCATAACGACAAATTAACGGTGGCTAGTATTCTCCAAGAGAATATGAGTCGCGACAGACCATACCTTGCTTATCTCTCTGCTTGCGGGACAGGACAGGTCCGACACGAGGGGCTTGTTAATGAGGGGATCCATTTGATTAGTGCCTTTCAGCTCGCTGGGTTTGTGCATGCTATAGGATCCCTCTGGCAAGTGGACGACAGTGTATGTGTGAGAATGTCAATCTTGGTATACAGGTGGTTGCTGGGCCATAATAGAAGCCCAGATTCCGTCAGTGCAGCCCTTCATCATGCAACAAGGACGTCCCGAGACCAATGGATTTCTGAAAATCATGAGGTGTTGCAACGGGGAATTCAGTCCCAGATGAAGCAAAAGAACACGAATGACCTTGACGGAACTTCAAGGGATATTGATCGTGTTGATGATACCCCTTTGTATTGGGTTCCTTACGTTCATTTTGGCGTTTAGAAGACTCCCAATAAAGCAGTCATTAACGGCTAGGCCATTCTGATCTGGTATTCAGTGGCTACCCATGGTAGATAGGAGTAGGGTGAACAATTTCGTACTCATGTGTATTCACAAAACAGACACTATATATGTACGGCGAAACTCATTTGATTTACCTAAGCTCAGCTATATACAATTTCATCGGGAGACTATAGGCAAGTGAACACAAAGGATAATGAAACAGCCTTTTGAAAAAGAAACTGGGAGAGCATTCCAAATCTCCAAGACGCACAAAATTCAGCCAGATATCGATATTGAAAATATGTGGCTTAAAAGATAAGTCTGGTTCATATTTGATCAGGCTCCGATGAATGGCTGGAGATCACTGAGAAGTTGTTGATAAGCGGTGCCGGAGGGTGGCTCCAAGTTGAACATGTAATCCCCCCACCAGGGACCAGCAGCCCACCAGAGCCAGCCCTTCCAGACATCAGAGTTGTCGAGAAGGTATTGGAGTTCACCCTTTACCGCCTCCCTGCACACATCATTGACGGCTCCAGCTGTCTCGCCTAGAATTCCGATCTTGTTGTTGTCCTTTAGCCACTGCGTCGCTTCCTTGACGCGCTCAACTCCGATTGTGGCGGAGACACACTCTGTGTGGGTTCCGGAGGAGTCCGAGTCAAGATACTGGTGCATCTCGTACACTAGAAGGTTCTGGGGATCCGTCAAATCCTTGAGGCTGTCGCCGTTGCCACTTGATACCCAAGACCAGGCACCGCTCCAAGCATTGCCCTCGACAAAGATGTACTGAGAGGTAGCTCCAGCTCCTCGGATAGCGTCGATGGCGGCTTGGTTGAGGTCCCTCACAAGTGAGTTGTCCATGTCATGGTACTCGTTGTTGGTGTCAAAGACTACCTTGCTGTTGCTGGAGAAGCGGCTTGCCAGCGTCTTCCAAAACGCGCCAAAACCATCAACGTCTGTGATGATGTTGCCATAGTAGCGGCCATAGTTGTGTAGATCAATCACGGCATACCAGCCCCTATTGTCAAATCAATTAGAATGGGGATTTTCACGATGACATAGACAGTCCTCTGTGTACTTACTTGCCAGTGACATGATCAACAACAGTCTGTAGACCTTCGAAATAGGTCTCATTAATGGAGCCGGTGAGAGTGTCTGGAACGAGTCTTTCCATCCGTGTTGCAATTCGGAAGGTGTTCATGCCGGTGGCCCCAAGTGTCTAGGAGAGTAGGTGTGAGCCCGGAGCGCTTTCTAGTTCACAGAGAGACTTACATCAATCGCACCAGTTTCCGGCCAGATGTAATGTTCTCCCAATCTACCCGGGAAAACAGTTTCACCAAACTCTGCGCCAGCCTCATTGGTACCGGTGAAGGTGAATTTTGCCCCGGAAACGCTGGAAACACCCACGGCCGCAAGGGCCAGGACATGGTTTTGGAATCGCATCGCTGATAGTCCTTTTGGCTGCTTCGACTTAGTCTGGATCTTTCTTCTCCATAGTCCGAGTGGAAGGCCTTTGTCTAGTTTTATACGTTAGCTTCTCTAGTGAAACTTGGGGACTTCTGAATACGGAGGGTGAGGCTCCGGGGCTACGACTGCTGCAGTGTCGATCAAACCTCTAACATCGGCACGCTCGGTCCGCCAGTCCCATGGCTCGACGATTATGAAACAGGGGCGCTGACCTAGACGGAATATTAAATGTCCATTTCACTACAGTATCCATTACGTAGCCTAGCGCCAGTCAAGTGACGAATAATTGCTGTGTGCATTGAACACAGATCCTTGCTGAAATTGGAAGGGGAGATCATGAGGTTTTGGCTCCGAGGGTGTCTCAACATTCCCGCATGTCACCATAAATGGGCTAATACTTTGCAGTACGTCATCCTGCTGTTATGCTCTGATAAATCAAGTCATACATGGAATAGTATCCGCCAAGACGGCCCGGGTGGTTCCTGAGAAACGGAAGTCACCTATATGATAAATTCAAAGAGTTATATAGAACGGGGAAAGGAATGCCCGATCTGTTCTAGTAATGATTTTCACAACTTGGTCTCTTCTAACTTGACCCAAAATGTCGCTTTGCATACTTCTAATTTTGTTGTGTGATGAATCCTCTATCCGGGGCCATCATCCAATTTAAAAAACAGTAATGAGGAAGGAGAACCCTCTAAGGGTTGTCGCAGACATGGCAGTATAGATCCAAGGTAAACAATGTATCCTTTGATTCTACCAATCTAGAATTACTTAATTAATTCTGGAGCTTTATTAATATTCTGCCGTTATTAAACTCTTGGGAAGACTGGGAGCCGTATCTTGTTACCAAGAAAGTTATATCTTAATTAACCGTCCCCGATCAACTCATTGCACTGATCATTAGTTAACAATTCACAATTCTGAGGGATTAATGAGAAGTGAAAGGCTTACCGCCTCGTCGACTTCTTTTGGGCCTACGTCTAGAAAGGATAATTTTCCTTGTGCTGGGGGTTGCGTAATATGTAAGAGTTTATGGAGGGGAGATAGAATACAACCCACGAGCTTAACTAGTAAACAATACTTGGCTATTCCCCATACATTTACATGAGTTTCTTCCGCATAATGCAGTGAAAACTTGGATAACATGGGAGTTCAGTTGATAGAACTGTTCACCATATTTCCTGTTGGTCTGATGATATCAAGCCAATCATCACACGCTGACTAGCTGTATTTTGATTACTTGTTGGTATGTGGCTGCTTCCGTCGTTGCGTAATCGATTAATGATCATAAAAGCATCCAAACAACACTCTCTTTGTGGTAATTGCTACCGTTTCATTGCTTCTATGGCGCCCAACTCCAGCCAAGTTGATCTATGAGATGACTTCCGAGTCTGGAGAAGCTTTTAAGATGGTCCTGCTCCAGTTGAGTAATCCGTTGACGTAGAGTCACAAGAGGTGCTGGACTTGAACTCTGACTTTCAATGGCAGGATATATACTACCGCGGGTAATTCCATCTCTCCCCGGCGCCGTAGAAGACGGAGGCAAAGTTTCTCGGGCCGACAGGGATGAGATCTGTCGCTCGCTAATATGGCCATTCTAGCTAGTAAGAGCCCTCTACAGCGGCCTGAAGCTGGCGGGCGCGTCAAATTTAGAGCCCTACTTGGTGACGAGATAAAGCATACGAAGTTGGCATTGAACATGGAGACAGGAGCGTAGAAGGATAATGGATTTGAGAAGATGTACCTGTAGACTGGTACGTGGGCTTGGAGGAGGCCGGTCATCTGTTCATTAATTCACCTCTCCTCACCGGCACCCGCTATGAATCCAGCTCAACCATATCAAACATGTGGACAAGTAAAATGCGATCGCCCTAGAACTTCTCAACATAAGGCCTGATATCAATCTCCTGGGTAAAGGCAGAGCGGTGCTGGGCATGGAGCTGCCAGTACGTCTCGGCAATCTGGTCGAGAGTGTTAGCAGGCTGTCTGGAGAGACATCTAATTGAGACGGAGAGATCGGTCACTTACGGCGTCAGGCTGGATCTTCCCATCTTCAGCCCCATTATTGACATTATACTCTCGCGTCCGTGGGATATCGATGACACCGTCAATAATAGCATGAGCGACATGAACGCCGCGGGGCCCGAACTCACGCGCCAGAGACTGCCCGAGAGCGCGGAGGGCAAACTTGCCCGCGGCAAAGGATCCAAAGTATGCCGATCCCCTGACAGACGCGGTTGCGCCCGTGATGATCAGCGAGGGAGGGTTGGGCGAGTCAGCCACCGAGTCCAGGAGGAGCGGCAGAGTCTGCTGTGCAAAATGGAAGAATGACTTGCTGTTGGTTGGCACGTTAGTACGCGGCATACAGCAGAGCTGCGAGGATGGATATCAGTTTCACACGTACACAGTGCCGTCGACAGCGCTATCCAGCTCGTTAGCAGCGAGCTCCAAGAAGGGCTTCCGCGAGAATCCTCCATTGACATTGAAGATGGCTGCTGCCAGCCTGCTCCCCGGGAGCTGCTCTTTGACCGTCTCGAATGCCTTCTTCAGCGACGCAGGATCATTGACATCCGCTGTCAGCCCAATGGCTTGCCCACCGCTGTTCTTGATCTCCGCCACGACGTCCTGGTAGCTCTCTGGCTTGCGTGAAAGCAGCACGACGGGATACGCCTTTGCGAATCTGACGGCAACGGAACGTCCTGTTCCAGCTCCGACACCAGCGACGACTGCGAAGAACGACTTTGACGCCATGTTGAGGGTATGAGTGGGAGGCAGCTTATTGGAACACAACAGGTTAGAGTATCACAATAATATGGTTAACTGGGCGGGAGATACGGATTGATTGTACGCTGTTCACGGGATACTCGCAGGATATACTCTATAGATATATAAATACGCCCATGTCACTATGATCTAATTCGGTTCGCGTATGGCGCTGCCCACGTCTATCCGGAGGCTTACCAATCCATGGCTCGCGTTATTAATCGATGCGGGGTGATTATGAGCACGACACCGACCGACGAAGTGAGGCAAACCACCCAAAGCAACGAGCTTCTGTGTAATGAATGCATGAAGGAGGTCTCATCCACGTAGGCTGTAGGTAGACAGGCACAGCTAAGCACGTAAGGACCAAGCCAGACACGATGCTAGTCACCCATCTACTCCTTCTTGACGCATCATTGCCGAAGGCGGGCTAGGACCAAAATTGGCCAATACAGCTTTGTTCCGAATGAGCTTCCGATACATATGACAGTGTGCCATTGCTACAGTTATCAAATGGGAATACAGAAGCAGTACGGTGTTCTCTCGACCGGTCGCTTGATAGATTGGGCGATTAATTGTTGAGACTGCGCGCAGCTCGAACGATCCGGGACAGCGAAGGGGTATATAGCTCGATATTGATAGATCGACGAAATGAACCGTGTCATACTGCGGTCGTGCGCGTCGGGGCATTCGGAGGAAAAATCGGTTGATATTGTGACGGGTCACGTTGAGTCGTTTCGTGCCAGTGGGCAGGCTGGCCTACGTTCACGGAGACGTGCTTGTAGCATCATCGGGAGCGACTTGGTGTCAAGACGAGGTTAGTCACAAACTACAATGATTAGACATTGCCCAGACGAGTCACAGCTCCAGCCAGGGATCACATGTATGGTCGGGCGGCAACAGCAGGAGGAGCGGTAGTGGAATGGCGCAATCCCGACAATCCCTCGTAGTTCTCGTGGATCGTCCGCAAGAGCACTTCGGCGCATTTGTAGATGATAGCACAGACTGTATTGGAGGCTCGAACTCGGGTCAATCGGCGGATCGCAGGGCTTGTCGTTGGAAGTTTGGGATTGAGGCAGTGCGGTCGTACGTCATGACAAGCCGATGAATGGGAGCGGGTCGAGTTTTAACCTGATTAACAGGCCTGTCGCAGGTTTCTTAGTCAAGGATGAACTCCAAAGTTTGAAACGGAAGACATGTTTTCCGTCCGTCGCGTGTTGGCTCACAAGACATCGCGGTTGCAGAATTCCTCGAGCACGAAAACCACAAACAGCTTGAAGCTCTGCGACCCACAGGAGCACGCTGATTGGTAGACGATGTGGTCTAGGGTAGCTCAAAAGAGCCGAAGGGAAAATGGTTGAGAGGTATAATGAAGCTATGTAATTTGTGACGACTGTTGGTCAATCTTAATTAGCGCTTGCAAATTTTTTTTTATCATTCATTAAATATCCGATGCCCTCCAGATCAGGGTTAGTCTACCTAAGCATAATTGCTCTCTCATTGAAAGCGTAGCTATGCCCATTAGTCTAGGATCAAATCGTTTGGAGCTGAGCTACAGGGTAGGTTTAGACTTCGAGTCTACCTACGAAGCGTGTTTGGTCTTCCTTGTTGTAGAATGGATCGGGATAAAAGTACTAAATTTGAACTCAATCTGTTGATCGAGGCTAACGTAAATGACGGCCTTTGTTTTGACCAAAAAAACAGGCCGCGGAGGCTCCGGCTTGCCCACATGGGAGAACCTTAAAGCGAATGTGAAGAGCATCGTCGCAAGGGCGTGGGGAAGAGAATTTTCATCCTAACATGCACTATTTGCTTCTGTTGGGTGGTCATTGTCCCGTACAGTACGCTTGCTGACATTGTAACATGTTGCTGCTGTACCATGTTATGGTCTTATCAGAAGTCGCCCATCCCGATATACGAGAAGACCGAAGTCGGCGGGCGTGAAGTTCTGACCGGTAGAACCCCGTGTTACGGTCGACTGAGACATTGCGCTCGCAAATGAGGAGGCAGGATGACTATTATATGGGGCACATGATCGGCTACTTTGAGTTTCACCGTCGCCAACAAGTCTCATCGGTGAATGCTTTTGGTACAAATGGAATACTCATTGCTCCCATCCTGGTTGATTCAGGTGACGATGCTTCAGTCAAGCTCTTGCCCTTGACTCCTCCAAGGTGGCATCTGAGGTTATAGAGCGGTCAATTAGAGCGGGTGACCTATTGCTAGGACTTTTGCTGAGACATTGGAAAGCCATCGGAGCCCGTCAGCTCGTGGCGTTGCTCAGCCGTAGTGCTCGGGTATCATGTAGGTGTTGAGCCTAGTGGCGCTCATAGCCATTGGATGAGAATTGAGTTCTAATACATGGATATGCATGGCTGCCTAGTAGCAAATCAAGTCTCATTACCGAAGAGACTCAGGTCCTGGAACAATTAACCTTTTTGATCAAGTAAGAGGGACGTCTGTGTAAGTGCCGAGGTGTGTTGCTCGGCGACGTGAGCTGCATTGGCGTGGATTCAGTTTGATGCCGGAAGTACTAATCTGCAATCAGCGGTAGTGGGTAAGGCTCGGAGTACATAAATAGTTGGATGGCTAGATCCAAACTCGGTCCTACCAGCTGCTTTGATCTCCTTAGCTGATCATACCTGTTAAGAAGGATACTATATTTATGCAGTATCTCTTAGAACTATACATAAACTAAGCTATATGTTAGCTACATACCGTCATATCGATTGAAATTATCAACACATTGTCAGTCACAATGGATCCTCAAGAACTAAAAATCAGCTTGTCCTATCGCTCCGAGTATATCTCGGACCGTGCTAGTGTTATTGAAAGAGAATCAGGAAAGATGGCGATGTGGGATGTACTCTCCAACCTTTGGGAGCCCAAGGACAACCCGGATGGAATCGTCAACCTCGGCATGGCGCAAAACTGGCTTCTGCGAGAAAGTGTCTCGCAGCGGATTCGCGACAGCTTTGACCCTCCATCAAGCGCGCTTACGTATACCGAGGGTACAACGGGTTCAAAGCGGCTGAAGGATGCAATGTCCAGATTCATTAACCACCACTTCTTTCCTTTCAAACAGGTTCTGCCGGAGCACGTCTCCGTGACAAACGGAACCACTTCAGCCCTCGAACATGTTTCGTGGGCTCTTGCGGACCCTGGGGAATATTTCATCGTTGGCCAGCCATACTATATGAATTTCGTCCCCAATCTCACATGGAGATTTGGCGCCCGACTGCTCACTGTTCCTTTTGAGACGGATGATGATAGGTTCAGTGAAGTCGCTGTGGAGAGGTATCAGCAAGCCCTTGATAACGCAAAGGCCGAAGGGAAGAAGGTTGCTGGGATTATTCTCTGCCACCCCCACAACCCTCTTGGAAGATGCTATCCTCGCAAGGTGCTAATAGGTATGATGAAAGTGGCTCAGGAGCACTGCGTCCATCTGATTTCTGACGAGGTATATGCCCTGTCCACCTGGGAAAATACCGTCGACAAGGAATGCACCCCCGACAACTTTCATTCTCTGCTGTCAATTGATCCAAACGGCATCATAGATAGCCATCGGGTGCATGTTGTATGGGGCATGTCGAAGGATTTTGCTGCTAAAGGCTTACGAATCGGAGCCTTGATTTCCCAGTACAACAGTCACCTGCACAGCTCTCTCGTCGAGGCCGGAACCTTCACCATGATCTCCTCGTTTTCGGACCATATTGCCGTTAATCTCTTAGAGGACGAGGAATGGCTCCAGTGGTACCTTCCGGAGCACCAGAAGCGGCTCTCGCAGAACTACGCAAAGGTCGCTAGATGGGCCCAGAACCATGGCATCAACTACGCAAAGGGTGCCAATGCTGGGCTCTTCATGTTTGCTGATCTAGGAACCAAGTACCGAGAGACACACGATGTGTCCCCGACGCAGAATATAACCCAATTGGTGCAGGGTGCTTTGAAAGAGCATAAAGTGTATGTTTCCTCGGGAGACGATTTTGGTTGCGAGAAACCCGGCTGGTTCAGAATTGTCTTCTGTGTTCCAGACTACTGTCTTTTCGAGGGACTTGGGCGTATTATCGAGGCCCTACACTAAGCTCAGGAGAAAGCCTATGTGAAGAATGCTCGTAATATTTCATGCAGAAGACTGGGAAACCGCTCTTTCGGAGAGAAATCGCTTTGGATCCACGTAGCCTTTTATGGCCAATTGAGCAAACGAGTAAGCATATTGGAGGGTTAAGTCCAAAGGGTCTAAATGTATCTAATAGCACATGCTTCATCTGATCTATACGTAGTCTACAAATCAAATGCGATATCATGAATCTAAACCCTAGGCACTGTTTTATAAACATGTCGTTGATTGTCCCTCTAAGCACGGTAACGTGCCCACATGCTCTCAGCACGGGCGATCTGTCCTGGAGTAAACTCCTCGTAGCAAACACTACAGATCTCATGTTAGTAGGTGTCTTAATATTCTTTGAAGAAAGCATGTCCACTTACTCGTCAGAGTAGTCCATGTAGTTGTGGATTGGGTCCAGGCCAGGGTGGTTAGGACAAGAGTCGCGTCCAACGGGACATCCTGATGAAGCACTGGCTTGGGCTGGAGTGTCATCGACTTCATCACCGACGTTGCAGCCGTCCTCGAAGGTGTGAATCAGTCCGAACCAGTGTCCAGCTTCGTGGGTTGCTGTCTTGCCCAAGTTATATGGTGCAGCCGATCCACCGGGTACGGTGGTGGCCAGGATGGAGCAGCCGTCCGTGTAAAAAGCAGTTGAGCCAGTGCTGGCTGTGGTTGGATAGTAGCAGTATCCAAGGTAGCCACTAAGGTAGTCAAGGAAGTAGAAGTTGAGTGCCGCATAGGAACCTTTACGGAGAGCGCGCTTCATAGTCAGCTCATTCCTGTCCTGGGACCAAGCCGAGTTCACTGTCTTGCTGCTGCCCGCGTAGTTGAGAGTAATGCCGTATGGGGAAAAGTTGTCATACAGAACGTCAAATTGGGCTTGGAGAGTAGCATCCTGTCCTTGTTAGAAGGCCATCTTCTTTATTTAGTTTGAGCTTCCTGAGAACTTACGGATAAGAGATTGGCTGTCGAACCAGCAACAGTGTGCAAGTAGACATCGACTGACAAGGCAGCCGACGTAGCGAGACCGGATAGCCGAGCCGAAGCTTCTTTCACAGAGAATTCTCGAGAGGTTTCGACGAACTCAGCGGAGGGTTGTGCAGTACCACAGCGGCGACCCTCCTCACGTGCGGAGAGAGAGTGGCCAAGGGCCGCTCCGGCAAAGAGTAGAACAGACTTGATAGAATACATGACGAGATGCTTTGACCTATATTGTAAATCCTATTGGCCTGATAGAACTTGAGTTGATAGACAGTTCATCGAACGGAACTCTCTGCTTTTATATCTCTCGACTCCAATATCATAGTGTCGACTCGCCTCACCCGTGCATTCTCTCTATGCAGCTTTGATTGTATTGCTACTACCTTCTCCCTTCTTCAATGCCAAGAGTTTCCTCTATCTTGAGCTGTGAGGCGGTCACGTTGTGGTAGTCACCGTTCCAACTCCCCCGCACCAACTCAAGAGAGAAGGTGCAGATTGCCCTTGTAAATCCCTCGCGAACATCGATCTGGAGTTTGCGCCGGCCTCTTCTTTGATAAGCTAACGGTGATTGAAATGGGAGTTGCTGTAACCTTAATCTAATGTGCCCGTTACACAATAGAATGGACGTTGGACTATGATAACTTGAGTAAACTGTGCTGATGCTGAGACTTGCCTTCTAAGAACAAGCCGCGAACTTCATGTTATGGTTCAAAAGACATTTCTCTGGACTCAAGAATGCTCTCGTGCTGATAACTGATAAGAGGACTTTTGTAATCGAACTTCCTTTTTGAGGCCGGCAGCTCGCATCCTATACTGAGATATGGTTTCAGGATCGGCATGTGTAGGTACTAATCAGGTAGCTCTAGGCTATATCCTGATTAGAGTCGCTCCTTCACATTCAAGGGCTCCGGATTTTCGTGCATGATCGTGTCCAGGGATTTAAGCTTGTAATGGCTGTATAAGGTGAATCTCTGTAGAGTCACACAGCATTAACAAGGCGTATGCCCATCTTCCCGACCAGTAAGAGGTATATGTGCAAGCGGCCCAATCTGATCCATTAATGCACCCTAGCTGATAGGCTCGTCTGCCAGGAAAAGCAGGGAAGCAAGCTGGCAGAGGTCAGGGGAATAGACCACTTATGTATATATCATGTCTAGGAGGAAGGACTTGGAAAATGTCTTCCGTATTGGTCATATCAAATTGAACGATAACAGTCTCCCCCATGTCGTTCGCGCACCTGTGCCTCCTCACCTAAACTGTTGACAGGGTATATGAGGGGAAGGTTGCATCACAGGGCTTCAGAAGGCAAGCCGCCGAGCGTAGCAATCTCACCTGTCATATTTCGAGGGTCTTATCGTCACAACGCCAAGGCCTCACTCCCACCTGCGAAATACGGACCCGGACGAGCGACGCGTACGCTGCCTTATCGAACGGGGTTAGGGTGAAGCCACCAAGCTGTGAGCAGTCGCCTTCGTCGTAGTGCGACTCTGATATTGACACACAAGAGAGAATTTCTAGACACTGTTGTGACGATATGCGATGACGGGTCTTCTGGAAATTCTCACGATACACCAGAGAATCATGCTCTATGAAGGAGGTCAGTTTTGCTTTGCAAGCCTGGCGGAGAGATCATACTTGACAGTTTTGTAAAGTTCGCCTATAGCACCTGATGGTACTATTACCCGTTTTCAGACAAACCGTCGTCCATAAGTTGGTTGGCATCAAAGCCCTTTGGCCAGCTCGCGTCTTTCGGCCTTGGCTGCTCATCGTATTCCCTACCTCTCACTACTTTGATGGAGATTACGAATCGATTCGGCAACGAAAGTATTGTATAAGACTTATTTCAGGTTTTGTGTACTGGGGGTGAGACAAAGGGAAGTGATGGGCCGGTGAGATTTATACCACTTATGATGTGAACCCTGATGGTCTGGGTGCTACATTACTCCACAACCTAAAGATCTTCGCAGTGTAGATCAAGCAGGAACCAAGTAACGTCAATGAACCTTACTTGACGGATAATTCTGGACCGGGACTCCATGTGACTGGGCCAGATATGCCTTGTTCTCAAAATAGATCTAGCGGCGAGGTGACCAGACCTTTGTAACCCATACATGTATACTGTCTGGATGATCAAAGGACCTCTCTACTTGGATCCGGCATGCGTCTGCTATTAGGGAGAGTGAAGGTTGCAACAATTATACGGCCTGTGCAGCTAGCTTGTGAGTTCATCATGTTGGCAATCAGTGTGAAAAGAGTAGTCGACTGGCTGTATTTCTTGCATAATCTCGCTCAAAGCTGCTCGGCTGGTATCATTCCGGAACAAGAATGGGTACAATGCTATAGATCCCAGTCAGTTGATTGCTTGATACCACCGATTTTCCTTCCGCTAGAAATTGTCGATGCCTTCGTTCGAAAACACTCATTACTGACGTTCTTTTGGTTTCATCTCGCATTAATGCTCATTGTTTGGATCATGTGTGTTGAGTTCCGAACTGGATAGTATTCTGTTCTTCTGCTTGGTTCACGTATGGACCTATTGGTAATGAAGAAGACATTGGTTATGGTGCTATTTGCGTGTATCCTGATTTCGATTTCCTTGATACAGCAAAGAAAAGACCAAAGAATATCGCTGAGACTCAGTACCTCGGACCGCTACCGATTAAAGTCACTCTTTAACTCTCAATGTACCTACAGAAACTATTCTAACCAACATATGAGCGTTGCAAATAACACTATTAGGTAGTAGGAACTAGAATTTTTAATAGTATGAATGTCCAACATTTATCACTCTCAGCCCACATTGAGATTGACTGGCCTGGTTCATATGCCAGCGCTTGTAAAATCTACCAATCATTCGTTACAGTGGTAATAGCAGTGGCGGTAGCTTAAACAAGATTAGCGACGTTATTCTTCAATGGGGGGAAATGTTATTACCAGGCTTCTTGAGGATAGTTCAGGGCGATTGAACAGTATGAATATGCCTTCGCACATTCATCCCAAGCGTTTAGATTCTTGCAGACATAGACTGCCGGATCAGGTCTGTACCAAGTGACATCGTCCCTTTCCTGAAGAACAGGCGAGGCCGCAACGGCAACGCTCAAAGTGTAAAGAATAACGGCCTTGCAAAGCATATTGAGATTGATGATTTCAAATAGAATAAGGGATATGGAGATCAAAAGTGAACACGGGGAAGTATGCAAGGTCTAGAATGCCGAATGAGATGGTCTGTCATGTTAGTCTAAGTCACTGGAATCTGGGGGAGCACGATGGATTTTATAGCTATTTTGTTCGACAACAAGGCAACCTTATCAGGAAACAGAAATTTGCTACTATATTCTAAACGCATAGGCTCCCTAGTTGTGCTGTCGGGGGTTGCCATTTTTGGTAGGAATCTTTGCATGATCCCGGCGAGCATCAGAAAGCAATTGCACAGATCATGTATTTCCCAGTTGGGAAGCTCTCAAAATAATTTCGAAATAGGGATTGGCTCAGCTGTATTGCTCATGACTTACAGACAAGCAAGCTTAAGATTGTAGCTAAGCTTGTTGTGCGAGTTAAGTCTTACCGCTTCAGATTGAGTCCTACTTCTTTTCCCTGGCACATGCATTTGTAATTTCACCTATCCATGGTCGGAAATAAGAGGCCGTTAAGTCATATGCTAGAAGTATCAAATAGCGGTATCGCGAATAGCACCTAAACTAGCTATGACCGAGCTCCATAAAAGTAGTTTGAGACCGGAAACGCGGCAGATCCTTTACCAACACCTTCTCTTCCTAGCACCATACGAGGATATCATAACGTGGCAACTCATTGCGTTTCATTTCCCAACTCTCAAAGAATAATAACCCTCTCTATGCCCCTATTGAGAGTGACAGTGAGGGGACGGTTTCATAACGGTTGGTGGTGTTTTAAAAACCTGCCATGCTACATTGACGTGGCAAAACGATCCCAGGACGAGGGTTTTGGTGGCTCCCATTGGTACACGACCTATCTACGTTTCACCGTTGCTACCAGAAGTTTTCTGATGGATATAAATGTTACCTGTCCCTGCCGTATACACCAGCTACTATCTTACAATATTGCTGGATTGCCCCGGTAGACGTGAGGATTGGCTTTACAACTTCTCCTTTTCCTTCTCTACACCAGTATCCTTGTATCCAAATAGGTAACCGGCGACCTTTCTCATCTGGATTTCCTCACTCCCTTCAGTGATCCTATATCGCCGAAAGTGCCGCCAAATGTGCTCAAACGGCTGGTGCCTGCTATAGCCGTTGCCACCGTGGACCTGGATGGCATTGTCGGCGGCTTGGGTGGCTAGTCGGTTTGCATAATAGTTACACATCCCGATCTTATGCCCCAACTGTTTCTCAATAGCGATCCAAGGAGGAGTCTTCGAGTTGCCTTTGTATTGCTGCTGCACTTGGTCCATCTCGGTAGCAGTTCGAAGGATCAGCAAACGCACTGTTCATATCATCCAGTAACAAGTTAGTTCTATTATCTCAAATTGAAAGGGGAAAGGCAATCACTTACGCATTTCCACCTGCGTCGAAAGCTCCACCAAGGGCCACTGGATGGCTTGGTTGGACGCCAGAGGCTTTCCAAATACAATGCGGCCTCGAGCATACGCAACGGAGCGATCAATGCAGAACTTGGCTGCACCGCACGAACTAGCAGCCTGGCGGATACGATTTTCGTGCGTAAAGGTCTGGGCCACGGCAAGACCGTTATCGAAAGGGCCAAATACTGCAGTCGCTGGAACACGTACGTCGTCCAACAAAAGCGTTGCATGGTCGGTAGGCATGTTGAGGGTGTACTGGTACGAATTTATTTCTAGCCCGGAGGTGCCCCTGGGTACTAGGAAAGCAGTGAGGCCTTTGGATGAGCCTGGCTGCCCCGATGTACGTGCAAAAATAAGAAAGTGCGTCGCTGAGTGAGCACCTGTCTGCCACTTCTTGTTTCCGCTGATGCTGTATCCTGGTGATCCATCTGCAAATGTGATTCTAAAGAGTGTTAGAACCACCTCTTTTAGGTGTCGCGCAATGCTTGCTGTTGTAGTCTCCAAGTGGGAAAAAGAAAAGAAAAGTGCTTACGGGGTCGCCTTTGTATCCATGTGAGTAGCATCGCTGCCGTGATGTATCTCAGTTAAACCAAACGTCATTACTACAACCATGATGAGATATTAGATATAGGTAAACAGGTAGAGAACAAAATAGGGCTTACCGAAGCGACCCTCCAAGCGAGCAGGGATAAACTCATCCCTTTGCTGCTGATTTCCCCAATGGTATAGCATGAGAAAATCTGGAAAGTTACCAACAACATTATGCTCGTTCTGCAGGTCATTGGCCAAACTGACGCCTCCTCCATAGTCTGGATGAGATGCCATATGATAGCGAAGAGCGCACATCCACATGTTGGAGCATTCCTGACCGCCGTATTGCTTGGGCAAGGGCAAGCGATAGAAGCCGGCGTCATCGGCCAGCTTGCGAGCGCGGCTCAAGAGAGCCTCCCATTCGGGGGTGGGCAGGCCGTCATTGTCCCATTGCGTTCTTGAAGGCTCTCGCCGGTGGTCGAAAAATTGGATATTCTCCTGCTGAATCGGGAGGATTTCTGACTTGATAAAGGTGTCGAGCTTGGATATGCAGTCCTGAAGGTCTTGAGGGAGATCGAAATTCATTCTAGCGTTGATTTTACGTGAAGTTATGATAATATTGCTAGGTTGAAAGGAAGAAATAAAGACAATTGGTTGTTATCCTTTACCTTGTTTCTATTCATATGCTTGCTTCTAGATTTAACGTACGATCGATGATCAAATTGGTAGGCCATTTGCGGAGAGCGGGGACTCCGACCTTGCCTCGGCAATTATTCCTCGGCCTCCATTTTACTCAATAACCCCTTTTTGGGATGTGATTAGCTGTCCCTAGGCTATTTTGAATATTTCTTTTTCCATGGAAGCAGCCCGTCCTCGAAATCATTTAGTATAGACCCTCTCTCTTAGCAGCCCAGCATGAGAAAATGTCGAAAGAACTCTCTAACTAGTATGCATAACGGTAACCGGGTCGCTCTTTGCCACCGCTCACGTGCACAGTTTCGCCCTTGTCAAGCTTCTTGTTCAATCTCCGGAAGTGCTCCCTCAGACCCAAACAGATGATCATGAACGCTGCCTGGAAGCAGGCAACAGTGATCAAAGCCGGCTTATAGACAGGGGCGTCCTGCGCTCGGAAGACAGCAGAGCTAATGATTCCCGCCAGGTTTTGTGCCATAAAGTTCAGCCCCAGGCGGAAAGCCCTTCCAGTGGTCGTCGTTGTGTTAGATGCCACCCAAATGGGGACTAAGATCCCTGGTGTAAATGTTCCAAACGTGATTAGATATGTCAAGAAATATCCAACCTCAACGTGCTTTACAAGATCCAAGGTGGCGAGCAAAATCCATGCGAGGAATGAGACAAAGAGTGTTCCGACTGCAATGGAGGCACGCTGCTGGAATCGGTCTGACAGCCACGTCGTCGTAAGCTGAACAGCGGCCGCAGTCAAATTCGGACCAACGGTATAGAGATTTGCTTTGGATGGAATAATGGCAATTCGTTTAACAATAGTCTATTGCAAATCGTTAGCTTTGCCATTCAGCGTGCTCAAGAGAGTTGAAAGAGACGTACAGGCAAGAAGTTCGAACTACTGGCGACACCAACTCCGTATAAAAGTGGCATGAGTGTAAAGACCCAAGTCGTCCAGTCCTTTGTTTCCTTTACGGCATCTTCCCAGCGGAAGCGTTTATCCTCATCGTGGGAGTCCTCCTCCATGCGCTGGCGTGAGAGCGCTTTCTCTTCTTCTGTAAACCATCGCGACTTCTGAATGCTTCGTGGCAGGACAGCAAACAGCAATAACCCCACTCCGACTGTCAATGCACCCTCTATAAGGAAGAGATACTGCCAACCTTTTAGGACCTTATCCCACTGGAAGACGGACCAAGCAATAAGACCTGAGATGGCGCCAGCAATGAATCCCATCATGCCAAAGATGCTTGTACGGAAACTAAGCTCCCGGCGAGTGTAGAATGAGCTACAATAGAAAATTGCGCAAGGGAAGAAGGCGGCCTCAGCACATCCCATGAGGATTCTGACGGCGAGGATTCCTCCAAAGTTCTTAGTTGCTGCAGCCACCATGGCCATGGCTCCCCAGAATGTCATAATGGAAGGGATGACAATTGAGGGGTTGAAGCGTTTCGACAACAGTGTGAAAGGAATATTCATTAGGGCGTAGGGGATGTAGAAGAGGATCAAGAGCAGTGAGAATTGGTTGCCCACTAGACCAAGGTCTGCCTCAAACGTGTCTGTTTTGGCATTACCCAGGTTGGCCCGGTCCAAAGTATGTGTAAGATAAGCCAATGCTGTTCATTATTGTCAGTCTAGACACTTGTATGAAAGATAGATTTGATCTGGAAATAGTTACCAAGAGCGGGCATGATTATCAAATCGGTTTTCCAGACAAGCCTCCTCTCAACGTATTTGCTCACAGCAGGAGCATTGCCAGAAGCATCATCCGACGGAGTGGCTGACACCACATCCTGGACTGCTTGTTTCTCAGTATCTGACATCTTGCACCGAATATTCTTCCAATCAGGTTGAAGAGTATCCGGGACGAATGGAGCAAAAGAAGCAAAGGTGAAGGAACAAAAACGTGAGCTCCATCCTGGTTGACCTTGGCTGAGCGAAGCGTTAAAGTACTCATCCCATGCAGTATTACTTCACACTCATCGCCAGGGAAGAGCACCCTGCAAAGTAGAGTTACCCGATTCATCCATGCTCCGTATGTTCACCCATGTTCTTCCAAGCTGACAAACTGCCGTTATTAATCTCCGTATCGACGAAGAGTTGAGCCCGAGCGTATCCCAAGTGCGCGGTACCGGTCCCACAACGCTTGATACATATCCTGGAGATAAACGTTGGCGTCTTCGGAAATAATTCAGACGAATAAGAGCAGATATGCTAACCCCAAAAGGAGGCTCGCCATTTAACCCTGAAAGCACGACATAGACGATACAACGGACTAGTTCATCCGCCCAGACAAACTGACTCGGGGGACAACGAGAGCGGGGAATTTGGGAATCCTGCTACAAGTCATCGAAGGCATATTCTCACCATGTGTGGACCTCAGCCCATGTGGCAAGCTGCGTTAGTGCTGCGATAAGTCCGAACCCGGAGCACGCAATCGCTGGGTTCCATCTGCTTGGCAGCACTAGCACGATGGAGTCAACTGAGTTGAAGGTTGAAGACCAGGGGGTCCACAGCGTGGGCTCCAGGTTCGCACATATCTGGGAGCAGCTGAGTATGACCTTCCTCAATGACCTCGATTAGACTTTGTCACCTTCGTACCCGCCGTTTTGTCTGCTTAGACGGCACGTTTTCCGGTTTGCAGCCATGTCGTCGATATCTCAAGACAATGGCACACAGCAAGATCAGGCTGAGGGAACTCAACAAGAACAGTCGATTATTGTCCATCCTCAGGGACGAAATGGAGGCATTTTAGGTAGCTCGTGGGCCCGAGGGTCGCTTCTTGCTGCAGGTTTGGCAGTGATTCTGAGCCCAATTACCTGGATATGGTTCGGCGCATCACCAGTGGACCCTACCGATTATGCAGAACGAACTAGGAGAGTGCTCAGCACTACGCCGTGAGTTTCTAGTCATGACGGTTTTATATCGATGTTTGAAACTGACCTTGACTCTCCCTTTGAAGGTTAATCGATGGACACAATGATCTTCCCTGGCAGCTACGCATTGAGTTGCACAATCGCATCTATGATGGGAGAGTTGATCTCACTAAGCAGCTCCTTGGTCATACTGACATCAAGAGAATGAGGCAGGGCCAAGTAGGGGGCCAGTTCTGGAGCGTGTATGTGGACTGTGATACACAGCAAAAGCATTTCGAAGATCCTTCGGTACGTGATTTCAGAATTCAAAATTCAATGGATGTTTGAGTCACAGCTAACTCAGATTTTGATCAGTGGGTTGTTCGTGATACTCTCGAACAGATTGATGTTACCCGCCGTTTCATCAATGAACACCCCGAGCACCTGCAATACTGCGATACGGCTGCATGTGTCCGGAAAGCTTTCAGGGCCGGTCGCATTGCCAGTATGATCGGCATAGAAGGCGGTCATCAGGTAGGAGGCAGCATTGCCACTATTCGGCAAATGTACGAGCTCGGTGCTCGATACATCACAATGACTCATAATTGTGATAATTCCTTTGGAACCTCAGCATCCACCGTTGCAGCCGGGGGCAAAGATGACGGCCTTTATAGCCTTGGACACGATGCGATCCGGGAGATGAACCGTCTTGGCATGATGGTCGATCTCTCTCACGTATCTCACCAGTTCATGAGGGATGCATTGAGTATTGCAAGAGCACCCGTCATCTTCTCTCACTCTGGCGCCTACAGCGTCGAGCCACATCTCCGTCACGTCCCTGATGATGTACTACGATCAGTCAAGAAGAACGGAGGCATTGTCATGGCTGTGTTTGTCAACCGTTTTCTCAATATGAAGAACCCAGATCTCGCCACCATCCACGATGTGGTAGACCATGTGTTCCGAATCGCAGAGGTCTGCGGGTGGGAATGTGTTGGTCTTGGGAGCGACTTCTCGGGTACTCCTTATGTGCCTATTGGACTTGAGGATGTGTCCAAATTTCCAGCACTTATCGAGTTGATCATGGAGCGTGGGGCTACAGACGAGCAGATCCGCCTCATTGCAGGAGAAAACCTGCTTCGTGTGTGGGGTGATATTGAACGTAGGGCCAAGGAAATCCAAGCTACTGGGGAGAAGCCTTCAGAAGAAGAGTATGCTGAGCGCAATTGGCACAAGGGACTTAAGAATTCACCATGGATGCTCCGAGAGAGCCGGGAAAAGGCTGTTGCCAATGGGGCTGCGGAGAATCCTCACATGTTTAACGTGGACAGAGACGGCAAGCACAATCCTACTATTAAGCAGGTATAGAGGCTATTGTAGCATCGGTTGTACATATCCATAGGAGTAGTTCGGCTTGTTCAGTCAGTACATCACTTCCTTGCCCAGCCACGTTGTTAAGGCTACAGTCAAGGAAGATCAAATACCAACACACCGGCTCACCATGCAACAAGGCCCCTCACGCATATTCAAAGTCAGAACATTGGTAGCGGGTCTGTTTAGACACCATCATCCATCATCTATCTCTGCTGACCCCTGTATAGCACTAATCTAGCCAAGCCAGCGACGCCATTTTCACACTTCTGACGTGCTCTGGAGCTTATCATGTTCTTCAGAAGAGCTTTCAACCCCGCCCTTGTTGAGATATTCCCGGGGGATTTAACCCAGCTAAACATAATTCCCGGACCCGACATCAATTGACCTGAACTATTGGCTGATCTCGTGGGGACATTTCTCAATGCTCCAAGTGTGAGCACACTCCATACACTCCATCATGATTTCAAATCACGAATTATGCCTCACTCAATGGAGAATGCCGAGAGGATTTAGTCTATACTACATTTGACATCATGCCATTTCGCCATTTGAACCGAAATCCGGTCACCGGCATGTAGGCAGGGGTCTCAATCCTCGTCTCGCATATAGGTTGCCCTTGGCCTATGCTAAGCTGAGCTAGATCACCATTACTCACATCCAAGATAAACCAGGAGGCTATGGAACTACCATGACAGCATTATCAATCATTCAAGATGCAGTTTTGCACCAAAGCAATATATTCATTGCCACCCTAATCGCCCCAGTAGCTGTCCTGGTGGTGTACCTTTTACGGAATGAAATCATTAGATATCAGGGCCGGATTAAGTACCTACCAGGTCCTACCGGCTGGCCCATTGTCGGCAACTTATTCCAAGTACGGAGTTTCGGCCAATATTCAGAGCTATCGATTGCTAAACGTTGGTAGAAACGAAATCAAGTTCCAGCGGAGACCTACCGCCAGTGGGCAGTCAAGTATGGCCCCGTGTTCCAAATCCAGCTTGGAAACACGACTGCTGTAGTTGTCAACTCAGTCGATGCCGCGAAAAAGCTCTTCATCGGTGAACGCCATGCCTGGAACTCCCGGCCCACATTCTATGTCTTCCACAAGAAGGTCAGCAAGACCGTCACGAGCATCGGCACCAGTCCATGGGACGACTCGTGCAAGCGCCGGAGAAAGCTAGCAGCAGGAGCCTTAAATCGACCACGAGTAGAGAGTTACTCTCCCATTCTCAACCTCGAAGCACGCGAGTTTCTAAGAGACATCTATCTTGCGAGTGAAGGGAACGACGGACCTATTGACTTTCGATCTGCTGTAAGGCACTTTGCACTGAACTTGAGTCTTACGCTCAATTACGGAACCAGAGTTTCGACTGTTAAATCCTTGTCGGAGGATCCACTGCTCGCAGAAATCATCTACGTCGAGTCTGAGATCAGCAAGCTTCGGGATACATCGAAAAACTATACCAACTATATTCCCTTGCTTCGTTACTGGGAGCCTATCGCAGGATTCTTTAGACTGACGGCAAATCCCAAAGATCACGCTGGCAGTATTGGCCGCAGGAGGCTAGAATACAACGATGTTCTGTTGAATCGCCTAAAGGATGAAGTGGAGAGAGGTGTGGACAGACCTTGTATTCAGGGAGCCGTCATCAGAGATCCAGAATCAGCAACACTAACCCGAGAGGAATTGATCAGCGTCAGCTTGAGCATGATGGCAGTAAGTAAACAAATCCATAAAATTCTATCATAACTATCACTATGGCCTCATGCTGACGTTTCCGTATCAAGGGTGCTGATTCAAACCAACCTACAATAGCTTGGGCTATTCTTCTGCTTGCCCATCGCCAGGATGTTCAAGAGAAAGCTTACAACGCTATCAAAGATGCTGGAATTCTGGATCTTTCATCGGATAGTTACGCCTCCAGCAAGGTAGAGTACATTGATGCCCTAACCAAGGAGATCTCACGATATTTCGTTGTCCTGAAACTCGCTTTGCCGAAAGCAACATATTCAGATGCTACATGGGGACAGGCTACAATCCCTGCCAACACTCTTGTTTTCCTAAACAGCTGGGCTTGCACCAGAGGTGAGACTCAACTTGCACCTTTCTGTCGTTGGCCCCCTATTCAGAACTAACGATCCATATTGGCAGATACTACTGCCTTCCGAGAGCCGGACGTATTTGCGCCAGAGCGTTGGCTTCCAGATGCTCCCGACGCTGCCGCGCATCAGTACGCCTTTGGCATAGGAGGCAGAATGTGTGTGGCATCTCTACTCGCGCACAAGGCTTTGTATACCGTATTCTTGCATCTCATCGCCAAGTTTCAGATCCTTCCTGCCGATGGTGAAACTGCGGAAGCGATTGACCCTCTTGCAGGCCTCAAAGGCTTTACTTTTGTTGGAACGCCTAGGGGATTCCGAGCTCGGTTCGTTCCAAGAGATGGCGAGAAGCTCAAGGCATGGCTTGATTCTCAAAAATAGTGACTTTTGCGAGACTGGTCACAGTTATATATCAGCCAAGAATAGTACAACCACCATCAATGGGCGAAGGTTTTAGACTTTCTGATATTGAAGCATTTATTGAAAAGGAAGAAAATATGAAAAGCAGGTTCGTTTGATCCTTGCGGTTAAACTTAATGGCCTTGCCACCAATGACGACGAAATGCTGCCTGCTCAAGTGGGTTACTATGCTAGATTCAATTGATATTTACAAGACTTATTCCTCGTATTAAATTTGCAGTAGTATCTTAGAAGGCTTTTTATTTTTGGATGTGTGTTGAGTTATATATATGATCATATATTGGAGCATTTCTGGCCAAGCTTCCCGCCACTGCATGCTTGCTCAGTTGCTCCAACGAAATGGCAACCCTAGACTAGCCACAAGAAGATGTACAATCAAATCTATATCTCTCAAATGTTTATTCCGCCATAATACACTGGAATTGTGTCATATTTAAAGCGGGCCTAGAGGTATATATGTTCACTCACAGAGGCCTATGTGAGTTAATGTGGTGAAGTGCAACCACATCTCAATCACATCACCATGTCTTCATCTATTCTAACCAATGACTTGTTCAGTGTCAAGGGTCTTGTTGCCTTTGTGACTGGGGGTGGAAGTGGTGAGTGGCCTATTTAATGACTTTCGCGAGTCTGAGAATTCCCTCTGACCAATTCCAGGAATTGGTCTCTTGATTGCGCAGGCTCTGGAAGCCAACGGTGCTACTGTGTATATTTACGGGCGCCGCAAAGAAGTATTAGAAAAGGCGGCACGAACCGCAGTGAGTCTTGACAGTATCAGCAAGCTGAGATGATTCTATTCACTGAAACAACTTCTCTCATCCTCACAGAAGCACGGAAACATCCATGTCATTCAAGGCGACGTGACCAGCAAGCCCGACCTTCAAAGGGCGGCACAAGAGATCAAAACAGCACATGGCTATGTGAATCTTGTTATAGCAAATGCCGGGATAGGGGGTCCGTCGATCAAGACGCTCAAGCCTAACGCAAGTCTCGAGGAATTCGAAAACCATTTGTGGGGCTGGACTGCAGAGGAGTTCACAGAAACATTCGCTGCCAATACCACGGGGGCGTTTAACACGGTAGCTGCTTTCCTGCAGCTGCTCGGTGAAGGTAACAAGAGGGGGAACGTCACTCAGAAAAGTCAAGTGATTGCCACCAGCAGCATCGGCGCCTTCAATCGCTCGCTTACTCAAGGATATGCCTACGGCGGATCCAAGGCCGCGGTTGTTCATATTTTCAAGCAGTTGGCCACATCCCTGGTCCCATACGACATCAGGTCCAATATCATTGCCCCCGGCTGTAAGTTGTTGTCTCAGTTGTTATCTCCCGAGCTATGCCTGCGCCTCGATTCTGACAACATGTCAAATTATTGCAGTTTACCCAAGCGAAATGACAGCTACTGTAATTGCCGAGCGGGAGAAGCAGGGATGGCCCAAGAGCATTATCCCGGAGCAAAGGGCTGGGGACGCACAAGATATTGCGGGGGCCGTGCTGTTCCTCGTCAGTAGAGCCGGGGCGTACATCAATGGGAATGTTCTCATCACGGATGGGGGTCGTCTGAGCGTCGTGCCGGCCACATACTAGATAGACCGAGCATCGGCTTACCCGACTGACTGAGTCGAGTGGCTGCCTGACTCGGATAATATTTGACATAGACGGCGTCAGCCAATCGCCAAAGCAATATTATAGCAGTAAGAAGGCAATATCATGTCATGCGCAGATCCACCGAGCTGCATTCTCCCCAGCTCGGGCCAGCTTTACCCCAGATCGATTCCATCCGAGCTCCACCGCCCGGTATGTATTACGAGCAGTCTAGTCGATGTAGCTGTGATTCAAGCATCACGAGTCCCATCTTACCGGGGGAGACCAGGACATGGACCCCGCACTTGGCGCTCAGTCACGCATATGACCTTGGCTGATCTGGTACGTATTCGATCCCAGTGACTATCCGGATTCGGCATACCGAAGAAAGGTTCATTGAATCCAACGGCAAAGTTAGAATGTTACCAGCAACTTCAATCCTACGGCACAATGTCTTACGTCTTCTCCTCTCAACCGTCCCCGTCTCAACCGTCCCCGCTCACAGTTCAACCCGCAGATACATAGCAAATAAACCTTCACCATACATATTCCTCAACAGGCAAACTTCCCGAAACTCTACCAACCATGAAGGCTCTACGGTTCCACGGTCAGAAAGACATCCGTCTCGACTCTATCCCAACCCCGGAGCTCACACCGGGATCCGTCAAAATCCTCCCCAAGTTCTGTGGCATCTGCGGCACCGACTTGCACGAATATCTCGAGGGGGCGAATTTAATTCCCAAACCCCAACACCCCCATCCCATCACGCAAGAGACATACCCTCTCACGATCGGACATGAGTTCTCTGGGATCGTGGAAGAGGTCGCGAGCGACGTGACCAGCCTCCAAAAGGGCGACCGAGTCTGCGTTCAGCCCATCATCTACGATGGTGACTGTCGATCATGCGCGCGGGGGCTTCACAACTGCTGTGATAAGAATGGCTTCATCGGACTGAGCGGATGGGGCGGAGGCCTGGCCGAGATCAGTATAGTCCCGCAGTCCTGCGTCAAGAAGCTTCCTGACAACGTCTCCTTGGAAGTTGGTGCGCTTGTCGAACCGCTTGCCGTAGGATGGCACGCGGTGGACATCTCGCCGTATCAGGATTCCGATGCAGCACTCGTTCTTGGAGGGGGCCCTATTGGTCTCGCCGTCGTCCAGGTGCTTGCGGGCCGTGGGTGCCAAAACATTATCGTGAGCGAAGTTAGCCGCAAAAGACGAGAGTTTGCGAAACACTTCGGGGCGCATCATGTTATCGACCCCGTGGCGGAAGACATTGTACAGCGGGTTCTGGAGCTTACTGGTGGGCTTGGGGCCGACGTGGGTTTCGATGCAGCTGGGGCTCAAGTCGCCCTGGATACCGCGTTCCTCGCTCTCAAGGCCAGAGGGACACTGGTTAATATTGCTGTCTGGGATAAGCAGGCGAAGCTCTTGATGAATGAGCTTGTTTTCCGAGAGAGACGTTATATGGGGGTGTAAGTGCTCAAGGATCCTATTCTTCACTTTTCTCATCTTGATTCCTCTACTGATGCAGAATAGTGCAACTTATAGCCTGGGGGATTTTGAAGCCGTCATCGAGGCTATTTCAGCAGGTAAGCCCTCACGCGCTATGATAATTGGATTCTCGACGACGAATTCTAACTATGTGTAATCAGGAAAGATAGTTCCAGCAGGGATGATCACAAAAACAATTGCCCTCGATGAAGTTGAAGCTGAGGGATTCCGCACTCTCATCGAGGACAAGGAAAACCATGTCAAGATTCTTGTGGATGTTGGAAAAGAGCCGTCTTAGCTCTCTCAGACCTGACGACCCCAGGGTCACTCAACCTAAGAAACCATTTCATCGCTATAGGCAGGAGAATTGATTCATGTTCAAGACCCCGCGTAAACGATACAATGATCAAAATTCGATAGAAAACTCGTAGCCGCACAGGGCTTCTATTCTCATATATCATCTATGGAGGTCAAAAGCTAGTCTAAAACTTGTTGATTTATCCAAGCCTTGGCCTTTCATAAAGTAGACCGTAGAAATCATCCATCCTCATCATCACTTTCTCGTAGAAAAATCAAGCATTGTAAGGCGCAGACCCTCAGATAGGACCATGTATCTTTCGATATCCGAGAGGTTTCTCACTTGCCGAATCCAGATCGATAGTGGATTCTTGTGCTACCCCGAAAAAAAGGGGTAGAATTTCCTCTCGGTGAGCGCCGCGCATATTCACTTAGGCACCGTTGCCGTTGTAGAGAATGCGGTTGGGGCTGCCAGTGCCAGGGCTGGTGACCTTGTCCTTGGTGGAAAGGGCAGTCAGGCGGGCAGGGATGGCGGAGGAGCTGATACCCTCAAGAGAGAGGAGGTAGAGGACGACGCCAGTAACGTGAGGAGTAGCCATGGAGGTGCCGGAGAGAGTGGCGGTGGCGGAGTTGCTGCCGATGTAGGAGGAGAGAACGGACCTGTAACCAATGATTAGTAGGGCGCCAACAAAGACTCGGAATGGGGAGCAGAGAAGAGTAACTTACGTTCCGGGGGCAAAGATGTCGAGAACGGCACCAAAGTTGCTGAAGCTAGAACGGGCCCAGTTGGAGGCGATAGAGCCAACAGTGATGGCGTCAGCAGCGGAAGCAGGAGAGTAGTTGGCGGCGTCGGCGTTGTCGTTACCGGCAGCTACGACGGAGATGACACCAGAAGCGAAAGCATTGTTAACGGCACTGTTGAAGGAAGAAGAGAAGCCACCACCGAGGGACAAGCTGACGGCAGCGACGTTCTGGCGGGACTTGGAGATGATGTCGTTGACAGCCCAGTTGTAACCGGCGAGGACGATGGAGGTGCTGCTAGAGGAGCCCTGGAAGACCTTGACGGCGACGAGGTTGGTCTTCTTGGAAACACCGTAGGTGGCTCCACCAACTATAAAGTTGCCAGCGTTAGTATCAAGCTACTATGCAATCAATACAAATAATGTAGATGCTTACTAGTTCCGGCGACGTGAGTGCCGTGTCCGTTGGCATCAGCATTGCTGCCGCCAACGGCGTTGTAGCCGGTGCTGGCACGGCTTCCAAACTCGTTGTGGGTCTCGAGGATACCAGTATCAACGATGTAGGCATAGGTTCCCTGGCCGGCAGTGTCATCGTAGATGTACGAGGTGGAACCGGAGGCCTTGTGGGAAACAGTTCCCAAGCCCCAGGTGGCGCCGGTCTGGGTGACCAAGGCACGGCCCTGGATCTCAACGGTGTCCTCCTTGGTGACTTCAGGGACATACCAGACCTGGTCCTCCTCAACCTCGAGAACCTATTGTGAATCGTGAGAAATGCAAGCCCTTAGTGATAACAGTACACATGGTGGAGAACCTACCTCAGGGCTGTTCCTGATCTCCTCAATGGTTGCCTCGTCGAACTCTCCAGAGTAAGCGTTGAAGTTCTCGATGTGGAACTCCTTCTCAACACCGTTGGTATCACGGCGAGAGAGGCTTCGGGCGTGAATGTCATTGACCCAGTTGATGTGAGCATCGAAGCTGCTAGCATCCTGCTTCAGGGTAACAATGTACTTGTTGGGGATGACTTCACGCTTCTGAACTGCCGCGGGGGCAGCAAGAGCGAGTGGCAGGAAAGCTGCCAGGCTCACGGCGAGACGGCGAAGGTTAGCCATGGTGAATTGAAAAGATCAGTTGGAGAAAACCGTAGTATCAAGCTTGGAAGAGTGTTTGAGACCAGAGATGATGAGGCTGTCAGGAACAAAACTCGAGTGAAAGACGGGGGAATCGATTGATATTTGTACTTTTTGATTCAATAAGACTTTGTTTACAGTCCTGACCTAAACTGACTACTCTGTTATTGTTCCCATGATGCCCAAGCAAACAATTTGACCCCTCGTCGACGTAATTGCACAAAATGGTCGGCTCGGCGCAAAAGCTACCAATGGCGTCAACTATCAACAGGTCCCTTTGCGCGACAGATTCAGAATATGGAAGGAGCCAAGCCATGAGTGAGCCTCGCTGGCTCACATATTGCTGTTGCTCGCGGATAGCGCAAGACAAGCATTGAATGAACCATCAACGGCTCGCTGATCTTGCCCAAAACTGCCCAAAAGAAGGTTTTCACAGTTGCCACCCCAGTCGTGACAGGGGAGAGGCTGCCCTGCCGTAAAAGAAGCTTGCTCTCGAGCTATAGGCGGGTGATCGCTGACAAACTGGAGTCGACTCCGGCATTGGACGATTCGTGGAGAGGCGGCTATGATTAGAATGACATCCTACCGCGCTGATTGGCCCGGGCAATGACGGCAATTGAGTTTCAGTTGAGCTCATCGGCTCCAGCTATGCCACCTTCCGGATCCATGCAGGTCAGCGTAGCAATGTCATGCCTACGTTGGCAGAGGTTCCAGCTGATAGATGTCGTCAGACAGTCCCTCATCTTCCACCATCTCTTCCCGCTTGCCTATTCCGGAAGCTCGATCCCATCAAGGTGGAAATATGCAAAAGAGAGGCCCTGGAACTAACATAGCCAAGACATAAGATTCACGTAGGCCTAGAGTCGATACGAACATCGCGAACCCTGTACCATGATAAATCAAGGTCGCCGAAGAATGCCAAGGCAATTGCCTGGGCCGGATAGTCAGCCGATTCAATCAGAGCCAGCAGACCCTCGTCCTGTCCCTGACGCAAATCAGACAAATGGTCCGGAAGTTGACCCGAGTTGGGCGTCAATGCGGCAAAGGGACAACTACGAGAACCGGCAGGTGAAGAAATCAAGGCTAACCGACTCTCTCTACGACATCACGATCCATCTGCCCGCAGAAACGAGAGGAGACTCGGACCACATTTTCGTTGAAAGTGCGAGGGAGCAAGCAAGACGAGTTGGCCCGTATTCCTACAACCCTGGAATTGCATCATCACCGTCAACGGCGCAGCAGCCAGCTGTGAGCCAAGAAATGAGGAGAAGAATGAGGAAAAGACGCAGAGAGACGACGCCCGAGCACCTTACGTTCTAGACAGAACTTGCCAGCATTCCAACCCATCGGCAGCGTCTTCACGTCTCGTCTTGAAAGACCCAACGAGGTTGTCCTTGCTTTCCCTACAGGAACCTGCTCGTTTGGAGGATACAAACGGGAACAAATCCAGCTCCCAAGAACTTCAAGTTCCGAAATGAAGCTTTCAGTTTCACGATGGACCTGCACAACGCTCTAAGCGTGCTACCCTGGGCAGGTTGGGATATAGAGATCGATCGGCATAAGGCGTACATGCTGAACACCCGTAGAGCGCATCCCTACGATGACTTTTTCCTGCAATATTGGGCTCCCGGCAAGGCAGCAGTAGCTGTCGGAAAAGCTACGTCGGAAACGGGAACTTTATGCCATCGTCATTGATGTTGATCCTGGCGGCTGCGGTATCACCCAGCTACGGCTGCGTATTCTTGAATTCTCTGAATTGGGACTTTCAAATGGATATATCCCTTGAATCGAGTGTCGTTTAACGGAAAGCGACGGCGAATACGTATGCGATCGGGAGTGTTCGCATCAGCAGTGCATGAGTAAATGGGACAGGCCAAGAGGGACCCATGGCCGTTGGAAGCCCTCGCGGACTGGGACATTGCTGGTAGTGAGCGTTCATTGTTCGTAGCTCTTTCGAAAGCGGGGCTAAATCAATATCGTGGAGGTCGTTTCAGGTGCGAAAGAGTAGCTGGATTGTCGAACCATGATGAAGAGAGAACGACGTGGCATTGTGGGTGACCACGCTCAAGAAACTGAGGGTGCGTTATCAGCTTATCAGTCTCTGTTATCGATATCGCTAAATTTGTGGGCCAAATTGTTCTCTCACATAAGCTCAACATACCGACTTAACCTAGACCAAGCTTTAGAATGTCTATTGTTGCTGCCTAGAGAGCTCCTGAATTTCATTAATCTCTCCTTCCGAGTTTCCAAAGCTAAAGGAAGTAGAGACAAGAACGAAAGAATCTACTTCTAAAAGAATATCGACGCGTGGATCGTCTCAATACGTTTTTTTTATTAGAATGGAAATCAACCGCTGTGAACTTACCCAGGTTTTGGGACCGAGTGACGGCTCAAACATTTGCAAATCTCCTCTCATCATCTGTTTCCATGGATCAGGTGATTCGTGTGCGTCTTGGTGGGAGCTAGCACAATCACTGGCGACATCATACCGCGTCCTCCTATACAACCGCGGACCCTCCAATCCTACTTCGAAAGCTTCTACCAAGTCGCTGCTTCAGTACCTCGCCGAAATGCAGCTCGGCCCTCCTTACGTTCTAATTGGACATTCATATGGAGGAAACTTTGCACGAGAATTCTTACAGCAGCGAACAAGCGATGTGGTGGGATTGGTTCTCGCCGAAACAGGTCAAGAGACGGCTTTGGATCCGGCAATGGAGGCACGCCAATACAAGCGGACGATCCTGGGCACAAAGCCTCTCAGTGTCATTCGAGCCAATTCGATGATTGGGAAAATGAAGCAGTTGGAAGAAAAGATACGGGATGCTCAGGGAGATGAGAAGTTAGAGAATGAGATCCGAAATGGCCCCGAATTTGCCATGGTGGACGCCTGGGACAAGGAGGACGAGAGACTCAAGAAACGGCAACTGGACCTGTCGAAGAATAGTCGCTATCTTCACATCTCTGATTGCGGCCACCATGTGATCCGAGATCGACCAGATGCCGTCGCTGAGGAGGTCCGCTGGGTCATGGAGAATTGGAACAATGTCCCGGACAAGCAATCCCACGGGGTGATGAAGAAGTTATGGGAGAAATTATTGAGGTGAAGAGACTTCCTACATTCGAAATCCCTCCGAGGGCGCGACGGTTTGCGACGAATCTTTGATTCTCGAGAGTTTTAGGCTTGACAAATAGCCACACGGAACAGAATTCCAGTCGCCAACGTTGAAGGTTGGGTTATGTGGAATAATGGAATTGACAGACGACAATGACTTGGAAGCTGCCACGTCGATTTTTCTGTTAGTATCAATTGCTCAGGCCATGGTGGTGGTGATGGTCTTTCAATATCGCATCAAAGACGACAATTGATATCCACCATGGAGCTTTGGAGACATCTGGCCTCCAATGATCATTTCATCGCGAGAGACTGGCGAATCGCGGATGCCTTTGGAAGCGATTTTGGCCCTCATCCAAACTGACCTGGTTTGGGAAACCGGACGCTGCTTGTACCGAGGTCATGCCATCAATGGAAAATTATGGGATCCGGGACTGAATTTTGCAAGCTATTGAAAATGTAACCTCATCGATGCTACGCGGCTAAAGAGGAACCAGGTCCCAGAGACGTTCTTTGATACCTAATGGTGGAATAGGCACATTAAGCTTCATCTGGAACGGAGCTCTGGTTCCGGAGCGGGATAGAAAAAAAGCAACCATTTCGATACTCTTGGCTACAAGCATTGATGTTATGTTTGTACTGATCAGCGCTCTCCAGTGCGTTCATTTTGTTTCAAACTGCAGATCGATCGCTTCCCGAGGAATTGGAACCGACTCTTGGTTGAGAAAGGATCTACTGATCCTCGTTTCATATCACGATTGAAGTCTTGGTATCAACTCAACCTTCAAAACAGAACAACTCCCCTCTCCCACTCAACGCGTTAGCCCCGCTACGTTCTCAACGGCCCCGTGGTGCCATGTATAGTCACATCCCACCATTCACCGAAAGGAGGGTGTTCCCTCTTTCTCCGAGATGAGTCGAGACTTGCCCCCCCCAGTGATGGACGCCACTTCCCGTATACCGGAGTTATTCTCCGCTCGTGCCGTTGAAGTGGACAGATTCATCTCTAATGCCTATTTGGCCTAGTATGCCCTCAAGTATGCCGTCGATATGCTGCGTGACACCTTGTACCTGAGCTTACGTTGCAGTGCCGGACATCAATTTGGATGCGAAGAGAGCTGAGCGGGACTGACGGTTTAGTCGCTCCGGCGGCTAATCTCCCAAGCGATTGAATATTGAAGCTGGCTCGTACCGAGTTGACTTCCTCTCTAAACAGCGCCGGCCCTAGGTTTGAAATCATATGTCAAAGTAGTGTGATCTAGCTTCTACTACGATCCGTCTTTCCGGAACCATAGCTCCAAATGTCTGAGCCGTGATTCCATACCTGTATATAAATACGAATGCCCCCCCTCCTCCCCTCGATGATATCTCGACTGCTCAGTAGACACCAGAACAGTGCTCAGCTAGCTTGATCATCCCACAGTCACAATGTTCGCGAAAACGGTCATCCTGTCCGCCTCTCTTGCTCTCGGAGTCCTCGGTGCGCCTCTTGAAGAGCGAGCTTGCTCTGCTGCCTGGTGTGCCCCTACAAACTAAGGCCATTGAACTTGCTGTTGGAAACTGACCAAACTTTAGGGCACAATGCGGAGGTAACGGATATACCGGAGAAGCCTGTTGCGTGTCAGGAAATGTTTGTACCTATGTGAATGACTGGTATTCACAATGCATCCCTGGTACAGCAACGTCGAGCTCCAGCACGCTCGCAACAAGCACCACAGCCACCAGGACAACTAGTGCAACCAGTGCAACCAGCACTTCCCAAATAACCAGCACATCGACTACATCCGTACCTGTCGGCACAGGCACTGCCACGTGGTCTGGAAACCCATTTTCTGGGGTCAATCTGTATGCCAACTCGTACTATGCCTCTGAGGTTTCGACCTTGGCTATTCCTAGTCTGAGTGGCGCTATGGCTACCGCTGCAGCCAAGGTTGCCAACGTGCCATCGTTCATGTGGCTGTAAGTTATGGTCGACATAATAACACCATGATACATGACAAATTTTCTCACAATGGTTCTTATAGGGATACCTTCTCCAAGACCCCTCTGATGAGGTCGACTCTTGCGGACATCCGCACTAAGAACAGGGCTGGAGGCAACTATGCTGGCCAATTCGTCGTCTACGATCTTCCCGACCGTGACTGTGCTGCTGCTGCTTCCAACGGGGAGTACTCGATTATTGATGGTGGTGTTGCGAAGTACAAGACCTACATTGACACCATTCGAAACATCATTGTTGAGTACTCCGATATCCGGATCCTCCTTGTCATCGGTATGTTGATAGCAATCTTGTCCGCTGGTATGACTGGACTGTCAGTTGACCTATGTGCTACATAGAACCCGACTCCCTTGCCAACCTCGTGACAAACTTGAATGTTGCCAAGTGTTCCAACGCGCAGAGTGCGTACATGGAATGCACCAACTACGCCGTCAAGCAGCTCAACCTGCCAAACGTAGCCATGTATCTCGACGCCGGCCACGCAGGCTGGCTCGGCTGGCCCGCGAACCAAGCCCCCGCCGCCCAACTGTACGCCAAAGTGTACAAGGACGCAGGCTCACCCAAGGCCCTGCGCGGTCTCGCCACCAATGTGGCCAACTACAATGCCTGGAGCCTCAGCTCAGCCCCGCCATACACCTCCCCCAACCCAATCTACGATGAGAAGCAGTACATTAACGCATTGGAGCCCCAGCTGGCCAGCAACGGGTGGACCGGCTGCAAGTTCATCACCGACCAGGGCCGCTCTGGCAAGCAGCCCACCGGCCAGACTGAATGGGGCCACTGGTGCAATGCCAAGGGCACAGGTTTCGGCATCCGCCCCAGCGCCAACACGGGTGATGCCCTTTTGGACGCCTTCGTGTGGGTGAAGCCAGGCGGCGAGTGCGACGGCACGAGTGATACCAGCGCTGCTCGGTACGACTACCACTGCGGGCTGTCCGACGCTCTCCAACCGGCACCAGAGGCTGGCACGTGGTTCCAGGCGTACTTTGAGCAGCTGCTCACCAATGCCAACCCTTCCTTCTTGTAAGCTGGCTATCCTGGGGCTGCAGCTACTACGATAGGACTACCTTCATGTCTTTGACCAGGTTAAAGATAGTTACAGCCAGAGAACTCAGAACCTAGAGAATGGAACATCCTTGTTTTGTTGATTGATCGTCTTGAAGCTCATTATTCCTGATTTCCATCATAACATCCTAGTGAAAGTCAAGTGACATGTATACCTAGTAAAAAAACAGCGCTAAAGCCCGCCCATAAAGCTTATATGTACTCGTTGTCTCCTCTCAAAGAAACACAATGTTCTATAAACCATTCGTCATAACGTCATTGCTTTATCCAAAAGCATCTCAGAAATTACCGTTGCCTCCGGTATCGTAGGGTATTAGATGAACCGTACTTGTTTTTCATAAAACGACCGATCAGATCTGGTTTCATCACAGATCTATTTTCCTTCAGTTCAACCCTCTAGGTCTGCTTGAGGCGCACGTAGCAGTCTCTCGGCATGTTGACGAACTTCTCCTTGATTTCCATTCCGCCAAGGGGTCCGGTGCTTCCGAACTCGAAGTTCCAGATGAGCAGCGTCACGGCTGTCTTGAGCTGCATCTCGCCCAGGCGTCGGCCGAAGCAGCCTCGCGGGCCGGTGGAAAAGGCTAGAATGGGGCCAGCGCGGCTGTCAAACACCTCGATGCCCTTTTCCTCATCGGATTTTAGCCATCTCTCTGGACGGAAGAGGTGGATATCCGAATTGTCCCAGGGCGGGGGACTGTTCGTTTGTGAGGTTTTCGTCCCCAGGTCGGGCGTGACAGGGATATCGAGGGAAGGCTCTGTGAGGCCGGGGCCGGTCAAGGATAGTAAGATGCTGGTGTCTTTGGGGATGTGGTATCCAAGAACCTGTGCATCCTGAGTCGTCGTGCGTGAAATGAGAGTAACGATGGATGCGCAGCGCAGCGTCTCCTGGACCACAGCCTCGAGGTACGGGATGTGCGTGGAGATGATCTCCTCCATGGCCGGCCATCGCCCTTCCATCATGGCTACCGAGTGGCCATTGCGCAGCTCGGCTCGAAGTCGAGTCTGCACATGTGGATGTTCAGCCATATATTTGACCCACCATGATAGAACAGTGGCCGAGGTATCGTGGCCTCCCAGCAAGAAACCAAAGGTCTATGACGCAGAATGGCGGTTAGCGGTGCATGATGAGATCTACGTAGGGTTAATGCAAAAAGCTCACCTCGTCTCGGATGACTGGGGAGTGGAAATCGGGGGTCCTCTCCTCCTTCTTGGCCTTGCCCATCTCCCTCCACAGCATCCAGTCCAATGCGCATTGCATCTCCTTCTCCCCACAGGCGAACAGCCGTTTCAGGCTGTTCTCCGTCTGCGTGTCGATCAAGGCCTGCCGGTTCCGCATCGCCCGGGCGTGCTTCGGCCGCAGGAGCGCGAGCCGCTGGGCGATCCACGGGAAGCCGCTCTTCTGCGAGATGGAGAGCATCTCGGGGATGTCTAGCAGCGCCTCGATCTCCGGGTTTGGCTCTGGCCGCGAGAACTCCACGGGGGCTGCGTCGCTGATGACGGGGGACACCTGCGGTCCGGGTGCTGGGCTGGCGAGAGGCATGGGCAGCGATCGGACATGGTCGATCTCCCGGGTTAGCGAGCGCTTCGACTCGTCCAGGCCAAAGGCCACGCTGCAGATGGAGTCAAGGGTGGCCATGTACAGGTCATGGCTGGCGCAAAAGGGCTGCCCCACTGCCTTTGTGCTCTTCTCATGCCAGAGGTGGACGAGGGCCGCAAAAGCATCGTATATTCGAGGAGAGGAAACCTGAACAGGAGAGACATTTGTTAGTCAAAGCGCACTTCCCTCATTCTCGCCACCACAAAACAGAGAGGCAGCGTACCTCGTTGAGAAACCGCGGCGTCATCAGGTCCCTGACCAGCTCCTTGTGAGCCTTGAAGCCCTCCTCCTTGGTCTCCATGGTGAAATGGAACTCGGGGGCTATGAGGCCAACAATCTCCCTGACGCGCTGCCCGCGGTCGAACTCACGCGACCGACGGGCCAGGATATCCACGACGGCGCTGTAGTCTGTGACGATGACGGTCGGACGCCTGAAGGGCAAGACGAAGACCTGAGACAGAGGGGCACGGTGGACCCGGGGCTGGGACCAAACCCATTGTCGCATGTGCTTGGAGCGACGCACGTCAGGTATGTCTCCCATCAGGCGCTTGGAGGCATGGAGGTTGTATGGAATTCCTGGGATGGGCTTGGGCAGAGCGAAGAGATAGACCTGGTACAGCAGCCCGGCGGAGACGAGGCAGACGATGGCGAGCAGGACCACGGGAGAGGGCAGGAGGGAGCCCCAGGCCCAGGAGGCGTCCATGGCCATCGGCGGCGAGAATGACGATTGTGATGGTGTTGGTGATGGCGACAACATCGACCGTGGCGGATGCGGCCGGGAGAAGATGAAAGAGAATAAACCAAACAACCAGTCTCCCGCTGATGGGGGAAGAAGAAGGGGGAAAGAGACGAGTCAGAAATGTGTTATATAAAGAAAAGAGGGAGACGAGATAAAAAATCCAAGACCACGCCGACTGACCGACCGACCGGCCACACTGGCGGACAACGGCTCCATCACAAGGCAGAGAATGGGCCCATTATCGATCCATCCGGGCGTCAAAGAGGGCTTGATGGACGGGAGGGCGTCTGTTAATTCCGCGCAGCAATATTGGTCGGACCAACAGCTTGGAATCACAGTTGCAGCGAGCGGATGGAGGGATTCACGTACGTCCTCACGGGAGAGAGAGTGAGACCAAGGCCGCACGCACCGTCTCCACCGCAGCCCGCATGAAGGAAGCAGGCAATTAGCCATTGTGGGACACGATAGACACAGACAGACCTGATCCTCGTCCTGGACCGGCGCTGTGGCCTGCCTCGCCCGCTTACGGCCGATGGACAGTAGCAGAGGCCTTCTCACCAGCCCTGCCACGTTTCCCACCACACAGTAGGCATTCTTCTTTGGGCTCGATCTTTGCTTTTTCCGTCCCTTTCCCTCTTCTGCCACACACCCACATAACCGGGTCGCGCAGCTTAACTCTTTGGGCTGGACGTGCGTCCCGGCTGCTGTCAAGGCGGCGACCAACGGCCCCCAATTAGCATCATCTGATACATACATGAGCGGACGTGTAACCTAAAATGAAGAGGGCATGAGGAAAAAACCAGTGCCGTGGGGAGAGGGCCAGCTGCCGGGCCGTCGGCTGGAAAGGGGGCACAGACCAGCGCGTGATTGTTCTGCCCGTTGGCCGTGATATGTTTCTTGCCGTAAATGCATATCAGCTGGGAGGGTTGGCTGACGATTAAAGTTGGCTGCAATGGATGATTCGATGCAGGATTGACGCAATCCCACAGCATTGAGGTGTCGCAGCAGATCAGATGCAACGCCGACGGTCTGCCTCATGGTATCAGGCAAACAGCAAGCTCTGCCTCGGCTTTACATCGCTGCTCACCGTCGTTGGCCACACCGACGCCGAAGCAGACTTCCTGATGAAGCAATCGTGGGCGCATTAACGCAAGTTCCAGTCAATTGAGCTGGTACGGTCATCCATTCGCCCTGGACAGTCGGCCATAAGACGAAGACCGGGGCCCTCCTGGCGGCCTCCATCATTATCTTCGTCCTGCTCGTATGCTGCCTGCTCCAAATGGATTTCTGTGCATGATCGGGTTGCGTGGACGAACGTGCCACCTGAGAGGTCCCGCCGCACGACCAAAATACATAATACATACATAAGCCAGCCACCTGAACAAGGACGCACGGGCGGCCCAAAGACGGGGCAATCGGGAATAAGATAGACACTCGTGCCCTCATTGGAAAAGACATGGCCCAATGCCCGGCCCTTTCTGACTCAAGCCAAGCCAAGGCAGAGACAAGGCAACAAACTCTTCCTGTATGATGGCCCTGGTCCAGCTGTGCGCTCACAGATTCCTAGGAGAACCCCGCTTGGGGGCATAAACACACTGCCCCTAATGCACCAGACTCAATTGAATCAACCTGCGCCGGGGTCACGTCCCAAAAAGGGGAGAGACGCGCTCAGGAGAGGCATCAGTCCGCAGCGCACGCTTCCCTGTTTCTGCTTCGCGCGGGGAGCGAGGAAAAAGAAAAACCTCGACTGAAGTTTCTTTTTCCTGCACAATCCATTCTTTCTCTTCCTACCCTCGCTGCAGGAGGCGGAGGGGGGCGTTTCCCATCCCAGTTCATACGCCCCGCCACCGCCGATGCGATGCAACACACCCCGCAGGACAGCAGACTGACTCCTTTCCAGACCCTTCTCGAGCGGTGGGGTGCTGGACAGCCAGTAGGAAGACAGTCCCTCGTTAGCTGGCGTCTGTTCCAATGGAAGGGGCCGGGTCGTGCTTAAATATGGATCTACAAGAAAGGGCCCCGAACTCGGGGATCGTGGAAACCTCCGGGGAAGAGGCTAAAGAGAGGGGAAGGGGGATCGGGAGGGGGCCGAGATGGTGATGGATCAAGCAAAGCAGCTGGCTGGAAAGAGGTCAGTTCATCCTCTCGTCTCGTCCATCCTGTTGTCTGGTGACCTGGCCGCCTGGTGCTACGATTCTTGCTTCTGCTGCTGCATCTGTGATTCGTCAATTGGCGAGACGACATACACCCGTGACATCAAACTACCAACAAAATACAGTCATGGCGACTCTTCACCTCCATCCCCTTGACAACAACGTCCAGGGCCGGCTGGCTCTCATCACTGGCTCGAGGTAGGCTCCCATACACAGATACTCGCAGTAGGCTCCCCTCTAATGGCTCTCCTTTAGCGGCGGCATCGGTTCCGCCTCAGCCAGGGCCTTGGCCGCGGATGGGTGCGATATCCTCCTGCATTACTCTTCTAGTAAGGTAGTACATATCCAGCCACACCCTTGGCCGTGCATCATGCCAGTTGGTCACAGCTAATCCCTTCCCGCGGCGCAAACCCAGGACAAGGCCGAGACTCTCGCCCAGCAGCTGCGAGCCCAGCATCCCTCCCAGCTCTTCGTCCCCGTGGCGGCCGACCTCTCCTCGCGCGAGTCCACCCGGGACCTGGTCCCCAGCGCGCTCGCCATCGCCTCCGTCGCCGCCAAGCACAAGGCCATCTCCATCCTGGTGGCCAACGCCGGCCTGGGCCGCCGGATCCGCGACCCTAAGGACATTGGCGAGGACGACTGGGACGAGATCATGGAGGTCAACGCCCGCAGCCAGTTCGTCGTCGTCAAGGCCTGCCTGCCCGGGATGAGAGCCCAGTCCTGGGGCCGCGTCGTCCTCGTGGGCAGCATCGCGAGCCGCGGCGGCGGTATCAACGGCTGCCATTACGCCGCGACCAAGGGCGCGCTCAGGTATGTTGATCTCTCTCCCTGGGGAAAGCGACCGGTACGCTGGGAAACTGGGCTTGTCCCCATATTATAAAAGTGCCCTTTGTCTGATGTTTCACCAGCTCCATGGGTCTTAACCTGTCTACGGTTCTCGCTCCGGAGGGAGTGACGGTCAACACGGTAAGTCCGATCGGGGAGGGAGCGATTGCCGACTGATGGCGTATTGATCTTTATTTAAACAGGTGCTCCCTGCCATGATCGGGTACACGGGCATGATTCCTGCGCCCAAGTCAATGTAAGTGGGAGACCGCTCACCCGCCCCTAAACACGCATTTTGTTCGTCAATTGATCCTGACGAATCGATCCCATCTAGGACCTGGACCGAGGGGGCCAACCTCGAGGCCATCAAGGAGACTGATCTGGGTCTTGGTGTTGCCGCTGGCATCCCCGTGCGCCGGCTTGGCCACCCTGATGAAGTCGCCAACGTCGTCACCATGTACGTGCCATGCGCATCCTCGAGCGACAGCGAAACAAGCGAGCTTACGGTGTTTCTAGGTTCGCCAAGACTGGATACATGACTGGCCAGGAAATTGTCCTCTCCGGAGGATTGAAGTAGTGGCGGTTCGAGAGCGATTTGGGCTGCGTCTCGTAGGGAACAGTCTCTCTACAGCCGCAGGTTAGGTTGTCAAAACTTGGATGGGCTTGGGAGGCTTTGATTATATGAAACTATTCTGCTATATTCTGCTTGCTATGTTTGGTTTCTATATATCACTATTGAGATTAATGCACTTCTCAGACATCAAACCCGACATCCTTCGATGGTGATCTCGCGGTGCTGCAATTTGTGACATGAGGTGCTTCTGTTATTTCTAATGTCAGATACTGATCTATGCGAGCTCGCACTCGATCAGACTCTCGGCGCCGTTTCTGGCACTCCAAACCTTGACAATCTTCAGGTTGGCCTTGTTCAGGAGAGTCTCCCAGTTCTCACGGGTGCGCTCGCGGGAGCTCAGGAGAGTCATCATCATGATATCCAGGCCGGTGGCCTCCCACTGGGCGCCGGTGTCTGGGATGACGTTCTCATTGATGAGGAGCTTGCTGTAGCCGGGCTTCATGGCGGCGGTGATGTTAGCAAGGATCTTGAGGCAGACCTCCTCGGGCCAGTCGTGGAGGACCGAGTGCATGAAGTATGCGCGGGCCTCTGCGATTTTATTCAGTACATATCTCTCTGCAATTGCTTCACGTAGCTTTTGTTTGATGCTCACCTTTCACGGGCTGTTCGGTGTGGAAATCATAAGCCATGCGCTCGATCCGGTCATCAAGCTTCTCAATCTGGCTGATGACGAGCGGGAGGTCCTGCAGGACCAGGCGGCCGGGGATCTGGGGATACTTCTTGTGAAGCTCCTCGATGTCGTGGCCCACGGAGCCGCCGATGTCGACCAAGAAGGCCGAGCCCTCCTTGTCCTCGAACCCGTCAATCAGGTTCTCCTTGACAGGGAAGAAGCCGGGGTCCATCCACGACGGGCGACCCTGGTGGTACCCGCCCATGTGGTAGTTGAACTGCACGCCATAGGGGGGGTTGGCCTGCAGGTACTCGAAGAAGTTGAGCTTGGTGTTGAACGCCGCCTGGTAGGGACCCTTGGCGACGTCGTTGGGCTCCGTCCAGCCGACCTTGTCCTGGTACTCGTGGAAGTGGTCAAGGGCAGCAAAGCAGCCACCAGCCCTGATGGATTACTGTCAGCGACGGCACTAGAAGGTGACATAATGAATGAAGACGTACAGCACAGGGTAACTCTGGCCAATGATGGGCACAGACATGGCCTTGGTGAAGTTTGTGCGTTCATAAGTATCTGGGGCAATTTCCTTCAGGTAGCCCATGGCACCGAGATGGCGGGCAAGACGGGCTGGATACCGTTAGATCTACACTGCAAATGGATGCCTAAGGGGAGTTACTTACACCAGACAGCGGGAGTGATGTCCAGGGCCTCTGCAACCTTGCTGGCAACGAACGGGCCATCATGCTCGTCAAGGTAGGTCCAGACACCCTTCTGTGTACCGGCAGTCAGGGCGGTGAAAGCGGCAGGCTATCCGAACCACCAAGCATGTCAGAACTTTGAAAATTACAAGCGTAAGAGGGTCGTTGGAAAAGCACAACATACCTGGGCCCAGTTGTGTCTGATCATAGTCTCACGTGGAGTCTCAAGGGACTTCCATAACGTCCTTGCCTTGAGGGCGAGATCCAGACGCAGATTGTCATCGACATTGGCGGGGTCGAACTTCTCAGCCAAGGCCGAGAGCTCTTTAATCAGCCCGGGGACAGCGGCTGGGTCAGTGGCAGAAACAACTGAGACCTGAGGGGTCTTGGCCTCGCCATTGGTAGCCATGGTGAATTAGTGTATTTTCTTTCTGTAAACAACAAAAGAAGCGAGGGTAATTAGGGATGCCAACGAGGACGTGCTCGGTTAGCAACGGGTAGGGACTAATACAAGCGAGGATGATCGCTCACACACGCAGGTCAATGAAACTGGATGAAGATACGAGTACTGGGGAGGAGAAAACAAGACGCGGCCCTGGGGTATCAAGGACCTTTTCAAGTAGAGAGCTTCACAAGCATGCACAAACGGGCCTGGGACGGACCTTATCGACCGCCTCTACCGCATCTACCAAAAGGAAAATGGCGCCGCTGCATTGAGGGTCTTGGTGCATCCGCAAGCCTATAATGGGAATAGGTACCGCCGTTGGAGATGCTTTGGGACGGATTCAGGCCACGAGTCAGGATCTTGGACCAGAACTGCATGTACCTTGTGCTATAGCCCTCGCATGATAATACACGGGGGGGGACAAGAGGGGAATAACAAACCATCACCCATATGGAAGCCAAAGAACCGTTGGTTGGGTTAGTGCGAGAAGAACCAGGGGCTGGCCTGGGTTGATGCATTATGAAGAGCAACATTGGTGCATGATAAGATCCTTGATCGAAGGGGAAAGATGGGTCTAGTGCAAATGAATTATGTCGATACATGCACATTCGTTGTGCGAAAAGCCCGAGAAGTAAGTCTCAAAATGCGGTATGCTGTGTAGGGGTGGGAAACCAGGGGCTTGGTTCAGCATTGCGGTGTGGCACCAGCTCCCACATGTAGTGCTTCCATACTTTCCTTCATCTCAGCCCGTCACACCATGTTAGTTGACCTGTTAGTTAAGGCACTGGTAAGCGTGAGTCGGGGCACTTGACTACGACGGAGCCGCAGTGGAGGTTGGAGGATCATATCATCTCGAGAATCTAGGAACGACCATCGCGGCACCTCCCAGGGAAGTGAGTTGTTCTTGTTAGATCTATACCCTCCCTGTCTTAGTGGCAGACCAGGTAGTGTTTGAGTCTTGGGCGCCGCTGGTCGATCCCCCATGCTACTTCTCCTATCAGCACGCCTTGGCTCATTTCAGAACACGCCAGTACGTAATGGACCAATTGCTCTCTCGCTGCTAGCCATGTTCTGATGCTGACTGGAAGCTAGACTTGTTCCATGATCCCAGCGTCCCTGAAGCATTTCTCCTTGCCGCGCCTCGAGTGACATTATTCTCCTTAGTCGTAAATCCATATGTTACTAGCTTTCCTCTCAAGGTCCACTGCCCCATTTCTTCTCCAGTTGCGGAGCGAGGATTTGCTAGCCCCCAAGCCGTTTGAGAGGAGGGAATAAACGTACGTTGTCGGCTCTCGCTCCTCCTCCTCGCCACAAACTGACGGGCTGCAGGATCCGTGGGGGGAACGGGGCTTTATGCAAACGTACCATTTTTTAACCCGAGTCCAGACTACTCGAAGAGACGAACAGATGGGGCTAGTTCAGCGCCTTACGAACAAGTTACGAAGAAAGGGTGCTCGTACATTCGGATCGTCACATACGCCGCTGGATCTAACGTCGCTACGCGTCTACCCACTTACCACATCCAACCTCTTTCGTCCTGTCCCAATGTCGTAACGGTGCGCCTATTTCTCCTAGTTTACTCCTCGAAAGAATGGGTTTCCCCCTGGCGCGTGGCAACGTTCGCTGGGGCCGATGCCCTAACAAGAACCAGTAGCCACCGTTTTTGTAAACCATAAAGAATGAAGATCTGCAGGAATGGGGTGAGCAAGCCGGTGGTATACCCTGAAAAGCACTGCTGGCGGAGTCCGGCTGGAGAAACGACCGTTGGAAGGGTGACATTCTTCGTCTCTAGCTGCCAAGCGGTGCCAATATTACCCTCGACAAGGTCCGGGGTCCCAGCATGATATAGCGTGTTCCTTCGCGGACCAGTCCCGGAACGTATAGTTCAAACCGTTTTCTTCAGCAAAATGCTGAGGGGAAGAAGCTAACGTCCATACCCATGACAGGTACATGCGTAGTGGCGTAGAGAGACAAAAGCTTGACAAGACTTCCCGGTCTCATCCGTTAGCATCGAAGTTGGATTGGGAAAGATAACCCGATGGTGCGAAACCCATGCCGGTGCTACCCGCCATGACAGTCTCTTGGCTTGCTTGGCTTCACCTATCCGGAACACGTTGAAATCCACGTCCTTCCCACCAGAGTATGGTTGCCGCAACCGTTGATCTAGGGAAATCATGCGAGTTGCCGGGCTGACACTGGCGTGATTCTGGAATTCAAGTGTCGGTCGGTCATGGTAGCACTGACCCAATGGTTAGGTAACGCACCACCAGCACAAAGAAGGGCAGGATCGCCTCCTTGGGTCGACTTGGGTTGAAAAAAGCAACGTTCATGAGTTGTAATGTAACGCTAGTCCCCATTCCGCGGATATCTGAATCAACGGTACTTTAACACCATGACAAGGGTCGTATACACTATACGTGCATGAACATATTGACCATACCCAGCGAGTAAGCACGTACATAGCTTGGACGCAGAACTCAGGGGCCGGCCAACCCGCGAGGCAAGTCTACCATATTTCAAAACACTCTTGTTCCCTCTTCCCTCCGTCCGAACCGCCCCCTGGATCAAATGTCGATGGGCACACGTTTCTGCAAGTCGCCTCGTCTAGGAAAGGATCATAGTATGTCACAGGACCCTGTATACCAGACCTTGGGGCCGCGCCACGGGGAACCGGCGGGGGATAAATGAAATAGGAGACAGACGGATACAAGTTTGACATCCCATCTACCCATGAAGAGTAATCTAAAATTTTCCGCGTTCGCTGGCGTAAAGAACCTTGTCCGGGATCTTCAGACGGCCTCGCCTGGTCATCATTTGCCCTTCGCCTGATATTCTCGCCAATGCTTCTCCTTCGTTCCTGGAATAACATCCAACTATTATAGCCATCCTTACTCGGATAGGGAGCCCGTCAGAGGGCTCAAGATACCTAAAATATATTAAAGCCCGAGTGTCCATAGCTCCACTTAGGTGAAGTGCGTGCGAACAGGGAACCACCCAGCTGGTTCGTGTCATACTTTTGTTCTGCAGATATTCCGCCCCCATTCCACTCCCCATCTTGATTTTGTGCATGATTCTCCTCTTCTCATCCTGTTGGTTGCCGTTTCGATCGAGCTGCCGGCGCCTTGCATATTTCATGCCGATTTGAGGGTTTTAAGAGCCTTTAGGGACGGAGCGAAAGGACCAACGAACATGTCATCACCGTTTGATGCAGTACCGGCCGACCAATTCCCGGCAGAATGGGTGGCGCAGAACAAAGGGCCGTCCATCTTGGGCGTCTGTATTTCCGTGACGGTCCTCAGTACGATATTCGTTATAATGCGCATCTTCACTCGACAGAAGATCATGGGAGCTTTGCACCTCGACGACTACTTGGTCACTCTCGCCACCGTAAGTCGAGCGGCATATCAAAGTTCTGGGCGATTCTTGCGACAGACTAACCGGTAATCCAGTTATCAGAATGGGCCAACGTCGCAATGGCCATCATGGCTGTCAAGTCGGGCAACGGTCAACATTTCGCCCTGCTCACCAAAGATGAAAAGCAAAACGCCGTCTTCTGGACCATCCTTGGTTTCCCGTTCGGAATCGTGGCGTTTGGAACCCCGAAGCTAGCCGTCGCCTCACTCTTGATCCGACTGATGAATCCGAACAAATTCAACAAGATCTGCCTATGGGCGGTTTCAGGAGTCTGCATGGCAACGCTGCTCGGCTGCGTCGTTATCCTCTATGCGCAGTGTACGCCAGCCTACTCCCAATGGAATTTCGATGTGGCAGGAACTTGTATTTCAAAATGGGTCTTGGTCGATTATGCCATTGTTGCAGGAGGTTTGTACTTATCCAAGACGCACGGCGTGGCGGTGCCTTCGACGATATTCTAACGCGCGCATAGGTTTCTCTGCCTTGGTGGATCTATATCTAGCAGTCTATCCTGCCAGCGTGCTCTGGACGCTGCAGATCAACCTGCGCAAGAAGATTGCGCTCTGTGTTGCTCTGGGTATTGGATCGATCGCCACAGTCGTCGCCATCTACAAGTGCACGCGACTACCCTCTCTGGCAGGGGCTGACTTTTCTTGTAAGCATCCAAGTTTTCTCCGCCCCTGAATGCGCCATGTCCCAAGTTCTAACGGAAGCCAACAGACGACACAGCTGATCTCGTCATCTGGACAATGTAAGTGCTCGCGAATATGCCCTCAACCCGAGGTTCCATCGTTTCTAATCCTGCAACCGGCAGTGTCGAATCAAGCACGATCATCATCGCCTGCTGTATCCCCGTTCTCCGACCGTTAGTCGACGTCCTCTTCGGCCGCCGCATGCTGGGCGGCTCCTCCGCATACAAATACCGATACGGAACATCCGGTGCCGACCGATACGGCCAGTCACATGGAGACGTGGAGCTCTCCAAAGGCAGCCGCCTCGGTGGTCGGAACCCCAACAACAGCCACCTCGTCTCGAACCATACAATGGGCTCTCTCGCAGGCGACCCCGAAGTCGAGTCGCAAGAGAGCATCCTCCCTAAGAAGGGTCACCAAAACGGAAGCGCTTCAGGAGACCGAAACCACCAGATCACGCGCACAGACGTCGTGACGGTGACGTACAACGAAGCGGACAGCTCGAGTGACCACCCAGTCACCGGCAACGGCTCCCCTGCCTCGGGTCTGGCCACCACAAGCTGGGTTAAAATTTAAATTCCTTTGTAGCACTAAAGTGATTCAACCTCACTAGCATATCGATAGACTTAATTATAGCAATGTAGTGATCGTAACGAAATATTATGGATTGGACTATTTTCAGCACTCCCCGGATATGCAGGACCTTGATGTCATGTGATGGTGTTGATACGCATGATACGCGTGGAGGATTCCATTGCGTCGACTTAATCTCAAGTTACCAGGGGAAGGGGCTGATGAGATTTAATGCGCATACCCACCCACCCACCGATTTGGTAGGAATCTTCAACATCCGAGATGAATGGGTGGCGGAGAAGAACTGACGCACCGACTAGGGTCAGCTGGGATCCAACACCATGGTAACTGTCGCATTAAACTTTCTCCACTCGATTTAGGAGGCTGTGACGCTTCCTGTGACAATCACAGTTGCAATCAAAGTGCTCGGTTGATCCCATCCTGTGTCAGATTTCACACTTCGCCCAGAAAGGAACATGTAACCGAAGTATTCCACTGTCTATATGAGGCAATATCCCGGTTTAGTCTAATCCCTTGTAGAAAGAACCGGAACCAGAGGAACACTATTTTCGCCATAAGGGTTTCTCGGTACACCCTGTAGTTGAAGGGTTGGCCATTCTACGTTTTTTAACCCGGCAGCGATTAGTTTGAGAAACCCAAATCCGCCCAGACAATGTCCTCTCTTGAGTATCAAAAACTAAGGTTTTATAATTCTCTAAGTCTAATTAGTCTTCAGCGTAATTACTCGAGTGTATTCTATAGTCCTCTTAAAATTTTAGCCTCATTTTTCTTCCTTCATTGGAAGAGTTTATTCGGTCACATTGTGCTTTCGTTCTAGGAAAAGGAAAACTCGAATGTAGAATTTTTGAACCTATGATAGAGCAGACAGAAGCCTGCAAATGAAATATTTCTGTCCAATTACTCACAGATTCTGGCTCTATCCCGGATATACTTAAATGTACTTTAAATACTATCCGTCCTTACCTATCGACAGCTGAAATCTATTTGAAGTCGACAATCTCTCTCACATGCGATATCAAGGGTAGATCGTCTCAGCTAGAGCTAGTATTGGCCGCTCATCAGCTAGGGCAGCTACCGGCAAAAAGTATTCGTCAGATTTCCACAAATGAGGATGATATTGAGCAGAAGCAAAAATATCAGGTCTGTCGATTGCCCCGTACTGGAATCGAACCAGTGATCTTATCATTACTAGTGATACGCTTTACCACTGAGCCAACGGGGCTTGTCATCGTCATTCGCTGATGATGTGTCGGGGTGGGTATTCAGATGATGAATCTCCACACGGGGTGTTGTAGGCTGAATGCGGAAGAATAGGTGGGAAAGCACCTCAATATCTATTTCTCTCGAGCAAAACTGCTCTTTAATTACATGGCACTTATTATTTTTGCACTACTTGAGCCTGTGGTCAGTCTTCAAGTGGCAACCTCCAAGATATGAGGGTCACATTATGTTGACACCAACACTCTACTCAAGCCTTTCGATGATGATAACCTCCTACTAGTAAGAATCTAGAATCCCATTTTAGGGCTATCGGCGTATTGAAATAATCTTTCTTTGTAATAATCTCCTTTAGTATTGTCCTGTTTTGTATTGAGATATGCCTACCATAAAGTCATATCGCTTGTAAGCCATTCTATTCAGACAGTAACAAAGCGATTGGAGTGCCAATTCTGCAACCCAACCAACCACAGAACTTGTGCCGTCGGAAGACATCTTGCAGAGTTTGGGCAGGATTATAATGTCGTACATCCTCCTACCCTATGTTTAGGCTTTATGCTCTCCAGCTACCCCATGCGTTTGCTGTTGTTTTGCTATGTTAGGTTCCTATCCACCACCTCCACCTTCTATATCTATAAAGTATTTAATCATTTTAATTAACGAATTCCCTGCTTGTTGCGACCCTATTCGCATCAAATATTCTACCACGGTAGCCAGTTCTTGACTGATTTGATGTAAACCCATAAATACACCGAAAGGTAGTTCGTGACAGTGAAGAGCGCAAAAATGCCCAGGTATGGCCAGGCATCAGAGGCAGATACATTTATGTTGGAAAGATACTATAGAAGTTATTAAAGATTGATCACGCTCGAGTTAATATTCAAGAAACTCACATCTTGCCCTCCTGTGTATTGGCAGTAGTTGCACGTGTCAGTGGCATCAGGGTCCGCCAAGTATCCAGTTGTTGAGGAGAGCCAGCTCTCTGCGTAAACGCCACAGGTGGTATTAGGCGGAACATGGAAGCGGATGAATTCTGAATCTGCGCACTTCACACTGACTGGTAGCAGAATCATGGAGATCGTCCCAGAAACCCAGTAGGTGAAAGGGCCGATGTAGTACAGAGTGTACCGCCAAATGGCCGGCATGAGCTCTACAGGTTGCAGGATGCCGTTGAAGAATTCGCATACAACGATGAAGAAGGGCATCACGCTAGCCGCCATGACCGCGTCAGCACTGTTACGATGGTTAGCTGTATTCAAAAGCGAACAAGAGGGAGACAGGCCACATGCCTTAATGCTGCAATCCATTGCCCCCAGGATGTACTAAAGAGATGAAACATCATCATCATGAGAAATGTATAGCCAGCCGGCGCCCCAAGTGGAAGGCCAATGAGGAAATAGAATAAGACGTAAAACAAGACTGCGCCAGCAAAGGCGTAAGGAATTTCCGAGACCACTTGGGCGGTAGTAAATGCAACCCAACCGTAAATTCGGCTTGGGTGCTCTCTTCCCAACCAGATATTCCTGTTCTCATCAAACATTACCGCACAGGCATTAATGAATTCCGGGACAATCATTAAGACAAGGAAGCATGTAAATACTCGGTACTGAAGATCAGAAACAGTGTTGCCTAATTGCAAGAAAGCAAGGCCATTAAGGAACGCATGGAAGAACGAGCAGTAGAGGCGTGAATAGACGTAATCTGGAGTTCGCCAGTATTGTAGCATGGTTCTCTTCGTCAGGAGAAAGATCTGGGAGAGTGTAGAAGAGGCGTAGTTACGGACCGGCTCCAACTCCTTGTCCCCGCGTCCAGTTTGAGGCTTTGAGGTAATATTGTCGATTTTCTCTAGCACGGCGGCCGCCTCGGCAGACTCGTCCCAGATATCGCACCAATCGTTTCCTGAAGAAGAGGTCGAATTTCTGGCTGTCACTTCAATGAGTAGATCAGCAATATTCTTGTCGGCTTCTACGCCAACTCCCCTATTTGTGAAATAATCGACCACAGTCTTGCCGTGAGGGCCAATATCTCCGAAATAATAAACGCGGCCCCCGTGATTGAGGGCAAGAACACGGTCAAACTAGACATAAATAGTTAGAAAGTCTCCCAGAGAAATATTTCTGACTGGCGAAGCCGAGCTTACAAGTTCAAATTGCTCTTGGTTCGCTTGGTGGATCGTGCAGATGATTGCTTGACCATGATCAGCCAGTCGTCGTAGAAGCCTAACAATGTTCATGGCCCCTTGCCCATCCAATCCCTATTTAATACTCATTAGTATCTCTAAACAAATTCCAGTTGCAGACTTGACTCACACTCGTAGGTTCGTCCAAAAATAGAAGCATGCTCGGCTTCGCGCAGAGTTCGACGCCGATTGTTGTGCACTTCTTCTGCTCAAGAGATAGAGATCGAATGATGACATCTTGGAGGTCCTTCATCTGTAGGATTTCCAAGATCTCATCTACGTACTGCAATTTTACCTTCTTGCTTGTGCTACTAGATTGTCTCAAAAGAGCAGAAAACTCAAAGGCTTCTCGGACGGTGCTTGTTTCAACATGAATGTCCATCTGCTGGCAGTAACCGATAGACCGCCCAAAAGATGATCCGACACTCTTGCCATTGATCTTCATGTGGCCTTCCAATCTCCCAGTCGCTTGCTGTGTCAAGACAGTCATTACTAGTGGGGGGTTAGTGTTGAATTGCGATGATGAGGACGATCTATAATCACTTACAAGTACTCTTACCAGCACCGGAGGCACCAACCAGTGCAGTCAGCTTCCCAGGCTCGCAAAATCCAGAGACATCATTGAGTAGCTGTTTGTCCCCATCCTTGTGCGGAACAGTGTAATTCAAATTGCGCCATGTGAACACAGATTGAGATTTGACCAATCCACCCTCAACAGTTTTATCACTCTTGGCTTTCTCAGTCATTGTCTCAACCCTGACTGGTGTTTCGTTTTGGCTGGTGCTCTCCTCATCCTTCTGCATAGCAGAGTTGTTTGGTGTTGGCGGTCCATGGGCGAATTCAAGTGCGCCTCCTCCTCCTGCAGCCCAGTCGATTTTCTCAACCACCCACATGTTAATCGTCACAAAAGCGACCATGAAGAGAATCAGAATCCCAAAATCTCGGCCGATATTATCGAAGCTGAATCCAAACTTGTTGAGAATATAGGTATCACCCTGTAAACTCATCTCACCTGGGGACATGCTTTCATAACTGCAAGTTTGGAAGGCAACGTCCTTATAACCTTGACCAGAAGGTATGATAGAAGTCGAAGCACAATTGAACTCTCGGCTGTGGAATTCAGCTGCCATGATGATTTCAAAGGCGTATAGAACTGGGGTTGTGTACTGGCGAAGGGTCAGTACGGATTGACGAACAATACCAAAAGCGAGAACTTACAGATAGCCAGCCAACCCATGGTACATCTGAGATCAGACGATCGACAGATCTCGTATAACCGCCGAACACCATAGCAACCAGAAGCAGAATACCGCAATACCTTAGAGAAATCTCGAGGCGAGGAGAAGCAGCACCGAGCAGTCGGTATAGCGACACATACGCCATCGCACAAAAGAAAATCGCGAAGCTAAAGGCGAAAAACGAGCCGGCCTGAATGGTATGTAGAGCGCACAGTTAGTTACAACTCTTTAACCAATTGTTGAGATGAATGCAATCAATAAGACTGATGCTATCAGCACTTACCTCTAATCTCATCCCGCTCATAAAGTAGGCAATAATAGAAAAAGCAAACGACTGGAATGAGACGGTCCCGAAGTCTAGCAACGTCTTTCCCAGCACGACTGCGCTGGGTCTCACCATGGCATATCTCCGTTGACGACTGACCACAGTACGGTCAAAGAACGCAGTTTCCAGCTCTGCCATTTGGAACCAAGCTACTGTAGCTGCGCAATAGAAGGAGAATCCACCACGAGAATAAACACCTCGAGTGTCAAGAGGCATTTGGTAGAACATTGAACCGAGAAGCCAGGCACAGAAGAAAATGCACAGGAATCTAGTCAAAAACGGGATTTTGTCTCCCATGAGCTGCCAGTATTCGCGCTTCGTGCATAATACCGCTTGGCGAATAAAGGATGTGTTGTAAGATGAGCGAGGAGAGACGAATCTTGATTTCTGCTTATCACCGTAGTGCTTGAATGCCTCGACCGCAGTTACAGTGCTGTCATTGCTACCATTAGCAGAACAAATAGAATGCTCATACTGGGTGATTTCGTTTTGAACATTTTGGAAAGCCTTGCTAGATCGAAAAGCTTGTTCGAGATTGACTGCTCCTCGAGGGACGCTCAATTCTTTGTTATTTTGGATGTTTTCTGGATTTCCCGCGGCAACATTTGCCAAGAAATCACTCATTGTTTGACGTGGGAGACGGCGATAGCCAAGAGCTTCGAAGTAGCCTTCTGCCTCCTTGGCAGGGCCTTGATAAAGCATCCGTCCCTGATCAATGAGCAAAATCTTGTCCATAAGATCATAAATGGCATCCGAGGCTTGATAAATCGATACAATCGTCGCCCGATCGCATGTGTCCGTCATGATTCTCAGTGAACGTATGTAATCAAGAGCAGATGATGCGTCCAGTCCCCGAGTAGAGCCGTCCCAACAGTTGACTGATGAATCCGATGCCAGAGATTCCAAGATAGAAACTCGCTTTCTCTCGCCGCCAGACACGCCCCTGACGAATTCATTTCCAACCAAGGTGTTCATGACGTGAGTCATACCAAACACTCGGCCAAACTCGTCGAGAAAGCGAGGCACTTCAGGCAATAGTTTCTTGGGTGTCTTATTTTTCAAAGCGAATTCCAGGGTTTGCCGGACAGTCAGAGTGGGCAGATGTACATCATCCTCCGGTACATACGCAACGGCACCCCTGTAGTACTTTGATACCTCTTCGAGAGAAAGACCCGAGTAGTCAATGGACCCCTTGACCCCCAAAAAAGAGTCATGCTCACCGCCAACGGTGCGCAAAAACGTGCTGCATCCGGAGCCTGGGTTACCCAAAACACTGTCAAGAGACCGCGCTGTTAGCACAAATAAATAGAACAGGAGGTAAAGGAGCCATTCCGCAGGTACTCACAGCATCATCTGGCCGTTCCGAACAACACCAGAGAAATCTCGGATCAGGGCTTGCCCATTTTCAACTCGATCGGGGGATATCAATCGCTGGAGGGTAGCTTCATAGATATCTTGTAAAGTCAGAGTCCTCCATATTGCGTCCTTGAGGGTTTTCACAGATTTTGGGCCACCCTGCCTTCCATAGGTAGTGATTGATTTGAAGCATACGCTGAGCGGCACAGGCTGGGGCTTCTTTGCGTGAGTTTCAGCATCTTCCTGTGTACTGCGCAAGTACTTCTCAAAGTCTTCAAATGCCGGCGAGGTAGACGGCTCTGGCTCTGCATGTTTGGATTGCTTCGAAATGGCCCGATGCAGCTCAGTGACGGTATCCTCAGCCTCTGCCGTTACGAAGACATGCTGGTCCGAGTCGTGCTCGGTGATGTGGGAACCATCCCGCGGCTCGTTCCGCTGATGCAACAAGTAGGAAGGCATGAGCACAAGAAAACTAGACTCTTAACTTTCCAGTTAGTTTCAAAACAAAGCACATCAAGCTTACGCTCCAAATATCCATCGCCATAAGCTAGCTTGCCATCGAGAATGGACCTGCAGCACCTTATATACTCCCGTCTCGCATCTTCAACAGGTGGGGCCTTGTCACTTATTATCAGAATTAGGAAAGTGGGTCTCTCCGGTTAAACGCCGGATATAACCTCTTTAGGAAATACGACGACAGAGCCTTCAACGTTCACGTGACACCCGTCACTTCGCCCAGTCGCTCACTCATTATTAATCCATTCGCACGTATATCCGGTCTCCACTAGACAAAGAGAGCCGATGATTCAGCCCTGGGATGTCCGCGGGCTCCTTGCCAAGCGCCCAGAGCAAACTTCTTTACTTTGACCCCACCTATCACGACAAAAGGCTTATCAATACTTGATCTACCTACATATGTTATCGATCCAGTGCTGATCGCACCTGCGACCTTTGGTGGAGCCCATTGCCTATGAAGGGTAATGTCTACCGGTAGGTGTTGGACTTGCAGGCGTCGTCGTCTCAAGTGCGATGGGGAGATTCCCAGCTGCCGTAAATGCCTGGACAATGGAGTTGCATGTCTTGGATACGTCAAGCCCCTGACATGGGTCGAAGGCGTGTCTGTTCGAGGCCCAATGAAGAACCGATCCTTTGGCGGGCAGCAGACATCAGCCGAGGCAAAGCATACGTCACAAAAAGTGAATTCACACTCATTACAACAACCTTCTGTTACGTACCATGTTGCGTCTTCCCCGGATCTTCCAGCACACTCTGATGACGAGCTCACATGTTTGGGGACCGATTCGTCACATTCATCACCCCAGGCATCACCAGGCGCTTTCTCATCTTCCCACCTTACCTTGAGGCGCCGTCATAACTATTCAAGAAGTCGCTACTCTCCACCACCTATGATCGCGCTGACTGAGCCCCTTTTCCAAGACCTTGATCTTGCCTCGAGATTCTTCATTGACTATTGTGCGTTCAGCTGCTCCTTCCACAAGTTCAACATGTTTTCCATAGTTTTTCCGGCTGACTGAGTCCTTGAAGTTTCACGACGTGTTTGCCCGCTTATAGTCTGGCGAGATACTATTGACAACAAATATCGTGGAATCATCCCTCTCGTTGCATCGTCACCCGCTGTAGCAAGCGCAATTCTGGCGGTTGCATCTTGTCACTTTACTCATGGCATAATGGGTATACCTATACTTAGTTTACGGTCTAATACAACCACTGCTGCAGCACTTGATGGAGAGATGCCTATGTTGCTCTCTAGCCCAGCCGATGTTCATCTCTCCAAATCCACCCTTCTTAATCACTATCTACGATCCAAAGCAGACTGTCTCAAACATCTTGCAGCCGCCTTGGAAGATGAGTCCAAAAACCAGTGCCACTCTACATTGGTCACCATCGTGCTCCTTACTATTCTTGAAGCTTGTGAGAGTGGCGCCGGGTCCTGGACTATCCATCTCGAGGGTGCAAAGCGACTGTTGACGGATAGAGCGAGGACCCAAAGCCAGCCTTGGCATATTGATTCACCAGGCCTAGTTAACGATGTATCTGTGTGAGTCTGTCAGGTTTTACCTAGGGCTCTGAACTGTACTGACTCAGTTTCATCGTCTTCAGATTTCAAACTTTTGGGTCCTCGATCACCCGGCCAGGGCTGTTATCGTCGTCCTTCTCTACGCATATCATACAGTCTATGCGCCACGATAACCTAGGTGTATCACTAGTCGGCTGTCCTAGTAGCATACAATCAGCAGTTGAGTTCTTCTCCTCGCAACGACAGCTTGATACGGGGGAGACGGAACCACCCATTGACGTGATGGGTCTCAGTGAATCACTGCGTCAAATTCGAGGATTCGATGTTGAATCCTGGGCTGCCGCCGTCCCCTTGAACAATATGGACAAAGACACGCTGGTGGACCTGCAACATATTGGCACGATCTGGAAGCTCGGGGCCGACATATATGCAAGTCGAATATTTGCCAACGTCACTAGAGACTCGACCATGCCGGTGCCTTCTGTCGATGACCTCGTCGCAAAGTACCCATTTCCCGAGCTTGAAGATTTTGACCTGATAAAGTGTGTGCTGTGGCCGACCTTCATCGCCGGCGCGGCCTGCTCCAAGCTTGAGCATAGAGAGTGGGCACTCAGGGTGTTCGAAAGGATCTGGGAAGTTTCGCTGTCTGCGAACGCCAAGAGTGCGGCTTTGGTTCTCGTGAACTTGTGGAAGAAACAAGATCTCAGAAATGCACAGCTCTCCAACGAGTTAATGGCTGGTATGGAAATTCAACACGGAGTGGAAAGAGACTGGCTAAGCGAGCTTTTATCACTGGAGGATGCATGGCTATTCCTCTAATACTATGTGGCAAGTCCCCGTGTCAGGCAAGAAAGATAAGAAGATCAGCCAAATGGGGGATGCCATAGACAGAGATGTGCTGCGACATGATCGTTCAACTACCTAACACACAAGAATCTAAATGTAATATTCTAAATGCGCTACTGGAAATCTTTTTCAGTGCGTCACACTATCTGAACAACGCTCTCTGCATCAAACCGGGGAGCCTGAGAAAAATAATAGCCTCTTTGGTTGGTGTATATCCTCAATGGCCCAACCTGATCTCCTCTATCTACCATGAAGTCACAATTATAATGAGTGTGCCCAAAAGCCCACAACCGCACCTGGGGGCTCTTAAAGCACGCCTCCCCTGACAGATCAGTGGAGAAAGCGCCCGAGATAGGGCTGTTGAGGTGTCTTGGGTCCAGGGCGCGAGTGTCGACGGAGGGGCTCCAGTGTGATAGAATCACAATCCTAGCCTCACTCGCATCGTACTTGGCGACCTTAGAGTTGAGCCATGCAAGATCTCGCTCGTGCGCAGCGTTATGCATGGTCGTATCCCAGTCACTCGTGCGATAAAAGTCGTTGAGGCCAAAGCTGATGTCATTCTCGCTCTCGGGTGGGATAAACGAGAATAAGCTGCAGCCTAGAATGACAACATCGCTATCCGGGATCTCATATGCACGGCGGTCGAGCAGAACGAACTCGCCCAACGAGTCATCCTTCTGGACGGTCCGTTCGAAGTCGCCGAGGACTGCAAGTGCATTTGGCCAAGACGTCTGGAAAGCCTCATGGTTACCGGGAACGAGGAAGACGGCTCGAAACTGCCTTAGCTGGCGAGTGATCCATTCCAGGAACTCGCCTTGGTCGGATCCGACATTGCCAATATCACCAAGCAATGCCAAATATGGTGCCTTGGGTACAATCTCAAAGATGTCGTACGATCGGGGGGTTTCCAGGTGGAGGTCAGACAATATTTGGATTTCCATTGCCCTACTAAAAGCGTCAAAGCTTCTCTGCTCTGTTTTTAGGTATATGGAAATAATTGAGTCTGACTTCGATTGACAGACGATGACGGCATTGTTTCAAAACAGTTGATGACTAAGATAAAGACAAACGCGTCAAAGCCTACCCTAGACATCAGAGTGTTGCGTCCTGACGTAACCTAGAAAGTACCTAGATTGGGTCATGATCAAGCGATTAGATAAATCCTAAGTTTTATGTGTTTACTTAGAAAATTAGCGTATCCGAAGGGTGGCCATACACAATGCGTCTAGTGTGCAACTAAAACAATCTTAATTAAATCAATTTCATTCATGGTATGTGTATGTCTTCCGAGCCAGATTTACAAAACGGCACAATTAGTCATCAACATATACATAAAACTTGTACATATTTTGTGCAAACACCATAATTTCTGCACAATTGTTGCACAATCAGCATATCGTCTGTTCTGGCTCCTCTGCACCGAGCATGTTCATGGCGGGCATGACATCAATAATTTCATGAAAGGAGAATGAACATTTGAAATTTGGGAAAAATTCATCGCAGATGCGTCACCTTTGGAAACCAGCCTTTCCACGATTTACCGATTAAGGTGACTGCTAGATTCAATTCCTAGTCTTCCACTGGTACAATAGGGCACAAAGCAACATTGAATATAATCGGCAGGTTAAATCTATTACTTGTTCTAAGGACTGTCTATGTACTGCCGTGTACAAATTGGGGTATTACAGGACAATAGGTATCGAGTGGTATCAATCTACGTATGTATGTATGTAGGTGGTAGGGTCGTATGCCAGGAAGCGGCAACCGGATGGGGAATGTCCCAGGTATTATATTTAAGAGGCAAAGTGAGGGGCGTTGATGAACAGGCCCATGAGGCAGCCAGCAAGAGTTCCGGCAATAGGGATGGTCAGGATCCAACCGGTCAAGAGGAGACCAATTCGCTGCCAGTTGATAGCGCGCCAGGTCCCGTTGCACAGACCAACACCGACAGTAGCACCGGTGATGCACATGGAGGTAGAGACGGGGAGAGAGAACTGGGAGGCGAGGAGGACGGTGATGGCAGCGCCCATCTCCATAGAGCAACCACGAGAAGGAGAGTGGTAGGTAAGCTTGTTACCCATGACTGCAAAGGTTGTTAGCAATCTGGCTACAGAGACTTAGCGTCTTTGGAAACTCACCCTTCATGATGTTGTAACCGTAGGTAATGAAACCGACGGAGAGAGTGAGACCAAGGACAGCGAGCTGCCAGATGGGAACGGGGGTCTTATCGGCAGTCTTCTCCTGAGACCAGGCGTAGTACATAGCAGCCCAGGGACCTGGATATGAGTTAGTGATCTGATGATTCTTGAGAGAGAATGCGCTTTACATACCGACAGAGTTACCGATATCGTTAGCACCGTGAGCGAAAGAGGCAGTGCAAGCGGTAAGAACCTGAATGAAGGAGTAGCTGTATTCGACCTCGTTGGAGTACTGCTTAGCGTGGCTGTAGACACGAGCCATACGGGCACCCTCAGGGGTTCCGAGAACACCGGACTGAGCACCGTGAATGTCGTAGTTGATACCGTAGAGAGCAGCGACAACAATCATGGCAGGAATACGAATGAAAATTCTCTTGATGTTGTGGATTTCGTAGAGAGAACCGGCACCCATGGGGTTCTCGCGGAGAGTGCGGAGAGCCCAGCCAAGAGGTCCGCCCTTCTTGATGATCCTGTCGTGCATCTGGCGCTGCTTAGCGGCGACCATCTCCTGGTACTCCTCCTGGGTAGCCTCGAGGTGGACAAGGGCGTGCTCGTTGTCGTGCTCGGGGGCAGCGGTCTTCGTGGCGGTGTTCTTCTCCTTGGTGACATCGTGCTCGTCGGTGCCGTTGGAGGAGGCAACCTCGTCCTCGTCCTCCTGGACGACGGCAAAGTTGGGGACAACAGCGGCATCACCAGCCTGGCCGGCACGGGTGAAGTTGAGAGGACCCATGAAAACGTGGTACCAGCGGAGGGTCTGGTCCTTCTTGATAACTAGCGCGTGGATGTAGGGAACGAAAAAGATGACAGACAGAAGGCAGACGCCAGCACCGGTGCCGACGACAACGGCGGCGATCCACCATCCGGGCTTCTTGTTCAAGTTGAACTGGGGGGAACCCTTGTAGACAATCGAAAGGGTGCAGATGGAAGAGGCGAGGAGGAACCAGAAGGGAGAGGTGTAGACAGCCCAAGGGGTAGGGTTCTTGCGCATGTGGACAACGAGCTTGATGAGCATGAAGATAGTGGCAGCGAAGCCAGCAGAGATAACAGGGGCCATGCCGAGACCAGCGAAGACGGCGCCGAGACCCTTACCGTTGTTCCAACCCCACTGAACATTGGAGGCACCAACGGTAGCAACACCGACACCAGCGACGGCGGAGATGATGGAGTAACTGGAGGAGACGTGGGTGGAGTGGGCAGTGCACCACATAACCCAGGAAGAGGCGGCGGCGATGGCGCAGGCGAAAGCCAGCATCTGAACACCGGGGTTGGACTGGAAGGCAGTCGCGGGGATGATACCGTCCTTGATGGTCGACGCGGTACGGGCACCAGTAGCAATGGCACCAGCCAACTCACAGCAAGTGGCTAGGACCATGGCCCATCGGTATGAAATCGAACGGGAGGAGACACTGGTGGCCCAGGAGTTGGCGACATCGTCTAGTATAGAATTAGCAAGTTGTCACTGATGGAAGATCCTGATACTGAAGGTATGATGACTTACTGGCACCGTTGTTGAAGGCATCAAGCATGGCAAACACGGTGCCGATGCCGAAGATGTAATCGTACTGAGAAAGAACCATATTGGCGGTTTCTTGTTATTAGGTGTTTTCGAAAGAACGTGAGGGACACCCGTGCGAATCTGATCGCTGGCTTACTGGGCTTGATGTGAGCTGCAGAAACAAACACCAGACGCGACAGAAACCAGGAGAAGCACGTCAGTCTTAAATGCAGAACACCAAATAGAAGGATGGAAGGATGGAAGGTTATGTCCAGGCTATTTTGGGTCGGATAAGACGGCAGCACGGCGAACTGCGTGAGGATGGGCTGTTGTGGCCAACTAACGATGCTGGAGTTAGAAACGGGGTTGCCGTATCGGGGGAGATTCGAGGTAGTGCTCAAACGGCTGGCTTTGATTTGCTGCTGTGGACGTGATTCTCATCTAATTCTACCTAAGTTTCTCGGCTCTGGCTTGCCGTGATGCATGTGTAGTCTCGGGGTGTGTGGGGGGGAGGCCATCAGGAGCGGGCCCATGGAAGGAAACCCAGCTTCTGGAATATGGGTCAAATGCAAGTGAAGACTCGAATCAGCTCGGTTTTATGCTTATTGGATCCCAATGCAAAGAATTAAGCATGGTGAGCGAGCGAAGAGCTATGATATAAGCTCAAGAGACTTGACTGGCACTGCAGAGACACGGAGGAGGACTTGGGTCTTGGTTCACAGTACGCGGCTGTGACGTCGATCTGCATTATGATTAGCAACGTACATACAGCCAAGCCATGACGGCTCCTACTGCACGGGGTAACGGGGTATAGTAGGTACGTGGCTTGGAAGGCGAGTTTTTCCCAGCCGGACCTGTTACTATTGAAAGTCACCCGTCTGCCACATAATTCTTGGCTCGGGCAGACCAAGGCCATTTGCCCAGAATCAGCCTAGAACGACCCATCGCTGACGAGCACGTTGACAGATGTTGGCTCTAGACAGAGGAGGCCTCGTGCTCTCTTTCCTACCTACACCAAGATCTCTTGGCAAGCGGCCGTCAAAGTGGCTAAGGGACGCCTCATCGTATGGCCGATATTCCCGCCGCGGGACCGGAGCCACTTCGAGACGTCTCATTGCCCGATTGATGGAGGGTCCAGGGGCTTTCCCTAGTCCCCGGTTCCCATCGATCGTACATCCCCACCCACGTGCTTAAATCTATGGTTAACGGGCGTCCCTGGGTCGACTCAGAAGATCCATGAGACGTCTGATCCTGAAGCGTCCAACAGTCAGAGTTCTCGGATATAATGTGCCGTATTGCCCCATCTCACCAGAGAAAAAAATGCCCATCCAGCAACTATTATGGAAATCCAATCAATGGGTGAGGGTCGGCGGCTTCGGTCCTTTGCCTCTCAACGACCATCATCCCACGTGCAACAAGTTCTGCAGGCCTCGTTGATCATGAAGTTATCTGTGGTGGTCTGATGCGTACGTACTGCCATGATGGACCGATAGAGATGGCTCAGACACTTTCGCATGAAGCCGCTTTGCTTTAAGGAAAAAGTGCTGCCTAGAAACTTTTGGATGACGTGCGTGTTTTGCCGCGATATCTCATAGCAGAACGCCAAAATATCAGTATTGACAGACCAGTGTTCACTACCTATGCATTCGTCCAACTGGAACTTGCCGCCCTCGAACCCGACAGCCAGACCGATATCCTATTGCGTGTCGACACCGGGAACCAGCAATATAACATCTGCTGACTACGGTCTCTTGCTCTACCATTTGCGATGATACTAGGAGCCGCACTTCCGTCGCGACAGCCTCAAGTGTGCCGTGATATCCGTGCCCACTTAAGGTTTGCGGATACTGTTCACCTGCTAATCTCAAATCACCTTTCAAAGGAATAAGCATAGTGCTAACTTAATCAAGATGGGAACGAACGATAATTGCCATCCGGTAAAGACTGCGTTGATCAATTCATGCATACTGGTTAACAAACATGGTTCGAGCTCGGGAGCTCTCTGACAATCTGCCACAACAAATCCTCCAACCCAAACTATCGCCAGGCATATTTTCTACCCTTCTTACTCGACTGCGCCGCATGCCGATCAATTTCCAACCTGGGCAGCCTCCCCCAGCTCCCAGTCAGTCACCTCGAGGTCCAGCAGATCCTCGCTGCTCTCCGCGTTGCCCGAGCCGAAGCTCCCCAGATTCCACTTGTCCATGCCCTCGATGCCTCTCAGCTCCGCGCCAAACACGCGGAACACGTCCGTGTTGAGCCTCTGGTACTCGGCGTAGTCCTTGGGCCAGCTGCCGAGGCGCTCCAGCGCGAGCTTGAGGTACTGCAGGTGCTCCCGGACGTGCTCCGCGTCCGACTTCTCTCCAACCTTGGGCGACTCGTACCCGCCGTCGAAGAAGAAGGACCTGGACTCGGCCTCCGTGCTGGTGCCCAGCCCGGCCTCCATCTCGGCGTAGGAAGGGTCGCTGAAGACGCGGAGGACGTTCTCGTGGATTGCCGCGCTCTTCTTGTAGTAGCGGACGGCGATGTCCTGGCCGGCCTTCTGGCTCTGGTAGCGTTGCGCTATGCCCGTGTAGAGCTGGGTGAGGAAGATGGACATCTCGAGCGTGTTGGCGTGGCGGCTGCCGTAGACGCGACGGCAGTTGTACACGATATCCTCGGCGAGGCGGACGGCGGCAAGGGACTCGCCGACGAGATATCTCGCCATGATGAAGCGACGGCCCAGAGCGAGAGTGACAGAGGGTCGCCAGTTGCGCTGGGCCTCGCGGCTGTTCCAGAGAATACCCAGGAACCAGGACAGGGTCTTGAAGTCCCTCTGGTCGCCAAGGAGTCCAATAAGGTTATTTAGATGGTGCAAGCTGATCTGCTCCAGATCAATGTTCAGTTCGCTCAGGACGTGGAGCACGTCTTGGGTGATGAACCCGGAGACACTGAGCATCCTTTTGCGAGCCGCCTCATGGGGCTTGGGGTGCAGGTGGCGGCCGGCGATGGTCATACCCAGGATCAGGACAAACTTGGCAATGCCTGGGGTCTGGTACTCATCGCGTGCCGAAATGTAAGTGAACGATGCCGAGGCAAGATCGCAGGCGCGCTCGTAGTTCTGGGTCTTGAGGAGCTGCAGTACATGCGCGTTGGAAGCGATTCCCACGGAGCGTAGGAAGTTGTTCGACTTGTGTGTGTTGAAGTGTTGCAGAAGCATGTCGAGGAAGGCATCGACTTCGGACGGCTTGGTGAGGTTCAGCTTCTGGCCCTCAGTCATGATGAAGTATTGCTTGTAATCTTCCATCACACGGGCAGCAGCCGCCTGGCGCCCGCTGCTGATCAGGCACTGATGAAGTCGGGAAGTGGCCACAGTCACCTTCTGGATACTGCTGGACTTCGCTTTGATCAGGCTTCTGAACTCCTGCACGTAGACGTATTGAGTGGTCAAGTCAGCCAGAATGTCGTTGACTGCGGCTGAGTTGCGGCTGAGGCAGTGCTCAAGTTGGGCTAAGAAGACCAGGCTCTCACGGCCCCGGAACGAAAGATCGAACTGGGACTTGGTGCTAGCCGTGTCCTTGAGGATGATTTGGCGGTAGATATCCTCCTTCAACTCTGTAGCCTTGTGGACTTGGTTGCTGGCAATGTAGCTTGATGCAATAGTAGATGCAGCAGCAATCAGTCTCGAGGATCTGGTCTCAGACGAGAGAACATTCACTGTTGTGTCTTGGAGCTCATTGACAACCTTATCCGTGTGCTGCTGCTTGCTGTAGAACTTGACCAGCTCAGATAGCTTGGTCAAGGACTCCGAATGCGCCCAACCATAGGTTTCACGAGCACTAGAGATTCGAGTTTGCAGAATCTTGACAGCCCTTTCGGTCTGTGTAGCGGAAGAAGACTCGAACTTGGATGACGCAACAAGATCTGCTTGTTCTTCATAGATGGAGTCGAGAATGGAAGAGATCTCGGTATGATCTACCTCTGTCGACTTGATCTTGAGAAGCTCCTCGTAAAGGGTAACAGCGTCGAGCTCGTAGCGCTTGGACTCTTGGCAAACCCTGGCCAAGGAGAGCGTTGCCTGAATAGTGATGGACGCGTTCGTGCCAAACACAGACTTGCACTGAGACTGGTAGTCTACGGTAACCTTGTGCAGAACATTGAAGTCGCTCTGGATGCTGCGTAGACAGTACGTGTACCGGGTGTAGAGCTCGCGGTCGAATTCCTGATCATTGAACTTAGGGTTCAGCTTGGGTTGTTTCAAGAATGTAGTGAACAGTGTCCTATAATAAGGCAGCGCCTCGGAAAACAGACCCTTGTTCCAAAGCTCAGTCGCGACGATAGCACAAGGCTCAAACGTCTCGGGCTTGCAAGTCTCATGACCTTTATTCAGAGCACTAATGATCTTCTGGTAATACTCGACAAAAACGGGACGGGGCCTGGTAAGCTCAGCCAAGGTCCAGAGCATCTTGATGACTGTAGGATCCTCTGGGCCGAGCTCAGTGGTGTAGTCATCCAACATCTCCTGGCGGATGTTAATCACTTGGTTGACTTGGGATCCCCTTTGGAAGAAGCCCAGCAGGTTCACTGTGACGCGCTCTCGAAGCTTGTCCGACACACCACGGCTGACACGCATAGAGCGATAGATTCGGAGACGGATGTCTTCTTCTCTCTGCAGTCGGCGGCGCGCGTGGTAGCACTCGGCAAGGCGCTCAGCAAGCTCAACGCAGCTCTGCACGTGTTTGGTGGGGGCGATGACATCTTGAACACTGGATGAGAAGATGGATGGCCAGACACCGCGAAGAACCCTCTTGATCAGCTGTGTGGCATCCTGCCAGCGATGCTGCGAGATGTAGAAGCCAACAAGACGATTCACAGCAGCGAAGCTGGAGTCGTCCATGGTGCTAATCGAGTTAGATGCCTCTAGAACTATTTCCTCAAGCAGGGTCTCGGAGCTCGAGTAAGAGCTAATTGAAGAGACGAGCTCCCTAGAAGTGGTCTGGATACTTTGTTGAATTTCCTTATAGCTTGAGGACTGAGTGCGGTTGGTGTTCTGGTAGAATTGCGAACAATGCTTGAGGACACTCAGCGATTCTGATGTCAGGC